GTCTGCACGCTTTGTAAAGCAGAAGAATTCAAGCATCTGGGCAAGCTCAATGAACTTGGAGGACTTGTAGGTGCTGGCAGGCAGCATGTTGGAGCAGTTGGCAAGGTGAGGGTGGGGGAAGACAATGGATAGTGAGTAGATGGAGGCCGGGTTGGGTGTGATGAGGTTGCCATTCACACCTTGTCTGCGGCAGGTGCTGGGTGCTGGCATGCTGCTTTGCCCCCTGTATTGGCCATGGGCATGCTGCTTGGCCAGCAAGGTAGTCAGCAGCGCTGGACAGCAGCCAGAGGCACTGTGACTCAGAAGGGTCTTGCACACTACAAGTCTCTACATGCTCCTCAGCCCAGGGTCTGTGCTGCCAGCCATGTTCCTTGGCCACCGCTGGCAGATGCACAATGCCAATGCTGGCAGCCAGCGGCGCTGTGACCTGAGCAAGGTCTTGCGCAGTAAGACTTGAGCGCTTGCGCTCACCCTTGCTTGGGGCCGCAAGCCATCACAGGCGTGGTGAGGACCACCAGCCCTCCTTGACAAGGCACAGACGTGCCTCCAGCTTGATTGGCTTGTGCACCCAGGTGATCTGCTGCATGTTCTGCTTGAGAAACTCCACTGTGATTTACAGCGCCCCTTGCTGGTGCTGCACTTGCGCGCAGACCTGGGAGACCTTCACTGCAAGCATCAACATAGTGCAGGAGTGTTGGGTGGTCAAGATAGACAGGAAAGGCACACAAGAAGGATGGACAGCAGGGGTAAGGGGGGCCAGGGGACAAAAGGATGGCAAGAAGGGTGCATGTGTATGGGAAAGCAACAGCTGGAGCTGGAGCTGTGTTAGAGGGAATAAGGCAGCTGAGACTCTCCCTGTCTGATCTACTGCATGCACTGCCCTCACTGTACTGCAGCCCTGCATTGGCTGAAGGCTCTGTCTCAGACAGACAACGAGGAGGAGCCTTTCTGCTGCACTGCAATGGGCGCAGGCCGCAGCCAGGCTCTGCCTCAGGCAGACAACAAGGAAGAGCCTGCCTGCTGCAATGCAGAGGCTGGCCAGTTGTTGTTAATGCGCTAAGCTCTGCCTTAGCTCAGATGTATCACATGATCAATTCAGTGCTACTGAACAAAGCCACAGCTTGTGAAGTGTGTAAGGGCAGTGCCTGTGTGGACACTGATCAGACAGGCTAGCTGCCTGCTGTTCTGGGAATAGATGCAGCAGGTCTGCAGGGCACAGGCTTCAGTGGTTGACCTGCCAGCATGCCAGCACTAAGAAGAAGTGCAATATATTCCAGTAAGACACACACATTGGCTCTTGAAGGGCCAATGGCCACTTACTGTTGTCATTGCACTCTGGCAGTGTGGATTGGAACAACCTCAGTGCAAGACTGCTGAGCCATGGTGCATGGCACACTGTGTGCCACTGCAGTACTGTGGCAATGGACAGACACAGGAAGCTTGGCAGTGCAGTGTACTGGAGACACTTATTGATGTTGAGGTCCAGCATGGCTCCACCAAGATTTGCATTGGCAGTGCACAGCACAGGCAGCCTGAGGCGCAGGTTGCAGACAACCAATTGCTGCATAGGCCTATGGTTCAGAGCCTGAAGACTGCAAAGTTGTCCAAAGTGGCAAAGAGATGCTCTTTGGCAACATCAAGAGGAAGATTTGAGATGACAAAAGGCAAGTACACACACAAAACATGTATGTTGCCTAGGCATGCAAGCTACTCCACATGCTTCAGGGCCACAGTCAAGTTACTGCAGCATTGCGCTTGCCACTTCAGAATTTAAGGCAAATGCAGAGAATAAGACTCACAAAGCGCAATCCAGTGCAGATGGAGCAGGGCTACTTCATGGGGTCTCTCTCCTCTCAAAGGGTGTGGCGCAAGCTGCAGAGCAATTCCTCTGCCGCAGCCTGCCCAAATTCCCTGCTGCCAATGTGCTTGCCATCCTGCAGAAGCACTTGTCCCAGCCAGTGTTCTCCAGACTTTGTGCCTGCCAGTGCCAAGCTGGCTCTGAATGCCTGGCTTGCCCAGCTCCTGTGCAATGGGGGTGTGAGTGAGCTGCAGCTCTGCCAGAGCGCCTGCTAACCTGTTCAGGTGCAATCCTGCGCCAAGGCTGTGCCAAGACGGCCAAATTTGCCCTTAGCAGCAACATGTCCCTTGCAATGGACGCCAGGGCGCGTGCATTGCTCAAGGCTGCCAGCAACAGGCCCACCACCTGCTTGCGCTCAGCAAGGCAAGAGTGCAAGGAAGGCATGGAGATTGAAGAGGAGGAAGAGGGAGGAGAGGGGGCAATGCTTGCCTGCAGCGCTAGAAGGAACACGCGCGCAGAGAGCCAAGAAGACAAGGAGAGCAAGGACATTGAGGAGAGGGGGCAGGAAGAAGGGGAGGAGAGTGTTGCTGAGGGCTGCAACTTGCCTGCAAAGAGGACATAGGACAACAAAAACAAGGAGATTGAGGGAGAGTGAGAGGAGGAGGACAAGTGAGCAGGCATGGTTGGCCAAGGATCTGGTTGGAGGATTGGAGGTTGTTGAGTGAGTGAAGCATTTCTCTGAGGCGTACAGCGGCGTCAATATGTGCAACAAAGCACTGCGTGCACAGTCCTGCTGTCAGAAGTTGGAAGCTGTCTGTGCTGGGAGGGCGTGTTTTCAGTGGAGCTGCTTGGCAAAACACTTCCTGTGCCATTGCGCTGCCGCATTGGCCTGCATTGCAGCCTCTTCCCAGGTGTCAGGGGCTGTGCTCCTGGAATCAATGGCAGAACAGCAGTGGATGTGGTGGCAGATGTTGCACTTGCTGCACCTGTGTGGGTTTGAGGTGTTGAGGTGCTTTGTGGTGTGGAGGTGTGAGAGGTAGGCAGCAGTCATGTGCTTGCTGTGCAGGAACCTCCACAGCGCATACGCGCCATGCAGGTCCTGCATGCGCCACACCTTGCGCCAGGCAATGGCAAACATGTCTAATAACCACATGTGCAGCATGCTACAACACATAAAGGCATTGCTCACTTAGGTTTTCAAGGCGCACAGCAGAAGGAGCAGCAGCTGCAGCTGTTCTTGCCAAAGCTCTGGGCTGTGCTTCTCGAGGCAAGCATTCTATGTGATTGCAGACACAATGGCAGCAAGACTTACCAGGCCACATATTGAGCGCGTCCTAAAGGGCAAGGACAGTGGTCCAGCACCAGTGTACAATAATTACAAGACCCACCTGCCAGATTGCAGCAACAGTGAGGGCAACACTATACAAGCGGGACATGGCGCTCTGTCTTTGTACCCCACTCTGGCAAGAAGGTTATGTGTTGCCACCCAATGCAAATGCACATGCTGCATGCTCTTTGTTGCAGGCGGCAGCACTGGAGCCGCAAGCTAAAGCATGCAGATGAACATGAATTGCAAATGGTAGGAAGCAATAGAGTGCATGAAGATAGGGGACAGGCTCAGCTGGCAGCATCAACAACCAGGCTGCATGTGCCAAAGCTGTCCTTCTTCTTGCAGCCAATGGAGGTGTTCTTGTTGAAAACGCAAACATCTTGAGGTGGATGCTGCAGCTAAGCCTGCTTGGCGCAAGGTTGTAGACCTCAAGCTGCTACTGGCACAATAGGAGAGGCTGCATCAGAGTTGCACACAGGCAACTCTGAACAAGGTGCGCCACTTGACATGTGTGGAGGGTGTGGCAGACACACTGACAAGCCAGAGCTGGGCATCCTGACTGGTGATGTAGGCTGAGAAGTGCGCCAGCAGGCATGCAAAAGGCATAAGGACACTTGTGTTGACAATGCAGAGGTGGACTCTGTCTTGGATGCAGCCTGCAGATAGAGCTCAGCATCAGCAACGTCAAGAAAATAGTGCAGCAGCAATGCTCTGGGGAGGAAAGCAGCAAGCTGCAACGTCTCATTTTGTCTTGGCTTCAGGCATTGCTTCACAGGCAGCCTTGCTCTTTTGCTTCTCTTGCAACCATTCCCCCTGCCCTCTGCAGCACTCAACTGGACAAAGGCGGGGACAATTCCTGCCTTGTGCAGCTGCACACTGCCATTGCTGCGCTTCATCACAGGCATCTTGGCCATGTTAGAAGAGGGCATGGGTTGTGAGAGTGGTCAAGGAAGATGTGGGTGGTGGAGCAGCAAGAAAAAACACCATTTTGGGAGTGGCAAAAGAGTAGCAAGCCTTGGGTATCCCTTGTCTTACAAGCAACAGCAGGATGGCCCGCTGTACTACAGAGATGATGCGTGCCTGTTGGAGTTGGCAACCAGTGGTGCCACACATACACACAACCTTCTGCTTCCCCTTGAAGCCAAGAGAAATGTGCAGCCCATGCTGCAGGCAGGGCTTCACTGCCAGGCAGGCGCTGCTGGGCTGCTTCTGCTTCTGCATGCTGTGCAGCTGCAGCAGCTGCAGGGTCTCTCTTGGGTGTGTGCACAATTGCTCTCTTCCCTCTGCACCACCACAACCTACCTTACCAACTCAGCCTTACTCACTCAACTTTACCTAGCAAGACCATCCCTCATCCTGCAGAATGCTCTTGCAATCACCAACATTGGCATAGAGTGTAATCTTGGCAACATCTCTGCAACACCAGCCACAGCCATTTCAAAATCAAATTGGGCAGCAAGCAGATTCACCTGGCCTTGTTGATAATCCCAGCCTCTTGTCTGCCAGTACATCCCTAGTCTACTGGATGGCTTGCGCTTGCCTGCTGTGAATTGCTCTGAGGGGCTGCGCTGGAAGCGCGCAAAAGCAAGTGCAGGGTCAGTGTTGCCATCATGCCCCACCAATGCTGACCTTTGTTGCCTTGCAGATTGTGCCTCTGCACATCAGCAATTGTGAGCGTTTTGCGCGCAAGGTCCCCACCAACCACCTTGCTTTTGCGTGCAACCTTGAACTTGACTGTGAAGGCGCCAAAAGCAAAAGAGCAAGCTCCGTCTACTCGAGGAGAGCGTGAGAACAGCGAGATGCGCACGGACGGGCGCGCGCCTCGCACTCCGCCTCCCGCGCCTGCAGCGCCTGCCTTCCGACCACGTCCCCCCTCTTGACTTCCCGCCGGCCGCCGTCATGTACTGGCCGACGGGCGTCGCCAAGCGCCTGCACCTCACGCCCGGCCTCGGCGTGCCCGATGCGGCACATGCCGCCGCAGCGGATGGCGCTGCCCCACCACCCGCCGCGGAGCCGCTGCTGGCGCTGGCTGCGTTGCCGGACCGCCGCCGCTTCGCCACCCTCACACGCTCCGTGCTCAGCGTCTGGTCCACACGGCCGCCGCGCCAGCTGGCCGCGCTGCGCCGCACGCCGCGCAGTGCCGAGCAGTACGGCGAGAATGTTGCGCTGGCGTGGCGCGCCGACGGCCACGCCGTCTGTGTCGTGGTGAGTGGGCGCGACAGACTGCAGCCTGTTGCACACAGCTCACCCTCTTGCAGACGTCCACGTCCTACCTGCTGCTCTTCCTCGTCGCGCCGCTACCCTCGCCGCACTCGTATGTGCCCGCCTCGGGGTCCGGCTCGCGCGCCACGAGCGGCGAGCCCTATGCGCCGAACCTGCCGACGCTGCGGGCCAGCTTTGCCGCGGCGGCGGGCGAGCACGGCGCTGAGCTGCGTGGTGGTGTGGAGGGGCGCGAGGAGGGTGTTGAGATCGTGTTTCGCCTCGTGCTGCGCGTTGATGCTGGCGTCGGCAGGTGAGCTTCTGCGACGTCGCGCGTGTATTGGCAGAAGCCGACCTTGCGCCCTCAGTGTCTCCTCCAGTGCGACACATTTGCTGCTCGGCACAGTGTCGCCGCCCGCGATGCAGTGCATCCCCTGGCCGCCAGACGACCCAGAAGAGGCACCGCCAGAAGGTCCGGCCGGCCAGCCGCGCACGAGCATCCTCGCGCGCCTGGACTGGCTCGTGCGGCCACCCGCCGACGGGCAGCAGGCGGAAGTGCCGCACATCGTGTCGCAATGCTCCGCGCACGCGCCAGACTGCTACTTCTGGCTCGCATTCGATGGCCGGGCGTATCAGAGCACTGTGACCTTCGACACACGTGTGAGTGCAGCATCCGTCCTGTGCCCAACCCATGCTCATAGCGCAGCGCAGGCATCGATTTGGCGCGGCCGCTGCTTCCACGGTGCGCCAAGGCGGCGGCGCGCCTCGCACGCAAGCCGGCATAGTGGAGGACCGGGCGACTCGCCTCTCAAGGTGGATGACGCTGCGTTTGACGCGCACAACCGCGGCCTGACTGAAGCGACGGACACGGACGAGCTTGACGAGCCGCCGATACCCGGCATGCTGCCCGATGACTTGCGCGGCACGGCGCTCGGCATCAATCCCGTCTTCTCGCTCGCAGCCGTTGGCCTCGCTTCTGGTCGCATCGCAGTCTACACCTACGCCGCCGGGCGCTCCCGCCCCTCGCACACGCTCGACCTGCGCGAGGCCCTGCGCAGCACGGCCAGCTATCTGCGCACGGGCGAGGTCAAGGCCGTGGCGTGGAGCGACGACGGCTATGCGCTGGCCGTGGCGTGGGAGCGCGGATGGAGCGTGTGGAGCACGTACGGCAAGCTCATGTGCAGCAGCCTGACGGAAGGCTGGGACCTGGCCTCGCCCGGCTTCTCCGACCTCTTCATGCACGGCGCAGCGGCGGCGTTTTGGGTGCCAGGCAACACCGAGCTGTTCCTGCTGCATATTCCCGCGGACGACGCCGTGTCGACCGACCAGCAGCTCTTCGCCATTTCCTTTGCCAAGAGCGCAGTGGCCGGGCAGCACTCGCCCGACAATACGCGCTACGCCTTTGTGCAGCTCGACGACGCCGTGCTCGTCTATCGCGGCAGTGACCAGCCCGACATGAGCGTCATCAACCCCGAGTCCGACGTCTGGCACCACATCAAGATTCCGCAGCCCTACATCGCCGCCAACTGGCCGATCCGGTATGCCTGCATCAGCGCCGACGGCCGCCTCATCGCCGTCGCCGGCCGCCGAGGGCTGGCGCACTTCAGCAGCCTCTCCGGCCGCTGGAAGTGCTTCGCGTCGCGCAGCGAGGAGCAGTCCTTTGCCGTGCGCGGCGGCCTGCAGTGGTACCAGCATGTGCTCATTGCTGCATGCTCGTCGGGCGGGCGGCCAGAGCTGCGCCTCTACTCGCGCGACGCCGAGCTCGACGAGCGCAACGTGCTGCACCGCGAGGAGCTGCCGTCGCCGGTGGTGCTCACGAGCCTGTTCGACAACTCGCTGCTCGTCTACACGCAGGACAACACGCTCTACCACTTCCTCATCGACACTACAATCGACGCGATCCGCCTGAATCTATGCGGCAGCATCACGTTCGAAGGCGTCGTCGCCGAGCCTGGGCGCGTACGCGGCATGAGCTGGATGATCCCTCCGACGCACCAGCGTGAGTCCTGCAGCTGGGAGGTTCCGTGCCATGCTGACAGCTATCGCAGAGCTCGGCGATCCGATGGACGACCTCACTGTCGCGACCGTGATCTTCCTCACCGACGGCAAGCTCGTGCTGCTGCGTCCGCGCAAGGTGGGTTCGACGTCGGAGCAAGCAGTCCGCGTGCTCACACCCCAGCAGGCCGGCGAAGACCTCGAGGAGGTCGCCTACGACATGCAGATCCTCGGCGACCACATCGAGTACTTCTGGACGCATCTGTCGGGCATCGGCACGCTCGAGAACTCGCTGTGGGGCTACGACGGGCAGGGCATCAAGCTTTGGCTCGATGCGCTGACCATCGAGCGTGCTGAGCGACTTGATGAGGAGGAGGACGAGGACGCGCCCGAGTACAAGACGATCGAGGAGAGCGTATCGATGCCGCTGGACTTCTATCCGCTCTGTGAGCCTGCCGATGTGCATTGCATGACTTTTGCTCACAGCCTCTCTCCAGGCGTGCTCATCGAGAAGGGCATCGTCATTGGCGTTGACCCGGAGGTCTCGCTGCGGCGCACGCTCGACTTTGCCATCTTCCGCAGCAGCACAAATGTACGTGCTGCGTGCGTGTGCATGTCACTCGGGCTGACGGTTCGCACAGACCCACCTCTTCCTGCAGCATGTGCTCCGGTGCTACCTTGAGCGCGAGCTGCTGACCGAGGCCGTGCTGTTCGCAAGCCACTACCAGAGCCTCGTGTACTTCGCGCATGCGCTCGAGATCTTGCTGCACGCAGTGCTAGAGGACGAGGCCGATGCGCTGCTGGACGCAGGCGACGAGAGCATGGCCGATGCAAGCAACGGCGACCTGCCCAGCAGCAGTAGCGCAAATACGCTCTTGTTGCACGGCGACTCCACCGGCATGACTCCGTCTGGCAGCCAGGGCAGCGCGTCGCTGCAGCAGCTCGCAGACGGCAGCTTCGCGTCCAACGGCGACATCACGACGAACGGCGCAGCGAAGCCCATGCTTCCGCTCGTCGTCGCCTTTCTCGACCACTTCGACGACGCGCTTGACGTTGTAGTCGGCTGCGCGCGCAAGACGGAAGTCGTGCGGTGGAGCTACCTCTTCGACGCCGTCGGCGAGCCGCGCGAGCTGTTCGAGCGCTGCATCGCCAGCGGCCACCTCAAGACTGCCGGCTCGTACCTGCTCGTGCTGCACAATCTCGAGCCGCTGGAAGAGAGCACGGCACAAGCGGTGCGCCTGCTCAAGCTGGCCGCAGAAGAGGAGAACTGGTCGCTCTGTCGGGATCTGCTGCGCTTCACGCGCAGCATCGACGAGGACGGCTCGGCGCTGCGGCATGCCCTGCACGAGACGGGTCTGCTGCAAGATGCGTCGCTCGCGCCAACGCCTTCCCTCGGCCGGTCTGGCCGGTCGAGTCCGCGCCCCAGCGGGCTCGCGCCTCCCGCACCTCCGCCGACGCTGGCGCGAAGCACCTCGGCGCCGACGGTCCTCGACACGAGCCTCATCGAAGAGGAGGAGCCGCTGTCGCCCACGATCCCGCAGGTCGCGCTCCCACACCCCGGTCTGCAGCGAGCCGTCTCGCTCTTCGGCACGCCGGCTTCGGGGCCACCAGTGCCGCAGGTCAGCGTCAATGGGCGCGTGATGCCCTCCGCCCCCTCGCGGCGCATCTCGACTGGCAGTCCGGGCGCCGGCAGGATCTTCCCGCGCAGTCCCTCGGCCGGCCTGGGCATGAGCCTCAGCCGCGTGGGCCTGCGCTCGACGGAGCGCCTGTGGGAGAGCGGCGCGTCCGCAGCGCGGCCACGCGGCATGCAGGCGCCTCTGCCGCCAGCGCCGCCAGAGTGACCCTTGCAATCGCATGATGAAACGCACGCAAGCCTTGCCTGAGCAGCAGGCTCCAGAAGGATGTGCAGCGCAGCGATGCAGACGGCGAATTTGGTGGAGACCCGAGGTAAGGGATACGTACGTCTGCGCTGAGGCCATCCCTCCCCCTGTTGCGCACGCCTGAAACAAGTAACATACGCATCCGATCTATTTTTGGAGACTCTTGAGCCGCTGCCTTTACTGCGCCTTCTTTGCGATCTCGGACAGCTGCTCGAGGTTACCGGCAAGCGCGCGCCGGCGCTGCTCGCGCCGTTCGCTGCCCTTGGTGATGAGGCTGCCGAGCTTCTGCCGCGCGAAGATGAATTTGGTTACGTTCTCGATGACCTGGCAGCCAACGTACTGCAGAGGGCAGCGGTCAGCACGCGTTAGTGTACGGCTGCGGGGCGGGCACTCACGTCGATGACCATCGCGCCCAGGAGGTGCTTCTTGAAGTCGCCCGGGATCTTGATGAGCTGCAGCCACGAGTTGAGCTCCGGCACAAACTCGGTGGCGCCGGCTGAGGCGTGAGGAGTCGTCAGTGAGCAGCTCGCACGCCTCGGCACGCTTGACCCACCGAAGGCGACGCCAAAGGCGCCGACGAGCGAGTAGTACATCGTTGGGTTGGCCGACAGCTTCTCGCGCCACGGCTCGCCGACGAAGCTGTGAAGGACGAAGTCAGCAGGCGCGCAAAGCCAGAGACGGAGCAGCGCAACTCACTTGGCGTGAACAGTCGAGACTGAGGTGCGTGAGTCGTGAGCAAAGCGAAGAGCGGCGCAGGAGCAGACGCGACGCACCCTGTTGGCTGAGGCCGATCAGGAAGACTGCCGTGTTGAGGAGCGACGGGTTGAACTTGGCTGTGAGGGAGCGACGGTCAGACGATAGACGCTTCGCTGAACAAGCCGCACGACTCACCCTCGAGGTCGATGACCTTCTCGGGCTCCTCAAACACCGGAACAAGGTTCGTGATGTAGCGCATCGACGCAATGTGCAGGGCGAATTGGCCGAGGATCGAGAGGAGCATGTACCAGTCGAGGATGCTCGCGAGCGGGCGCTGCTTCGACAGCTGCTCGCGCGGCGTGGCGCGCGACAGCATCAGGAAGCACACGCTCATGAGCATGCCGCTGATCGTAACCTGCAGAGAAGACGTCAGTACCACGCGCAGCACATCGCGCGTCCGCACCCACCTGGTAGTCGCCGTACTTGATGCCGTCGAGGTACATGACCGAGAGCGAGTAGGCCTGGATGAGGCAGTTGAGGCCGAGGATCTTGTACTGCTGCACCATGGCGACGAGACTGCAGCGGCCCTGCCGGATGATGTGCGTCACGGCCGCGAGGTTGGTGAGCTTCGAGGTGAAGGGCGCGGCAACGGAGGCGTCGCCAAGCTTGATCTGCGGCGGGCCATCCTCCATGTCCATGTCGGCCATCTGGCTCGTGATGCTCGAGAGGTCGAACTTCGCCGTCGGATTGTTGACGCGCTGCTGCTGCATCTTGCCCAGCGCCTCGTCGCGGGCCTTCTCGAGCTCCGGGTAGAGCGTCTTGAGCGCGGCAGGCACCGGCGGCGGCGGCTGATTGAAGCGCGCCGTGAGCTTGAGCTGCTGCTCGTACACCTTCTTCATGCGCTCGTTGCGCTGGTGCTCGGCAATCTTCTGCAGGTCCTCGGGCGTGCCGTCGAGCAGCGCCACGCCGATGTTCGCAGCCTTGAGCGCGCCCACGTCGTTGGTGCCGTCGCCGGCCATGAGCGTGATGTAGCCGAGGCTCTTGAGCGTGTTGAGAATGAGCTCCTTCTGCGACGGGCTGACACGCGCGTAGACCCAGGTGTTCTGCACCAGCACCTTCCAGGCGTCGCGCGTGGCGTACTGCTTCAGCGCGGCGCCCGTCATGCAGACGTCGTACGTGTCGAAGAGCGACTCGTCGATCGGCTCCGAGGCGTCGACGGGGATGATCTTCGACTCGTCGACCGTGCGCCAGGCAAGTTGCGATTCGTGCGTGGCGCCCTCGCGCGTGTCGAGGATGAGTGTCTCGCGGTCGACGATCTCGACCTCGCCGGCGACGTGGATGGCAGTAAGCGGGTTGTCGCCGGTGATCATGATGCAGCGGTGCGAGGAGTCGTTGAGCTGCTTGATCGTCACGACGGCGTCGGGCTTCAGCGGGCAGTGGAAGATGAGGAAGCCAGCAAACTCGAGCTGCGCCTCGACCTGGTCGCGCGAGAGTGCGTTGATGGCGTCGACGGAGCCGACGCCCTCGAGGTAGCGGTAGCCCAGCGCCAGCACGCGGCTGCCGCGGCGCGTGAAGCCCTTGTACGTCTCGTCGTAGCCGGCGGGCACGTTGCGGTACATGGAGCGCAGCGTCTCGGGCGCGCCCTTGACACTGGCAAACGTGCGGCGGCTGCCGTTGTGCTCAGTGACGAAGCTGACAGTCGACATGCGCTTGAGCGCCGACGAGAATTGGAAGCGGCGGCGCACGTTGACCGAGGCCTTCAGACGCGACTCCTTGATGTCCTGGGGCGCGAGCACGTCGCCCTTGTTGAGCTTCCATGCGAGCGCGTCGAGCGTCGTCTTCTCCATCGGGTCGCCGACGACGCCATCGTCGAGCAGCACAAGCGCGTGCGCAGTGGCGAGCGTGAGCGTCGTCTCGCGGTCCGTGTCCTTGAGCAGCACGAGGTCCGAGGGCTTCTGCGCGCCGACCTGCGCCACGCCCTGCACCTCGAGGTTCTCGCCCGTAATCGTGCCCGTCTTGTCGAAGCAGCACACATCGACGCGGCCGGCGTACGGGATGCGGAACGGCTCGGTGCAGAAGATGGCGTGCTTGGCGAGCGCCATGAGCGACGTGTTGACAGCCATCGAGAGCTCCATCGGCAGCTCCGGCGGCACGACGGACGTGATGATCATGACGCAGTCAAGAAGCAGCTTGCCCTTCGGGCGGCCCATCTCGTTGCCGCGCACCCACACGTACCAGCTCGCGGCGATGGCGAAGATGAGCAGGAAGCCGATGAAGAGGAACGCCTCGAGGTTGTTGGCCGTGACGCGGCCCTCGTTGGTGAAGACCATGAGGCGGATCAGCTGGCCCTGGCTCGTGCCGAAGCCGGTGCGCAAGACGACGGCAGCAGCGCCGCCGTCGGGCGTCTTCAGCTGGCCCTTGACGGGCGCCGCACCCTCGGCGCTGCCGGCAGCCGTGGTCTGCAGCACCTTGGTGCCGCCAAAGACGACGTTGTTGCGGTCCTGGCCGTTGACGTCCAGGCGGTCCTGGTCATCGCGCAGCTCAATGCCCTCCTTCAGTAGCGGCGTCGACTCGCCGGACAGCATCGCCTCGTTGACGATCGTGCTGCCGGACAGCAGCAGCAGGTCACACGGCGTGGCCGAGTCCTCCTTGGAGCGCGTCACCGAGACGACATCGCCCGGCACGAGGTCCGTCGTGCTGACCTCCGTCCAGGCGCCCGCGCGGTGCACCTGGATCTGGAACGGCTTGATGGACATGGTTCGGAACTCGCCGAGCGTGCGCAGGCGCTGCGAGGCGCGTGAGACACAAGCGAGGCACGCCACCGCACGGCACTCACCTGGAACACGACAGTGCACTCAAACACGACGAGCATGAAGAGCGTGAACAGCGAGTAGTACCAGTACTCATCAAGCATCCACAGGCCGACGCAGAAGATCTGGAAGACGAAGAACGGCGCCACGGCGTGCTCGGCGAAGAGCTCCATAAACGTCGGCATCGGAATGTCAAAGTGATTCTTGCCGTACGTGCCCTCAGCGAGCGTCACATCCTGCTGCGACGCCAGGCCGCGCGAGCCCTTGAACGAGCCGAGCAGCGGGCGCGCATCGGCGGGGAACGGCAGGCGGCGGAACGTCGGCACGGAGACGAGCGGCGACGAGTGCACGGCCGTGACGGCGGCCTTGGGGTCGGGCTGCGTGAGGATGTACTTGTCGGCCTGGTAGGTGAAGGAGACCTCCTCGGGCAGGCCCTCGCGCTTCACGCGGTTGATCTTGGCCAGCTCGCCCTCGCCCTTGTGGGCGCGCGGGTAGATGCGCACGATGGACGCATCGGCGATGGTGCGGGCCTGCGCCGCGTCAGCACTCGCTCCTGCCTGTGCGCCACCGCAGCACTCACACTGGTGCAGGTGATGGCGGCGCGGGCGCCGATGCTCCAGCGCGTCACGAGGAAGCTGAGCGCATGCGCCGAGATGAGGCCGACGGTGTAGACAAACGTCCACTCCTCGGAGCGGATCCAGCGGTCATAGGCGACAAAGTAGGCGTACGCCAGCAGCGGGTAGAGCACGGCGAACGGCGTGGCGTAGAGGTGCCAGCGCGTCGCGATGGGCGAGTGCAGCGTGACGCGCTGGATGTCCGGCGACGTCACGGGCGGGCCGGCGACCCTGTGAGGAGCGTGAGTGGGGTGAGGTGGGAGGGCCAGGCGGCAGACGCACATGGTGCTCGGCGTCGCGCAACGGCGCGGAAGCAGGAAGTCCGGAGGCGAGCTCGGCTGGCGGAGCAGGCGAGACTGCAGCGGCGGGCACGGAGGGTGAGAAGCAGGGCCGCACTGAGCGTGACTGTTGACACTGGAGACAGCAGGTGTGGTCGGGAGCAGGCCAGGCCGGTGGGCCCAGAGGCGTAGCCGGTGTCGGCCGCCTCTGGGAGGGCCAGGAAGCCGCTGAGCGCCACGTTGACGGTTACGTAAGCCTCCCTCTCGCACGGGGCACCGCGAAATGCACGTGCGAGCGTGGGAGCAGCGCGAGTGGAGGCCCGGCGCTAACGGCGAAGCGCTGCGCCGGGAAGGTCGCCGCCGCCGAGCTCGCCGGACGGCCGCCCGGGGCTGCGAGCTCGCTCGTCGTGGGCCATGGCGGCCGCAGAAGGAGCGCGAGGGGCGGCCGCGGGAGTAAGCTGACGCCCCTGCCTTTGCGGTGCCTGCTGCGCGCACTCAGACTGCGCGTGCTGCGCGCCATGTGCCGCTCCACTCCTCCGCGCCCGCTCCACACGGCAGCGCATGCAACGGAGGCTCGCGCACGCCGGCGTCCTCTTAAGCCCGCCGTCGGCAGCACGTCTCTTGCCCACCCACCACCATACACACAGCAACCATGTCGTCCTCCTCGTACCCGCAGCGCCCCTTTGGCAAGACCGGCGCAAAAGTCTCAGCGATCGGGTCAGTTCCGCTGCCCCAGCGCCTAGCGCGCCCTCGCTCACCGCTTCACCTGGCCCGCAGCTACGGCGCCATGGGCCTCAGCGCCTTCTACGGCAAGCCCAAGTCGCAGCAGGAGTGCGACGTCGTCTTTGACCGCCTCGTCCAGCTCGGCATCAACTTCTGGGACACGTGCGTGGGCTGCGAGAATACCTGTGTGCGCTGCTCCTGCTCACACCCCGGCGCAGCTCGGACATCTACACGTCCACCAGCAAGCTGGGTGAGAACGAGGAGCGCATCGGCACCTGGTTCGCCAGCAGCGGCAAGCGCGACTCGGTCTTCCTCTGCACTAAGGTGCGCTGTCTGCTGTAGCGACGCATGCCGTGCACCTCACTCATAACCCCCTTCGTAGTGGGCCTTCACGCTCGGCGAGGACGGCTCGCGCGGACAGCGCGGCGACGCCGAGTACGCGCAGCAGGCGTGCGACGCCTCGCTGAAGCGCCTGCAGACGGACCGCATCGACCTCTACTACCACCACCGCCCCATGAAGGGCCAGATCAGCGACTCGGCACGCGGCATGAAGGCCTGCCAGGACGCAGGCAAGATCCGCTTCGTGGGCGTGAGCGAGTACTCGCTCGAGCAGCTCAAGGAGTTCAACGAGATCTGCCATGTGAGTAGGCCAGTATGTCCGTGCTGCCCGTGCTCACACCCCTCTGTCTAGATCGACGCGTACCAGATCGAGATCTCGCCCTGGACGCCGCAGCCGCTCACCAACGGCCTGGTCGAGTGGTGTGTGGCCAACGGCACGGCCATCGTGCCCTACTCGCCGCTCGGCCGCGGCTTCCTCACGGGCAAGTTCTCAAGCCCCAAGGACTTTGAGGAGGGCGACTTCCGCGGGCAGAACGCCCGCTTCGCCGAGGATGGTGAGTTTTGTGCGGGCTTCGGCAAGTGCGGCAGAGGCTGACGCCTCCTTCAGCTTTTGAGCACAACTTGAAGCTGGTCGACTCGATCAAGAGCATCGCCAGCAAGAAGGTGAGCTGTGCTGCCGCGAGGAGGCGTGCACCCAGACTCACGATCCTCCTCAGGGCGCCACTCCCGGCCAAATCTCGCTCGCCTGGCTGCTCGCCAAGGAGCCCACGATCATCCCGATCCCGGGCTCGACCAAGGTGGCCAACATCGAGGAGAACGCCAAGGCAGCTGAGATCAAGTTGAGCGCCGAAGAGGTCGCGAGCATCGACAAGCTCGTGCACGAGTTCAAGGTGAGCCGCACTCGTGTAGCCTTACCTCTCCGACGCTACTTCTAACGCCGCAAAATAGTGCGTAGGAGAACGGTACCCTGAGGCCTTTAAGGGCTCGCTCGCTTTCTAGGTGATGGACGGCTGCATGAGGTAGAATCGCACATCTGTGGTACACCAGCTGCCTGAATCAGGTAGATGAGATTGGCGCATGCACGCAGCGAGAGCCGTGGGTGGGCTAGAAGTACAGTGGTGTTGAGCAAGAGCAGGAGAAGATTACAGGGTCAGGTAGTGGCTGGACGACGCCTCAGCAGAGGAGGTTGCCCGACGTCGCGACGGCCTTGACGTCCTCGTCTGGCCTCGGCGTCGTGCGGTGCTCCTCGCGGGGCGCGGCCTCAGGCTCGAGCAGCAGCGAGTGGCGGCGCATGGGCCGGTGCTGCTCGCTCGCCTCGTCGAGAGAGGGAATGCGAGCGCCGAGGTTCAGGCTGCCGCGGCGCGATGAAGGGCTGCACGGCGCCGGCACGACGAGGTCGACGAACGAGGCGCCGTGCACGAAGGTCGGTCGGGTCGGCGAGATGGGCTTTGGAGCCACCAGGCGCGGCAGAGGGCTCGCTGGACCCTCCATAGCCGGCATGCCGGGCAGCGAGGCGCGGCGGCGGGAGATGGCCGCGAAGTCGGCGCGCAGAGATGGCGGCACCGGGCCGAGCACACGCTGCTGCACCTGCTCGGTTGCCACAGCCTGTGGCTCGCATGCGGCGATGGCGAGGGCCACACGAGGCGGCGCAGCCGGCGACGGCGCAATGCTGCGCAGCTTCGACTTGGGCGGACGCGGAGGCTTGGGCCCGACGACGCGCGCCAGGATGTTGGCCGGCTGCGCCTGCAGCGCCCGACGAGCAGCCGAGCTGCTGTACTCGCGCGGCACGGAGGCTAGCAGACGCAGCTCCTCTGCTGCAGCCGAGGCCTCGGGATCGACCGCGACGTCCTTGTCTGCATCGGCCTCGGCCTCCTCCGCGATCGGGCCACCGAGCTTGGCAAGGCGTGCGCACGCCTCGGTGCTCGAGCCGGCCGCCCAGGAGAGAGGACGAGCGGTGCGGCGGGTGTGCCGCGCCGACGTCGTGAGGCGAGCATCGGCTGCGGCCGCGAGCACGGACGACGGCGTGGCGATGCTTGCACGGCGCTCGCTCCTGCCTCCGAGAGGCGAGGGTAGGCCCATGCCGATGACGCCGCAGACGGTATTGCGCTTGCGGGCGCGAATGGCGGCAGCGCGGTCCGTGGCGTCGGCAAACTCCTCCTCCATCTGCTTGCGCACCGAGAGCACGGGCAGCGAGAGCGGCATCTGCGAGCTAAAGCTCGGCACCTCCTCCTCGGGCAGCGACCAGAGGGTCGCCAGCGGCAGCTCGAGCGGCGACGTGTCGCTGACGCTGCGCTTGAGCTGTGAGGCAACGGCGAGGCGCGAAGGCATTGAGGCAGCGAGACGCGGCTTGGCTGTACGCTCGCCCAGCGGCGGCGTAGGAGCGAGCTCGCGCTCGCGGGCAATGTCCAGCGGGCCTCGTGCCTCCTCGCCCTGCGACGCACGGCGGATGGCGCGGGCAAAGCTGCGACGCGCTTGTGCGTTGACGGCTGCGGCATCGGCAACAGGCTCGAGGCAGGCGTTGCCGCGCTTGGGCGACGGCACAGTGGGCGAGTAGCAGTTCGGCGTCAGGGTGCCGTCGCTGTCCGACTCGCTGTCGTCAAAGACAAGAGGCGCGAGTGATAGCGCCTGCGTGTCAGACGCTGGCGGCACCGGCGCCGAGATCCGCTTGGCGTGGTCCGAGACGATCATCGGGGCCGGCAGCAGGCCGCTCGCGGCAGTCTGACTCGTGCTGGCGACCGGGTTGGAGCTCGCACGACGACGCGCCAGGAGGCTGGATGATGCGGCAGGCTGCGCGGACCAGTGGGTGCGCTCGAGGAAGCGAGCGGCCGGCGGCGACGTGTCGAGCGTCAGGCTGTTGACGCCCATGCGGCGCGTGCGCAAGTTGCTCGGCGAGCTGGCGCGACGCTGTGTCGGCGCTGGCAGAGACGATACGGGGCTCTCGGTCGGCGTCACGATGAGAGCAGTGTGGCGAGCGGCGATAGCCGAGGCCGGCAGGTGGTGCACCTGGATACCGTGCGCCTGGCGTGCCTCGTCGCTGAGGGTGCGTGTGAGCACCTGTCCGGCACCCTGCGGAGCCTCCTTGACGGCAAGCAGTGCGCCCTCGACGAGGTACGCCGGCACGCCGCTGAAGGGCACGCTGTCGTCGGTGAAGACACTGCCGCGGCGCGAGCCGCAGTGCGAGACCGGAGGCAGCGGCGATGTGGATCCGGAAAGGTGGCTGCTGCGCCGCAACGAAGCGTGCGAGGTAAGCAAGAAGGGCGGCTCCGAAGAGGTGCCGCCGGAGCTGCGGCGGACGGGCGCGCTGGAAGAGGTGCGCCGCCGTTGAAGTCCCGAGCCGGAGGGGCTCGGCAGATCCTCGACCAGTCCGGGTGTCGGAGGGAAGGAATCCGTCGGCGAGGTCGACGCAAAGCGGTCGAACATGAGCGTCGTGGCGCCCGTGAGGCTGCGCCGCTCAGCGCGGTTGAAGCTCATCTGCGTCGGGCTGCAGTCACGGCTGTCGCCGCCGCTGCGCGAGGACAAGTTGGAGCTGCCTGCCGAGACGGCGCTCTCGTCGGAGCAGCGGCGCGTCATGTTCCAGCCGGAAGCGAGAGGCAGAAGACTTGTGCCGTCGAGACTCGACCATGGCTCCTTGCCGATGCTGGAGCGCGACAGGCTGCCGTTGCGCGTCAGCAGGCGGAAGCCGGTGCGCGTCGGCGACGAGCTGGGCGAGACGTCGGGGCTGGTGTCGACGCCGGCGATGGCCACGTGTGTGGGCGTCGGCGAGAAGCAGGCGCCAGACTTGCGCAGTGCCGCCTGGTGTGCGGCCAGTGCGCTGCCACGGCGCTCGGGCAGAAGCGTCGGCTCGGAGGTGAAGGCCGACATGTTGAGAGAGGCGCCAGGCCAGCGAGGTGATTAGCGGTAGAAGGTGCGAAGGGAGCGATGGCGAGTGTGGAGACTGAGCAAGATAGGATACAGTGTGAGCGAGCGGCGATGGATGCGAGGCGAGAAGGAGAGATGAAGCAGCTGGTGCGGAGGTGGGCCATCGGTGCAGCATCGCCGCCTTTTGAGCAGCTCGGATCTCTCCGGCACTCACCTATGCGCAGCAGTTTGTCGAGATGCGAGACTTCGATGTACACAGACGACGAGCACAGACGGAAGCGAAGCGGAGGCACGCGGCACCGACCGCGAATGCGGGGAGCAGTGGGTGCGGAGGGAGGACCCGGCGCGGTGGGACGCGTGGGACGGCGGCGGCGGCGCCGAGCACAATGCGGCGTGGCTCTCGGTTCTCGGGGCCGCGCGGGGACGGCTGCGCGAGCGATGCGGCGGGCGCTCAGAGCTCAACGGCCGCAGCGTTTGTATGCGGCGCCTGCGGCCTCTTGCACCCGAGCGGCGGGTGCGGCGGCCGCGGCCCTCGCGCGGTTGCGGCGGCGCCCAACGGTCGGCGACGCAGCGACGCGCCAGGAGACGAGCAGCGCGTGCCAGGCAGGCGCCCGATGGCACGGCACGGCAGCACCTCCGAAGCGGCGCAGCGGGCGGGCCTGCCGTATGCGGCGGCGGCAGCGACGGTGAGCGCCTTGGCTGGCGGCTGAGCCAACCTTGACGGCCGGATAAGCGCAGCGAGCGGTGGCAGGTGCGTGCCGAGAGCGTGGGAGCAGCAGCGATGTCAGCCACGGGGCGACACGAGATAGCCTTGAGAGAGCGAAGAGAGCGTGGCGAGCGCAGAGAGAGCAGCGTGCGCCCGCGGCGGATGCGGAGCGGCGAGTGAGCGAGGAGACGGGAGTGCTTGAGGGGAAGTGAGGGTTGGAGGGAGAGAGGCGACGGCGCCGGCGGTCGGTGCGGCTGCCTCTGGCTCAGGCTGGGCGACGTCTGCGCGGTGGGTGAGTACCCAAGCTCAGGCGAGCTCGTCCAGCGTCCTCGTTCGGACAGCCAGGCGTGTCAACTGCTACATTGGGCGTGTGAGAGGGCGGCCATGGCGCCGTGCCTGCGTCAGTCTCTGCCTCTGGCGCACAGGAACGCGGCGGCCGTCGCCATCGCGCCGGTGTCCGAGGGGCGTGCGAGGGCGTTTTGGCGCGGCGCTTGCGCCTGTCGGGCGGTGTCAGCCGCGCCTTGCCCTCACGCACCGCTTGCCTTGCACCTCGCACTCCATCGCCGTGCTGCGCGCTGCGCTCCTGCGCTGGCACGTACCGCGAGCCAAGCACCATTCAAATTCGTCCACCTTGCCGGCGACATGCTGCTGCAACTGCGCCTTGCCTCGCAAGAGGGCACTCCCTTCTCGAAGGGCAGCAGCTGCGCCCTGCCCTGCCAAGCTGCCAACTCCGCCCGTGCCGCGCGCCCACGCATGGACGCAGGGCCGCATCCCGCCGCGCCGAGCTCCCGCGCGACGTGCTCCCTCACCCCGCGCAGCGCTCGGCCTGCTCGGCACACTCTCATGCGAGCGGTGGATGCTCAGCGTGCCGAGATGCGTGCGCGGTGACTGCGTCGTGCAGCCGTCATACGACAAGGAGGACCGCTCGACGGGGGCCAAGGGCGGTCTGAGCGTGGCATGCACGATGGCGGCGCTGCAGTTGTGCTACCGCTGCGCCTCCCCGCTCGCGGCACCGGCGTTGGCCTCCTACGCAGCTCCGCCTTGCACCACTCCTCGCCTTGCTGCGGCCTCCTATGCAGCGCTGCTGCAAGGCATTCCACAGCCGGCAGCGCAGCGCATCGTGGGCATCCTCAGCTCGCCCGCCGCGGACGGCGAGCTTGCCGCAGCTTGCGCCTCTGGCCGGTCCGATGCGCACGGCGCGACCCGACGTTGCGCCAGCGCGCGCATCGGGACCACGCCTTGCCCTCGGGCGCCGAGCGCGGCGGCGACGGTCTTTCCTTCTTCGCTGCGGTCGCACGCCGGAAATGGGCCACCACAGCAGCGCACGGCTTGTGATAGGATCAGCTTGCCGCAGTAGCACCTCACCTGTGCCTTCTCGGCGCGCCGCGCGGCGCTGCGGCGTCCTCTGGCGGAGCGCGACGCACAGCTGCGCCCGGCAAGGCGGAGTCGTGATGGGCGCCCGCTGCATGCTCTCTTCGCCCTTCCATCTTCCTCACATGCGGCACCCGCACCGCTGCCAGTCTTGAAGGCTTCAGCTTTGCTATCGCCTCTTCGGCTCGCCAAATGCTCCGCGGTGCGGATCCGCTGCCATGCTCGCGACTCTGACTGCCAAGGCGCGTGGCTGGCGGAGCTGCGTGCGGGGCAGGGCGCGTTGCCGGGTCTTGGACGCCGTCGTCCGCACCGTTGCTCAACGCCGAGGAGCTCCTTGAGCGCTCCCGTTTTCCGTCGACAGTCAGGAGACACCGACTGGCATGCCGGCGAGCTACCCAAATGGTCGAGCTCGTCGGGGGTCAGGCGCGCGGTGTCGAGCAGGGATGGCGGCAGTCTGGTACGCGCTCGACGCGTCGCGCCAAAGTCTGAGTCGAGGGATCAGCGCAACGCATCGCAACGGCTCGCACTGCCGCAGCTCAAAGCACCCCATTTTGCGCCATGCCGTTGAAGAGCAGCCGCTCAGCATCGCAGTATCACGTGGGAGCATGCCGGCGAACCGCTGCCCGAGCTTCCAGGAGGCAGGCAGCCGCAGCACATGCGACTTGACGACGCGTCAGGGGATCGCCGTTGCCGGTCGGGAGTGACGAGGGCAGGCTTCTCCTCACCGCCGCTCTCGGCAATCCCGCCTCGGCAATCTAGAATCTTGAGCGGTAGAGAGCAGAAAGACAGGGGCATGGCTTCGTGCCGGCCACGGACCTCAAGTCGCCCGGCTGGACCAAGCTGACGCGCGAGGTGAGTCCGTCTACTGCTGGCCTCGTTGCGCGTCGCTAAGGAGTGCTGCATCACAGCACGGCATCGTCGTGCCCGCCGCGCAGCAGCAGGACGACGCCCTCAAGGCGCGTAAGCGTACCCTTGAAGGCGGGTCGGCATGCCAGGCCTGTAGGTCGTCGAAGTGTCGAATGAAATACAGCGCCAGATGATGGCAGATCTAGTGTACAATGTTCTTGAGTCGGTGACCGTCTCCTTCCCGCCGCTACCAGTCCATGCGTGCCGGGGCACGCTTCTCGGGCGGTGGTGTTGCAACTGGCGGAGCAGCGATGCCAGTCCAGCGCTCAATCGTGCGCCCGATGCCGCGTGGCGCCTCTGTCCCGTTCGTGCCGTCACCCGAGGCCGCGTCCGATGCGCTTGGATGAGACTTGCTGCTCACGCCGAGCGAAGGCACGCCGCGATTGAGCCCCTCCAACAGCACTACCACGCGTCGAGGTCAGCGCAAGGTCGGCCCTGAGAGGGCGTCTGACTTACAGCAGGCCTTGCAGAGCTCGTTCGAGGCCATGTATCCGCAGCGCGTGCATGTCTCTGGGTCAAAGTGTCAGCACACGCCGTTTCTGGGCTGCACAGGACTCACGCTGCACAGCGCGTGTCACGGTGCTGCCGACTCGCAGCGCCTCGCCGGAGCGGATGATGTCGATGGCAGCGCTGGGACGCACGAGCTCAAGCTCGCGAAGGTACATGCGAGCAAAGCCGCGGTATGCCGCCGGCGAGTAGGAGCACTCCGTTGAGAAGTAGTCGAGCTTCTTGAAGTAGGCGTACCTGAGGCGGATGCGTGTGAGCCAGGACACAGAGGCCTTGCACGCGGCTGCGCTCACATCACAATCTCCTTCTCGTAGGCGTACTTGAAGGGCTTGCTGCGGCGAATGCCCGACAGGCCGGCGAAGTCTGAGCCCAAGCCGCCGGCACTGCCACAGCCGCCAGCGTCCTCATCGGCAGGAGCATTTGAGTCTGCGCCCTTCGTCATGATCTCGGTGCACCGCTCGAGACGCGCAATGTCGCCACGCAGCACTGATGTCGCGAGTCAGAGAGGGAGCTGCGCAATCACGAGAGGCACGCACCGTTCATCAGGACCGTCTCTGCCATGTCGTCTGCGTTGTGGCCCGTGACGATATGGTCGATGCCGAGCGCTGCAGCGCCGCGATCCAGCGCCTGTCTTCGGAAGACGCCGCAGAACGTACCTAGACAGCGCAGCAGGCGTCAGAAGCCAGCACGTCGGCGCAACGCCACCGCGCCTCACAGTTGTTCTTGCCGCCGATGGAGCGCACAATGTCGTCCATCGTCCAGCCGTAGAGCTCGTTGTACGAGAGAATTTTGAGCGGCAGGTCGTACTGCTGCTGGTTGCGCTTGACGGTGTCGAGCGAGTCGTCGCGGTAGCCGGCGATGCCCTCGTCGATGCTCAGCAGGTACAGGTCGAGGCCGTACTTGTGCCGCTCGTTGAGCGTCTTCATGATGTGTGCCAGCACCGTGCTGTCCTTGCCGCCGGATGCGCCAATCGCCACACGGTCGCCCGGGGCGAAGAGCTGCGCATCGACGATGGTGCGGTGGATCTCCTCCTCGAAGACGTTGTAGAAGCACTCGCGGCACACGAGGGCGCCTGTCTTTGGCCGGCGCAGCACCGCGCGCGCCGTGACGCACGTCGTGCAGAGCTTCTGCGACATGCGGCTGGGAGACAACAGCTGGGGTGAGGCGATTCTGCGGCGCCCTGCCAGTCGAGTGCTTGAGTCTTGAGGCTGATGTGGGCTGAAGGCAAGGCGCACCGGACCCGCGGGCCTAGAGTGGAGCACGCGCGCGCTTATGTAAGTAAGCGCGCGCCAAAAATGTGCCTCCGCTGCGCCCTGGCTTCCCGCCGGCCCGACCGCGCTCCTCTCCTCGCATCCACTTCCTCCCACTCCCGGTCTGCCACCATGCGTCAATTGAAGCACCACGAGTCCAAGCTGCTCAAGAAGTGCGTCGCGTGCCGAAGTGCCGCGCGTTCGCTCGGCTGACACACAGCGCCCAGGCATGACTTCCTGCAGTGGAAGCAGGATGCGGGCATGCGCGAGGTCAAGGTCATGCGCCGCTACCACATCCAGAACCGCGACGACTATCACAAGTGAGTGCAGCACGAGCGTGGAGCGCGAGTTGAGCGGAACGGCGAGGTGCGAGGGCGCTGCTTTGCTCTCTGCGGCCGTGCCTTCTGAGTGGAGGACAGGACTGCGGGGTCTCGCTCGCGCGACAATGCTGACGCGGCCTGCAGGTACAACGTGCTGGTCGGCCGGGTCCGCCATCTTGCACTGCGCCTCTCCGCCCTTCCTGCTCGCGATCCATTCCGCGGCGCGCGGGAAGAGGCGCTGCTGGCGAAGCTGTACGACATGGGCCTGCTGGACACGGGCGCCAAGATGAGCGACGTGCTCGAGAAGCTCACCGTCTCGAGCTTTGCGCGGCGGCGCCTGCCTGTCGTCATGGTGCGGCTGAAGATGAGCGAGAGCGTCAAGCAGGTGAGTGACGGTGTCGAGTGTCAGATCTGCGCACAAGCGGCAAGGAATGGCTGCACCCGCAGTGGCGTGCAGCTTGGCGGAAGAAGGATGTGACGAGCTGGGGCGACTAGGTCTGGCAAAGACTCATGTTGTGTTGCTCCGCCGGGCGGTCAGACAGCGGCTCTTGAGCGGCGATGCGCGCATCGCTTCGCCGTGCCCCAGGCTGACACCTCGTCTGCAGGCCGTGACGCACATTGAGAAGGGCGAGGTGCGCGTGGGCGCCGACCAGATCACAGATCCCGCCTTCTCCGTCACGCGCAACATGGAGGACTTGTGAGTGGACACACTAGCGCTGAGGCGAGCGTCCGGAGCTGACAGGTGCTTCGCTTTGCCGCTCTTTGCTCCGCAGCGTCTCTTGGGTTGACCAGAGCAGCGTCAAGCGCACCATCGCGCAGTACTCCGGCCAGCGCGACGACTTCGCTTTGCTCTGATACCCGCTCACCGTCACTCATTGTACCACTATCTGCTCGTCATTGCATCAATTTTTCCAGCGCCTTCGTCTTGCAGGACCGTGAGTGCGCACGAAGACCGGTCTGAGCTCACGCGAGTGAGCTGGCGAGGGCCGACTGCAGCGAGCTCCAGGCGATGCTCTTATCTTCCTCTGCGCTGGCCCTTGGCTACGCCTGCGCGCCCTGCTCGCAGCTTGATGCTCATCCAGCATCCACGACGTGGCAACAAGATCCACGACGCGGATCGAGTCGAGCAAGCCGTGCGCACTTCCGTCGTCGGACAGCACGCGCGAGGCCTCATCTCAGACCGCCTCGCACAGCGCGCCGCCGCGTCGCGCCACGTCGCAGAGGACCGCCTCCTGAGCGCGACTTGCGTCCATTGCGCCGCCCCGACGATGTGGAGAGCTGCAGCAGGAGCGGCCCAGTCACTGAAGCGCTCAGAAAGCAGTCCCGGACCGGCGTGCAGCCTCGGGCCCGGCATCTCGATCTGCGGCGCGCGTAGAACTAGAGTCAGGCGAGCTGCTCAGGGGCAAGCCGAGATGATGACACCAGCTTGGCGCCGCCGCGACGAGCCCCACAGCCGCTCCGCCGCGAAGTGCTCCTCATCAGCGGTTGACAGCGTTCGCGTCGTGGCACGTCGTGGCACGTCGCGGCACGTCGTGGCTCTCGAGGCTCCTGGCCCGTCGCGGCCCGTCGTGGCACGTCGTGATCCGTGCGGCCACGCTGAGGGACGGCATGTGTCGGCCCAAAACCAGGGCCTCGCTCCGCACTCATCCTTGATCAGACACCACCACTCGCTCCAGTCTTGTCGCTTTTGCCCTTGCCTTCAGCTTTACGCCTCTTCCCCGTCTGTCAGCCGCGCACACTCGGACATGTGTCACGACTCCGACTCCTCGGAGGGCTTCGAGGTCGAGGCCATCTATGGCTACTCGCGCACGCGCAAGGAGGTCGCCGTGAAGTGGAAAGGGTGCGTCTGCGGCAAGCTCGGAGCGCGCGGCACCTTCTGTCCTCCGTCGACCTCTCGGCTGATGCTTCGCGTCTAGCTATGGCCTCAAGAAGGACGAGTGGCAGCCGCTGCCGCACGTCGAGATGGGCTGCGGCGAGCTGCTGCTCCGCTTCAAGAAGCTCGCGGGCATCGAGCCGGACGTCGAGCTCGAGGACACCGAGTCCATCGCGCCCGATCACCGCGGCTGGCAGAAGTACCGCCTCTCTGACGACGAGGATGAGGACGAGCCTGACGACGAGCCTCGGCGTGGCGAGGAAGATGACGACTCGGCCGATGCGTACGAGGCAGAGGCCTCGGACGACTCCGACCCCGAGTCGGCGCAAGTGGGACGCAAGCGCAAGCGCAAGGCGCCGCCGTCGCCCACCAAGCGGAAGCCTGGCCCGAAAATACACCGCGTCAAGGATCCCGTGTCGCTGCAAGAGGACCGCCGAGCGCGCGCAGCGAGGGCCACCAAGTCGAAGCCTGTGAACGACTACACGATCGGCATCCCCAAGCCGCCGAAGGAGACTCGCGGAGTGCGTGGACGCCGAACTTGCCTCGTTGAACATCTGACTGACCGTGCCACGCAGCGCGACGACCCTCTCGGCCCTCATGACGACGCTTACATTCTCGGGACGATTTTCAACTGGTTCTGCTCTATCGGTCCCGTCGGCGACCTCAACCGCTTCGCTTACCTTCAGAAGATCGCCGGGCTCCCTGGCCCGACCGAGAAGCGCAAGGCCGGCGAGCTCGTTCGCACCGGCATCCAGGCGACGATGCACCGTCTGGTCGACCACGCGCTGCAACGCGGCAGCCTCAAGCCGCCGACGGGAGTGAAGCGCGTCACGAATCAGCAGACCGCCGACATGATCGCTGGCGAGTCTTGCCTGCGCTCTCAGCCGCACGCTGCAGCGCTGATGAGTCAATGCAGCGATCTACGAGCTCTGGCAGGGCAGGGTCCCTGGCTGCTCTCACTCGCCAGAGTGGATCTCGATGGCCAACGCGCGCAACCTGTCTCTCGACCGCAGCAAGGAAGGAGCCAAGGTGGGCAACGAGCGCCTGCGTCAGCGCGCCACGCATCTCTTCAGCAAGATCAAGACCGAACTGCGCAAGTGTGGCTGAGCGCAGTCACAACGTGTGCGGTGGTCGCGGGCCCCACGTCTCAGCGATGAAATGCGATGTGATTCGACGTGCGCTGCAGTGGGAGACGCAGATGGGGTATCGCTAGAGGTCGTGGTGCGGTGGCGGCTTGGCGTCGGCGAGCGGCGAGACGCTCAGGGTCCGAGCCTCGTAGTCGTGCTCAAGGTACTTGCCGCGCATCCAGTTTTGCCTGGCAGAAGGAGGGCATGGTGAGTAGAGCCGCGGACAGAGAAGGTAGCGACGTACCCGACGAGCCACACCTTGCCCCGTGGCGTCTCGACGCTGGCATCGCCGAAGATCTGGTGGAACAGGCGAGGTCAGCGCGCTGCGTTGAGATTGGGAAGCCATGCATGCGGACGCACGGAAGACAGGCACTGCTGCGTCTCTTGCCTCGGCTGCTGCTGGATCCAGTCAACGGCCTTCTGCAGCATGTCGCCAGTGAAGCTGCTCTGCGCATCGTAGATCCGCGGGCCAGCCGAGAATCTCAGCGGCAGAGTGGGCGGTCCGGCATCGTCGGAGCGCTTGCCGGTCTGCGTGGGGCAGCCCGACTGTGGCGAGTAGTACGCGACGGTGCATGCGTCGTACTCGAAGAGCTGGCCCTTGATGCTGAAGCCGAGCTTTGGCGGGTTCGCGCAGTCGTAGAAGCCCTGCACGCGGCCTTGTTCGGGCAGCTCCTGGATGCGCATGCCGGCCTCCTGGAAGAAGTAGCCTAGGTGAACAGCGTGTGAGCTCCTGCGGCGACGGCGATGGCGACCACGACTCACGGGCTTCCTCGCGCGTCGTCAGCGTCACGGACGTGCCGCTGTCGGGGTAGAAGACGCGCACCGTCGTCGAGTTCATCGGCCGGCCGTTGATGGTCGTCTTGACGAGCGAGGCGGCGTTCTGCACGACCCAGCCTGGCGTCGTCGAGCGTCAGCTTCGAGCGACTGGCAGCTGCTCGCTGCACACACCTTCAGACGGCTCGAGGAAGCCTGCATCAGCGTCGCTGCTCCCGCCGCCGAGGGTGACGGGCGTGCCCTGACCGAGACCGGTGCTGCCAGGCGCATGGCCGACGGCGAGCGTGCCGCTGTTGTCAGGCTTGAAAGCAAGTCCGAACGTACACGCCTCGAGCTCGCCGAGGCCGCAGAGCGTGTCAAAATAGCCAAACGGCTGCGTCGTGATGTTCTCGCTCGGGATGAAGCCGATGATGCCTTGGCCCGGGTACTGCGCCGATGAGGTGTCCAGCACACCGAGGGGCTGCTTTGCCGTCTTGAGGTGGTCGATGCAGACTGAGTCCTTGTAGACGTTGCCCGTGAAGTTCTGCACGCCGCCGCCGTCGGCCGTGGTCGAGATGTAGCCTGCAAAGGCTGATCAGCTCAGAGCGCGGGCGGCAACACGGCGACACGCACTATTGACGAAGGTCTCATTGAGGTTGAGGCCGAAGCGCGTAGGCCGGTACACGCCGGCGTTGAGGACCGTGTCGCCGCTGCCGCTGTCGACGAGGATCTGTGTGCGAGAAGGTCAGGCACAGCCCGTCCACCCCAGCCCGATGCCACACACCTTCGCATGATGCTCGCCTGCCTTGGCGTCGACGAACCAGTAGCTGCCGTTGCTGCTGACCGACGTCATCATCTTGCGCACTGACGAGGCAGAGCTGGCCGGTGCTGGTGGGCCGTCGCGCGTGTCTGTCGTCGTAGGCGCGGGCAGACCGTCGGGTGGGCCTGGCAGGTTCTTCGGCGGTGGCTTTTGCTCGGGCGGATGGCGGCGGTCGAGCGGTGCGCCTGCGCATGCCGTCGACACCGCTGCGAGCAGCGCGAAGAAGGAGAGAAGTGAAAGCTGCATGAGTATGTGCGCCGTGGAGGCAGTGAGAAGCTTGTGATGGTGAAAAGGAAGCGAAGAAGGGTGCTCGTCGAAGAGAGCGAAGTCGCACGACGGCGGCAGAGACGAAACAGGAGGCGCAGGTGTGAGACGATGGCACTGCTCTCGCACGCACGCGAGATGGCCGGCAGCGGCGCTCTGATGGCTCTTCACCTGGGTGCTGCGGCGGTGAGATGGCTATTTGTGTTGAGCTACGGGGTGTCGAGGCAGAAGTGCCCATCTGCTGCGCACTTCCACCTTCCAAAGGCCTGGGTCTGCCCCTAGCACGCCGATTTGCGCATCGTTTGCGAGCCCAGGCCGCTTTTAGCACTCAATAGGCGGCTCTTGTCGCCACCGCGCGCGCGCGTGCCCTCTGCGGTGACTTTAGCTCCTCGCTCTCCGCCTTTTCTCACACCTCCCTCAGCACCGTCAGACGCGAGGTCGAGACCAGCAAAGCTGCGCCGCGTGGGTCTGGGCCCTGATATAGCAGGCGCGTACCAGTCGTATGGGGAAGGGACTTGATCCTGCACATGCCGCTGCTGAAAGCTGGTCAGGAGGTGGAGCGTGCAAGAATAGCATCGCAGAAGGCCTGCTCAAGGCGCTTCATTTTGACGGCATGACGTCCATCGGGCGTTGGTGCCCAGAAGGCCCAAGCCGGTGCCGGACAGCACGTTTGCTTGTGGCGGCGCTGGACCACGACGCGAGGCCGTCTCATCTCGGACCCTTGCTCCTCACTCTCCGCACGGCTGGGCCGAAATCAAGGCGCGTACGTCCGTCGCTCGGGCGTGTCATTCGGCGGGAGGTTGAGTCCGATGGCGAGGTGGGAGTGCGAGCGAGGGGCGGGCACGCGCGCGGCGGCCCACGGGTGGGCCGTGAGCCGCCGTCACGTGCGGCGTGGGAGCAGGTCTCTGTGCTTCTCGCACTGCAGCGGGCCGCGCTCAGACCGCGCGGCGCGTTCACGGCGGAGCTTCGCGCGCCCGCAAGCCGCCTCTCCACCATCCCCGGCCCAGCCTCTCAGCATGTCTGCGCCCATCTTCGCACAGGAGGTGCGTGCAGGAGATGCGCAGCGACGTGCGCTGCTCTGCGCTGTGGCGCTCCCTCGCTGACCGCCATCACACCCGCCCAGGCCACGCAAGAGCGCGCTGAGAATGCGCGTCTCTCGAGCTTCGTCGGCGCCCTCGCGCTCGGCGACCTCGTCGCCTCGACGCTCGGCCCCAAGGTGCGCCGCCGTGCTACACTGCCACACCACCTCTGCTCACACCCGCACAGGGCATGCACAAGATCCTGCAGTCCGTCGGCTCCAACTCGCTCGAGATCACAAACGACGGCGCCACGATTCTCAAGAGCATCCACCTCGACAACCCCGCCGCCAAGATCCTCGTCAACATCAGCAAGGTGCAGGACGACGAGGTCGGCGACGGCACCACGAGCGTCTGCGTGCTCGCTGCCGAGCTGCTGCGCGAGGCCGAGAAGCTCATCGAGAAGCGCATCCACCCGCAGACCGTCGTCGAGGGCTACCGCATCGCCAGCGCCGCGGCGCTGCGGGCGCTCGACCGCGATGCGCGTGACAACGGGTGAGTGGCGATGGCTGGGATGTGCGGAGCGAGAAGCGCGGAAAAAGGAAAGCATGAGGCAGAAAGGAATCGACGAAGCTGTTGGTGTCGGGCACAGGCGTCTAGCGCAGAGGCAGCGAGGGGCGACGCGACGGGAGACGAGCTGCTGCAAGCGTGGCGTCGGTCTGGGGGCTGGCATTATGGTGCTGCGATGCCTGCGACGCCTGCGCAGCCGTGGCCGCAGCTGCAGGTGCTGTCCGGCCATGACACGGGACAGGGAAGTAGCGCGATGGCAGAGGCTAGCGACTGACGGCACTTCTGCAGTGCCGATCCCGCAGCGTTCCGCCGCGACCTGGTCAACATCGCGCGCACGACGCTGTCGTCGAAGGTGCTGTCGGCCGACAAGGACTACTTTGCGAACCTCGCCGTGGACGCCGTGCAGCGCCTGAAGGGCAGCACGAACCTGGAGAACATCCAGATCATCAAGAAGGTCGGCGGCAAGCTGACCGACAGCTACCTGGACGAGGGCTTCATCCTCGACAAGCGCATCGGCACCAACTGCCCGAAGCGCATCGAGGGTGCGCGCATCCTCATCGCCAACACGTCGATGGACACGGACAAGATCAAGGTGTTCGGTGCGCGCGTGCGGGTCGAGGGCACGGGCAAGCTGGCCGAGCTGGAGCGTGCCGAGCGCGAGAAGATGAAGGCCAAGGTGGAGCGCATCAAGGCGCACGGCATCAACTGCTTCATCAACCGGCAGCTCATCTACAACTACCCCGAGAGCATCCTCGCCGACGCAGGCATCATGAGCATCGAGCACGCCGACTTCGAGGGCGTCGAGCGCCTTGCCCTCGTCACTGGCGGCGAGATCGCCTCGACGTTCGACCGGCCCGACCTGGTCAAGATCGGTGCCTGTGACACGATCGAGGAGATTATCATCGGCGAGGACCGGGTGCGTAACGATGTGACAGCAGCGTGCTCGCGAGTCGCTGATCCCGCGCCGCTCGCAGTTGATCAAGTTCTCGGGCGTGGCCGCCGGCGAGGCCTGCACGGTGGTGCTGCGCGGCGCGACGTCGCAGATGGTGGACGAGGCCGAGCGCTCGCTGCACGATGCGCTCAGTGTGCTCAGCCAAACAGTCAAGGAGACGCGCGTGACGCTCGGCGGCGGCTGTGCGGAGATGAGCATGAGCAAGGAGGTGGACGAGGAGGCACGCCAGACGGCGGGCAAGAAGGCGCTGGCGACGGAGGCGTTTGCACGTGCGCTGCGGCAAGTGAGTGGCGCTCGTGGCTGGCGGGCACAAGTCCGAGCTGACATGCTCTTCTGCAGCTGCCGACAATCCTGGCCAATAACGCCGGTCTCGACTCGGCCGACCTCGTCTCACGGCTGCGCGCCGCGCACCAGGCGGGCGACCGCGACGCCGGCCTGGACCTCGACGAGGGCAAGATCAAGTCCATGCTGGACCTCGGCATCACGGAGAGCTACAAGCTCAAGCGGGCCGTCGTCAACTCGGCCAGCGAGGCGGCCGAGCTGATCCTGCGCGTCGACGACGTGCTGCGTTGTGCACCGCGGCGTCGCGAGGGCCACTAGAGAGGGAGGGACGGGTAGGGCAGTCGGCCTAGAGCACACAAAAGGGACAGACGTGACGCTAATGCCACTTGTCACGCACTGAGGTGGTCGTGAAGATCGATTATCGTCTCAAGTATACAAGAGGAGGGCAGAACAGACAGCATGCGGGTGAGCGGAAGACGGAGCATACGACGAGCCCGACTCTACAGCTTGCTGCCGTCGCCCTTGATCGGGCCCTCGTAGGCGGCCTTGTTGGCGGCGCGCAGCAGCGGCTCGATCTCGGCGCGCCAGCTGGCGCTGACGAACTTGCCCGTCTGTGCCGAGCCGTACTGGTAGTGGCCCGCCTTGTCCGGGTTGCCGTCCTTGGGCTGCGGGTGGTTGAGCGGGTTGCTCTCGGCGTCGGCCATCAGTGCCTCGTACACGCGCCCGTCGTGCCGGCCGAGCGCCGAGCTGAGCTCCCAGTCCGTCCAGCCAAAGGCGTCGGTGAGGCCGATGACCTGCGGCAGGATCTCCTCGACGAGGCCGCGGATCGCCGTCTCGAGGTGCAGCACGGCGTCGGCGGAGAGGATCGAGCTGCCGGCGGCGTAGCCGGCGAGGCTGCGGCCGCTGGCGGCGGGCAGTGCGAGCGGCGTAATGTCGCGCGCAACGCAGACGAGGGCGTGCAGCGTGACGAGCTTGTTGAGCCAATTCGTGCCCTGCTCGCCGAAGCGGCCGGCGTCGTCAGAGACGCCCTCGGAGAACCAGGCGTTGACGACGACCTCGGCGTGGGAGCGCGCCACCTCGACGCAGTCCCAGCTGAGGTCGACGAAGCGGCGCCCCGAGCGCACCTCGGCGCGCAGGTCCGAGACGCGCTGAGCCGTGCGCAGGCCGAGCGCTGCCGTGTACACGTCGGGCTGCAGCCACTCGGCGGCCGACGTGGGCGCCTTGAACGGCACGCTGTTGGGCGTGTCGATGGCGCGCAGAAACGCCGTCGTGTTCGTCACGGCAGCCTGGGGGTCCTTCTCGAGCGCGGTGAGCGTCTTGAGCATGGCACGGCCGACCTGCTGCATCAGCACATAGTTGTCGCCCTCGTACGTCACCGCCGGCGCGTTGTCGGGGAAGAGCGAGGTGAAGCCGGCGTAGGCACTGAAGCCGTGGCCGCCGAGCGCCTGGCGGCACTCCTCGATGCCGTCGAGCGCCTGCTTGGTGCAGTAGGCCTTCAGACTCGAGCTCGCCACGTGCACGTCGGCGAGCAGCGTCGTGTCGCCGCTGTCGAGCTGCTGCGCCATGTCCTCGTACAGCGTGCGCATGCGGCGGCCGGCAATGATGTAGGCGTACGACTTGGCGAGCAGCGGCACGAGGCGACGGTTGAGCGACGGGTACGACAGCACGCTGCGCTCAATCTCGGCGGGGTCCTTGGCGTCGGGGTCGCGGAACTGGCGGCGCACGAGCGAGTAGCGCATGGCAATCGTGTTGCCGCGGCTCAGCATCCAGCCGGTGCGGTCGATCATCTGGGAGCGAATGAAGATCATGCCGCCGTAGCTGAGCTTGTCGCTCGGCGGGCGCACGTACTCGCCGCCCTTAAGCACCTGCGCGTGCTTGGCGAGCATGTTGAAGCGCGGCAGCTTGACGTGGTCGAAGCGCACCCAGCCGTTGTCGAGGCCGGCAAAGGCGTCGTACGTCTTGGGGCCGATGTCGCCGGCGACGATGCCGTCGAAGAGCTTGCCGTCCTTGAGCGAGCGGAGCGGCGTGAAGAAGAGGTGCGGGCCGTAGCGCTTGCCGGCGATGATGAGCTGTGCCTGCACGATGCCGTGCGTGGCCGTCGTGCCCGAGCCGCCGGCCCACCACTTTGTGCTGCTGAGCGTGGGGCTGTGCAGGTCGAACGTGTCCGTCTCGGGCTCGTAGATGGCCGTCGTCTCGAGCGCCTGCACGTTGGTGCCGTGGCCGAGCTCCGTCTGCAAGTAGCAGCCGAGGATGTTGTGGTTCATGGCGCGGTTGCCCCTGGGACGCGATGTGAGCTGCAGTGCTGAACAGCGCGAGTTGTGTGACTCACCAGCGCTCCACCTGCTCGTCGTTGCCCTGGCCCATGATGACGGGCACAAAGGCGACCCAGTGGATCGTGATCGGCTGCGGCGGGCGTCAGCGCTGCCGCAGACGTGCGCCGGCGCTCTCACTCACGTTCTGCAGATCGAGGCAGGTGGCGGCGTCGACAATCTCGTGCGTCGTCCACTCGTCGCGCGCGGCAATCTCCAACAGGCGGCGGCAGGCCTTGTGCGACATGGCCATCTTCTGCTCGCGGTTCATGTGCGCCCTGTGCGGAGGTGTGAGCCGCTGCAGTGGCCGTCGCCGCACGCTCGCTACACGCACATGCGCTTCTTCCAGTCGCCAAACACCTCGTCCTTGTCGAGCGTGGCGACGACCTTGTGGCGCGCCTCGTTGTCGATGCGCCCGTCGCGCAGGCACTCCTCGATGGCGCGCGGGTCGAAGGCGGTGCGAGCGCGCGCCGCCTCGATGTCGGCGCTCGTCTGTGCGGCGGTGGCGCCCATGGGGATGGGCAGCGTGACGCGCGGCACGCGGCCGCCCGTCTTCGCGGCGCCGAGCGGCGCAAACGTCGTGCTCGCCGGCGACGGCGCGGCGGGCGCGGAGGAGGAGGAGGCGGCGGCAGACATGGCGATGGTGGATGGGCGAGGCCAGGGTGCAGCGGCGGCGGGGCGCGCTTATGTATGGCCAGCGCGCGCGCCGGTGTGAGAGCTGGAGGAGCTCGAGGAGCGCGTGCGTCGCCGGCGCTGCGCCAGCCGGTGGAGCGGCCCCAGGGGCGCCGCCGACGCGAGGCGAAGCGAAGCGAGCGGCAGCACGGCACAGCGGCAGCGCACCCAACACGCCTGAGCTTCTCCGCAGACCTGCACGCTGATCTGATGAGCTCGGCGTGCATCTCATGCGTGGCTCGCATGCATGCAGCGCGCAGCCGTTCAGGGCCCAGCGCAGCGGCCGGCGCGCGCGCCACCACGCGAGTGCGGGGAAGCGAGGGCAAGCGAGGCCAAGCGAGGGCGCAGCGCCACCGGCTCCGGCGCGCGTGCCGGCCGGCCGGGGTGCGTGGGACCGGCGTTCACGTGATCGAAAGTTCCCACGCACGGCTCATCATGTGTCAGCGGCTGCCCGCTCCGCTCCGCCTCTCGCCGGCCTCCACCGCCGCGTCCCGCCGTCGCATCTCACCACATCGCACTCGCTGTGCTCGCACATGCCCGCCTCGCTCCTCAGCCGTGCCGCCGCAGCCTCCTCTCTCTCTGCTGCCGCCGCCGCTCGCCCGGCCGCCTCGCGCATCGCCGCCGTCGCCTCGCACCTCCGCATGTCGTCGTCGTCCGCCGCGCCGCCGGCGCCGGGCTCGCCGCCGCCCAAGATGCCCTCCTTCGACCTCTCGCCCGTGCCCAAGAACCCGCTCGGCGAGGGCAACTACGTCACCAGCGCTGGGTGAGCAGCGCGGCTGCGTGCACTGTTGAGGCGCGGGGCAGAGGTGCAGCCCGGGGAGCACGGCGCCGAGTCTGCCTCGGAGCGCCAGACAGCGCCGAGAGCGCTCGAAGAGAGGGTGCGCGCTGGGAGTCGAGGCAAGCAGAGCAAGAGAAGGGCCCGCAGAGCGAGACCTGAGTGGCGTCGGCGGCAGCTTGCTGAGACGTGACCATGCAGCTGCATTATCATCGGCGACGAAGTGCTCAACGGGTGAGTGCAGGTGCTGCTTGCTGCCCTGCTGGTCGCTGAGAAGCTCCGCAGAAAGACCAAAGACACGAATTCAAACTACTTCGCGAAGGTGCGCCGCTCGCCTGTCTGTGTCCTCGTCGGACTGCAGCTCGTTCTCGCCGGACGCGGCGCGAGTGCAGAGAGGAGTCGCGGAGGCTCCAGTGCTGATGTGCCGCTCCTTCTGCTCGTCAGTGGTGCTTCAACCTGGGCATTGAGCTCAAGCGTGCGTGCTCGTGCTTCCGCTGCTGCTCTTCTCCAAAAGCTGACATGCGATCACAGGCGTGGAGGTCATCGCTGACGACGAAGATGAGATGTGCGTCGCATGTGTTGTTGCGCATCGGCCGCTGCTGACGCCCAGCGCGCAGCGTCGAGGCCGTGCGAAGAATGGCGTCGAAGTACGAGCTGGTCATGACGAGCGGCGGCATCGGCCCCACGCCCGACGACGTGAGTTGCGCGTCTGGCAGCGCCGCTGCTGTCCACTGACGCTCGTCGCGCGCCGCAGATCACATGTACGCACATACAGGCGCCACGAGAGGGAATGTCACTCACTTCTGTACGCAGACCAATCCATCGCCAAGGCGTTTGGCAACGGCGACCTCGAGTACCACGACGAGACGCTGCGGCGCATGCAGGAGAACCTCAAGGCGCGGCGCCGCGACGCGACGGAGCAGACTGAGGACGTGCGTTCCGTTCTACGCACCTGCCATCGCCTCTTGCTCACTCTCTGCTGCGCAGATGCTCACGGCGCGCAAGCGCATGGCGCTCTTCCCCGCCACGCACGCCGAGGTCATCTTTCCCACAAAGGAGCTCTGGGTGCCCGTCGTGCGCATGAACGGCCGCGTCATCATCCTGCCGGGCGTGCCGCGGCTGTGCGAGGTGAGGCGGATGCGCAGCAGCACCTGCGGCAGAGCTGACGTCCTTCGCAGGCGCTCATCGATGGCATGGAGAAATACACGCCAATCGACCCGGTGCGGGCCCCTCTTCGCGTGGCCTACGTGCACAACGCTGATTGACAAATGCACAGAACCGCCCGCGGCCGTACCGCCTGCTCGTGCACACCAAGTGGCCCGAGAGCAACATTAGCCCGGTGAGGCCCTGCTCCGGCGACCAGCACCGCGTGCGCTTCGCTGATTTCTCTTCCACAGTTCCTGGTCAAGCTGACGGAGCGCTGCAAGGCCGAGGGCATCAAGGTCGGCTCGTACCCCAAGGTGCGGCGCGTTCTGGGCCACGCATGTCACCCCTGCTGACGTGCACCGCCCGCGCAGTGGAACAACGGCGTCGATGTCTCGCTCATCGGCAACGACCTCGAGCGCCTGCAGGAGCTGGGCCGCGAGGTCGAGAAGGAGGTCGAGGGCACCATCACCAGCCAGGGCAAGATTGGCGAGGAGAGCGGCAAGGACTGAGCTGAGCGGCAAGGACGCGCTGAGCGGCACGGACTGCGCTGAAGACAGCCTCACTCGCACGCTCGCACTGGGGATGGATGGAGCAAGGCGAGCATGACATTTCTATTCCCACCTGCTCGCCCCGCCGCACCTGGGCGAGACTGAACGAGAGAGGGGCGCCAAACACGGAGCGTGCCGGAGGAGCGGCAGAGGGGGCGGCGGGTGTGCCGCTTTACTTCTTGAGCAGAGCCTCGAGAGCGTTCATGCTCATCGACTTGGGCCGCTCGATGGGCAGGCCGAGGGCGCTGGGAGAGAAAGCAGACAAGTCAGCCGTGCAGCTCGACGCAGCGCGCGCGTCGGCACCACTCACCGGTCCATGACGAGCTGGGGCAGGGCACCGATGGCGCGCGAGATGCCGAAGATGACGGTGTAGTACTTGAACTCCGACATGCCGTACTCGTACAGCACGCAGCCCGAGGCGGCGTCGACGTTCTGCGCGCGCAGAGGGTCAGTGAGGCGCTCCGCATTGCGCGCGCGCACGCGAAGTACGCACAGGGAAGGGGTTGGCAGTCTTGCCGTGCTCCTTGAGCACGATGGGCGCGATGTTGGACACCTGCTGGACGAGCTGTGGGCGCAAAATCACGTCAGCACACCGCACATGCGCGCAACTGCGCCGGCACGCACCTGCACGAGCGCGCTCTCCTTGAGCTCCGGGCGCGTGTCGCAGAAGCGGCTCAGCGCCGAGAAGCGCGGGTCGGGGCGGCGCAGCACGGCGTGGCCGTAGCCGGGCACGACGCGGCCCGACTTGAGCGTCGACCACAGGTACTCCTTGACCTGGTCGTCGGTCGGGTTCTTGCCGACCTTGTCCTGCATGCCGAGCGCCCAGCCGAGCACCTCCTGGTTGGCGAGGCTGCGAGAGGGAGTGAGTGGCAGTGCAGATGCGCGCGCGCGCACGCGCGGAATGCTCACCCGTGCAGCGGGCCAGCAAGACCCAGGAGCGCAGCCGAGTAGGACAGGTACGGGTCGGACAGGGCGCTGCCGACAAGGTCTGAGGGGCAAGAAGTCAGCGATGCGCGCTGCCTGGCCTGCCTGCGCGCGGCACTCACGCGCCGTGTGGGCCGAGACGTTGCCGCCCTCGTGGTCGCCGTGGATGGCAATGTAGAGACGCAGGTAGTCGGTGAGGCCCTCGTTGCCGCCGTAGCCGATCATCTCGGCGTAGTTGCCGATCAGGTCCTTGCTCTGGTCGATGGCCTGCGAGCCGTCGCCGCGGCCGAAGACGTTGTAGTAGATGCGCGCGGCAATGGCGGGCAGCTTGGCAATGAGGTCAATCGAGTCCTCGAGCGTCGGCTTCCAGTACTCGGCCTTCTTGATGCCCTTGGTGTAGGCGGCGGCGAAGGCGCTGTCGTGGTTGAGGGCGCCGACGGCGCTGGCGAACTGCGTCATGGGGTCTGCGAGAGGGTGAGCCGCGGCGGCGCATGCAGTGCCCACAGCGCCACTCACGCAGCGACTTGGGGAAGCTGTCGATGATCTTCTCGAGGTAGGCGGGCAGCTTGCCCTTGGAGGCGAGCTCGGCGGAGAGCTGCTTGGCCTCCTCGGCGCTGGGCACGTTGCCGGTGAGGAGCAGCCAGAGCATGGACTCGGGGACTGTGTGGAGAGTGTTCAGCACTGCAACACAGAGCTCTTCCCACGCCACTCACGCATCTCCTTGCCCGGCTGGCCGACGTCCTTGGCGGTGGGCAGCACCTTCTCGCAGTCGGGAATCGTCTTGCCGTGGAAGGTGATGCCCGTCTCGGCGTCGAGCACGCTGCCCTCCCACAGCATGACCTTGAGGCCGCGCATGCCGCCGAGCAGGTTGCTCACCTTGACCTCGCCGAGGCTGCGGTCGGCGAAGTCGGCCTTGAGCTTCTTGAGCTGCTCCTGCTTCTGCGGGATGACCTCGGCGACGGCCTCGGTGAGCGTCTTTGTGCTGGCGAAGCGCAGGCCGGCGGCGGCGAACTGGCGCTGCGGCGCGGCGGCGCGCAGGGCGACGCGCGGGATGGTGAGGGAGAGCATGGCGGGGTGGGTATGTGGACGGTGGTGGTGGAGGAGAGCGAACAGGCGTGCGGTGCGCGCGGTGCTGGCAGCTGGCGTGTGCTTCGCCGGAGCGGCGCCCGGCGATGCGCTCGCTCTCTCGGCGTGCGCATCGCCGGCGCAGCGCCGGGCAGCGGCAGGCGCAGAGCGAGCGCGAGCCTCGGCAGCGCCAACTTCTTCGCGGCGCCGCGGCCTCGGCCGCCGTGCGCGTGCCTGCGTCTGCCTGCGCCCGCTCGCACCCGCGCGCGATGCTCGGCGCTGCACGCCGTCTGCCTGCACCTGCGCCTGCGCCGCTGCCGTCGCTGCCGGCCTGCGAGCGTGTGAGTGCGCCGCCTGCCGGGTGGAGCAGTCGGTCCCCGCTGTCGATCTCACCTTCGCATCAACGCTCGCACGCAGACTCCGGCCCGTGCGACGTGCAGCAGCAGCACACACAGCGTATCGCACGCCGGAGCTGGATGCATCGGGCCTGTCACGCTGCCTGCTTGCTGGGCGACAAGCTTCGACGACGACGGCGGCACGGCTCGAGCGTCGGCCGGCGCTGTCGATGCGCGACGGCGGCGCGCGGCGGGTGGAGCGGGCGCCGGGCGCGCTCGGGAGGCGCCGCTGCCGGCCGGCGCCGTGTGCTGCCCGACGCCCGCCTCGCCCGCCGCGCCCGCCGCCGCCTCGCCGCCGCCTCGCCGCCGCCTCACAGGCGTCTTCAAGAGACCTGAACCGCAGCAGGCGAGGCCAGTCAAGCCAGCAGCTCCTGCCCACGGCGCCGCACAGGCAGGCTCACGTCGGCCACCGACGCTCGTCAGGGGGGCGTTCCACTCAAGGGTGCGCCGGCGAGTCTGGGCGTCAGGCACCGGCTCTCGCGAACCGCGCGGCGCAGGGTTTGTTGGGGCGCGAGCGAGCGCCCGCCGCGGCGCGACTTCGCTTGCCCTGCCTCTGCGGCTGCCTGCTCCCACGCGAATGCACCCACCGCCTCCTCCGGCCCGGACGGCGGCGCTGGCTCTCAGCTGGAGACATCCGACGTGCAGGCTCTGTCGCGGGCTGTGCGAGCTGCAAGCTACGCTGGCGCAGGCTGCGCGACGGCAACATGGAGTGACGTGGGTGAGCCGCGAGGCAGCCTCTTCTGTACGACGAGGAGCACCGGATAGGGCGGCCAAGTGCCGCAGCCGCAGCACCCACAGCGCAGCATGCTGCAACGCAGCCTAGTCGCGACGCCGTCATCGGCTGCAGAGCACACCGTCTGGGCTCGCGCACGGGGACGAGGGAGCTTAGCTGCCGTGCCCCTCTGCGCAGCTCCGTACCCGAGCTCTCCGGGTTCCGCAGGTGCAGAAGCGGCATCAGCGGAGCGAAAGATGCCTGAGCCCGGCGCGATGCTGTCCGAGTGTGCCTGGCGCGGCCTGCCTGGGTGGCACAAGGCAGGAGGGGACGTCGACGAGCAGCAGGCAGGAGGCGCACGCGTGAGGCGGTGCACTCTACGCGTCGCGTGCTGCGCGCGCCTCCACCCGTGGCCGCCGGCTGCTGAAGCTTCGCGCGGCGGCGCACGCTGCAGCTGCTCGCTCCGCGCAACCAACACCACCGCCGCACCCTCATCTTCGCCTCCCGCCTAGCGCGCAGCCCTCACCTTCAAGGACTCTGTGCTCCACTCCTGCTCGCTCCGCACACACCTACTGCACCCTCAACGCTTTCTCTGCCGACGTGGGAGCGCAGCCGGTCCGCTGATTGCGCAGCCAGTGCTGCTGCCCGCGCGGGCGGAGCGAGCATGGCGCCGGCGGCACACGAGCCGGCAGCGGCGGGCAGCAGCGGCGACCAGGCGCCGAGCTCTACAGCGCCGCTGCCCGCCGAAGTGGCTGCTGCGGTGGCCGCGCAGCCCGACCTGCCAGCCGAGCAGTCCGAGCAGGCGGGGCTGAAGGCGCCGGAGAAGAAGGTCTTTGCCCTCTTCGACAAGGAGGCGCGTCTGGCCCAGGCGTCGGCAGCAGCTGCAGTGAGTTCTGCTGGAAACAGAGCTCGCTCGGCGTGTCAAAGTGACGAGCTGACAGCTGCGTGTGCAGTCCGCGAGCGAGAGCAAGCGCAAGCCGGCAAAGGGAGAGGCGACCGCAGCAGAGGCGAGCTCCCCTAAGCGCCCGCGCCGAGCAGCAGCAGCGGCTGCAGACGCTGCGTCCGTCGCGCAAGCCAGCCTGGCCCGGGCGGTGCTGCGCGAGAAGCGCACTGGCGGCCGTGCGCCCGGCGCGTGGGAGTACGAGGCAGAGGGCGGCTCGAGGGCACGGCCGGTCGTGCTGGACGGCGAGAGCTCTGCCAGCTCGGAGCAGGACGAGCCGATCAAGTCGGCGCGGCGCCGCGCAACGAAGGCGAAGCAGCCAACGCAGTCACGCAGCAAGTCGCCTGCTCCTGCGCCGCCTCCTGCGCCGCCGAAGCCCGCTCCTAAGCCCATCTCGCTCGAGGTGCGCGGCACCGGCTGTGCGCCCGAGCAGGCGCACGGCTTCTTTGCTCGACGAGCCCCGCGACCTGCGCCGGAGCGCCCGCCTGACAGCGCCATGCCCAAGCCGGCAGCGTCTAGCGCTTCGGCAGCGCCAAGTGGCGCTTTCTGGCAGCCCAAGCGCAAGCCGCAGTTAGATGCGCCCTGGCCGGCGCCAGGCACATCTCACGTGCAGCCGATGACAGGGCTCACGGTCGCGAGCGTGTCGCAGCAGCTCCTGCAACGAACGAGCGGAAAGGGCAAGGAGCGAGCGCAGGCGTCATCCGAGCTCGGCTCCGAGCCTCTGCTCGCAGCGATTGCAGCTCTCGGGCCGCCAAGGCCGAGCCATGAGCATCGGCCTACGCCCCGACGAGGCGCACGGCACGACGTCGCCTCTTCATTTGTCGAGGACAATGTGGCGCTCGCCTCAGTGCCGCAGATGAGCGGCTTGCTCCCCGGTGCTATCGAACACGCGCATGCAGCTGCGCTGCAGGGCCCCAGTCGCACCGTCGACGGCCTGACGTGGACTGCTCGTTGGCGTCCGGTGCGAGCTGCCGAGTGTCTCGGCAACGAGCTGACGGCGCAGTACCTCTGCGACTGGCTGCACGAGCTGCAAGTGACGCCGTGGCATCAGAGCAAGGCAGAGAACGGGCACAAGCGGCCTGCTCTTTCGCTCGGCGCTTCAGCTGCGGACACCGGCACAGGCTCGTCGCCCCGCAAGAAGCGGGCCATTGAGAAGCGCGTGGTCAAGCCCAAGAAGAGCGCTGCTAGCCGCAGACGTCGCGCTGGCGGCTCGCACGGCTATGGGCCCGGCAACGAAGACGACGAGATGGACGACTTCATCGTCGACGACGAAGAAGCCGAGGAGGCCTTCTTCGATCGCTTCCGCCCAAAGCCATACCAGAGCGACAGCGAGGACGAGCTGATGGCACTCGGTGCCAAGACCGCCGCGGCAGCGACGCCAGATGCTCTGCGCGCAGCCATCGCGGGCGTCTCGCGCCCACGTCTCGATCTGGGCGCCTCCAGCGCCTCATCGCCTGCCTTCTCCTCAACGCCGCTGCCTGAGGTCGTCGATGCTCCGAGCTGGGCGCAGTCTGAACAGCAGGAGCGCTTCGCAGACGCGCCGCACCTGCGCAACTGCATCGTGCTCGTCGGCCCGAGCGGCGTCGGCAAGACGGCCGCCGCCTACGCATGCGCCGCTGAGCTCGGCTTCGAGGTCTTCGAGCTGTATCCCGGCATGAAGCGCCGCAGCGGAAAGGATGTCGAGAGCGCTGTCGGCGCACTGGGCAAGAACCACATGGTCGGCGCGGGCGGCAGTGGTGGTGGAGCAGGCAGTGGCCGGCCGGCGCATGCGCTGGCTGCGCTCATGCGAGGTGCTGCTGCGACAGAGTCGGCCTCATGCGAGCAGACGAAGGTCGCAGCTGCAAAGCAGGCGCAGGCACGCCAGAGCCTCATTCTTCTCGAGGAGGTCGACGTGCTGTACGAAGAGGACAAGGGCTTCTGGTCGGCCGTCATTGAGCTGGCGGCCGACTCTCGGCGTCCACTGGTCCTGACGTGCAACGGTGAGGACAGTCTGCAGCAGCACCGGCGCCGCCTCTGATTCACGATCCTCGCACAGACCTGTCCCTGCTTCCGCTCTCCGAACTGCCTATTCAGACGGTGCTCTACTTCTCAGCACCCCCGCCGGAGCTCGCAGTGCCCTACCTGCAGCTAATCGCGCTTGCCGAGGGCCACATGCTCGACGTCGACGAAGTAGAGGGCCTCTACGCGTCGACCGCCGTCGCCGAGGTTGCTGCGCCGTCGTTCCTGCCGAGCGACGGACCTCTGCATCCGGACACCGCCTTTGCGAATCCGTCTCGCGCGTCTGGCGGCAACGGACAGGTCTCGCACGACTTGCGGCACGCCATCACCCAGCTCAGCGCCTGGTGCCAGTGGGCTGTCGGCGCCGAGCGCGACGCGATGGGCCTCAAGCCGCACGAGCTCGAGAAGTGGAGCAACACGGAGCAGACCACCATCTGGAGCATGACGCCGCTGGCCGGCGCGTTTGCGGAGAAAGATGAGGACGAGGAAGAGGCGGGAGCGCTGCCGGCTCCGGCAGACGCTCCCGCTCTGCTTGCACAGCTGAAAGCACTGCGCACGTCCGCCGAAGCGCGTTCCTTTGCCGACGCCGAGCTCAAGAGGTGCTTCAGGCGCGAGAGCGATGTGAGTTGTGCTCAGCGGACCCCTTACTTGTCGCCCGGCTGACATGGCCGCCACGCAGCTGCACGAGCCCGAGCAGCGAGCCCGCGGACCGTCCGACCTGCTGGCACCGGCCGACGTGCGCATGCTGTGGAAGTCGCATGCGCACACCGACTCGGTGGCGCTGCCTGAGCACGGGCAGGAGGAGGCGCTAAGCAAGACGCTCGTCGAACTCGCCCGAGTGCAAGCATCACGCCTGCAAGCGCCGCCTTTGCCGGGCTTCGATCGAGCCGCATTCGACGCTCAGAGGTGCGTCCACGCCTGCAAGCTTTGACGCGCACTCGGCTCACGACCTTCCCTTCCCAGGCTGCAGCACAGTGGGCTGCTCGACACGCTGCTGCAGCTGCACCATCCCTACCCGTCGTTGCGCCTGCCACGCGCCGCCGCCGCCGTCGAGTACGGCGCGTACGTGCGGCAGCTCAGTCTGCTCGACGACGCCGCCGAGGCCGCGCACGCCAGCGCCAGCGCCGAGGTGGTGCAGGCCGCGTCGGCGCTGGGCCTCGCCGGGCGCAGCACGCGCAATTCGGCGCGCAGCCTCTTTGGCGACGCCGCCGTGCCCGGCCTTGGACGCGCATACCGCCGCTGGCTGCCGCACGGCCCCGAGGAGATCGACGCTGCGCGCCGCACTGCCTTGTCTGCCCCGTCCTAGCTGCCCGGTCCGTCACGCCATCATCTACCACGTCACCAGCCCATGCCGCCCGTTCAGTCCTGCTCAGCACTTGTGCCTGCATCTGAATGCATTCCGTTGCACGCGCCGATGCGCTTGAGGTCGTTGGCGTTGCCGCGCAGGACGCGCGTGGTGCCGATGCGCGAGCAGAGGAAGCGCAGGTGTTGACGTCGAAGCCATTCTTCAGGCGCGTCCAGTGCTCGGCCGGACGATGGTGTGGCTAGTATTGGTGCTAGACGCGCGAGCGACGGATGACGGTGCGAGAGCTGAGACCTGGCTGACACTCGTGACGCATGCGAAGCATTGCTGAGCGAGATGCGGGTGCTGGGTGTTGCGGAGTGCTGGGCGCCAACCGGAGTCAGCTGACCTATGCCAACTGTGCTCATTCGTCGAGCTTTCAGCTCACATGGCGCTTGCTGCACAGCTGCTCCGCATCTTTCTATCCCCGCACGCGCCGCCTTGCCTCGCGCACATGGCGCTGCGCCATGGTGCGGCGCGCGCCCGGCACGCCGGCGGCGGCGTCGAGCTGCATGCGCACGCGCGCCTCGCCGGCCAGGCGCTGCAGGAAGAGCAGATAGGCGAGGTAGACGAGCACGTCGGTCTGCGCGCTGAGGCGCACGCCCGGCGACAGGTGGGCGCGCAGCAGGCGCTTGAGCAGCGCGCGCGGTGGCAGGCGCATGGCTTGTGATGGTGGAGGGGAAGCAAGCTCAGCCTAGACGCGCGCGGGGCGGAGCGCCGTGTTGCTTGGACGATGCGCGTCGCGCACGTGACGCGGACCAGGCCGCGGAACTGGCAGGCCGCGCCCGATTTAGCGATCCGACGTCCTTCCCGACAGCGGCCGCGAGATCTCGGCTCTGCCTGTCCTGCGCAGCACCAGGCTCACGCACGCACAGCGCCGGCGCGGGTCACAGCCGAGCCGCGTGCGCCATGTTGGAGGAGCGATGCAGAGCAGGCGTTCAAGGCTGTGCTGCGGAAAAGCGTCCAGCTTGTGTGGATGTGCGGCGAGGGCTAGGGCGACGCTTAGCGCTTGGCGCCGCGCAGCGCATGCACTCCACGCGCGGTCGCGCTGCGGTTGCGGCTGCGAGAGCCACCGCCAGGCACCGCGCAGTGAGCAGCAGAGGCAAGAGCGGCGGGCACAGCGAGCAGCGCCCACCACCACCACCAATCCTCACACACCCTCCGCCGGCGGCCCACACCTTCCGGCGCCGACGACGATGCTGCGCCTGCGTACGCCGCACTACGTGCTGCTGCTGCTCGCCCTGCCGCTCGCCTACCTGCTCGTGACGCACATCCACGACGTGCGCGACACGCTCTCCTACAGCACGCGCCCGCTGTGGGATGCGCCCGAGGTGCCCGGCCGCCTGCTGCCGCACCTGCAGGCCGCCGGTGTGGCCGCCGACGATGCTGCGGCGTGCGCGCGCCACGGCTGGGCGCTGCGCCCGCAGCGCGCCCGCGTCGTCGATGCCACGCTCCTCTCGACGGAGATCGAGATGCTCGAGATCCGCCTCGCCGAGCTCGACGAGCACGTCGACCTCTTCGTCGTTGTCGAGAGCGACCACACGCTCATGGGCGCGCCCAAGGTGAGTGCAGAGCGGGCGGCGGTGCTCGGCGGTGGCCGCCACTCGAGGTGGGCGGACATGCCGGCGGTGGGCCCACCGTGCGCGCTGAGCGGCGGGCGGACATCATGCCTTTCCGCAGTGTGTGCCCCGGCGCATCTCCGGCGGACCTGACAGACGGTCCTCTGCGATGCTTGCCCCAGCCTCAGCCGCGCAGAGCTGCATGTGTCGTCGCTCCTTGTAGGAGGACGATCCGATCCGTCCGGTGATGCCGGCAGTCGCAAGAGACCGCCGCTGCCTCAATTCTCATAGCTGACGTGTATACTTGCGGGCCCAGAACCTCACATTTCCGGCGCATGCGGCGCGCTTCGAGCGTTGGCAGCACAAGCTGCTGTACCGCTCGCACCGCGGCCGGGCCATGACCTCGAGCGACGGCGCCTTTACGCTCGTCAATGAGCTGCGCAAGGATCTCGAGACGCTCGTGTGAGCATTGCAACACAGCTCAGCATTGTGCCGCAGCTGATTGGGTCTTGTTCCGCGCCGCAGCCGCGCCGAGGCCAAGCTCAGCCCATCAGACCTCGTGCTGCTAGCCGATATCGACGAGCTGCCCTCTGCGCAGACGATGGCGCTGCTGCGAGCGTGCGCGGCGCCGTCGCCGCTGCATCTCGAGCTGCGCTCCTACGTCTACTCCTTCGCCTGGCGTGCCGGCGAGGGCTCGTGGCGCGCCGCCGTCGAGCAGTGGGGCGCCGACGGCGTGCACTTTGGGCATGGCAAGCGCACCGAGGACATGCTGGCCGATGCGGGATGGCACTGCAGGTGAGCCGAGCCGACACGGAGTGAGTCGCTGTTTCAGACTGCTCATCGTCGCGGCCGCAGCTGGTGCTTCCGCACGCTCGCTGAGTTTGCACACAAGATGCAGGGCGCCTCGCACGCCGACCGCCTCTTCCACCGCGTCAATTGGCGCTCCTTCTTGACGCCGGAGCGGATACAGCGCAAGATCTGTGCGGGCGAGGATCTGTTCGACATGTGAGTGACGCCATAGTTCTCTCCAGGTGCCCGCATGCCGCTCCAACCCGTCGCATCGCTGACCCTCCCCCCCCCCCCCTTCTCTCTCCTCTCAGGCTGCCAGAAGCCTACTCCTTCGCCGCGCTCCTGCAGTTCTGGCACGGCGCCGAGGCGACGCAGAGCGGCGTCGGCCTGCCACGTGCCGTCGTGCAGGAGCCGCAGCGCTTTGCCTGGCTGCTACCCGGCGGGTGCAAGCGCGAGCCGTAGCGCTCGTTGCTGCGGCGAGGACCGTGCGCGTGTCTGGCCACCGTGCCCCGGCGCGGCGCCTCGGTCACCTGGGTCTGCTTTCTCTGTCACCGTCCTTGTAGCATTGCGATGTGTCTGTCTGCCCTTGAGCGAGCTTCACTCGGCTGCAAGACGACGTCGAGGCCCATGGCGCTTCCGAGGCTGAGTCTGGGAGCAGCACCTGTGCGTCGCCGCTGCAGCAGCCCGGCCGGTGGAAGCCTCGGGGTACGCGTGCAGCAGATGGCGTTTCGTCCGCGCTGTCCTCCGCTGTGCTTGCTCCCACATCGCTGTCGTCTCTCCTTCGCCCCTCTCCAGAGGCGCTCGGGCAAGCCAACTTTGTCAATCGTTGCGACTGGGAAGCGCGCAGCGCTTCCGCTCCTTGTTCGGCGCGCTTGTCCCGTTGCAGCGCCACTCCAGGCGCCATCAAGAGCGACATGACGGACATCTTCATTGTTGTACACGTGGAGCTTCCTCTGGGCAACGCGCTCCTTGCCCTGCGGCTCCGCCAGTTGTCCGTTGTCGGCTGCGCGCAGAACGGAGGAAATTGAGGCCATCAATGCTGTTGCTGCCACGCTGCTGGCTGCAGCAGCAAAGGTGCAGGAGCTGCGCTCTTACACGGAGGACAAGGAGGAGGATGAGGAGGAGGATGAATGAGGGAGGTGTCACACATAGATGCGGTGCAAGTACAGGAGATGATACAGAGCGAGACAGAGAGAGCAAAAAGTTGTGATAGACTGGCGACTTGGGACGCCGACGGCCGTAGCGGATGCCGCTATGTAGAGACTCAAGAGGGCACAGGTCGGCGCGGCCGTCGGCTCGAGGGCGAGGGCGACGCCTAGCAACAGCCGTGCTGAACCACCCTGAGCAAGCCGAAGAGCCATGTCCGCCTCGCGGCGAGCCGGCGTGCGGATGCAGATGCCTGGCGACGCGGCCAGAAGGCGGCGGTGAGACACGTCTCGCAGCGGCCCCATCCACAGCACACGCGCCTTTTGCGAATGGCTCGCCGAGACGTGTGCGCTGCCGCAGCGAGACGCAGGCGACATGCATGGGCCAGCGCAGAGATGGCCGATGCTGGCGCTGCCTTGTGCTCGCCTTTGCGCACCTGCGATATCCTCGGAGCGGCAGCGATGCCAGCGAGCGGCAGCGTCAGCGCTCCTGCGGCTGCGGTGCCAGATCGGGCGCGCACGCACGGAGGCGGCGCGACAGGGGCCGCTGGCTGCGCGTGGCTTGCCCGCTCCGCGCTGCGGCGCGGCCCCTGCGCCGGCGGGCGGCTGCACGCTGTGTGTGCGGCGAGCTGCTGAGCTGCGGCTGCGAGCTGCTGCGGCAGGAGAGCAGGAGAGCGCTCAGGCCGCACTGCTGCTGCCAGCGCACCGACCTCACTTGCCACCGCGGCCTCAACAAAGACCTCGGCGCAGAGAGAGAGAGCGCCAAAGAGAGGCCGAGGCTGCAAATATCAGCCTTGAGGGGCTGCGGCGGCCGCGGCGTGTCTCATGGCCCGCAAATCAATCTAATGGCAGGTGCGCCAAGCGGAGGGGCGCGAAGAGGCGGGCGGCTGATCCGAGAAGCGCACGCCGCGAGAGGGCAGAGGCGCAGGGCGGGGCGCAGCGGCAGCCCCTTGATGATGCTGCTCTTGTGCTCGCGCAGGCGCACGAGGAGCAGAGAGGCGCGCACGCAGCATCGAGGGTGCCGCGTGACGCCCTCGCTGCGCAATGGGCACGCGGCGAGTGTGCGGCGGCGGGCGACAGCGCTGCGCCGTCCTTGTCCGCGACGCGCCTCGAGCGCGCTGCTGCTGGCCCTCAAAGGCGCCTCGCTCGCCCTCGCACCTTGCTTCTGCATCCCATCCTCTCCCGCCTCTCCGTCTCCCGCTTCCCTCGCCTCTCTCTCTCTCCCCTCTCTCCCAGTCTTGTCTCACTGACCGGTCTCAGCACCTCACCTCACCTCGCCTCACTCACCCACCTTCTCTCTCTCTCTCTCTCTCTCTCTCTCCCACTCCTCGGCTCGACGCCTCTCCCCTCCCACACCTCACCAACCATGCAGTTCACGCTCCCGCTCCTCACGCTCCTCCTCGCCTCGGCCTCGGCCCTCGCCGAGCCGCTCTCGCAGAACGCCGCCGCGCGCGCCGCCCTCGTGGCGCGCGAGACGGGCGTCTTTGCGCCGCAGTACGGCCTGGCGCGTCGCTCCCTCGAGCTGACCGGCGGCCGCAAGATGCACGCGCGCCGCCGCCCCAGCACGGCGGCGCAGCGCGAGGCGCAGGCCAAGCTCAACGCCTACGCCGACAACCAGGCCGCCATCAACACCAAGGTGCGCATGAGTGGGCATACAGAGGTGGTCTGCACAGTGGTGGCAGGCAGTCGCGTGCACGTCGCTGCTGCATCGCATGGTGGATGCCTGCAGCTTGCCTCCTGCCGTAGCTGTATCACACTGTGGATGAAGGCAGCGCGTCGCCGTCGCATCAACAGGCATGCGTCCGCCGCAGCGCACGCTCCTCATTGTGCTGACACCCCCCACCCACAGTGGCAGGCCGCCGCCATGGAGTCGCTCAAGGCCGGCAAGACGCCGCAGACGTTCGACGAGTTTGCCAACGGCCAGGCGGCCGGTTCCGCCTCGGCCTCGACGCCCGCGCCCGCCGCCGACACGAGCAGCAACGACGACTCCAACGACGACGACTCCAACGACGACGACGACTCGTCCGACGACTCCGACGACGAGCAGCAGGCCGCAGTGAGCAACAGCGACGCCAGTGCAGACGACTGTGACACTGACGCCAGTGGTCAGGAGGACAGCAAGCCTGCCGCTGCCGCCGCGCCCGTCGTCAAGGCCAAGGAGAAGCCGGCGCCCAAGCAGGACGCGCAGCCCAAGCAGGAGGCGCCCAAGCAGGAGGCCCCGAAGCAGGAGGCGCCCAAGCAGGACACGCCCAAGCAGACGTCGAACAACAACAACAACAACAACAGCAACAGCGGCGCCTCGAACAGCGGCGGCAGCGGCGACAAGACGGGCGAGATGACGTACTACGCCACGGGCCTCGGCGCCTGCGGCTGGACCAATAAGGACTCCGATTTCATCACCGCGGTCGCCGCCAGCCTGTACGACTCGTTCGGCCTCTCCAACGGCAGCAAGGTGTGCGGCCGCAAGGTCAAGATCTTCTACGGTGGCAAGAGCATCACCGCCACCGTCGTCGACCGCTGTGTCGGCTGCGCACAGAACGACCTCGACCTCTCGCCCTCCGCGTTCAGCGCGCTGGCGAGCCAGGACATTGGCCGCACCAAGATGACGTGGACGTGGGCCTAAGCCGCGGCCTCGTCGACCATCATCACGCGCCTCTCGCTCCGGCAGCGAGATGCACACCTCAGCGCTGTGCGCAACCCTCTCGGTGCGGGCTAGTCCCCACCAACCCCAGCTGCGGTGCCCGGCGCGCCTCTCACCAATCGCCGGACCGTGTCCTGCCGATGGGCAGCTGGTGCTTCCCTTTCCCGCCTCGTCGCCCCACTGTATCCCTCTCGATTCGTCTTCTTTCGCGTCCCTGTTTCTGGCCTCTCCCATCACATCGCTACGAACCTCACACATCATCAGACACACATCACATACAGACGCACCCTGGAGGCGCACCCACTATGCCCTTTCAAAGCACCCTCTCGAGCTGGCTGGTCGTTCCGCTGGCGCAATGCATCACTCTCGAGAGCAGCACCAAGACTGTGACTGAGGCCCGCGGCGTCGGGACTGAGCGTCGCCGGAGCACCATTGACTCGTTCGCCCGGCGAAGGATGCGCATTGCGACGGGGCAAGGCGGAGAGAGCGCTCATTGGCCCGTGCTGTGTCGCTCGGCACCGCCTTTGCACCGCCATCTTCGCGGGCCAGACCAGCAAAGGCCGCACGCAGGCCCCCACCTCGATTCGGCCACGTCCTTTCTCGCGGCTGAGGTCTGACATCAGATGAGAGAAGTACAATTAAGCCTGTTTGGCGCAGTGGCAAGTAAGAAACGGTCCATGTGAGGGTCGAGGGGGAATAAGTGAGCAACAACCGGAGTGAGAGCACGGCGGCCGGCGACCCGGCGACCAGGAGAGTAACGGGCCGCTCAGAGCTCGCGCAGCAGCGCGCGTGCGGCATTCGACGACGTGGCGTTGGAGGTGGTGAGGCCGTTGCCCTTGCACTGCGAGCTGTGTGGCGGGGGTCAGGTGGGTCAGCGAGAGGCATACTGCAGACGCCGCGCGCGGAGCAGACGCACAAGGCGGGCAGACAGGTGAGGTAGCGGCACCACGTGCACGCCTTGCTCGGGTCCTCCGAGTTGGCCGTGACGCCGATGCCGACGACTGTGAGGCGCGCAGTGAGGTCAGCAAAGGCTGTGCCACGGGCGCACGGCACACGCACAGAAGCCGATGAGCAGCGCAGCGCCAATGACGCGGCACACCCAAATGACAATGCGGTGCTTGCGCGTGGGGTGGATCGAGGGGCAGACGGCCAGGCCGCCGAGCGTGCCGACCACGAAGCCGCCAATGTGTGCCCTGCGCGTGCATGTGAGCGGAAGGCCGACAGCAGAAGGGCGGCAAAGCGAGCGCACCAGTTGTCGAGTCCAGCTGTGCGTGCTTGTCAGCAAGAGCAGCAAACAGGCGGTGATGCGACGACTCACGCAGCAGGCCGATGCCGAAGCCGAGGATCGCAAAGAGGACCGACACGGTCAGGCGCATCTTGGCGCGGTACTCCTGCAGAGGCAGCTCTTGGATCAGCTCGGTCCGTGGGCGCATGGGCGGCGAGGACGAACGTAGTGCCAGTTGTAGATGAGGTCCACGAGCTCGACACTGATGCAGGTGTAGATGGCGCCGCTGTTCGTGGAGTGCGTGTCAGCTCGCTCGCCTGTGGCGCTCTGCACACCACTACGCACGAGGCGCCGACGCTCGGGATGCCCGGCAGCGAGAAGCTGGCGCCGAGCAGGTTGCCGCCAAGGCCGCCGAGGAAGTAGAGCGGCAGGTAGAGCGGCGTGGAGAGCAGGCGCTCAATTTGCGCGCAGAGCGTCAGCTGCACGAGCAGGTTGAAGATGATGTCTGTGAACGGCGTCAGCGTTGCGGCTCCGAACGCGGTCAGCAAGAGAGACGCACGGATGAAGCCGGCATGGAGGAACTGCGCAATAGGATTAGCGGAGCTCAACAGCGCGACGCAGGCGCACTCACGATGGGCGTCACGTAGCGCCAGCTTTGGCCGACGCTCTGTGCGTCCTTGAGGCCGCAGATCTGCCAGATGGGGCACAGCTCGTCGGCCGTGTACGCGTTGACATCCTTGGTGAGCGCTGAGAGACACGGCAGCTGCGTGGTGGTGGGGACCGAGGCGACGACACGCATGCATGGGACAAATCGGGCGCCTGCAGCACATTTGTCAGCCAACGCAATGAAGTACTGAGGCGGCAGCGACTCACCAAATGAAATCAGGAACTCGAATGGCGGCCCTAGCATCGGGTTCCATTGTGGCTGTCCGCCGCAAGTCAGCCAAGCTGAGCACATGCCTGAGCTCCCTCGACGAACCTTTGTCTGGATCGCCTGGCCCGTGGCCGCCTTGGCCTTGATGAGCTCGACGATGAACACCGCCACGTATGCAATGCTGCCGCGGCCGGTCAGACATGTGGCTCTGCAGTGCAACGCTGCGACGACACACTCACGCGAGCACGTAGCTGAGTATGCCCCACCGCTGCCGGCCCAAGCCTCTCCTCCGCCGCTCGATCTTCTCCTCCTGCGAGCCGCCCCAGCCGGGCCGCACAGATCCGACCGGCAGAGCCGCCTCATTCCACTCCTTGTTGCGCACGTCGTTGCTCAGCAGCGCCGCCGCGTGCTTGTCGTCGGCCATGGCCAGCTGGCGCGCCTCGTCGGCCTCGTCGTCGGCATAGCCCATCGAGGCGCCGTGGGCGCGCAGCGGCAGCTCAGCAGCACTGCTGTAGCGCGCATGCGAGGCGTCATAGCCGCCGTACGAGGCTGGATAGGCGCCATAGCTGCTCTCCTGCCCGTGCTGCCCGTAGCTCATGTCTGGATCGCGCGCGCCGGCGTGGTAGCTCTGCCGCTGTGCCGCCGCGCTGCTGCCGCCGTAGGGATCGGTGTACGGCTGCGCATCGTAGCCGTACTGCTGCGCACGGCTCTGTGCCGACTCGTAGCGCCGCTCGTCCTCCTCGTCGCGCAGCTCGTAGCGCGTGCTGCGGTCGGGCACGCCGGAGCGCCGCCGCGGCTCGGCCTCGTGCGGCTCATGCTGCTCGTACAGCGTGTCTGCGGCGTGCGGCGCCTGCTGCTGCGCATACGGCACGCGGTACGCCGAGACGGAGTCGGCGGGCCCGAGGGTGTGCTGCGTGGCGTGCGTGTTGCTGCGCTGCAGGTGCGCCGTGTAGCCGCCTCCGCCGCCTGCGACGCTGTACTCGAACGGGTCGCTGTACATCGACGGCGTGTCGACGTCGGCGAGCGCGGGCGTGGCGGGCTGCAGATAGGCGTTGCGCCCTGCGCCGATGCCGGCGTGCGAGGGCTGGGGCATGGTGGTGGTGTGGTGAAGTGGGGAGAGTGGTGCACGGTGCTGAGGCCGCGCCGAGGTGGAAGTTGGCACGCCGCACGCTAAAGCCAAGCGCCGCGCGCGCCCCTCTCGAGGCTGTGCCGCCGGCTCGGCGTGTTGCTCTCGCGCCGCGGCGGCTGTGCTCCTCTCCTGCTGCCTTTCCGCCCCTTGGCGCGCCTCGCGTACCACGCGACCTGCGCCGCCGCAGCATCACGCCCCACCACATGCACCGCATCAGCAGCACACAGAGGGCACAGCCATGGCATCAGACGCCCTGACGGTACGCTCAAGCACTACTCTAGAGCGATGGTGAGGCCTCGCAGGCGTGAAAGGCACCTGACGCGCGCTTCATCAGGGCGCAGGCGCGCACAGTCTCACTCCGTGGCGTGTCGCTGGGCCGGACCAGCGCCAGCCGACAAGACCCATCTCGGCAGCCGTCGGCGCAGCGAGATCTTCGTCGCAGCCATTTATGAGCCTTCCGAGAGCGCACAAGTAAGCGTCAGGTGCAGTACTGCCGCTGATCAGACAGCGTCTCTCGTCAGCAGGGTGCAGCGGGCGCGTCGCGGCGGCTGCGCGCACGCCGTTGCGTGCCGTTCGACCCGCTCCAGCGGCAGCGCCGCCCTGCTGATGTTCGGAACACTGGCGGATGGACTCGCATCGCAGCCGCTGCTGGCGGCCCTGGCAAACTCCACTTGCACGATGCAGCGACGCCGCATCTCTGGCGAGAGCTGTGCGTGTGTCACGGCGGCGCGCGCCTGGCCGTCGTCGTTGTCGAGCGTCGCTGCTCCGTCCTCACCCCTCTCTCCCTGTTTCTGGTCCCCTTTGTTCCCGTCTCGGTCTCTCTTCTCCACACTCTTTTCAGCAGCACGCGCCAGCCGCGTAGCCGCAGCCGTCGCCAGTCGACGCGCGCCCACGTTCTTTTCTCGCCAGCTCGCCGGTCGAGCGGCGCCTTCACATTCTTTTCAGGTTCGATCTTCACGAGGCAGGCCCTCGATCCACCGATGCGTTCGCCTCTACTGCTGCTGCCGCTGCTGCAGCTGCTGCTCGTCAGCGGCAGCCACGCCCGGCCGGCGCCGTCGCGCGCCCACGCCCACCGCCGCTCGCTGGTGGCGCGCGCCATCGTCGAGGCGGGCGAGCAGGAGGTGGTGCGCCGCGAGACACCGCCGCTGCTGCGCATGCACGCTTGTGACACTGGTGTCGACGAGTGGGCAGATGCAGAGGTGCGTCTCGGTAAGCGTGCCGACCAGCTGGCGCCGAGACGCTCCAGCGATGATGAGGAGCCGGAGGATGAGGAGTCCGACGACGAGGACGAGGAGGAGCGCTCGTCATCTTCGAAGAAAGGCTCATCAAGGACCAAGTCGTCGAGCGACGACGATGAGTCGTCTACGCGCAGCAACTCCAAGTCGAGCCCAAAGAAGAGCAGCAGCACGAAGAGCAGCAGCAACACGAAGAGCGCCAGCACGAGCAGCGCCAGCAGCGGCTCGGACGTACGCGCCCTGCCGACCGTGACGCCGGTCGCTGGCGCGCCGCAGGTGCTTGCCGCGCCCACGCCGGCGCCTGCTGCAGCTGGCGCCGTTGCGCCATCGGCGGGCATGCAAGCCGACATGGGCACGCCGCAGAGCAGCAAGAAGGCAGCTCAGCTCGCGGCACAGCTCGCGGCGGCGCGCCAGCGTGCCATTGACGGCAGCCGTCTGGCAGCGACTGCCGCTGTAGGACCAGCCGGCGCCAGCTACGCGGCCATCTCCGACCCCAACATGATGACCGGCGCCACTTCGAGCGCCTGGCTGAGCCCTGCGCCTGGCGCGGCGTACCTCTCGGGCCAGGATGTGGTGCTGAGCTGGCACCAGGCAACGCAGGACACGCCGTCGGTGCAGCTCGCGCTCTGCCTGCTCGCCAACTCGAACGACCTGCGCGCTGCTCAGGCGGGCGTTGTGGTGGCGGGCAGCTGCGGTGCGCCTATGAGCGCCGAGGTGACGCCGAGCGTGTCGGGCCAGGCCGGCGTGTGGGAGATTCGCTTGTGAGTCGCAGTCTCGGCGCGCGTAGGTGTCTCGCTGACACGTCTTGCCGTCTACAGCCCTGCACCGAACGTGCCGTCTGCAGACAGCTTCTACGTTCAGCTGACGCCCAGCACGGGCGAGGCCGTGGCGCCTGCTAGCCAGAGCCAGAGCGCCACCGACGTCGAGAGCGAGAGCACCTCGACGTCGGGCTGGAAGAGGCAGAGCCGCAGCGCTAGTAGCACCAAGACGTCCTCTGCCGAGGATGCCGAGCCGACATCCAGCTGGAAGAGCAAGCAGCGCGAGGACAAGAAGTCGTCGGCGGACGATGAGGAGGATGAGGGCGACGAGGAGGACTGGCGCCGCCGGGACGCCGGCGACATGCCGTCCTCTGCCCTCATCTCTCCGGCCTTTGTGCTCGCGCCGCTCGGCACCGACTTGACGGCTCCTGCCGCGCCGCCGGCTCAGAACACCAACGACGAGGTTGGCACGACTGACAAGCAGCGTCCCGTGCCGCTCGTTGGCATCATCGTGCCGCTCGTCGTCATTGCCGTGGCTCTGCTCGGCGCTCTGGCGCTCTGCCTCTTCCGCCGCGGCCGCCAGTCGGCTCAGGCGCGCCGCACGGCCGAGCTCGTCGCCGAGACCCAGAGCCGTGCGGAGGCACGCCGCGAGATGGCGCAGCTGCGCCAAGCTGCCAGCAGCAGCGCTCTCTCACTCTCTCGCAGCCATAGCAGCAGCATTCGCAGCGGCAGCAGCCGTAGCGTCGGAGGCTCATACGCGCCACGCCGTCAGCTCGAGGAGATCGCCCCGCCATCGGACGCCTACACGCCGATCTCGGCTCAGCGCCGCTTTACCGCCGACCGCTTCGGTTCCTCGCTTGCCCCGCCTGTGGAGTATCGCACACTGGCGTCGGAGGTCGGTACTGCAGCCCCGCCACGGCGTCGTGACACTACAACGTCCTGCGGTAGCAGTGCGGCGGCACATGACTACCGCGCGGCGAGAGGGTGTCAGCACGACTGCGGCTCGGACGCCGGCTCTGAGTCGTACGAGGCGCTGCTCTCGCGCCGCCCGACGACGCTGAGCACGCGGCACAGCGACGTCGAGATCCACCCGACGCACCTGCACATGCGTCTCGCCTCGCCGCAGCCAGCACACCTCGCAGCCGCGCCCGCATCCCCGATGCCTCCGGCGCTGCCCGAGAAGCCGCGAGTGCCTGCTGCGCTGCAGCCGGCCGTGCTCGGCGTGCCGACGGGCGCCAGCACGGGCACACACTGGACGGCGCTCTCGCCCATCTCCTCGGAGGCGACGCCGCGCACCGAGCAGCGCTCGCCGCTCGCCAACCCGTTCCGCAACCCGTCGCCCTCGATTGCCGCGCCCTCGCCGTCGGTCACGAGCATGCGTGCTGCATCGTACGGCGCTGCTGAGAAGGCGCCCTCCGGACGTCGCGGAGGCCCTGCTGGCACGGTCAGCGAGGAGAGCGTGCAGCGCGCCGGCGCGGCCGCCGACCTGTACGAGCAGCTCAGGCGTGCGCTCAGCGGTGGGGCGTGAGCAGCGCTGCTCTAGCCCCGTCTGCTGAAAGCATCAGCGCTGAGACCAGTTCAATTTAATCGATACTCCCGTTGCTTCCTTCACACTTGTTTGGTGGCCCGAGGATCACATTTGAGATCAGATGTGGAGCTGAGGGGCTTCAGAAGTTCGTGGCACACGATGGAGATGGAGAGCGAGACAGAATGAAGGAGCGCAAGAGAGTTGTTGCCAGAAAGCCAAATAGTTGTCGCCAGAAAGCGAAATAGCGGCGTAGTGAGCTGCTTTGTCGAGCGGAACAGTTCCGCGACTCCATGGCAGACCTTACTCTGACTCCTCGAGCGCCGTGATACGCTCATTGAGAGCGGCCTTCGCATCGTAGTACTGCTTGTAGAGCGCAGCGAGCTTCCTCGCCACCGTCTCCGATTCATTGATGGTACCAGACGCAACCGGAACAGGCTGGTCTGTGCGCGACAATGACGAAGCGGCGTCGGTGCCATCTGCGGTGCGGGCAATCTTGACAGAGGAGGCGGAGGCCGTGGCAGTGGCAGGATCACCCTGACGCTTGATGCCTTGTCTGGAGGAGGGTGGGGGCGAAGCACTCTGCTTGACGGCGTTACCACTGCCGCGCCCAGGCGTCAATACGAGCAGGATCGTTTTCACGCAGACGTCTACTCACGCATCGGCACCCTGGTGTGGGACATCATAGGCACGGGCAGAGGACCGCGTGTGCACGACACTTGCAAGTCCCTCTGTGCGGCGCAGATGCGATCATTGGCAGCGTCGATGCGCTCAATGAGTGCCGCTGGAGCTTCTTGAGCCTCTTGCGCCTGGTCGTCGTAGATGTACCCGCCGAGCAACAAGTATGCATTGTACGCATCGTTGAGCGCGCGACGAGTCTGCAGGAACTCGTTCGAGGCATTCTGAATCTCTGCACACGCCTACTCTGCCAGCGGTAGTCCACGATCGAGCTTGAAGGGCATTGTTGAGGTAGAGCGCCGAGGTGCGAGCTACTGCGAGAAGGTGATATGCGGCACAGCCCGGGTGAGCAAGGGACACCTTGGCAATGCACTCAGAGGAGGGGCTGCCAAGGCAGCGAGTCGACAAGGCAACTAACCAGGAAGGAATCTGAGCCGATGGTTGTGGTGAAGAAGGCAGGACTGGTCGTACGGCAGCCGACTCTTAAGTGCCGGAGAGACGGGCGCTGCTGCTGCTCGAGGGGTGAGTGAACGCGTCGCATACACGCGTCGCGTCTGCGATGCAAATCCTCAGAGGGGACGTCCCGATTCCGTTTGGCGCTCATGAAGCAGGCTGCTCGCGCGGTGTGAAGCACCTTGAATGGCTCTGCCGATGCAACGGGCCGGCAATAAGAATGTGACGCAAGAGAGAACAAAGGGATTCAAGCAGAGTGTGAAACGGGCTTTGAGCGAGGCCAGAGTACAGGGCGCAGAGCGCTCAGGGGAGACCGGCCGGCGCTCTGGCATTGCGGCGCGCAATCAGCGAGACAAGTGCGCCGCAGGGGGGGGGGGGGGGGCGACGGTGTGTGTCGTCAGGAATGGGAGGTACACAGGGAGCGAGCCTGGGAGAAGTGACAGAACGGTGGACTCGGAACTACCAAAGGCAGAAGAGGAGAGCGTGAACAGCGGGGTGAGTGCGGGACCGGACAGGTGCGAGTCGTTGAGACAAGACGGACGGCAAGGCGGCGCGGCAGAAGATGAAGTGGGTGTGGCTCGGCGTCGGAGTAGTGAGACGGCCTGGAAGGGTGCGTCTCCGGTGGTGACGGCACGCCTCGATGTTTGGTCCAAGACGAAGGCTTGTCGGACAGTGCTCAGGCGCTCTCGCTCACCGCACCTGTGCAGACTGTCAGTGAATGCTCCGACGGGACTCTCTTACGGTGCTGCACTTACCCTGCTTCTGCTCAAGTGCCGTCACACGCTCCTGAAGAGCGGCGAGCTCCCCGTCCTGCTTCTCCTTGAGCGTCACCATCTCCTCCTTGAGGTTACTGAGGATGTCAGACACGCTTGAGGTGACGGCAGCCTCGGTGAAACTGTCCGTGTGCGCCGACGACGGCGACGGCGACGTCACGCTGCGGCCGTCGGGGGTGCGCGCGGCCTTGGCAATGTGCTCAGAGGCGGTGGAGGAGTCACCCTCGCGCTTGATCCCCGCCTTGATGGGGGATGCCGAGACGTCCTGCTCAGCGTTGCCGCTGACGCTGAGGCACGTTCGATGAGCACATATTACTCGCGATACACGAGCTCACTCACGAAGCGATCGGAGCGGGAGCGCCCGACACACGAGAAGTCGCGCACGCGGCAAAAAGGTCCTTCTCGGCGGTGCGAAGGCGAGTGCGGGCAGCGCGGATGCATGCTCTGATCACCGCGCGAGCTTGCTTTGCCGCAGCATACTCTGCGGTGTGAACGCTTGCCCACGGCGCAGACGCGTACGACTCCTGGAGCTGGCGGCGGCAGTGCAGCACGTCCTCGAGGCTCTCGCGAATCTCTGCGGCCGCCCATTCGGCAAGCGGCGCTCCAAGGTCGGGACGCGGAGCCATACTTGCAGTGGTACTAGGCGGCCTGATGCCAGAGCAAGGCAGTGTCAGGTCGATGGAGGCCGGCCAGACCAGTCCGGACGTTGTGGTCCGCGAGCCATCTCCCTTCCCATCGGCAGGACGCGCCACACGTCCGTGCGTGCTCGGGCGCTTGCTCCCTCACAAGGAAGCGTCACTCTAACTCACCGAAGAGGTCTGAGGGCAGGGTAGTCGAGCCGTGCGCAGTCGAAGCGATGCCAGGCGAGAAGGGGCGAGGCGCGTGGGCGAAGCGGTGGTGCCGAGGCGCTCGGCGTGGCACGCCGTGGGCGGAAAAGAGGTGGCGAAGGCGGAGGAAGTGTTGAGGCCCTGCTGTTGAGGAGAGCTACTTGATGCTGGGTGTGGTGGAGAGGAAGAAGGCTGCAAGGCGGCGCCGAGGCGCCCTTGAAGGTGGCGCGAAAGAGCGTCAGGGGCCATGCCCGAGAGCACACGGCGCTGCCTGATGGGGCAAGGCGGCCTGCCTCGCCTACGCCGACGCGCTCGAAGCAGCAAGCGGCGCCGCGCGGACGCAGCACCCAGCACGCCGATGCCGAGCATCACAACACGCCCACGCCGTCATGACAACCGCGCGCCGCACCTGCGAATATAATCTGCCTCTGGCTCGGAAGCCTGATCGGGCAGGCGCCCTCGCGCCGCGCTAGCAGGCTGCGCCCTCTCTGACGCGCGTGAACAGGAAGCAGCAGCCTTAGCAGGCGAGACAGCCACGGCCTCAGAGGCAGCTTGCCGTCAGTCGCACAGCCTGCTCGTCATGTACCGCTACTGCTGCCGAGGCCACAAAGAAGAACTCTCGCTGCTCTCTCCCAGCATGACTGTCAGGGCGCTCAGATCGCTCGCACGGTGCGTTCCTCTCTCTACATGGCGCTTCCACACTCTCACAACAAAGCTCTACTCCTCACTCGCTCGGCAAAGTGCAGCGAACTCGCAAGGTGAGACGCGAGATGCTTGAGAGATGGGCCCTGACAGAATTGCGTGGATCGGGCCTGTGCGAGGCTAGAAGTACAGGTACGGTGCAGAGACTTGGTTGTGGTGGAGGTGACGGCGAGATGAAGGGCTGATGGCAGAAAGAGTGGGCTAAGAGGTGACGGGACGAAGAGGAAGCGGCTTTGAGGTGCGAAGCACTGGCTGAGCAACCACGACGACGATGGTCAGTGAGGGGGACAGCTAGTAGGCAGTGGGAACCTCTCACCTCAAGTGCATCTACGGTTGTGCCTCCCTTCACTCCTCGCGCTTGACCAGAGAAGGTGCCGTGTCGGCCATGCTTGCGGGTGGCAGCAGCGGAGCGCCGCGCGCGTGAGGATCCTGCCGAGTCTGCAGGCGAAGGCTATCAGAGGTCGTCGTGGCTGGTGAATCCATTGTGCTGCTCACTGACACCGGGTTGCAGCTGCACTCTCGAGCTCGAAGCCGCGTTCGCAGCGGTGGAGTTCGTGCTTCGAGCCAGCCCAGCGGGTCCTGAGCAGTTAAGTCCACATCAGTCAGAGAGCTAGGACAGGCTCGACTTGCTGGGCACGTTGACTCACCGAAGAAGCCTCCGGCAGGCAAGGGAAGGGGACGGAAGAAAGACGTCGTCGAGGCCTGCCCGGATGCCGGCCCGCCAAACACGAAAGCCGGCGGAGCCTCAGGCTCTCCTTCGCCCTCTAGACCCGCCACCATTGCCTGCATCATGTTGTACTCTTCTGCCGCCTCATCTGCTGCCTTCTCTACTGCATCGACCTCCGCCAAGCCCTCGTCTATGTTGCGCTCCTCGCAGTAAGAGACGGCATCCAGTAACGAGGTCGTTGGTCGAGAGTAGCAAAGTGGCGTGGAGCACATGTCGCAATTGGCGTGGAACTGCTTGATGTAGGCGATCTCGAGCAGCGCCAACGCCTCGCGACGAGCCTTCCACGCCGCCGTGAAGGCCTCCTCGGCGGCGCGCTCCGTCTGGATCGCATTGCGCATGACGCCGCGTACGAGGATGTACGCCTCCATCGCTGCGCGAGCCTCGACGCAGCGCTGCTGGTCCATTGCCAGGAAGTCGTCGTCGAGGAGGGCTGACATCGTGGCGAGTGAGGCGGTTCGAGCTGTGAATGTATGGCAAGGTCAGCCTGGAAAGACACGCGCCTCGCTGACGCGCGCGCTGCCACTGCCGAGACGCCGTAGCCAGGACGACGAGCATCTCAGCGAGCTTTTCCGCACTGAAGCAGTACGAATCTTGTCCCTCAAGGACGAAGTCTCTCTCTAACCCATCGAGGCGGACCTACTCAAGCGAGAAATGCCAGGCCGAGAGAGGCAAGATCGACTCACCGGCGAAGGCGCGACACGTACGTGTGGCGGCCGTGCGGACGCCGTGTGGAGGCTGCCGCTCGCGGTGCGAAGCGAAGGCGTGACGAGGCAGTGAAAGGCGATGAAGCGGGCTTGATGGTGAGCTGAAGGACAGGAGACGATGTGGTGGTGGGAAAGCAGGGTGCAAGCGAGCGCTTTCTGCCCAAAGAGGCCCCTCGGCCGCCGCCGCCGCCGCCGCGCTCGATGCGGCGCACGTCCCTCGCGACGCCGCGCATCGCCCGAGAATGCGCGCGCCTGGAGAAGACAAGCATCGTGCAGACATTCCACTGCCCTGCACGCTCATCGGCTGAAGTCGGCATAGCGATGCGTTGTGTCTCTCTCGCTCGCTCACAGCCGGCTCGGCCACAAGCTTGCGAGATGACACAATTGCTTGGAGAGGAGAAACGTGACACGATTACATCGCAGAGAGGGGAGGGTGTGGAGCGTTGATGGTACAACGGAAGAGGGCGGAAGTGTTACAGAAGCTACAGATTACGAGGGACAAGAGAACAGCTGATACATGGGAAGAGAGTAGAGGTGACTCGGTTTGGCGAAAGAAGGATAGATGCGTGCGTGATGGTGGTGGTGCTACGACATCGAGGGGTGGCCGCTGCTGCTGCTGCCTGAACTCGTTGGCGCATGCACGACGAGATTGAAAGCTATGAGGGGCAGCATGTGCGTCAGAGCGAGACACGTGGTAAGCACGACGTCTCACAGCCGCTCACCACTGCGCTTCCTGTTCGGCTCAGCGCTTGAGGACTCGGCCGGGCTGGGCGTCTCGTCGCGCGCGCGCGAGAGGCGCTCGCGTTTCCAGCGGTCGAGCGACGAGGAGATGCTGTCGACGGGCGAGGCCAGCCGTGCGCCGCTGAGATGGGGAGATGTGCGTAGACGCTTGGCGTGGCGAAGCTCCTCTTGCAGCTCGAACTCGGTGGGTGCCGCAGCGTTCTCATCGACGAGAGCGCCGCGGCCGCTGCTCTCGCTGCCGCTCGCCGCATCCGAAGCGTCGCGCGAAAAGATACGCTTGAGCTCACGAGTGCGCCTGCGCGTCAGGCTCGGATACTCAGTCGAGCTCGGCGTCTCGTCGACGTACACTCGCGATGCTCGAATACGCATCCACTGATCGACGTCGAGCGCCGGGGAGAGAGAGTCGATGGGCGCAGCAGGTTCGGCACCGCTCTCATGACTAGACTTGCTTGCTGCACCATCACCTGGACCATCGGACGCGCCAACGTGCTCGAGATGAGACGCAGTGTTGCGCTGGAGCAGGGACGTGCCCGAGTCATTGCTTTCACTGCCGCTCGCCACGTCCGGAGTGTTGCGCGTGGAGAGGTACTCGAGGCTTGAGGCGCTCGAGAGCTCTGAGCTCGAGCTCGCGGGTGCCGGCGACGGAGGCGAAGGAAGCTCGCACGGACGCATGAGCGGAATCTTGGGTGCGTGGTCGGCCGTGGCGAGGGCAGGCGGAGTCTGCAGCTCCTGGGAGGATTCGGTCGGGCCCAGTGTGCCCTGACGCTCCCACCAGGCAGGCCCGCCTGCGTCGGAGGCTTCGCCGTCGTAGTATGCCCACTCGGCACTGGCGCTCACGCTGCGCGTCATGGCATACGCGACGTGCGCTCCTACTGCGGCTGATGAGGCGGCCAGCTTGTCCTCGACTGCTTGTGCAGCGCTCTTGAGGGCGCTCAGCGCAGCCCTACGCGTGCGTCGGGCCTCCCACTGATCCGCTTCGGCGCCGGTCATCTCGGCTCTGAGAGCGCGGTCGAACGCTACTTCTGCCTCGCTGAAGCGGCCCTCGAGACGATGCATGCCTTCGAAGGTGCTGCGAATGCTCGGCAACTTCGCCTCCAATGGTTCATCGTCATCGAAGTCGGAGTCCGTCGAACGACTCTCTGCGTAGTCCGAGTACATTGTAGAGCTGTGATTCAGATCGTCAGCTTCGGCTCAGCATGCAAGCCGCAGAGCGCAATCCCGAGGCATGTATGCGATGCGTACAGCCAACAGATCATCTGCGCACAGCAAGGGAGAAATACTCACACAGACACGAGCGAAAGGGAGCTGGCAGACGAGGACTGCGGCGCGACTAGACGCTGATCGCTCGAAGCGAGCCGCGTTGGCGCGTGCTGGTGCTTGGCCGGAGAGGCGCGACTGGAGAGCGAGAGTAGCAGCGAAGAGCCAAATGAGGAGGGAAAGAGGTTTGAAGATGCGGCTTGAGGTGACGTGGTTGGCGAGTGGCGTCTCGTGAGGCGGGTGTGGTGGACGGGAGCCAAGCCGCGGACGCCGCTGCACGCGTGATCGGGTGCCGCGCGCGCCGCTGCCACCGCTCCCGACATCATGGCACTGCGCCGTTCGCACAAAGTAGCTTGAGCCCTTCTTTGAGGACGTTCTGTCTAGTGGCTTGCGAGCTCAGGGCTTCAAAGACCCGCCAGCTCGGCATGCATGTCTCTGAGGTGAGATCTCGAGGACAGGACCCGCTTCAAGCTTTCTGAGCGTCAAGCTCGCGAGCATGGACCGAGCTTCACTCTGCTCTCTCTGTGACCAGGCTTTGCTGATGTGTCGTACGCTACAGGTGGTCGTGGGCTATCGAGATGAGGTACACGGCGAGAAGGAGAAAGCGGACCAGGGCGAGAAACGGGTGTGGACAGGAAGTGGTGTGCGAGTGCGAGGCCGCTCATGGTGACGACGAGACTGGGTAGCGCACCGCAAAGACTAGCATCAGCAGCTGCGCAAGGCTTACAGCTCGCGAAGCGGCAGCACGAACGCACAAGTATCTCTGCACGTTCTTCGGCTGGTCGATCATGCCGGCAGCTTGGGCGAGCTGATAGGAGGCGCCGCGCCGTTGTACCAAACATCGATCGAACGCAGTCGGCGAGGAACAGGAAACGGAGACGAAGAGTTGCCGGAAGCTACATGCTCGGACGAGGCCTGCGCAGACGCCGTCGACACCTCCTGGCTAGACTCGCCGGCGTCGTTCCCGTTGAAGGCGAACGGAGCTGACGAGACGAGAGGGTCAGTCAGGCCCCAAAGTCCGCCATGTGGTCGCAGCACTCACTGGCCGCGCGCGGATGCTTGCTCGGTACCGCGGTCTCTTCACTCTCGCGCTTCTGGCGCGACTCACTCGCGGCAGAAGACGAGGACGAAGAGCTGCGGACGGAGCCGGAGCGGCGTGGCTGCCCCTGCACCGGCTGCTCGTCTCTGTCGTCCTCTCCAGCGCCCACTGAATCCTCTTCCACCGCTTCGTGCTCCTCCGCCCCGCTCACTGCGTCAGAAGCGACTTGTGAAGAGGACGCCTCGGTGACGTCGTCCTCGGCATCGCCTTCCGACGGAGCGGGCGACATTGCTAGCTCTGCTTCGTCACCAGCTTGAGTCTTCTGTACTGCGTCCGACGCCGAGCTGAACATGCTCGCCCACTCGCTCTGCTCCACCACCACGCCAGATGCCGCTCCATACTTGCGGAGAGCGCGGCGTTTGGCCTCAAGGAGCGCATCGTGCGCCGCCCGGCGCGTCTGCTGCGCGTCGCGCAGTGCAGCTTCGGCCGCCTGCTCGGCCTCTTGCGCCTGCTTGAAGGCCCGCTGCGACTCCAGGAACGCAGCACCCGCTGCGCTCGCTTCTGCGAAGGTCACTTTGCCCTTGTCGAGATCGATGCATTCTGCCGCCATGGCGTCTGTGAGGCATCGCGGCGTCAGCAGGGACAAGCGGGGTAGCACAACTTCAGACAGATGAGGAGCGCCAACTGAATGAAGCAGGCCGAGAAGAGACTGCCTCTTATGCTACCGCACTCTCCAGCCAAGCGAGCTCACGCGAGGAGCAGACTCACTCCACGCGCCGTTGCGGCTCATCGTCGCGGCGTTCCGAGCTGGCGTTGTACACGCGCGCACTGCGGCGCAGAGGCGGGTCGTGCAGGCACGAGCGGGAGTGGAAGCGATGATCAGTCGAGACTGAATGGAGAAGCTCGAGGCCCGCGTTCGTGAGGTGGATGTGGTGGAGAGGAAAGAAGTGCGCGGCACGGCGCGCCGACGTGCGCTCTTCAAGGCGGCCCGAGCGCACCGCCGCGGCACCACCTCCTGACGGCAACAGCCTGCTCTGCTAGAATGGGCCGCGCGGCATGCGCACACCAGACATGCGGACGATCACGAGGGACTTACGCTCTATCAAACCCCTGCAGAACCTGACGTACATCCCAAGCTTGCACTCTGAAATGCGCTGGCCCCCATTTCGTGCACTGCACGACGCCAACCCATCGCTGCCAGTCATGCTCCCCTGCGGCTGAGCCGAGCTCATGCCCAGCGCTCTGCGAGATATGACATCGGTAGATGGAGGAGATATACGCTGATAGAGAGATGCTAGAAAGTCGGTGTTGATCGGTCAAGTAGCGAGACGACGGAGGAGACAGAACGTTCACGGAAAGAGACGGATGGCCAAGGCGCACGAGGGAATCGAAGTGGGCTATAGGCCGGGCGGCAACTACACGAGGCGGATTCGGTTGCAGAAAAGGGAGGCGCAGCAGGGGACAGTAGAGGCCAGCAGGAGAGGAGTGAGAGTGTGGCGATCAAGGATGTCACTACTCAAGAGGCGATTGGGAATGGTGGCGTGTGGGACGGTCGCGACCGCAGACGCATGGCGGTGCCCTGCTCCGGACCGATTCGATGATCGTCGCCTGGGCAACTGAGTGACCCGCTGGCAAGCGGTGGCTTGAGGGAGCGGACCCCCTGTTGAACCGGAGCAGAAGGCACTGCAGACAGCGACGGCCTCTTTTGCGGTCATCATCAGTAGATAGGTATCCTACTCCGTGTCTCCGCTGTCGGAAAGACTGGACGCTGAGACGAGGGGCCAGATTGTTGGACTGCGGTCGCATACAGTACAACTCTCTGCTCACAGATACTCACAGGCAGTACACTGGCGCTTCTCGGCCGACTCATCCTCGTCGCTGCTACGCTTGCAGCCGGCAATGCGATAGCCGACCTGACCCGCGAAAAGCTCTTCCAAAACTGGCAGCTGGTCAGGCATCCGCAGCGCTTGCACTTCCTCCGACATATCCTCCTTCCCCGCCTCTGACGCCGCGCTGTCTTCGCTGTCAGACTCGTCTTCCTCTGCCTCGTCTGATGTGTAGGACGGGCCCTCCTCGTCTGATTGTAGCGTACCAATCTGAAGATAGCCCGCCGCCTTATCGACGAGGTTCGTCCAGAGTCTGCCTGCTCTCACCTCCGCTGCCGTATCCAGCAGACTACTGCACGCTTTCTCTGCAGTCGCGTCGCGAGCGCTGCGGGCGTGCTGGTGCGCAATGACTGCTGCCTCGTGAGCCTTCTTTGCGGTCTTCTCGGCCTCCTGCGCATCCTCGACGGCTTGCTGCGCCTCTACGAGCTCGCGCGTGATGTCGGAGACTCCCTCCAAGTGTTCTTTGAGCGCCTTCGCACCCCATAGGGCGTCCGCACGAAATACCTCGTCGCTTTCATCAGTGCTTGGGCTGCTCTGTTCTGGTGAAGCATCCGGGCGGCATGTCAGCCCAGATGATTGGAAGACCTACGCATCTCGCCTGTGACCCGCTGCGATGCGTCGCCTTTTCCGGGTCAAGAAGGCGCTCTCTTGAAAACTCACTGCTGTCACTCGGTGACTCCATTCCGTTCGAGATTACGAAGCGCCAAGGCGATTGGACGACGAGGCACCGCAGGGGCGCGGCTGAAAAGACATCGAGAAGCATGAGCGGGGCATCTCAGACGGACGGACGTAATGGACTTACGAATAGGGCAGCAGTCGAAAGTGCTGCGAGGATGCAGAGATGATCTCGGCGGTACGGCCGCGATGTTGGTGGTGATGAGAGAAGAAGGAACGACGGCGGCGCGCGCGCGCCCGAGATCGACCCCACTTCCGCGCGTGCGGCGGCACGCTCGGACCGCTGGCTTGAGGCCTGCCTTCCGTCGCAGCAAAGTTCATGAGCTGTCTTCAGATGATAGACTGTCAACACTTCCGCTGCATCTCATAAGCTCACTCAGGGAGGAGCGCCGACAGGACGAGCAGGTCGTGGATCCCCGGCCGCTTCGGCTTGCACTCTGTCTTCGAGGTGGACCGCGTGCTCTCCTCCTCTCTATCGCGCAGTCGTGAATCTGCTCTCTGCCTCCCGTGAGCTGTCAAGTCGATCGCAGAGAGCGCTTGATGGAACCAGCCACGCAAGTTGCGACACGCTCTCGTTTGAGGTTTCACGGAGCGGGACTAGGGCGAAGAGGGCGAAGACACATGGTAGAGGTGACCTAGAAGCGGTGTACATGATGGTGGTACGAGGACATGCGAGAGCTTTACAGGGAGGCCCGAGAGCTGCCTGCGAGGCGAGACGCAGAGGGAACGCGCATGCTCGGAGATGCTCAGGGAGCGAGATGACAAGGCAAGGTTCACGAGGCGCAGGCAAGTCGACGGAGCCTTGAAGCGTTGCCTGCAACGCGGCGCACATCGTGCTGAGTCGTTGGACGTCAGCGACGACTGCGTTCATGCATGCGTGCTGCGACTTTGCAACGTATTGCGTTAGAAGCGCCGAAAGCGGAAGGCGTACAAAGACTCACAGGTGCCAGGGCGCGGCTTAGACGGTCCAGCGCTGGTGCCAGCACGCTTGTGCGCGCGGGAGTCGCCTTCATCATCGGATGAGGGAGGACGAGAGCCGGGCAGCGGCACTGATTATAGCCTCTGAGCCTCCTGATCGCAGCAACATGCAGATCCAGACTCACCGAATAGCAGATCGAGGCCTCCTCCGTCCAGCCTAGCCACAGCATGCGCTCTCGAAGTATGCTTGACCGCAGGAGCAAGTGGAAGTGCGAGTCGAGCGGGGCCAGCCTGTGAATGCGCCCGTACCACCGGCAGCAGGTCCTCCAAGCTGAGCTCCTCCGAGCTGCTCGAGTCGTCGCACTCCCCTGCTTCGTCGGACGCCAGCCCTCCGTGCTCCATGTCTTGCGCCAGCGATGGCGCAGTAATGCTCTCTCCGCCGTCACTCGAGCCAGAGCCATCAGAGACGGCATCTCCACGGCCTTGTCGCACTGGAGCCTGTCCACCTCGAGATCCGTCACAGCACGATGAACAATCTGTCTCCAGCGACGCTCAGCTCTGACGACATCCGCTCCGTTGATGAGCTTGCGGTTGACGCGTCTCGAAGCAGCGTCGAGAGCGCTGTACGCCACGGCGAGGGCATTCTGCGCGTCTATGTGGGCCTGCTTGGCGGCTCGCTCGACGGCTTGTGCGCCCTCGACGGCTTGCTGAGCCTTGAGGTAGGTACGCGCCGATTGCATGACTCCTTGAAACATCTCCTTGGACTCGCCGAAGTTGTTCAGCGTGCGATCATTTTGCATCGCGTCGTGCTCCGAGCTTTGCATGGGCGCGCCCGCTGCGTGCGCGAGCAGAGAGTCAGACAGCTGGCGGAAGCTGACGTGCCGCCGCTTCGACTTGGGAAAGCACTCACCATCGCTCATGGCACCTCCGCTCACGTCACCGTCACTCATGTGCAAGTCCATAGCGGCAGTCGAGAAAAGAGAGGATGAGGCGCGCGATGACTTGCGCAAAGGCGCGCGGCAACGCAGACTCAGTCGCCGGCAGCGCTGTGAAAGCGCAGATGCGTGAGCCAGGTGCCTGAGGGTAGGCAGGCGGACAGCACCCACAGATGGCGAGAGCAGCGATTGAGTGGTGAGTGGCAGATGCAGACGGCGGGTGTGGTGGTGCAGAAGCAGGTGCGTGCGGCCCGAGCGCGCGCATGTCTCGCTCCACTCGCCCTCGGCTGACGCGCCGGTGCCGTGCGGCTGCCAGCAGCGTCGGCACGCTGCAAAGACAGCGACAGCTCGCTGCTATACCGCACTTCTTCCCGCTCACGGCTGCGCTTGCTTCGACATACCGGCTTGCAGTCGAGTACTCCCGATCTCGGCTCAACCTGCTTGCAGTCGCAAGACACCTGCCTGCTCCGCAGACGTCGCGCCGGCTTAGCCACAGATGACCCTTCACGCTGAGGCAAGTGAGCATGAAGCACTCGACCATTTGCCTCATCACACGAAGCTAGCCCACCGTCTCACGCCTGAGTAACTCGGCGGCGCACTGCCGAGCGAGTGGTCCAAACGCAAAGCTGACTGCGTGCGCCGTTGACTGGGCTGCGCTCTGACATTGAGACATCGTGGCGTGTGGTACACGAGGTTCGTGATGCGGGACGAAGACTGGAAGCGGAACTGTCTTGTGGGTTTTCTGAGAAAGAAGAGGCTGCGGACCCGGTGGTTGGAAGACGAGACGAACAGACAGCGTGAGGCACGAGGTAGACGGACGGACGGTGCCGAGATGCGCTGCGATAGCAGTGGCCCTGCCGATGACGCCGTGTCAGAAAGGTGCGCTGTATCCTCCGCCGCGCCCCACTCACTCGAGACTCAAGTCAAGCGCACGCTGATTCAAGGGCGAGGCATCCAGCGGCGAGCACGGAGCATCTCCGAGATACCTGCGTGGCAGCTGCGTCAGCACTTTCTGTCGTTGACGAGGAGAGATCTGGGCAGCTCACGAGGAGTCGGCGCCTCACTGCGCGGGCCGAAGTCCCATGGATACTTGACGTCCTCGTCGACCATACGCTCGTTGAAGTCTTCTTCGCTCGCGATGGTAGAGCTGAGCTCGTCGTTCGCGGTGCGGCCTGTATGGAAATCACGTCAGACGTGGGACCGCGCACAGAGAAGTTGCGATCGCTGCGGTGCTCGACTCACGAGCGCCGTGCAAGCGACGAGTGCCTTTCTTTCCGCCGCGCTTGTTGGTCTCTCGCTTGCTGATCAGACGTAGGAGAGCCGTCGGGCCTGGGAAAAGCTCCTCGATCATCTCCTCCCGCTTCTCTACCGCAGTCTTGGGCTTGCACCTAGTCTTCTGCTCCTCCTCGTCTGCCTCTTCTTCGGAAGTGGCGCACGAGCTGGTCTCCGAGTCGGACGGAGAGGGCACGTCGAGCTCAGCAGAGTCGGCGCGCTCGCTGGAGCTCGGCACGAAGTTGAGTAGGCTCGCCCAATCGTCTTGATCGTCGACGTCGATGGCGAGTCGGCTGATTCTGCGTCCGAGACTTTCGGCTGCGGCGTGAAGCTCATGAATAGCTTGCTTGCGGGCGCGCACTGTTTCGACGTGTGACTGGCGAGCAGCAAGGTACGCCGTCGTATCGGATTTTGCGGCCGTGCTAGCCGCCTTAGAAGCGTCCGAATCTGCCGCAAACGCCAGACTGAAGGCTCTCTGCGCCCTGAGGTATCGCTCTCCGCTGCGCGCCACATCCTCGAGGAGCATCTCGGAGCGCTCGACCTCCATGTGTTTGTCATGGCGTGCGTCGCCGCTCGCCTCAGAGACTGAGTCGGTCCAGGCGTCGGTGCCTGCGTCGGACATGCTAGCTTGGTCGGCGTCAGCGTGTGGTAAGGAGGCTCCTGCGTTTGTGCACGCCAGACTCACGCGACTGAGCGACGCAAAGGTGTTGAGAGCCCCGTGTTGCGAGCCGGGGCAGTGAGCTGACGAGGCGGTGCGCAAGACGTGCGAGCGTGCTGAGAAGACGCCGCTGACAGTCGGAGGCAGGGCCAAGGACGGAGGCTGTGGTGGTGGCTAGGTGAGGGATGAGAGGCTGGCAGAAGGCGGGCATGACCGGAAAGCCGGCTTGACAGCACGCAGGCACTGGAGCAGTGACAGCCGCAAAAGTGCCGCTTTGTTGCTCGGTCACCGCAGCAGGAACAAAGTGGGTCCGCCACGCTCGAGGGACAAACGAGGGGAGAGCACGCAGCTGCGGCAGCTGCGGAAGCCCGCAGGCCGCAAGAGGGCACGGCTCATAGGGGCGGTGCCGCGTTTGCGGGTGACGCGGCCAACGCAAGCGCAGCCGTGGAAAGAACGGGTCGCGCGCCAGCATACCCCCGCAGCCGCCACCCGGGGCCCTCTCAGTCAGTGGTGCGGAGCAAGATGCGAGGTGGCGCTGATTGTTTCAAGTGGTGTCTGGCACAGACAGCTGCAAAGTCGACGGTGGACGAGAAGAACAGGACAGACGGGCAACATGAGGGGAACAGAACGGCGAGGAACGGAGGCGGACAAAGCGTGAGGCCATGATGCGCTGACGATGGCGACGCTGACGTTGAGATGCTTGCCGCGAGTCCGTGGATGATGACGAAAGCGCTCAGTCGCGGGCAGTCTGGCGACGTGCCTTGAGCGGCGAGTTGGCCCGGGCGACGGCTGTGCAAGGGTCAGCGGGTATGTCTTGCGAAGGCTGCGCAGCGCACTCACCTGCGGACGCAGCGATGCGAGGCACTGCGACGTCGCTGCCCTTCTGCGCTACATCTGCCTGAACCACCTTCTGAATCTTGGCCGGACGTTCGTGCTCGCGCGCTGAGCATCATCCATCAGCGACAGCCACACGTCACGCTCATTGGCACGGTCGACTCACCTTCCTCGCGAAGGCGCTTGAGCTCTGCGGCCTCTTCCTTCTCTTCCTGCTCGGTCTCGCGGGCCTGGGCGCCGCTGCGAACCAAGTAAGGAATGCGTCTGGGCTCATCGTCTTCGCCCTCAAAGAGAAAGTATCCGGCGCCCTGGATGCCTCCGTCCCACTCGCCGTCGAAGCCGGTGTAGGAATCTTCACCGCCCCAATTGCCGTCCATGATAGGCTCCGCAGTATCTTTGCGGCTACGCTCGTCACAGATAGACTCATTTGCTGCAGCACTGCACCCCGTAGCCCAGGTCACCTGGTCGCTTACAGCTCCTCGAGTTATCGCCAGCTTGACTTGGATCTCGTCCCACAACGCCTTGAGACCGTCAGCGGCCTGCTTGCGCCTGAGGCGCGCCGCATCGAAAGCGGTCGCGGCGTCGATCTCCGCTTGCTGCGTCTTCTCGAATTCCGTCTGTGCGTCGGTGAAGCGCTTGCCGACCTCGGCGACGTCCTTCAGAACCTGCTCCATGCCCTCGACGTCCATGCAGCCCTGTGCCTCGGGCATCGTGCCTGGCGAGCGACCAGAGAGAATGAGCAGATGCACGGCCCAAGCGTGGTGGCATGCGCGCAGTGCGCTCGGGCAAAGACTCACCGGTGGGGCTTAAAGAGCGCTGGCAGCTGAACGTGCGGCCGTGCGGCGTCGAGATGCAAAGCCGACGAGCGCAGAGGAAGGTAAGGCGAGGTGCCGAGACGAGAGGAGGCCGCTGCTGGAAGGAGCTCGACGAAGCTGTGGTGGTGATGCGACAAGAAGCAGCGGACGAGCGGCTCACAGGACGCTCTGCTGGTGGCGCCGCTCGGGGCGGGCGTGGCTGACCCTGAAGCCCAGCGCGGGCGCCACAGCGGCGGCACTGCAGCAGTTAGAGTCGAATGACGGCGTTGGGTGCGGGAGCGCAGCAGCAGCAGCGCTCAGAATGCGCTGGCAGCAGAACGGGCTCGGCTAGGCACAATTTCAGTGTCGAGCCTCCCATGGACAGACCGGGGCAAGCGGCGGGCGCTCGTACGCTGCGAGACGACGGCGCCAAAAGGGGCAACGCCGCCAATCGCGCACGACGGCCGCGCGTCGGTAAAGCGCTGCCGTGGGAGCACAATACGCGCGCGTCAGGCCACGTGATGAGGGCGGCCCGCATGGCTGTGCAGCGCTGCCGCTGCATCCGAGTCGCCCTCGGGCCGTTCAGCCGCCGGCCCGGATCGCTTGGCCGCGGCGAAGCTTTGTTTGGGCTGCGGCACTTGAGCACGCATGACGGCGCCGGCACCGGCAGAGCGAGAGCGGCAGGCAGCCTGCAGCGATGCAGCGCAGAAGCAGCGGAGGCGCAGCGGCGCGCGGCGGGTGCCTCTCCATGCGGAGAAGCTCGCCGCTCCTCGCCGTGCCGCGCTCGGCTGCGCTGATGCTGCTGCCGTGCCGCCCACACACGCGACGCGCCGTGACGTCGGATCCGCCGGCGTCATGGCGCAGCAAGGGTGTCTCGCCTTCGCTCCGCGCTGGGGCACGGCGTTCTCCACCACCACGCAGTAGCACCCAGCGTCAGCGCTGGCCGTCAAGCGCCGTCTTGGCAGCTGCGGGACATCATCCGCCGCCCCGCCTCCGGGTGGGAGGGGCCCTCGCGGCGAAGTGCCGCTGATAGCGGAGCGAGCGCTCGCCCGGAGTCTTAGTCCGCCCGCCGATCCATTTCGTGCCTGGCATCTAAGGTGCCGGGCGAGAGTGCGGAGACGTGCCCCCGCCGCATCGTCTTAAAGACGCGCTTCTCGCAGCTCGCACCAAGCGCCAGCCCACCTCATCAAGCCCCTCACCTCCTCAAACCTTCGCCCACAATGCGCATAGTAGCCGCCTCGCTGCTGCTGGCGCTGCAGCTATCCCATGCCGGCGCGTCGCCGCTGCTGGCGCTGCGCCAGGACAATGCCACGGCCGTGCTGCCGTCGACGGCCAGCATGGCGCCCGAGCCGACGGGCAGCACCGTCTCTTCCGCCGCTGCCACGGCGTCGGGCACCGTCTCGAGCTCGTCGGCCTCAGCCACACCTGTGCCCTCGGCGTCCGCCACGCCCGTCGTGCCCGAGACGACGGCGGCTTTCAACTGGACGGCCCGTGTGGAGACGTACAACGCGACGGCGTGGGAAGCGCAGCCCTATGTCGCCAACGGCTACATCGGCGCTCGTCTACCTGCTGCTGGCATGGGCTACTCGGAGAACCTTCCTGCTGCAGATGATCCGGAGCAGGGCGGTCTGGGCTGGCCACGTGAGTACGCGAAGAAGGGCGCGGCAGTACTCTTGCGGCTGACACCTTCCCCCAGTCTTCGGCCCGCGCACCACGGCCAACATGCTCGCCGGCTTCTACTGCTACGTCCCAGTCGATCAGCCTACGATCGGCACCAACTACGAGCGCACGGACCACGAGACGGTCATCAGCCGCCTGCCAATCTGGACGGGCCTGTACGTGACGCTGAACGAGTCAACCTACTCAGCGCAAACGCCGGCCGAGGACATTTCCGACTACGTGCAGACGTTCTCCTTCCGCAACGGCACCGTGCAGACAAACGTCACGTGGTCCGGTGCGCAGCTCTCCTACACGCTGCTCGCCCATCGCAGACGGCCCAGCCTCGGCCTCGTGCGCCTCGACATCTCGGGCCTGCCGCAGGACGCTGAGGTGACCATCTCGGATGTGCTCGACGGCCGGGGCGCCGCTCGCGTCGAGAACCAACAAGCAGGCGCCGTCAACGCCAGCGAGCTGCCCGCTGCGATCTACTCGTCGCTCTCGCCGGTCCGCGTGCCGGAGGTGACGGCGTACGAGTTCAGCACGCTTGTGCAGGAGGGCTCGGACGGCAATGCTACGCTCACATCCGCTGAGCTGCCCGTCTCGGTCAGCGCCATCATCGGCGCCGAGTCAAGCTCCACGAGCACCGCGTCGTACACGCTGCGTGCCGTCAACGGCAGTATCTCGGTCTGGAAGGCAGTGGGCATTGCCTCGCACGATGCCTTCGACGACCCGCGGGCTCAGGCTCTCAGTGCCGCCAGCCAGGCACGCGAGGCTGGCTGGGACGCGCTCGTGGCGGAGCACAGTGCCGAGTGGGAGACCATCTGGAACGAGGGCGGCGACATTGAGATCCACCAGCAGTCGCAGGAGGGCGAGGACTTGCAGCGTGTGGGTGAGTAGCAGCTCGGCGTTCAGGCGAATCAACGAGAGGAGATAGGCGCGTGCTTTTCGGACTACCAAGCGATCCTGGAAGGTCCACGAGCGATACTGACGCAGTCGTGCACAGCCCGTGCCTCTCTCTTCCACCTGCTTGCAAACGTGCGCGAGGGCTCCGAAGGACGCGGTCTTGGCGACAACGGCATCGCACCGGCCGGTCTCACCAGTGACGCGTACGCTGGTGAGTGCAGAGCTTCAAACGTGCCTGCGGCCGGAAGCTGACGCTGTTCACGTGTAGGCAGCATCTTCTGGTAAGTCAAAGACGCACAGGGTTATCTGCACCGCTGTTGCTCACACCTCATCAGGGATGACCAAACGTACATGATTCCGAGCTTGATGACGCTATTCCCCGCGTTTTCCGAGTCGTCTCTGCTGTTCCGGCAGAGGAACTTCACACAGCTGGAGCGCAATGCGCAGCAGTACAACCGTGAGGGCATCCTGTATCCCTGGATCACAGGCCGCAACCCGGCCTGCACCGGCATCGGCCCGTGCTACGACGTGAGTCGCCCAGTCGCCCCGACAACAATGCTCTGGCTAACCGAAAGGCTGCAGTACGAGTACCACTACAACAACGGCGTTGTCCTCGCGTACTGGCAGTACTACCAGAGCACCGGCAACCGCACGTTCCTCGAGCAGCTGGCGTGGCCCATCATCGGCAACGTGTCCGAGTTCTTCGCGTCGCAGGTCTCCTTCGTCAACGGCTCGTACACTCTGCTAAACGTCACGGTGCGTGGGATAGGCAACGCAGCCCCCATCGGCTCGACGCTGACGTGCTGTTCAGGCGCCCGATGAGTTTGCTAACCAGGTCAACAGCGAAGCCTTCACCAATGCGGGCACAGCACGGACCTTCGAGATTGCCCTGGAAGCGTCCAGCATCCTGAACTACTCTGTGCCGAGCAACTGGTCGGAGATCGCGCAGAACATGGCCGTGATCAAGACCGAGACGCCGTCCAATGACACGCTCGTCGTCGAGTTCGCAGAGTTCAATCAGACAGTCGGTGAGCGGTGCCGAGCCTAACGCGCTCAACAGTCGCTGACGCGCCGTGGCTAGTAATCAAGCAGGCGGACGTGGCTCTCCTGACCTACCCGCTGGAGGTATCGCGCGACGTCCGTGAGTGCTGCAGGTCCCGAACCACCTGGGCTGATGCTGACCTCTGCCGCAGAGCCTGACCCGCTGGCAGACCTCGAGTACTACGCCGGCAAGACGAGCGCTGCCGGCCCGGCGATGACGTACTCCATCTACGGCATCGTCGCCTCCGCCGTCTCCGAGAGCGGCTGCGAGGCCTACACGCGAACGGAACAGGGCTGGCAGCCGTACGTCCGGACCTACACCCAATTCAGCGAGCAGCAGCAGGACGTGTACACCGAGGCCTCGCCCTTTAATCCGAGCTACACCTTCCTTACGGGCCACGGCGGCTTCCTGCAGAGCTTCACGCACGGCCTGACGGGCTACCGCACGCGCACCAACACCTTCTACCTCGACCCCAGCCTCTTCCCGCAGCTCAGCGACGGCATCACCGTGCGCGGCATGCACTGGCACGGCGCACGCCTCGACGTCAGCGTCGGCGGCTCCAACTCGTCGGTCACGCACGTCAACGGCACCGAGCCCATCACCGTGCAGCTCGCCGAGCGCAACCCGCTGGCGGGCAACTACACGCTGGCGCCCGGCGAGACGCTCACCTTCCCGACGCGCCGCACGGATGCCACGCTCACGTCGCCCGGCAACCTTGCCCAGTGCAAGAACGCCACGTCCGAGCAGGAGTTTGTCAAGGGCCAGTTCCCGTACGGCGCCATCGACGGCTCGAACGCGACGCTCTGGTCGCCGCTCAACGCGTCTACGCCCTCGACGCTGCTCATCGACCTCGGCGAGCCGTACAACATCAGCTCATTGCACGTGAACTGGGGCCAGTATCCTGCAGAGACGCTCAGCATCCGCACCGGCCTCACGGCTGGCGGCGAGCTGACCGAGGCGGCCGCAAGCATGCCGGTCAACGTCAGCAGTGCCTTCGACGCCGCCAACGCGCTCGTCATTGACCTGGCCGAGGGCAACCAGACGGACGTGACGCTGGCCAGCACGACGGCGGCACGCTTCGTCGCTCTCGAGATCCAGGGCTGCGCCACGGAGGGCCAGCTGCCGACGATTGCCGAGGCCATCGTGCGCTGAGCGCGCGCGCGACGCTACTCCGCGCCCTGCCTCCGAAGTCTCCAGCGCTCCAGATGCTCCTTGCTACGCTACGCCCATTCTCCTGCGCATCTTACGCGCCGACTCCACTCACATGAAATCGTAATCACTCCATACTGCTGTCCAAGGCGGTGTCGCTCTGTCGCCTTGCGAAGGATGTGCCGCGGCAGCTCTGCAACGCGTGTCAGGGGTGCAGGCCGCAGCGCGCCCCTGAGCAACGTGCACGCGGCCCCGACGCGCTGCAGCGCACCAGCACGGCTCGCTCTCGCGCGGCTGGTGACGAGCGGAAAGCGCGGCAGACCAGGAATAGCAGCCCAAGCCGCTCTGCATGCGCAATGTGGCTTGATGATTTGCGATTGCCGCGGCTACTTCCTCACGGCCAGGGGGGCGTCCGTCGCGGCGTAGGCTGGCGGTAGCGCCACCTGACGAGGTTTCCTCGGGCGTGCTGGTCCCTTCAGGCTGCGAGATCGCGAGCTCGGTGGGTCGAGTTGAGAGCCACCTGCGGCTCTGCTTCGAGGCTGATGCTCGCCTTGGCTGAAGGCGTGCGCCGCGCGGAGGAAGCGGCTCCGCTGCGATCTCGCAAGCGGAAGTGCTGCAGGTACGCGGAGGCTCCGCGTTCCAAACTGGGCACAAAGTGGCACCCTCGTTTCTCGCTGCCAGCAAGCGAGATCTTGGGGTGCTCGGCAGGCCACGAGCGATGCGTGCGAAGTGCATCGCTGCACCCTTCGCTGCGTCACTCGAGAGCGGGCGATATTCGGGAGCACCGGTCTGCGCAACCACGGCTTGGCTTCACACCCCATCCCCCTCGAAGCCCTTTCAACACGCGACGTGCCCACCTTGAGCTCACGAGCACCCGCTGGTCTCATCATCATGAGCGGCAGATGTGAGCACATGCTCGCTTGTACCACGCCGGCCGGCGCAGAGCTGACAGCGCCGCGCAGGCTTCAACACGACGGTCTTTCACACGGCCGTGCGCTGTCCCGACTTCTCGCCTGTCCAGCAGCTCGTGCTCTACGTTCCCGCCGTGTGCTTCTTCGCGCCTTGCGTCCTCCTGTTCGTGTGGTACCGCGCCAACTTGTACTCCGGCAAGCACAAGATCAGGTGGGCAGTGCCGAGCCTGCCTCGCGGTGAACAGCCGCTGACGCGCCGTGACAGGCGCGCGGCGCTGTGGTACCTCATCCTCGGCGGCTTGTTCGGTGAGCAGGAGACGTGCGCCATTTCTGCCGCATTCGCTGACTCCTGTGCAGCATTCGTGATCGCAACCCTGGTACGCCGGCCGACGACCGTTCCGTGCTGTCTCGCCAGCTGACTCTCGCTCGCGTACAGGACGAACGCTCGCACCTTGATGCATACGTCTCGCGCGCGATTGGTGCGTCTCTCTCGCAAGGCATGCGGGTGACGTCGTTGACGCTTCCATCCGCAGGCTGGCTCAGCGGCTTTCCCATATCGTTCATCCTCGCGGCTATGTACACGCTGTCGCCAGTCAGTGAGCCGATGGCTGCCGATGTGCATCGCTGACCCCAGTCGATAGACGCTGCCGCACTGGTTGGAGACCTCGCTGTTTGGGCTCGCGTCGAACGTTGGCCTGCTCAACGATCTGGCCGCGCTTCTTGAAGGTGTGTGACCTCGTTGCTTTGCTTGTTTGGGGTGCGCGAAGAGGCTCTGATATCTGTCCAGTGAAACATCGAGAGGGCAGGCCTACGTTCGCCGACCGTGAAGGAGAGCAGCACACGCTGTCGCTCAACAGGGTCCAGGTGCGCCTCACAGTCTCTCACGCACGGCACTGCGACTGACGCTCAGTGCAGCTTGCGCTCGGCATCGTCTTTTGCGCTCTCCTCGCTCCGGCTCAAGCGCGTGCCGCCTTTCCCGGCCTCGTCATCCCAAGTTGGTTGACGTTTCGGAAGCCGCTGCAGCGCGCCCGATCTCCCAGCGTAGAGGCGCCAACTCGCCGGCTCCGTGTTTCGCACCAGGCCAACAACTCGAGCTCGTCGGACGAGGGCGCTGCAGCGCTGAGAAGAGACAGCGTCCAGCCTGGAGAAGCGCAGAGCGACACGTCGGACGCCGCTGCCTCGCAGCTCGAGCCTTCTGTTGGGTGCATGCGCGCGTGCGCAGCAGCTTCGCTCAGCGCCACGACGCTCTTCGTCATCGTCTCCATCATGCTCCTCATTCGCTCCACCGGCTTCGCCGTGCAGTTCGCGGCGAGCATGCTCAACGCGCTTGGCTTCTTGTTGCTGTGTGGCGCGTGCTACCTCGATGCGGTGCGAGTGAGGCCGACCGAAGCGCCCATGGATCTCGAGGCTCTGCCGCGCCAGCACTCAGCCGACCCGTTCAAGCGCTCGCCGATCCGGACTGTTGCGAGTGCCTCGACGCTTCGCTCGCGCACGGCGTCGCCTCGATCATCGGGCACCGAATCGCCCGCCGTATCTCGCATCGATCGAGCTGCGTACTTGCTTCACGGCACCGCCGCCAAGCAGCACCGGCCACTCAGCGAGAGTCCGCCGCCGGAAGGGCTGCCAGAGTCGCCGACGACTCAGCGCGCGGGGCTCTACGCCGCCTCGCTCGCGGGCGACAAGCGCCTTGCGCCCGAGCTGGTATTGCCGCCGCTGCGCCGAGCCGTTTCAACGCCGCTGCGTGGGAGCCTCTACGAGAAGCCAAAGACTGGCACGGGTCCCTACAGCTTCCTCGATGTCAAGACGGCCGACTTTGGTCGCACGCGCACCTCGTCGAAGAACTCGAATGTCTCGGCTGGCGCAGTCTCGCTGCTGCGCCTGCGTCGCTCCATCGCGCAACTGGGCACGGTCTTCCGCAGCCACGCTGCCATGCCTTCTTCGCCCACCGAGTGCCACGCGGCCATCGACGAGGCGCACTCGGCGGCGTACTCATCGCAGTCGCTGCTGCGCTCCGTCGACACATGCAGCAGCACGGCGCACCGACAGGACAGCACGCGCTCGGCGTCGACTGCGGCGAGCTGGGAGCGCTTCTCGTGGCGCGAAGACTCGATGTCGTGCAAGCGCGACTCGTGCATGCCCTGGGCCGACGCCGCCGACCGGATGCGGGAGCTGCCCGTGCGCGCAGTGTCGGCGAGCGACGAGCACGGCCACCACGCATGGCGCCTGTCGGCGATCAGTGACGCAACGTTCCCGGCGAGGATCGGCGGCGCGCTGGAGCTGGACGTGGGCGACATCCCCGACGTCGACACGCCGGTGCGCCAGGACGAGTCGGCGCCCGCGGGCTACTTCCCCGAACGATCGCCGCTCGAGAGCACGGGCGTCGCAGCAGCGACACAGCCGCAGACCGACCGCTCGTCGTCGCAGAGATGGCGCTCGGAGCGTCGCCCTTCGACGCCGCTGGCGCTCGACGTCTTCCATTCCACCGCCCGGTCGCCGAAGAGCCACACGCGGTCGGCCTCGCTCGGGCACCTCGACGATCTTGCATTGAGCATGAGCGATGCAGTCTTCGCAGTCGAGCCTCTTGCGATCCCATCGGCGGCGATGACCCGCAGCCGCGACGCCGTCTCTTCCTGGTCGGAGACTATCCCGCATCATCCGCTCCGCATTCCCCCGTCGCCGAAACGCAAGCCCGTCCCGGCGTACCTGGATCTTCCGCTGCGCAGTCTCTCGCCTCCGTGGATGCTGCCGGGTCAGAACGCGGACCGCCCGCACTTCGCCGCGCCTATCGCCTCGGCGCCCCCGACGGGCAGCTCCATCATGCAGCAGCGGCAGCATCTGCCAGCGCTCGTCGCGCCGAGCCCCACTCGCCCCCACGCGCACAAACTCGTCGTCGAGCACGATGGCAGCGCCGCAGAGCCGGAGCAGCAGCCGAGCCGCCTCGCAAGCCCGCGTCGCACGACGTGCCTCTCGCGCTCCTCGTGCGAAGAGGATGCGCATGCCTATCGCACGGCTGCGCTCCTCTTTGGCGGCCGCAAGCCGAGCGGCCTGGCGAGCTCGTGAACACAGATGCCTCTAGACCGTCGTGTACCTTCCTGCTGTTGCCAGAGCTCCCGTCACCGTTCCGCGTCCTGTCATGTGCCTCTGCTTGCTTGCAATCAATGCTGCCGAGATGCTGCACTTGCGATGCATCACGTGAGGATCCAGCTTGCGTTCTGGTACCACGTGAGCAGCGGGTTGGTGCCGTCGCGCAGGCGCGTCGCATTCGTGTCGGCGTAGCGGCTGAGAAACTCGGCGTGCGAGCAGACGACGCTGTGCTCGCGCCGGTGCTGTGCCGAGTACGGGTTGCGCGCCGGTGCCGAGAAGAAGTGCGGCTCGAGGCGCGCAGTCGGCTTGCTGCCCTTGCGGGCGGAAGGAGAGGCGCGTCTTGATGCCTTCAGCGCCGAGGGCGCAGCCATGACGCGCGCATACACCTCGCGCAGCAGCTCGAAGTTCGTCGGGAAGAAGATGTCGAAGAAGCCCTGCAGCACGCGGTACGTCGTCACCGGCACCATGGTGCCCTCGAGGCGCGTCTGAACGACAGGAGCGTCGACGCCCTTGACCGCATCGGGCAGCGCGTGGAAGTCGGATGCGACGAGGCGGTGCTGCGGGAAGTGCGCACGCAGCACGTCGAGCATCTGCAGCTGGCCCGTCGGGATGTAGTGCGGCGGCGTGAGGTTGGGGTAGAAGGGCATGTGTGCCTCGAGCATCCGCCACACGGCGCGTGGCAGAAGACGCATGAGCCGCGGTGCGGACAGCGGCCAGCTGCTGCCCGTCGCGGCGGCCGTGAGAGCGAGGTAGCGCGCAATGAGCGGGTCCGAGACGCGCTCCCACAGCTCGTGCATGTCGCCCGTCGAGTCGATCGACACGACTGCCTGATACGGCTCGAGCGTGGCAGTGCTGTAGCGCACGACGTCGTGCGTGAGGTTGTCCTGCGCAGCGTGTGAGCAAGCGTGCGTGGCTCACCTCTGCGCGCAACTCACCAGCACCTCCAACGCGAGCACAAAGCACGGCTCCGCCACGTCCTCGTCCCACTCGAGGAAGCTGCGGTTCTTCACCACGACGCGCTCCGCGTGCTCGCGCAGTCGCCGGCGCTGCTGCGTCGCCAGGCGCTCGCTGATCTCGACGATGACGTAGCGAGTACGCGCGTAGATCTCCGGCTCGCTCTCGCGCAGGTAGCCGAGGACATCGGCGGCCAGAGCGCCTGAACCGGCGCCGAGCTCGTAGATGACGAGGTCGTCGTACGGGTATAGGTTCAGCTTGTACTCGGCGCAGAGGTAGCGGGCGATGGCATGGGCGTAGTGCGGCTGCAGAGGGCATGTCAGAAGGCCCCACGGAGTACGTCATCGCGGCACGCACCTTGAACAGCTCTGTCGGCGTGTGCCAGACCTGCCGAGCGGCCATGGCCCGCACATCCTCCTCGTGCTTCATCGCCTGTTCAGCTCCCACGCCCACCGTAGCGGCATGCTGCTGCGCCTCGACCATCTCCCGCCCGCGCCGCTGCGCCTCCTCGAGCGCCTCGGCACTACCCGGTCGTGGCCGCGGTCGTGACGCAGCTGCGCTAGGCTTCGGTGCCGGCGTAGGAGCAGCAGAGCTAGGCAGCGGCGGCAGCGTGGCCTCGAAGGCGTCGTAGCGCTGCTGCACAGCCGCAGCAAAGGCACGCTCGTTGGAGAAGCCGGTGAAGTCGAAGCCGCTGCCGAGCGGCGGGAGCGGGGCGCCGTCGGGCCCCTCAAGCGCGCTGCTCGTGCTGGCGACCATGTCGGGCAGCAGCACCGCATGGCGCGAGAAGTAGCCGTAGTGCGGATTGTAGAGGGAGTCGTGGATGAAGTCGCGGGCGAGCATGCGCACGCTGCGCGGCCGCTCGGGCGACGCCTGCAGCGCGGCGGCATCGACGAGCGGCAGCTCATAGTGCTCGGCGGCGGGCAGCGGCGTGAAGGGGTCGACGTTGTACTGCGCGCGATGCCGTCCCCAACTGGCGTCCTCGTCGCTCTGCTTTGGCCGCGGCGGCGTGCTGCTGCCGGACGCCTTGCTGCTGCTGGCGCGGCAGCGCGACGGCGCTGCGGCCGCTCGCGCGGAAGAAGAGGCAGCCGCGAGCGCCGCGATGCGCAGCGCACTCGGCAGCTGTGCGCGAGGCAGGAGCGGCAGGGCCATGCTGACTGCTGCGGAGTGGGAGTGGAGAAGGACGCCGGGTGCGGAGCGGTCGGACCACCCCAAGAGCGTGTGACGCTGCTTGATGCTGACATAAGCCGGCACCAGCATGAGAGATCCGCGTCGCGTCCAGTCGGGCTCCCACGCAGCAGCCGAGGCGCTGCCAGCCACAGCGGCGCCGCTGCGCCGCCTTTGGTTTTTTGCGCCTCGAGCGCGTTCAGGCCGCGCGCGTCTGCGGCGTCAGCTCTTCTCTTGCGGCTACCACGCCCCAGCCTCGCGCTCAAAGTGTCACACTCGCTCGCCACCATGGTCCCCGCTCCCACCAGCACCGGCAACGGCGCCGCCGCGTCGGGCTCGCGCCCGCTGCTCGACCCCAAGGACGCCGTCAAGGAGCTGGCGTCGTACGCCACGGGCGACGGCCTCAGCATGGCCGAGCTCATCGACAGCCGCGAGCACGGCGGCCTGACGTACAACGGTGAGGGCGAACTGGCAGCAGCCGCATCCGCTGCCGCCGTGCTTATCCCTCTCTCCCAGACTTCCTCGTGCTGCCCGGCTTCATCGACTTCCAGGCGTCGGCCGTGTCGCTGCGCACGCGCATCACGCGCAACGTCGTGCTCAACACGCCCTTCCTCAGCTCGCCGATGGACACCGTCACCGAGACGGAGATGGCCATCGCGCTCGGCCTCATGGGCGGCCTCGGCGTGATCCACAACAACCTCACCGCCGAGGAGCAGGCGAGCATGGTGCGCAAGGTCAAGAAGTACGAGAACGGCTTCATCACCGAGCCGCTGTGCCTCAGCCCCAAGGAGACCGTCGGCGACGTGCTTGAGATCAAGGCGCGCCTCGGCTTCGGCGGCATCCCGATCACTGGTGAGTGTGCCTTGGCCTCGCAGACGATGCACGCGCACGGGTACGAGATGAAAACAAATTCAACTGCTATAACCTTCGTTCTGCCGACGTAACCTCTTCGGAGGTGACCTGGGGACAATCAACTCATGTCCACTGACTCCGATGCGCCGCACACCACTGCTTCTGTGATCCTTGCGCTGACACCTGTGCTGCTTAGACACCGGCGCTCTTGAGGGCAAGCTTGTCGGCATCGTGACGGCGCGCGACGTGCAGTTCCGCGACCCGCAGATCGCGCTGTCCGAGGTCATGACGACGGAGCTCGTCACCGCCAAGCAGGGCGTCACGCTCGAGCAGGCCAACGCCATCCTGCGCGACTCGAAGAAGGGCAAGCTGCCCATCGTCGACACCGAGGGCCGCCTCGTGAGCCTGCTGGCGCGCTCGGACCTGCTCAAGAACCAGAACTACCCGCTCGCCTCGAAGCTGCCCGAGAGCAAGCAGCTCTACTGCGCTGCCGCCGTGGGCACGCGGCCCTCGGACCGCGAGCGCCTGGCGCTGCTCGTCGAGGCCGGCCTCGACGTCGTCGTGCTCGACTCGTCGCAGGGCAACAGCACGTTCCAGGTCGAGATGATCCAGTGGATCAAGCAGACCTACCCGCGCCTGGACGTCATTGCTGGCAACGTCGTCACGCGCGAGCAGGCCGCCACGCTCATTGCCGCCGGCGCCGATGCGCTGCGCGTCGGCATGGGCAGCGGCTCCATCTGCATCACGCAGGAGGTCATGGCCGTCGGGCGGCCGCAGGGCACGGCCGTGCACGCCGTCGCTGAGTTCGCCAAGCGCTTCGGCGTGCCCGTCATCGCCGACGGCGGCATCAGCAACGTCGGCCACATCGCCAAGGCCCTGGCGCTCGGCGCCTCGGCCATCATGGCCGGCGGCCTCTTCGCCGGCACGACGGAGGCGCCCGGCGACTACGTGTACCGCGACGGCCAGCGCTTCAAGGCCTACTCGGGCATGGGCAGCCTTACGTCGATGGCGCGCAAGACGAACAAGCTTGCCGGCGAGAACGCGGCGACGCAGCGCTACTTCAGCGAGGACGACACGATCAAGGTTGCCCAGGGCGTTACGGGCCAGGTCAACGACAAGGGCAGCGTCCTGCGCTTCATCAACTACCTGTACACGGGCATGCAGCACTCGCTGCAGGACATGGGCGTGCGCGACCTCGCTGCGCTGCGCACCGCCGTCGACGCCGGCGCCGTGCGCTTCGAGCTGCGCACCGCCTCGGCACAGCTCGAGGGCGGCGTGCATGGCCTCTCGTCGTACGACAAGACTCTCTTCGGCTCGTAGACGCACCGCCTCGCTGCCATGCTCGCTACCCTCACCCCTTTCACCAACTGTACTTTAGCCGCGGCATTTATATGATTCGGAAAAGCAGCTCTGCGTGACGTCTCAGGCGATGTGCAGTGCCTCGCGCATCCGCCATCGTGCCTCGCTCCAGATGAGCTGTCGCTCGCGGCGGGCGCCGGCCGACAGACTGCTGTTCTCTTGCGCACGGCGCAGAAGGTACGGCAGCACGTCGTCGAGCGCGCCCCAGGGCACGTACTTGTGCACCAGTGGCGTCGCCGAGACGTCGCTGATACCGGCAGGGGAGGGTGCAGCGAAGGTGTGCAGCAGCAAGCGCGTCAGCTCGTCGGCCATGCCGTAGAGCTGCGCAAAGGCCAGCCGGCCGCGGACGTGCGGAAGCACGACGACGTGTGACTCGGTCTCTTGGTCCTCTGGCTGCGAGCTTGGCGAGCTGGCGAGGCCACAGGTCTGCATCTGTGCCACGACGGCGCGTGCGGAGGCGACGTTGTGGGAGGCAAAGACGACTGCCAACCGTGGAGCGCCATCCGCCGAGTCCTTGGCGAGCTCGTCGATCAGGCGGGCTGCGCAGGCGTCGTAGCACGCATCCGTCAGGGCCTGGTTGTTGAGCCATGCTCGTCAGCCAAAGAAGAGGAAGGCGACAGAGCGTGACGCACCTTGCTGGCCCACACCGGACTGCCTCGCTCTTCCTTCGCCACTGCCTTCTCGTCACGGTGATGTCCCGCCGGCGGAGGCTGCACGACGTGTGTGCGCCAGGCGGCATTTTCGATATCCACGTAGGCGCCTGCACGTGGGGTGAGAAAAGGCAGGAGTCAGCGTCTGTGTGCTCGCCCGTCTAGACTGCGAGCAGACGGACCGCGCACAAGCTTGACGCCGAGAGCGTAGCCACCGCGTCTTGCACGCTCGAGCGAGGCCGCGAGGTGGGAAGGCGTGCGTCTGAGGTACGTCTGTCGGAAGTGACGCGACGATCAGTGGCGAGAAGAAAGTGGATGGCTGCGCCGAGACACTCACCTGATATGTGTTGAAGAGGAGCGGTTGAGAAGCTTGCTGATCGGACAGCGAGTTGAACTCGCAGGCCAAGGCCTCGTACAGGGCATCGATGGCAGGCTGATACCACGAGTACTCGGCGTCTATCAGCAGTCTGACGTTCTTCTTTCGCGAATGCCTCGCTACGCCTCTCAGCGCTTCCCACAGCTCTTTGAGCGCGCTGGCATCTGCCGCATCGAGCGCCGCAAGCGGAACACTCAAACTGCCGCCGCCGACGCCCGCCGGTGGCGCCGGCGCAGGAGGCAGAGAGAAGTGCTCGCGAGGCACAATCGCTGCGCTGACGCGCTCGAAGACCGCAGGCGATGACAGCAGACCGGAGAGCTTGATCGCGATGCTGACGCTGCCGACCTCTGCAGCGGATGAGGAAGAGCTGGAGGCGACGTCGATCGAGTGCAGGAGCGAAGTGATCAACGCGGCGTGCACAGTGGCGCGGGCCTCTGCAGCGCGATGGTGCGAGTCGACTTCGCAGGAGTGGTTCAGAATGACCCCAGTGTGACGCTGAGCGAGCGAGTCCAGCAGAGGCAGCGTGGCCTCGACTGTCTCGCCGCCGACGAACTGTCCGCGGAGTCAGCTCTGCCTGGCTGGCGCAGCAGCAAGAGGCGCTCACATGAGCGAAGAAGGTCTTGCGAACGATCCAGTCAGTCATCGCAGCCACGCCCGGCAGTGAAGATGATCTCGCCCATGCCAGCAGGCCCGGCGCAAAGTCGACAAGATAAGGCACGCCAACGGCGCTCCAGATGAAGTAGGCGCGCACAAGCTCGTCGCGCGGCGAGCTTGCGAGTGGCCGAGAGGAAGGGAGATTGAGCGGTGAGAGGGCGTAGCCGAGCGACAGTGCACCGCCGCCAACGACGGAGACAAGGATGCGCCTGCGCCAGAGAGGTGCGTGGGCCGCTGCGGCCGAGGAGTGGGCGGCGCGGGCCGGCGCCGCGAGTCGGGCTGGGAGAGGTGCACGTGGCAGACCTGAGAGGCGCACTCGCAGCATGGATGGCCTGTCTGCCTGATTGCTGCGCTTGCTGCTGCTTGATGGTGGTGAGAGGCAGAGGTGGACAGTGTGCCGCGTCCTATCAAGGCGCAGCAGCGCGAGGTGTTGCTCTCGGCCCGAGCGCGCCGCACCGCCTCGTGCCTCAGGGGCGCAGTTGAGTGGAGCGGTGATGCTGGGCAGGAGACCCGCCGGCAGATCTCGCGCAGCAGCAGGTCGGCCTGACTCGCCCTTCAGCCGCAATCAGTCGAGCACCTCGTCAGACTCAGGAGGCGCAGCGGCAGCGAGCGGGGCCGGCGGGTCGCATGCCGCGGCTGTGCCCCGAGGCGCGCTAGGGCCGCCTCCAGGGCCTGCTCCCACGCTTTCTGGCGTGGTGCTGCCGTGCCGCGGCTAAACTCGATCCGGCACGGGTGCAGCGTCACGTGGTGCGCGCCCTGGCTGGGCCGCCTCACTGCGCCGCGAAGATCCGGCCGAGCAAGACAAGGCCACCTCGACCTCGAGGCAGCCTCGGCGCCGCGCGGCGCACGAGCATCTCCTCTCCACCTCCTCCGCCGCTCCCTCGCGCACCCGCACTCCCCTCTCCCGGCGCTCCCTCTCAAGCTGCTGCTGCGTCCCGCGCCCGGTGCTGCGCTGTCGCACGCATGCATGCGCGCCGTGCTGCCTGCGCTTGTGCGCCTGGCGCGCAGCAGCGGCAGGCCGCGCGCGGGCACGGGCACGGGCAGCAGCGCAGGAGGTAGCGCGGGCGCTCGCTGTCTGCGCACGGCGGCAGTGGCAGTGCAGGTGGGGCATGGTGCTGCAGAGGTCGTGCACAGCGAGCAGCAGCGGCCTGCGCCTTCTGCGCCCTGCGACGCACAGCCGACGTGCAGGCCACCATCGCCGGTGCCGCAGCAGCAGCAGCAGCCGCAGCAGCAGCCAGTCTTCGCCTCGGCACCGCCCTTTCCCTCTTCCTCCTCGCACGCTGCCACCGCTGTGCCCAAGCGACGAGCACCTCGTCAGCGCTCGACTCCGGCCGCCAAGCCTGCTGCCTCGCCGAGCACCTCTTCGCGCCGCTCCTCCTCCTCGACCTCTCTTCTCGGCCACTTGCTCGCCGCACAGCGTTCCGAGCCCAACATCAGCGCACCGGCGCTCTATGCGTATCACACACATCTCCTCGACTCCTCCGCTGCCTCTTCGTCTGCGCCATGCCGGCCGAGCGCGGCGTCCTACTACTTTCTGCTCAAGCTCGCAGCACGGCGCGGCGACGCTGCGCTGCTCGCCAGCATCGGCGCTGAAGCTGCGGCATGGGAACAGGCGCAGCCCGCGCCCTCTTCGCACCTGGCGCTGCTCGCCGGCAACCTCACTCGCGCCCTCGAGGCGCGTACTGGCGTGCGGCGTCGGAAGGAGAAACCAGCCCCTAGACGAAGAGGGTTGCGCGAAGCAGCGGAGGCAGCAGCGCCGTCGGATGCGTTCAGCTACGCCGCTTCGCTGCGCGTTCGAGCACCGGCGCTGCTCGTGCCTCAGCCGCAGGAGCTAGAGCTTGACGTCCATCTGCGGCCGCTCGAGCCCTCCGGTCGCCGGCCCGCGCGGCCGCGCTTCTCGCCGGTGGAGCGAGCGCCTAGGCGTCTGGCGCCGCACGTCAGACGAGGCTTGCAGGAGGTGCAAGCGGAGGCCGCGACACAGGTGCGCTTGGCCGAGCTGAGGAGAGAGCATGAGCTGCTGGCGCCTGCACCTAGCGCGCCGCTGCGAGCGGGGGGCGGTCTGCCTGAGCCGGCGCAGGCGAGGGCGTTCGAGCGGTGGCTGGCCATACTGCAACGACGCGAGGAACAGCGACTGGCGCTGGGCGCGGACATGGCCCGCAGCAGGAGCGCCGCTGAGCTGGCGAGCAGCCGAAGCAGGAGCGCGGACGAGTCTGACGCCAACGCGCTGCCGCCGGCCTACGTCGTGCTGGCTGCGCTCCGTCGGCTAGTTGAAGTCGGCGACGCACAGGCTTCTCTCGCACTCGTCCACGCCTACATCTCCGCCGTGCCGGCAGCGCAGCAGTCGACACTTCGGCTCAACAAGCGCATCACACGCCCGGTCAGCGAGCCGAACGTGCCGATCAGAGGCGCCAGCTTGCTCAACCTCGTCCTCCGCGCTCACTTCGTGGCTGGCGATGATCTGACACAGGCTGCCAAGGCGTGGCAGGAGCTGGTCGGCGGCAGCCCGCCGTGGGCACCCAAGCCGGGGCCCAAGCCAGTCGATGCGCCGTCAGTGGAGCCCAGCCGCTCTGCCACACCGCGTCTCGTGCCAGACGAGAACACGGCGCTCCTGCTGCTCGCCCTTCTCCGAAGCGACGCGCAACGCTGCGCTTCCGGCGCCAAGCTGCTCCTCACGCTCATGGGCAAGCACGGCGCTCGTCCGCGAGCCGGCCATTCCGCTCGTCGTTCTCTGCGCTACACCACGCGCGTGACACGCGCGCTGCTGCGAGCCGCGCTGCGCTGCGGCGCCAAGGACGTGGCACGCAAGGCGTTGACGCTGCACGCCAGCTGGCGACGCGCCGCGCTGACTGTGGACGGCGCGCCCCAGGATTGGGAGCGCAAGAAGGCGGCAAGTAGAGGCGAGAGGCGCAAGTGGCGGGATGTGCTCAACGCCCTCGTGGCGAGGCGCTGGATCTCTCGGACGCACCGAGCTGCAATAGAGTGATGCCTGCCGCGCCGCTTCGAGCGTGAGGGACTGAGAGGAAAGGGGCAATCGTTATCGTATTCGTACGGGCGTCGGAGAAGCCAAGCATAAAGGGGCTGAAATAGCGATGTGACGTGGGTCGGCTCGCAGAGCGACCGGCCGAGCAGAGCACAGGGCCAGATGAGAGCTGTAAATGAGCCAGCCAGGCAGTAGACCTGGCGCTGGGCCCATCGACGCTGCGCTTAGACCTGGGAGCCACGCGTGAAGTACGCCTTGGCGCCGTGCGCTGCGAACTCGGACTTGGCCTGGGCGAACGTGTGACCCTCTGCGGAGGAACGGGACGTCAGTCGCGCGTGGCTGCGCTCGGCGTGGGCAGCACGCACGCTCTTTGTTGTGCTGCCAGATCTGCGCTTGAGGCGTCAGCGATGAAGAGCGAGCGACGCAAGGCGGCTACGCTCACCTGCCGGTAGTACCACAGGTTGCCAAGGCCCTGCACTGCGAAGCCGACCGTGACGACTGTTTGCGAGAACACGCGCGGTCAGCTGGAGCTGCAACAGCATAGACAGCTCATGACGCACTGCAACCAAGAATGCCGGCGACGACTGCGGGCGGCAGACGCGTCAGAAGAGCAGCGGAAAGGCGGCAGACCTGGCAGTCGACTTACTGCGCTTGCTCTCGTCCGTGAAGCTGTAGATCGTGTTCAGCAGTCCGCACGAGCCGGTCGAGGGGATGCCGAGGAACAGGTAGAGAGAGAAGACGACTGGCAGATGAGAGTGTAAGCACTTGCGCTGTGGCACGAGGACAGGCTAGCACGCACGATGGAAACCGCAGCTGGAGAAGCAGAGAAGAGGTGAGCACAGAAAGCAGGGCACAAATTGAGGCGCAGACGCACAAGCTGAAGGTCGTGCAACGTCAGCAACAGCAGTCTCGATACCAGCGTAGCGCGCGACTCACACAAAGTACAAGTCTGCACGAAGGCGAGAGAGCGCATCGGCGGGATGAGCAGGAGAGCGACAAGCGACGAGGCGCGCAGCACCCACAGTAGAAGATCGAGTGCTCCTTCATAAAGCCATTGTACACCGGCCTGAGGACGCCGGCGTCAGGGCAGATCAAGCTGCTGCTCAGAGTCATCACTCACCGGTACCACAGCAGAAAGCTCAGCACGCTGATCACCGGCAGGTACACGCAGCTCGTGATGATGTCCTTGATGCCGTCCGAGCCACGCGTGATCAGGAAGACGCATGCGACCACCTACCACGGGCTCAGCATGGAGTGCACAGATGCAGCGGCGCGCACAGCACGACTCACATTGACCACGAGCGTCCCGGCAAGCACGAGCCAGAGCCAGTAGAGGTGGTGCATGATCTGCTGCGAGTCTGGCGGGATCTCGGCGTCGATGTCGTGGAAGATCAGAGGGAAGACTGGAACAGCGTGTAAGCTCGAGACATCAAGACGCGCATCCCTGTGCTGCGTCACTCTGCCGCCGCTGCGCAGCTGCTCGCTCGCAGCTCGGGCCGCTGCCGCCCTCCTGGTCGGCTCAGCAGCAGCCTGACTTCACTGCGGCCCACCTTCTCTCTCTGCACAGCGAACCCTCAGCGCACATTCAGGTAGCTGCGTGCTTTTGCCCTCGAGATTTTCGAGGGCTATTGCCCTGTACAAGCGAGGGCAACCTAGCCAGGACGCAGCAGTAGGTGCAGCAGTCGAGCCGCTGCATGCGTGCGAGACGTAGAGCAAGCGGTGGACAGTCATGCCCACCCAAGCACCAAAGCAGCCAGCCGGTACGGTTCCCTCAGCACGCAGCCTCATGAAACGGCTGTCCCTTCGTAGCCACGCTGCCGTCCTGCTCGCTCGCCCATTGTTGCGCCCAGCAGCCGCCCGGACCGGAGCAGCCTCGCAGTGGCTCAGGGCGACAGCGAGTCTCGAGCGCTGGCTTCCAGCTTTACATCCGCGCCACACCTCTGCCGCACTCACAGAAGGGCCAGTTGTTGCGGCCGTGTTTCCGGATGTTCTCCGCCCGGTTGGCCAGCTCCGCCTCTCTGCGCTCCAGCTCCTGCTCCCGCCGCCGCAGCTCCTCTGCGCGGGCATTGGCGCCGCTGCCGCTGGTGCCGCCGCTGGTGCCGTACGGGTCGTCGGTCTCGTAGGCGCCCTTGGGCTGCGGCGTGCTGGCGTACGAGTGGCCGTACGGCGTGTCGTCGTCGGCCTCGAAGGTGCGCGAGCCGGCCAGTGCGCCCTGCACCGACGGGTCGGCAAAGGGGTTGGCGTCGAGCGCGGCGCGGTCGGCAAAGGGATCTGCAGAGGTGTGTGTCAGCAGGCATGAGCGTGATGCGGTGCGTATGGCACGCACCGGCCATGGTGGTGCGTGGATGGGTTGCGAAGGTGGTGGTGGCAGGAAGTGCGGGGCGTGCCGTGCGCAGCCGCGAAGCGAGATGCTGTGTCGGCGCCGCACAAGCCACGTGTGGCGCCGTGCCTGAAGCTGGCGCCGTGCCCGAAGGACGGCTGGTGGGCGCGTGGGACGCGTTCAGGGGGCGCCGGCACGCGTTGGGCGCAGCAAGGCCTCCTTTCTGTCCTGCGCCCACCGCCACAACGCCCGACGATCCATCCTGAGCCAGATTGCTGCTCCTCAAAGACATGCAAGGCGATGCCGCTTTCAGGCCGTTGCGACAGGTCGCGCCTGCGGGCGTGCTCTCTCTCCAGAGAGGCAGAACGCACGTCTATGCCGTGGCGAGGTGGAAGCTTCGCACGCTGACTGAGGGCCGGCGGCGAGCCTTCAAGCTGCCCTCCTGCGTCCGAATGTGCCTCGTCGACGAGCAAGAGCGATGCTTCTCGAGTGTTCCGCGAGCACCGCATCTCTCCGTCCTCCATGTCTAGTCGCCGCACACGCCCGATATGGCAGCAGCCCTCGCGTGGCCGTTGCGAGCCGCTCGACGGGCGCGCACAACGGCTGCGCGAGCGGGTGGGGCCTGCGTCATCCGCTCGGACGGCCGAGCGCAACGGTCACAGCATGCTGCGGCGTCTTCGTCCTCGCTGCTCGAGCGCTCCGTCTCGAAGATCCACAGCTGCCGCTCAGCCGCTGGGACGCACGCCTGTCGCGATAGTGCACGCACTGCGGCCGCTCGGAGGCTCGCCTCATGTCCGTCGGCCGCGCGGGGGCCTCGCCGGGCATTTTCAGCACCGGCATATAGAGGCCCCAACATTCTACGCCAGCCTGCTCGCCGAGCGTCTACACACGCACGCGAGGAGCGAGAGGGGTGTCATTCCAGTGCGGCTCCGGCGTCGCCAGCGCTCCCAGTCGAGCTGCATGGCCCTGCGCCCGTAGCCCTGCCGCCACCTACCCGACCACGACGACCTTCCGCTCCGGACACTCCGCAGGTGTGCCTCGCTTGGCGGACTTTCTCTTCAAGACGCCGTGTTGCCGCTCTGATATAAACAGACGACGCTCCTCGCGTCCCTCTCCCACCACCCGACGTTCCTCAAGCACTGACCCTCTGATCGCTGCGCACATTCTCCACCATGCGCACCCTTGCGCTCTGGCTCCTCCTGACGCCAGCACTGGCCACCTCGTTCTCCCCAAATGTCCTGCAGCCTTCCTCACTGCTCGCACCGAACCTCTATCCAGAGGCAGAGACGGTGCCGTTCCGTCCAGCCGCTGAAGAAGCTCAAGGCGCCGTGACGCGCGCATATCTCATCGAACTCGATGGCGCCGCCAGCAGCTTGGAGCACTGGCGCAACTGGGCACGTCGCTCAGAGAGCACTGCAAGCCATGCTGAGGCGGCAACGGGCGCTGGCGCCTCGACCTCGACTCCGCGATCAATAGCTCGCTCGCTTCTCGGTGCTGTGGACGCCCTCACACATCGCTACGGACTCCGAAGCAACGGCACGGATGACTGGCAGAACGGTCAAGCCGAGCAGCCGCAGAGCGACCACACGAACAGCAACTTGACCGATGGCCGCCAGGCTTCGAGCGCAATGCTCGGAGACGATGACGGCGCCCCGCCGGTGTACTTCAAGATCCGGCACGAGTTCGATGACCCGACTCTGCTGCTGGGCCTCAGCGTGCGCGTTCTAGGCTATACGCCGCGCGCCAGCTCCGGCACCACGGCTGAGGGAACAGGCGATTCGTGGTCCGCCGATGGTCTCTCGCCCGAGTCGGTGCCGTCACGGCCTACGCCAATGCCCGACGGGCCCTCCTCAGCGGGTCCGCGAGGCTGGAGCCAGCAGCGCGACATGCAGCTCCTCAGCACTGCGCGTGGTGTGCTGCGCGTGACGCCCGTCAGGCTCGTGCCGGCACCACGGCCCTGGAACGGACTGGAGCAGGTCGCTTCTGTCAGCACGGGCAGCTCGAGCAGCAGCATCCGCCGCAGCAACCTGGACATGATCGGCGTTACATCGCTGCATGAGGAGGGCGTGAATGGCAAGGGCGTCAAGATTGCCATGATTGACACGGGCGTCGACTGGACACATCCGTCCCTGGGCGCAGGATTCGGGCCAGGTGGGTGATGCCGCGCAAGTCATTGTGCTCTCTCGCGTGCTGATAGAGTGCCACAATAGGCAAGCGAATCTCCTTTGGCGAGGACCTGGTGGGCGACGACTACGATGGCAGTGAGTGGAAGCGCTGGTCTTGGTGTCGAGCTGCCTGTTGACTCTCACCTCAGCGAATGATCCTGCGCCCCGGGCGGATCCGTTCTCTAAGGTGAGTTCCGGCGTCGCCTGGCCCGAGGTGTCGTGCTCATGCCTAGCCGCAGTGCGCTCCTCACGGCACACACATCGCTGGCATCATCGCCGCACGCGCGCCGCCAGACTCCACCTCGCCATTTGCGAACGTGTCGGGCGTGGCACCGGGCGCCGACCTGGGCGTCTACCGCGTCTTCGGCTGCCGCGGCGGCACGGCGGATGATGTGCTGCTTAAGGCGCTGCAGAAGGCGTGTGCCAGTGGCGCAGATGTGATCACGGTGCGTAGCTCATGTAAGGACGAAACGTTTAGCCTGTACTCACATCTGCGGCAGATGTCGATCGGCTCGCCGGCAGCGTGGTCAGACACGCCCACAGCCCGCATGGCCACGTCTATTGCGGCGAAGGGTCGCATCGTGACGGTGTCGGCCGGCAACGATGGTGACGTCGGTGAGCACACAGCGTCGTGCGGCCTGAGCTCCCGCCTGACTTGCTTCACTAGGCCTGTACTACCAGAGCTCGCCTTCCGTCGCGCCAGACATCCTGTCCGTCGCGAGCGTAAACAGCGCGTATCTGACCGTCTACAATGCGTCGGTATCAAGCGGCGACCGCGATCCGATTGTGAGAGCTTTGCATGCCTGTCCTGCTGCCGCAGCTGACGTCTCGATAGCCGTACTACTCCGCGAACGCCTTTGGGCTCAAGGACGCGCAGATCTGGCCCTTTGCGCAAGCGTCTGACCTGACTACGCTGCTCGACGGCTGTGGCTCGCTGCCCGACTCGGCGCCGGCCGACCTGAGCACGCTGGTGGTCATCGTGCGGCGAGGTGGCTGCGCCCTCGACGTCAAGTTCCGCAACCTCGCCCGCAACCGCGTGCGCACAGTGCTCGTGGCCAACACAGGTCTCGCGCCGTTCTATCCGATCGGAACGGGCATCGATCGCTCGGCCTTGATTGAGGCTGCTGCAGCCGACTGGGTGAGTCGAGCTGGGCACCGCTTATGGTTCTGTGACTGACTCCTCGGTCGCTACAGCTGGTGGCACGGTACAACAAGGATCCTACCATCGCGTTGAGCTTTCCGTCGACGGGCCCGCTGTCGCTGCCGAACAAGCAGTCGGCAGGCGTCATCTCGCCCTTCTCCTCATATGGGCCGACGTTTGACCTGCTTTCCTCGCCGAGTCTTGCAGCGCCGGGCGATCGCATCCTCAGCACCTGGCCGGTCAGCTCTGGCTCGTGGGCGATCCTGAGCGGCACCTCGATGGCGTGCCCGCACGTGGCCGCAGCCGCTGCGCTGCTGCTGCAGGCTGCAAGAGAGAAGCGCTGGATTGCCGGCGCGCCGACGCATGCCAGCCCCAACCTCGACGTTATGGACGTGCGGCGCGTCATCGACCGCCTCCGGAGCACCGCTCAGCCAGGCAGCAACTCGACACGCGCGGCCATGCTAGAGACTGGAGCCAAGCAAGGCTCGGGCCTATTGCAGGTAGCCGATGCCGTGCGCTTCAACACAAGCGTGAGTTGCAGCCTCGCGCCTCGAGACGCTCTTGCTGATTGCTGTCGCATGCAGGTGTCGCCGGGCTCGCTCGTGCTTGACCCTGACGCTGCGTTCCCGATGCGCAGGTCGTTCACCGTCAGCAATTCCGGCACTCGCGCTCGCACGTTCCAGATCCTGCACGAGCCGGCGGGGACAGCGTTGACATACAGCGCAGTGAGTTGCGACTGCTGGGTGCGCACTGTAGTCTGCTGCTAACGCATCGCAGGGCTCCGCGTATCCGAACGCCGGACCGGCGCCGCTGGCCGAAGGTCACCTCGAGGTCACGCTGACGCCGCGCATCTTCAAGCTCGAGCCGGGCGCCTCCACCTCAGTCAGCGTAGAGTTCGCACCGCCCGGCAGCGGCGTCGACAAGACAACCTTTCCGGTGCTGTCCGGCTTCCTGCGCATCATCTCGTCGCCCGTGGTCCTGCCGGGCGCCGCTCGCATTGCAAAGGCACAGGAGAGTCTGACTGTCTCATACTTGGGTATTGCGACGCCGATCACCTCGATGCAGGTCCTAGACCGCGGCTTTGGCCTCACATCATCCGGCACGTACTCCATGCCCGTCGTGCTCATCGGCGGCGATCCGAAGAAGCCGCAGACGCTGCCGCGCGCCTACACGTTCCTCGATGGCGACCTTCCGGTGCTGGTGCTGCGCCTTCTGTCAGGCACGCGCCGTATCAAGATCGATCTCGTCGAGGACCTTGAAGGCTCGAAGTCCAGCTCCGACAGCGCAGAGCAAGCTGGCGACGCGACCTCGGATGGCACAGCTCTGCCAGTGCCGAGAGATGTCTCGCACGAAGACGCGATCTACGCGCAGGATGGAAGAGCGCTTGGCATCCCGAGGCTGCTCTTCCAGGCAGCGGCTGCAGAGGAGCTCCACATCCTGGACATCCGCGCGCCTCCGACGCACGTGCCCATCGCGATCCCCACCCGACCGACGTTCGAAACGCCCGCCGGAGAGATCCAGCCGGTCGATTGGACCACTTCGCGCGTCGTTGGCCCCATCGCTTCGTCCGAGCTGCTGCCTCGCAGTGCAGACTCGGGCTCGTCGAGCTCGTACTCGATCACGTGGGACGGCAGCATCGCAGGCACGCCTGTCCCGACCGGCGAGTATCGCATCCGGATCAGCGCGCTCAAGCTTGGCGTCGGCGAGCCCGATGCCGGACAGGACGTGGCGGAGGGCGGCGTGCGCTACGATCGCTGGTGGTCGCCGATCATCCGCGTGCAGCGTGCGTTCGACGATCCGGCAAAGCATGCCGCGGCTTCGAGCCAGCAGGTCGTGTCGCAGGTGCGCGTGTGAGCACGTCGCATCGAGGCCCACGCGCACCGCTGGCGGGCTTCGTCTGTATTTATACCATGTCATCTATGCCTGCCATCATGCCAGCTCGTGATGCGCCGGCGAGTCCTGCTGCGTGCGACTGGCTTCCTTGTCCGCTGTCAGGTCGGTCACGTCCGGTGCCGCATACTCGAGCGCCAGGACCTTCTCCGCCAGGCCAGCATGTGCAGCGCCCTGCTGATCGGGTAGTGCCTTCTCGTCGGTGTCGCCGGCCGGTGCGGCCGGCGGAGGGGGTATGTTGTCGTCCGGCTCGTCCTGAATCACGCCGCCCATCGCCCGCAGGCTGGCCCAGGCATGTTCCTGGACCTCGAGATTCTGCGCCAGCGACGCGGCGCGCATGATCTGACCTTGCCTCCGCACGTGCAGCTGCTGCCGCAGATTGCGAGAGAGGAACGTCTCGAGCACGCCGACCGGCCAGGTATCGGGCACTGCTGCGAGCACGTCGAGCGTAGGAAGGTGCCGCGCCTGGGTGTTGAGCAGATGTGCTGTCGCCGTGCGCAGCTCTTGCCTGAAGGAGTGGCGCCGTCACGTCAGAGTGCGCTGCGGCAGGAATGCATCGCGTGACTCACTTCTCGCCGCTGCGCATGTACACCTGCAGCAGGTCTCGCAATAGCTGCTGCTTAGTGCTCTCTCGCGTCTTCACGCTCGGCTCGCTGGCGGCCCTTCGCGCGATGAGAGAAGAGTAGAGTGCTAGGCCGTGCTCTGCAGCGAGCGACTCGGCCAGCATCGGCGACAGCACGGCGCCGGCCTGCAGGCAGTACGCCTCTGCAGAGTTGGCATCGCGCATTTCGACGGCAAGGAGCTGGAGCGCCTCTTGATCGCGACGCAGCTGAGGGATATCGCGAGTCAGAGTAGAACTAAAGCGCCCGAAAACAGCGGCTACGCACCTTGCCGAGAAGGACAGCACGCTCGTACAGCAGCAGCTCCTCGCGCTCGAGACGGTCCAGCAGCGCCTCCGCATCAAGCGTGATTGAGCCTTGCAGCAGCATGATGAGCTTGAGGCGCTCGACGATGCTCGAAGCCGAGGCTGCTCGGAGCGCCAAGTGCGCGACAAAGGACTCTGCATAGCCGCCGCTGCGATAGTCGTCGGCTTTGATAAGGGGAAGAGTCATTCAGCTGACGAGCCGGAAGCTCTTTCACACGCTCCACTCACAGACTTCGGCCATAGCATGCTTCGCTTCGGCGTCGCTTCCGACGACGCGGCTGATCAAGAGCTCGACGAGCTCAGTGTGCAGCTCGGCAATTGGTGGCTCGCGAGCCAGCACCATGTGCTCCAGGAAGGCCTCGGCCGCCTGCGGATCCAGCCGCTTGAGCTCTGACAGCGTCTTCTTGTAGTCATCAGTGGCGCCATCCCCATTCGCCAGCGCAGGCCCGCCTGCCTCGCGCGTGAGGAGCTAATCGATGTGAGCAAATGCAGGCCGGGAGCGGAGAGCCTCACTCACTCGAATGCCGGCATCGGCATCACGCTGCACGACCCAGAGGCTGTGTTTCTTGATGAGCTGAGAGTCGCCCGAGAATTCCAAGAGCCGCACGACGTCAGCCATGCTGCCCTCGAAGGCTTGGTCCTCGATCTCGCCGTCGATCAGGCTGAGCAGAGCCGAAATTGTCAGACAGAAGCGCAGCGCAAACGCGCGCAGAAAGCACGCACCGTGTCCAGAGCTGAAGCACGCCTTCCAGATCTCCGCGAGCCTCGCGCACGGTGGCAAGAGCCGAGAAGAGGCCAGCTTTCTCGAGCAGTGGCTCTGTCTCTTGGAGATCACACGCGTTGTCGGAGCCCAGCAACGCTCTCAGCGCAGTGCCGTCGCCGCCGAGAGCGAGCAGCTTTGCCAGAGTTGTGTCCGTGATCTAAGTATGGCCGAGGGTCAGCGCAACAACACCTCGCGAGTTCGATCTGTCACTGACGCGCTCGTCTCTCGCGACAGCCGGCAGGCCCCGAAATGCGATCAGCACATCGCGGATCATGACCTCCGACGTCTCCAGAAGCTGGGCAGACAGCTTCTGCGCCAACGCGCTCTCCTCGATGACCAGTGGCGGGACATAGTTGAACTCAAGGCTGCCACGAACTGCGGGCCAGGCGTCAGTAGAGCCCACAAGGAACCTCGGACACGGCATACTGACTGATGTCTCGGCCAGTGCACTGAGGCAGCGAGGGCAGCAGCTCCTCAAAGATCACAGCCTCCTCTACGCGCGGGCTAGGAGCCGTCGTGCCGTCCAGCCAGCTGATGAGCAGCGCAGGATCTACGCGCCCGCACTCCAGATGTCGAGTAGCCTTGCGGAACTGCACACTGCGGACGAGGTAGAAGGCGAGAAGCAGGGACGCAAATTGCAGAGGCAACTGCGAAGCACGCTTGTGAGCACGCGAGGGCTGCACGGGCAGCAGTCCAGACTCACTGGTGGCTCTCCTCTGCCAGCGGCGTCCCATGCTGCGTCCACAAGCCCTTCGAGCTGCTCCCAGTCCTGCGCAGCAGCAAGAGCCCGCGCCTTGTCTTCCAAGCTCTGCTCGCAGATGCAGACCACCTTCTCGCGACCTAGCAAGAGAATCTTGCCTCTCCTGGTCGCACTCTTCGCTTCAGATGCGATCTCTCGCATCTTGCCGCTCCGCAAGCTGACTGCCGCCTTTCGCAATGGCGGTGATGCGCTGGCAGGCAGAGCGAATGCATCGAAGCCGCTCGACAGCAGGCGCGGCTCGAGCTCTGCGGGCACTGGCACTCTTGAGACGAGCGCCAGGTTCGCAGCATCATGTGTCTCGAGCACATCATTGCGCAGCAGTGCGTGAATCTTGCCCTGCTCCAGCGCTGTCCTCAAGAGTCAGCAGGCAGCAGGTCGCAGCAAGTACGCAGCACGCACCAAGCCCGCGCGGATGCTTCGGCCACTCGAGCAGCTTCGGCCTGACCTCGCCGTCCGTGCCCACAAAGACGCCGAGCGTGCCGTTCGTCGTGTGGCTCGTGATGAGGAAGTCGCAGTCGTCGCCCTCGGCAGAGGGAATGGGCAAGATGCTGGGCCGCTCGGCGGCGGACGGGGCGGATGACGCTTGCGAGATCGGCAGGCCTAGCTCGATGAGCTCGGACGTGGCGAGCGAGAGGAGCGAGTATGTCGAAGTCGTCGCGAGGAGCAGAGCTGAGCCCCAGCGGCGAGCGAGCAGGGCTCCAGAAGCGATGGGAATCTCCTGCTCAAGCCTGTGATCAGCTTGTCGCATACTCCCAGAGAGCTCCCCTTGCATCGCACGCGCATTCCTATGTGCGGCTCCAGCCGCATTTCCGTGCCCCTTGCGTCTGCATGGATCCAAACCACTCACCTTGAGAGTCTCCCACGCCCTGCCCATCTTGGCGACCAGCACCACCCGGCGCCGCACGACAACAACGCTGACGCGGTTGTCTGCGTCAGGCGCCACGCCTGCCAGCGCCTGCTGTTCGCGCCGCCGCAACTCCTGCTCGTCCAGCACGACGGCAGCGACGCCGCCAATGCGCGGCAGCCCGGGCAGCGCCTCGAGAGTGAGGGGATCGAGGAAATGCAGCGTGGACTCTGCGAGCACGAGCAGCACGCCGGCATGGTCTCCCAGCGCCAGCGGGTACAGTCGATCTATGGCCTTGCCGCTCGACGTGAGCATGCGCGTGCGGTCCAGTACGTAGCCCTCGTCGCCCTGAATCTGGGGTGAGCGCGATGCTCTGGATGCACGAGCAGGCGTCTCGACTCACGAGCTGGTAGCGGTGCAGGCCGCCATCCGAGGCGCCGACGTACAGCACATCGCCAAACGCACCCTCGGCGCAGCGCACAGAGCGGGCCAGGTTGGAGGGCGCCCGCGAGGAGCCCTGCAATGGCGGCGGCAGCGCCGGCAGCAGTAGCGGCACCAGGCTCGTCATGCTGGGCTGGCCCTACGAGGGGGCTGCGAGACGCTATGTGCTGTCTCGACTTGCTCGCATGCGCTGCTGCAGTACTGATGGGCTGTGATGCGACGTGCGCAGCTGTAGCTGGAGTAATGAGCGAGCTCGAGGCGGAGTGGAGGAGCGGATGGAGTGGAAGCAAGGTTCACCGGCGGCGCAACGCGACCTCGAGGCGCGCCGCGCGCACAGGCTTGGCCGCGGCTCTTCTCGCACCCCGCGTCGCGCATCTCCAGCCTGCCTCGCCACCACCACCACCCTCCAACACAATGACCTCGTACGCCGACGAGCTCCTGCTCGACCTCGGCTCCGGCTCCGACGGCGAGGGCGACGCCTCGCGCTCGCCAAGCCCGGCACCCGCCGCCGGCCCTTCGTCCGCTGCCAACGGCGGCGCCTCCACACAGGCTGCTGCAGGCGACTCGGACGACGAGGGCGACACGGAGATGCAGCTGCCCGAGGGTGGTACGCTGCCCGCCGCAGAGCTCGATGCGCAGACCGTCGAGACGATGGACGTCAGCGGCAGCGTGCGCGAGGTGTCGCGGCTGAAGGAGAGCTCGAAGATGAAGGAGATTCTGAAGGTGAGTGCCGCTGCGCCTCTTCAAGGCAAGGGCTGGTGGGTGCAGCAGCATGCTGAGAGCGCCTCGCTGCAGTCCATTGCACACTTCGCCGCGCTGCCGTCGCCCGAGGTCTCTCAATCGGGCGTGCTCGAGGACTCGCAGGAGTATCAGCTCATCGTGCGGGCGAACAACCTGGCTGTCGACCTGGACAATGAGATTCTGATTGTGCACAAGGTGAGCCGCAGCACAGCGCAGGTAAATCCTGCAGCAGCTGAGCGTCGCTTTCACGCAGTACATCCGGGACCACTACGCCCCTCGCTTCCCGGAGCTCGAGTCGCTCATCCCCTCGCCGTGGGAGTTCGTGCGCGCGGTGCAGGCGCTGGGCAATGACGACGACTTGACGAAGGCGTCGCTGCAATCGATTCTGCCGCACGGCACCGTCGTCGTCATCTCGATGACGGCCAGCACGACCAAGGGGCGCCCGCTGCCCGAGCTGGAGTGGAAGCGCGTCGACGAGGCGGCAGAGCTGGTCTTTGAGCTGGAGAACGAGCGGCGCAACGTGAGTGCGGCTTGTCCTGTACTATTCTTCAGCCAGCGCTGAGCCGCCCTCGCAGATCCTGCAATACGTCGAGTCGCGCATGACGCTGATCGCGCCGAACCTGAGCGCTGTCGTCGGCACGCGAGTCGCGACGAAGCTGCTAGGTGTGGCAGGCGGCTTGACGGGCCTGAGCAAGATTCCGGCGTGCAACATCCATGTGAGTGGGCGAGCACGCCCAGCATGGCCGTTCACCGCTGATCCACTGCTTCACAGCTGCTTGGTGCTTCGAAGAAGCTGGCATCGGGCGCGTCGAGCGCCTTCCGCAACCGGCCAGTCGGCTTCATCTTCCAGTCCGAGCTCATCCAGAACGTCGGCGAGGACTACCACCGGCAGGCACAGCGCATCGTCTCGGCCAAGGCGCTGCTGGCGGCGCGCGTCGACATGGGCGGCTCCGACCGGCACGGCACGTACGGCGCGCGCATCAAGCAAGAGCTCGAGAAGAAGCTTGAGAAGCTGCAGGAGCCGCCGCCGATCAAGATGACGAAGGCGCTGCCGGTGCCGAAGGAGGGCGGCAACAAGCAGCGGCGTGGCGGACGGCGGTGAGTGCAGCTGGAGCGTATGGTGCTGCTGCGACTGACTGTGGCCTGTAGAGCGCGCAAGCTCAAGGAGGCGAACGGCCTCACGGAGCTCAAGAAGCAGCAGAACAGAGTCGAGTTCGGCAAGGCCGAGGAGGAGGCCGGCGCGTTCGACGAGACGATTGGCCTGGGCATGATGAATGCCGGCAGCAGTGGGCGCGTCAGAGCGCATGTCGCTGGCGCCACCTCCAAAGGTGGGTGGTGGTGCGAGCGTATCTGTATGCGCTGTGCTGACAGCTACCGTGCAGCCAAGATGTCGAAGATGAACAAGACTCGTCTCTCTGCGCTCCGCAGCCGGTCTACCGGCGCAGCACTAGATGCCGGCGGAGACTCGTCGGGCACGGCCTCGTCGCTCTCCTTCACACCGGTGCAGGGTGAGTTGTCCCCAGTGATGCAGTACGGCCATGGCTGACATGCTGCGCCCAGGCATCGAGCTCGTGGACCCCTCGCGCCAACGAAAGGTCGACGAGGCCAACGCAAAATGGTGCGCAGTGCTACGCATACCTACCGCAGCACCCTTGCTGACCGCCCTGCACAGGTTCAAGGAGGGCACCTTCTCTCTCGCGCCTGGTGCGCGGGGCACTGCCATTCCGGGATCATCAGGCGGCGCAGGCAGCATGGGTCCGCCGGCGCTGCCGCCAGCGAAGAAGCCGCGTGTCGAGTGAAATGAGATCACACATACGCACAGGCAGCAGCGAAAGCACGACGGATGACATTCAGGCTAGGCGGTAGCGCGCCGCGAGGTCCGGGAGACGCTCAGTTCTTGATGGCCGCCACTTCGGCCGCCCAGCCCTCGCACTTGCTGTTGACTGAGTGGGGATTGACGTGAGTTGCCGTGCCGGCCATGCGCGAGGTCCTCGTGCGCTCACTGGAGGCGTACGTCTTCATCGCCTGTGCACCGCGCCTGTCAGCCCCCATCCGGCGCTACGGCTCATCCCGGCCAGCGCGTGCAACTCACGACAAAGAAGAGCTCCACATACTTGGCCTGCGCTTCCGCCGGCGGCATACCCTTGTGGCGGGCATGGCTCTGTGCACGACGGTGTCAGTCTGCTCTCCCGCAACCGGCCGCTCGGCTCAGGGTGCACCTCATGCATGTATTTCTTCTTGAGGTCTATTGACAAGAAGCCAGGCCCCCGACGTCAGATGCATGGGGCCGAGCAGCGGGATATGGATGACGTACCAAGCATGCCGGGCTTCTTGTCCGTGTTGTCGCCGTACGTGCCCTGCTGGCCCAGGCCGTAGAAGGCCAGCTTCTCCTGGTTGCTGAAAGAGTCCTCTGGCGGCGGCGAGGTCAGCCCTGGCACGACGGCGTGTGGGCATGGCACGCACGGAGCTTGGCGCCGCGCGAGGGGTCCGTGAGGATGGCGCGCGCGGCGGCGAACTGCGCAGTCTGGGGCACGGCGGTGGAGGTCATGGTTGCTGGGTGGCTGTGAGCGTGCGTTCGAGTGGCTGCGACGTCGCTGCTCACGAGCTTGTGTAGGTTGCTGTGTGGTGGTGTGTGGGGTGAGAGAGGCTGTCCCATGCGACGCCCGAGCTCTTGTACGCGGCCAGCGCCGCACCGCTCGCTTCGCCTATCGCTGATCTCGCTTCGGCGCAAGAGGCCCAGCCAGGTACATAGTGCCTCAAGAGAAGGGCGCAGTGGGGGCGTCTCCTGATCGTCTCGCCGCCGGCCCGTGTCACACTTATTGAAGGCGCAGCTAGAGTGCTCGTTCTGCGTCGGGCTCCGGGCAGTGTGTGCTATTTCGGATCCTCTGCTCCGGTGGGGCATCAGCAGGGACTGGTGCTGGATCGACAGGGGCTGAGGAGGCGCTTCGGGACCTTGCAGCTCGAAGCTCGGAGCCGACGATCTTCGGGGGGGCTGGAGACCGCGCGCAGCCCCTGCCACGCCGCCCTCTTGCTCTGTCTGGATTTCAAGCTGAGCACACTGCCTGCTGCTGCGTCGTCCTGCTCTTGCTCGTCTATGTTGATCGAGGGCAGAGCACGTTGCCAAGCAGCACTGTGGCCGCCCAGCGCAGCACCAATCACTCGACGCCCTCGGCGCTCGGTTGACGCGGGGTTGCGATGCCGCAGGATGGCGTGGCAGCCGGGCGTCTCTGGCGAGAGCAGGCGAATGCGACCTGGCTGCAGCAGGCAGACACATATCCAACATTTTGAGGAGCATTCTTTGACCTCAAGGCCTCCCCTCGTGGAGGAAGGAAGAGAAGAGGGTGTCCATGAGCAAGGGCGTGCTTACCTCATCGCGCCCAGGGGTCTGCGCGCGCACGGACGCGCACCCCGCCGGCCCGAGACCCGAGCGGCCGCCGCGGTGTTCATGTCATGCGCGGCGCTCCCCGCTTCCCTTCTCGCCCCTCTCCTTGTCGCTACCGATGCCTCTCGCTCTGCTGGCCCGTCCTCTGCCTCGCACCGCCGTCCTCACGTCCATCTTCGCGCTCTCCGTCTCGCTCTCGCTGCGCACCTCGCCGCTCTCCGCACCGCGCGCCATGTCCTCGCGCGCCGCAAACGCGCCCGGCTGGGATCCCGTGGCACGGCCCTTCCCGGCCGCGCGCCGCAGCGACGCCTCGGCGACGTACAAGAGCAAGGCGCAGGGCGAGGTCGTCGTGCCCGAGCCGTACGACTGGCTCGAGACGCCGCCGAGCCAGAGCAGCGAGACCAAGACGTGGGTGGAGGCGCAGGCGCAGGCAACGCAGGAGTACATCGACGGCTACCGTGAGTGTTCCGTGCTAGGATGGTGGTCTCGGCACTGAAGCGCAGCACATCAGCGGATCGCGCGGTGTTCAAGAGGCTCCTAGAATCATCGTTCTCCTACCCGCGCACCTCGTGCCCATCAGCGAAAGGCGACGGCGCCTTCTACTACAGCTACAACTCGGGCCTCGACCCGCAGAGCACCATCTACCGCGCCACCGCCGAGGACGTGGCGCGGCCGACGGGAGACACGCCGGTAGGCGAGAAGTGGTTTGACCAGAACGTGCGTGCGGCCAGGATGGGCACGGGCGGGCAGCGGCTGACTGCGCCTTCCAGCTCATGTCCAAGGACGGCACGGTCGCACTGTCCGCCACGTCGTTCTCCAAGAGCGGCAAGTACTTTGCGTACGGCATCTCCAAGGCCGGCTCCGACTGGCTGCGCGTGTACGTGCGGCCCACGTTGGCGCCCTTCAACACGCCGCCGGCCGACGGCTCGACGGCGCGCACCGGCGGGCCGGACCGCCTAGAGGATGAGATCCGCTCCGTCAAGTTCAGCGGCATCACATGGCTGCACGACGACAGCGGCTTCTTCTACCAGGCCTTCCCCGAGGCCGAGAGCATCGGCGCCGACGGCCACGGCACCGAGACCGACGCGAACAAGGACGCGCGCCTGCACTTCCACAAGATCGGCACCAAGCAGAGCGAGGACGTGCTGGTCGTCGCCAAGGACCCCGTTACGCGGGAGAGCATGTGGAGCACGGTCGTCAGCGAGTGAGTGCTGTGCGTATGGCTTGGAGATGCGCCGCTGACGGGTCGCAGCGACGGCGAGTGGGTCATCCTCTCGAACTCGAAGGACACGGACACGAAGGTGAGAGGCGGAGCGGCGCTGGAGTAGCACCTGTGCTGACATGCACGCCAGGCGCGGACATACGTTGCGAGCCTCAAGGACCAGAAGGTCAGCGACAGCATGAAGTGGATCCCGCTCTCGACCGACTTCAAGTCCGAGCTGTCGTACCTCGGCAACGATGGTGAGGCCGAGCGCTGCTCCTTGCCCGTGACAGTGGCTCACACGCGGCCACAGGCACGACCTTCTACTTCATGACCAACCGCGACGCTGCGAACTACAAGATCGTAAGGATCGAGCTTGACGCCTCGTCCGCGCAAAGCGGCCACCCGGCACAGCTGTCGGGCGACGTCAAGACGACGGACCTGCTGGCCGAGGACAAGGACGCGCTGCTGTCGACGGCGACGATCATCAATGAGAACAAGCTCGTCATCATCTACTCGCGCAACGTGCAGGACGAGGTGTGGCAGTACGAGCTCAAGAGCGGCAAGCAGATCAAGCGCCTGCTCCCTGAGCGTGCGTCGTGAATTGTGGCAAGCATTGGCCGGCACTGACACAACCTCGCAGTGGTCGGCACGGTGACGCAGTTCTCGGGCCGGCGCGAGGACTCGACGGCCTACGTCTCGACGATGTCCTTCGTCAGTCCCGGCACGCAGACGCGGCTCGACTGGGGCGCCTCGGCGGCGCAGAGCACGACGGCGACGCCCGAGGAGAGCGTATACCGCACGACGCTCGTCGCCGGCATCAAGCCCGACGACTTTGTCTCCGAGCAGCGCTGGTTCGAGTCCAAGGACGGCACAAAGGTGCCCATGTTCCTCACGCGCCGCAAGGACACGCCGCTCGACGGCACGGCGCCGACGTGGTGCTACTTCTACGGCGGTGAGCGCACGCGGGAGATGGCCTGCGGCGGTATGCTGATCTCCGTCTGTCTGTCTCAGGCTTCAACATCCCGCTGGCGCCGACGTTCAGCCCCTCGCTCATGGTGCGTGCTGCGCTTCGCTCGCTGATGGCACCGCAGGCTGACCCGCTCTCGCCAGACCTGGGTGCAGGCCTACGGCGGCGTGCTTGCCTGGGTCAATGCACGCGGCGGTGGCGAGTTCGGCGGCAAGTGGCACGATGCCGGACGGTACGTGCTCCTGCGCCGCCTTTTGGCTTCATGCTCACCCCCCGCCGCAGCTTGCTCCACAAGCAAAACGTCTTTGACGACGTGCTTGCGGCATGCGAGTACCTTAAGACCAACAAGATCTCCGGCGTCACGATCGTCAATGGCGGCTCCAACGGCGGCCTCGGCGCCATGGCCGTCGGCAACCAGGCCGAGGAGAAGCACGGCATCGGCGCCGTCGTGGCGGAGGTCGGCGTGCATGACATGCTCAAGTTCAGCACGTGGACCATCGGCGCAGGTGAGTCGGCTCACTGCTGCGTCCCGGCAATTGCTGATCGCCTCTCGTGCGGCAGCCTGGTGTGCCGACTATGGGTGAGTTGACCGGTGCCCGATGTACGCTCCACGCTAACCCTCGCGCCTGCAGCAACCCGATTGAAGGTGGGACTACGATGTGCCCGCGCTGATGGAACAAAGCTGACTGCTCCGTCGCCTAGACCCCGTCATGTTCGACTACAACTACAAGTACTCGCCGTGAGTCTGCCGTGGCTCACATCTTGCGCCAGCGCTGACACGGCGAGCAGGCTGCACAACGTCAACCCCAACAAGACGTACCCGACAGTCGCGATTCTGAGCTCCGATCACGACGACCGCGTGGTGCCGGCGCACAGCTTCAAGATGGGTGCGTTCGAGTGGTGTTCAAGATCTAGAGGGATGAAAGAAGTACTCTGTGCCTCCGCGTGCTTACACTTCCTCCTCTCGCAGTCGCAGAGCTGCAGCACAAGCACCCGGAGAACCCCAACCCCATCCTCGCGCGTCTCGAGCTCAATGCGGGGCACGGCGCCGGCAAGTCGACGCAGAAGCGCATCGAGGAGGCGTGCGACAAGTACGCCATCGTCGCGCGGAGTCTCGGGCTGCAGCTCAAGAACAAGACGGCGGCGCTGTGAAGTCGCTCGCCCTGACTTGAGGCTGCGGCGCTCCAGGCGAGGAGGCTCTCTCTGCTCCTCACATGCTCGCTTGCTGATGACAATGCGCATCGCTGTCCGGCGATCACGCTGCCTCTGCTCCCGCTTGACTCAGACTGCCCAGCGCCATTGCTCGCGACTCGCAACTTACTGGATCCTGCGGGTGCTGCTGCGCTCAGCCGGACTGCGTATCGACCCCTGAGAGCGGCACAGGCACAGGCGCAGCTGGGACGAAGCGCAAATGTCTTGTACTGCGGCTCTCGCAGGACCGTGGCGCTGAAGGAGAGGCTTGACCATGCCTCACTGCACCCATGTGCGGCTCCCACGGCAACGCATGCGGCGGTGCTCAAGGGTCGGTGCGGAGGGCGTCGCCGGGCGGGAGGCTGTGCGCGCCGATGTCGCCACGTGGCGAGGCAGCGCGCAAGGCACAGGGGCTGTGGCGCCGGCCGCGCACGATCTCGAAGGACGGCGGCGGAGCAGTGTGGTGCGCCTGCGCGCGGACCACGTCGCATATCGGCGCGCGCACACACAGGCGCCGTGCCCACGTCCGGCGCCTTGCGCCGCTGCAGGCGCGGCGTCAGCGTGCTGGCGGAGGCGGAGCGCCGCCCCGTGCCCGCCAGCGCGCGCAGCGGCGGCGGCGAGAAGGAGAGGGGCGCCCGCCAGCAACACAGCGCCGCCGCCGCCGCGGCCACGGCTGGCTGGCGGCGGCGGCGGCAGGGCCTCGTCGCCGCGCGCGCCACGCTGGGCCGCGACGGCGAGCTCGCCCTCTCGCCTCTCACCATCACGCCCTTGTGCTCACGACCCCGCACACGCCCACACGCTCCACCCCTCTATCCACTCCCACCACCCACGCTTACGACACAATGGAGGGTGAGTTGCCCGCCGCAGCTGCTGCCGGCGCCGCCGCCGCGCTCGCGCGCACAGGCCGCCGGGCGCTGTGCATCCGCTGCCGCCCAACCTCCTGCTCACACCGCACACTCCGCAGACGAGGTCGCTGCTGTGAGCAGCACGGGGAGGACGCACTGACCCCGCAGCACGCTCACGTCCGCCCACAGCTTGTCATCGACAATGGTTCCGGCATGTGCAAGGGTGAGCTGCGCCGCCCGCCCGCATGTTGCGTGAGAAGCCATCCGCTGACATGCGCTCTTGCCTCGCACAGCCGGCTTTGCCGGTGACGACGCCCCGCGCGCCATCTTCCCGTGCGTATGCAGAGAGGTGCGGGCGGGTCTGGCGATGCTGCTGGAGTGGATGCAAGGCTGGGGCGGCGGGAGCCGGGCTGGGCGCTCCTGCGAGGCGTGCAGGAAGCTCTCGAGCAGCCGCGCGGCACCTACCCTGCACAGGCCGCCGGCGCTTTGCAGACGCAGAGTGCAAGCTTGGCACTAACATCTCATCCTACAGGTCCATCGTCGGACGGCCGCGCCACCAGGGTGTGATGGTCGGCATGGGCCAGAAGGTGAGCACAGCTCGGAGCGCATCGCGCGCGCGGCAGCTCAGGCGCGGCGGCGGACGCGCGCAGCCGCAGCTCGCCGCGCCGCTCGCTGTTGCCAGGCGGGACGAGCACTGACATGCCTCTGCAGGACTCCTACGTCGGTGACGAGGCGCAGTCCAAGCGTGGTATCCTGACGCTCAAGTACCCGATCGAGCACGGCATCGTGACCAACTGGGACGACATGGAGAAGATCTGGCACCACACCTTCTACAACGAGCTGCGTGTCGCGCCCGAGGAGCACCCGGTGCTGCTGACCGAGGCGCCGCTCAACCCCAAGGCGAACCGCGAGAAGATGACGCAGATCATGTTCGAGACGTTCAACGCGCCGGCCTTCTACGTGGCCATCCAGGCCGTGCTCTCGCTCTACGCCTCCGGCCGCACGACCGGTATTGTGCTCGACTCCGGCGACGGTGTCACGCACACGGTGCCCATCTACGAGGGCTACTCGCTCCCGCACGCCATCCTGCGTCTCGACCTTGCCGGCCGTGACCTGACGGAGCACCTCGTCAAGATCCTGATGGAGCGCGGCTACCCCTTCACCACCACGGCCGAGCGCGAGATTGTCCGTGACATCAAGGAGAAGCTCTGCTACGTCGCGCTCGACTTCGAGCAGGAGATGCAGACGGCCAGCCAGTCGAGCGCGCTCGAGAAGAGCTACGAGCTGCCCGACGGACAGGTCATCACGATTGGCAACGAGCGGTGAGTGCGGGCTGAGCGTGCTGCTCGGTGCATGTGCTGACGCGCGCGTCTCTCAGCTTCCGCGCCCCCGAGGCTCTCTTCCAGCCCTCGTTCCTCGGCCTCGAGGCGTCGGGCATCCACGAGACGACGTGTGAGTGGTGCAGCAGCACAGAACGTGCAGTCGCGGCGGCTGACCTCCCGGCGCGCAGACAACTCGATCATGAAGTGCGACCTGGACATCCGCAAGGACCTGTACGGCAACATCGTCATGTCGGGCGGCACCACCATGTACGCCGGCATCTCGGACCGCATGCAGAAGGAGATCACGGCGCTCGCGCCGTCGTCGATGAAGGTCAAGATCGTGGCGCCGCCGGAGCGCAAGTACTCGGTCTGGATCGGTGGCTCCATCCTCGCGTCGCTGTCGACGTTCCAGCAGATGTGGATCAGCAAGCAGGAGTACGACGAGGCCGGCCCCTCGATCGTGCACCGCAAGTGCTTCTAAATGCACCATGCCCCGCCGCCGCGTGCCTGCGCCGTGGCGCGAGTGCACGGGCAGCGCCATGGCGGCAGGATGATGCCACGGTGCGCCGTCGCTGTCTGCCGGGCCATCGCAGGCAGCGCCGTGTCGCGCTGCGAAGAGGATGCGTCCGGCGGCGCCGTGGCGTGCCGGCGCATCGCTTCTAGACTGCTGCTGTGGTCTCCCAATCACGCCTCTCCCCTTCCTCTATCTCCGCAATGAAATGTCCCATCCCACGAGCGTGTGTGTGCGTCTGTGGTGTGCTGTGCTGCAGAGGTGGCGGGATGGCAGGTGCGCACAAGAGCGGGGATGGGAGCATTGGGCACGAGCGTGCTGGTGGCGCCGCGGACGTGAGGCGCCGCGAGCCGGCGGGACGCGGCGCACGGCGAGCTGGGCCGCGGCCGTGCGAGCACGAGGACCTGGCGCCGCGCCTCCACTCTTCCGCCGCAGCAGGCAAAGCTTCGTCGCCGAGCGCCTCCATCACCCTTCAAGCATGCGCGAACTCGGCACGCTCGACGCTCGCCGTCCGGCCTCACTTGCAGCGTCGCCCGCCGACGAGCTGCGTCTGGCGCTGGCGCAGGTGGCGCCGGCCAGCGAGGATGCCGAGGCGCATGCGCTGCGCACGGCCGAGCAGCTCGCCGAGGCGGCTGCACAGCGCGGCGCAGATGTCCTCGTGCTGCCCGAGTACTTCTTCACGGGCGCTGAGCACGACCTGTGGCGCCAGGTTGGAGAAGAGGGCGTGCCCAGTGGCAGGAGCGAGCATGTGAGCTGCGCACAGGTGTCGACGACGAGAGATGCAGCTCACGCCGCCCTCAGCCAATGGACGACCCGGAGCACTTCCTTCACGAGATCGCCCGGCTGGCTCAAGCGCATGACATCGACATTGTTGCAGGCACGGCCGTCGAGGCGGGCCATCACCAGCCGCAGCACCGCACGAGTTCGCACAACAAGGCTGACAAGGAGGAGGACGAGGGACACAAGCTCTTCAACACGTGCTACTACGTCGGCCGCGACGGCGAGGTCAAGGGCCGCTACACGAAGCGCGTGCGTGTGTGATGCCGGCGGTCTGTACGCCCTTTGCACCTCTGATGCCCTTGTGCAGAACCTCTGGCACCCCGAGCGCGCCGTGCTCTCCGCAGCGACGCCTGACTCGCACCCGCACGACCGCACCTTTGTCGTGACGACGCGGCGCGGCCGCCAGGTGCGCGTCGGCATGCTCATCTGTGTGCGTGCCATGTCTGATCGCGGCGCCGCGCTGTGCTGACGCATCGCTCAAGTGGGACCTGGGCTTCCCCGAGGCCTTCCGGGAGCTGCTCGAGCGCCCGACAGGCGGCGAGGAGACGATGGTCGGGCCGGACGTGTGAGTCGCGCGCCTGAGACCCCGTCTTCTCCTCTACTGACACGTCGCAGCGTCTTCGTGCCGACATGCTGGTACGCGACCGATGCTGGCGCTCGAGGCATCGCGTGGAACAAGGAGAGCGAAGCGACGCTGCTTGGTGCGTGCCACGCACAGAGTGCACCTCTCCGCTGCTCACGCCCCCTTGCTCAGACTCGATCTGCGTCGCTCGCGCCATCGAGAACGAGTGCGTCGTCGCGATGTGCAACGTCGCCGGGCCGTCGTGGCCCGCCGATGCAGCACCCTCAGACGACACCGAGGAGCCCGAGGCCGTCGGTGTCGGCCGGACGAGCGTCTCGGCGCCCTTCCTCGGCAGCGTGGCGCGCGTCGAGGACGAGCATGAGGCGCTGCTCTTCGCGGCCGTCGATCTGCGCGTGCTGCCGGATGCCTCGGCGGTGTATCGCTGCCGTGCAGACCTGTACGAGAGCTCCGAATGACACGCTCTTCACGCCTTCGTTCTTGGTGAAGTGACGTGGGCATTGTGGCGCTCGCTACTTGTGCCGGCCCTCTGGCTGCGCAGGCACGACCTGGTCCGGCGCATAGCCGTTCTCCTGCTTCCACTCGCCCAGCGCCTTGTCGGCCACGCGGAACGCCTCCATGCCCGCCGGCATGCCGCAGTACGTGGCCGCCTGCAGCAGCGCCTCGCGCAGCTCGACCTCGCCGATGCCGTTGGTGAGGGCGCCGCGCGTGTGCACGGCCAGCTCGGGCGAGCGGTTCAGCGCCACGAGCATGCCGATGTTCAGCAGGGAGCGATCGCGGAACGAGAGGCCCGGACGGTTCCAGACGTGGCCCCATGCGAAGGTCGTCTGTCACGGCGACGTCAGCAACGATTGATGAGATGCAAGCGGCCCCGATGCCGCTCACCGCCAGATCCTGCATCGGCTGCGTGAAGGCGCTGGCGGCGGCGAGGCTGCGGTCGACGTGCGCACTGCCCACGACGGCACGCCGGCGCTCCTCGCCCTGCGTGTGCAGCGCACCGAGCGTCGTGGCGTCATACTCGGCGTCGACGCGGGTGCTTGACGAAGTCATGCTGCTGTTTCCTTGGCGTCCTGCCCGGCGGCCGATGATGATGGAGGTCGGGGCGTGAAGCGCCTGCTCGGCGCGGCGCTCCGCTCGCCTCTCACGCTCGCCGTCACCGCTCGCGCACGCGCCGCCTCCACGACGCCTCGCATCGTCACTGCCCACTCACTCGTCAGCGCCAGATGATGGCCAGCTCGGGATTGCGTCGATATTCTCACAGCTACTCTTGCGACGTCTACGTGACATCTGATGGGAACAGCCACAGCTGCAGGGCCCTCGCCCGATTGCTCATCCATCACCCTCTCGCATGCACGGCGCGCGCGCTTCTTCCACGGAACGCCCAACTTGCGCATCCCGTGGCTGCGCCACATGGGCACGCTCGCATGACGACGGTCTGTCCCACGAGCCCCGGCTGCATCTTGCTTGCGGCCAGACCAACAGCAGTGGCGGCATCTCGCTGCTCGGCGACGACGGGCCGAGCCATGTGCGTCTGCAGTCGCAGGCACCCGTCTCGCGCCCGTCGACGGCAAGCGGGCAGAAAGCCGAGCGAGACCGCGCCGTGCCGACGGCCGGTAGATCGCTCTCGAACGTGCTGCTGCCCTGCAGCGTGAGCCTTGTCCTGCGTGGCGGCGAGCGAGGATCTGCACGACCCCTTCCGGGCTGCCGCTGCGCGAGAGAGACACAGACTTGCCATTCCGGGACGCGCGAGTCGGGGAGGGCCGAGCCGTGTGCCCGTGGGATGGAGCAGCTCACCCCGCACACGGCGGCGAGCAGCGGATGCAACGGCGACGCAAGCGGCGCAGCGGCGCGGAGCTGCCCGTGCGCGCGCGGCTGCCGCTGCCGCTGCCTGCTGTGCACATGGCCGGCCCGCATGGAGATCTGCCTCAACGGCCGTGCCTGCATGCTGACGGCGAGCGCACGAGCCCAGCAAGCGGCAGCAGCGAAGATGCGGCTGAGAGAAGCATGTCTTGTCTCGAATGGAGGCCAGCCGCCGGTGCCGAGAGGCCAAGTCAGAGTCAGCGCAAAGGAGCGCGGGCGACGACGATGCGCCGAGGACGCAGCCGCGCGCTGCAGGGGGGCGCGCGCAGTGGCGCTTCGGCGCGCGTGGACGTGCGGTGCGGCACGGCGGCAGCGGCGGCCGATGCCGTGTGCCGCACCGCGCAGGGGGCACCCTCTCGTCTCTCTCTCTCTCTCTCTCTCTCGCCGATGGCGTCTGCAACACGCACTGCTCGCGCCTGCTGCTGATCGACGAAGCCGAAGAGCGTCTTTCGATCTCTCTGTGAATAACAAAGACGGCGCCTCGCGCGCTCGGAGGCACCGCTGCCATGGCGGCGGCGTCTTGGAGTAGCCTGCTGCGCGCGTGCAGTAGCAGCCCGGCCGGGAATAAACGAGCGAGGCGAGGTGTGCATCGAGCAGGTCTCGGACAAGGCCCCGCCTGCGTCGCTGCCTTTGTCCAAGAGAGGCAACGCGGCGCTTGTGCAAGGACAAGAGACACAAGACACACGCGCGCGCGCGCGCTTGTGCTCGTCCTTGCGCGTCTTGGCGGGCGTCCAGGGGTCCGGGCGGCAGTGGCGGAAGGGACAAAGCGGCACTCTTACTCTGAAGCCCTTTTCTCTGGCCCTCATGCGGATTCGTCAAGGCGCGAGCGCGAGCGCAGGCGCAGAGCACAGACAGCTCGTCTGGACGACGATGAAGACGAGACGACGCCTAGCTCGGTGCGCAGTGATGAGGATGCTCTTGTCGCTGCTCCGCGTGCCAGGCGGCTGGCGGGCGGGAGCAGATGGCCTGGCGCGCGCGGAGCAGGCGCGGCGCGGCAGACGTTCTGGCGTTGCGGCTGGCGCCCCTGAGGCGAGGGGCGCGCGCGCGGGCACGGCAGCAGTGTGCACGCTTCGGGCGCCGGCGCGGTGCCGAGGCACGCAGCGCACGACTGCCCTCCTGCCCGACGTTCTGCGTGCGGCCGCCGCTTGCTCCTGATCGATCGGCGTGCGCGTCCGGCGGCCGAGCAGCGGGCGGAGGGTGACAGCGCTCGTGCTGCGTTCTGCGGCCGCTGCCAAAGCTCCGCTGCGCTGCCGCGGCGCTGGCCGCATGCTGCGGTGCTGCGCTGCGGCGGCTGAAGCGCGAAGACTGCTGCTGCGCTGCCGGCGTAGGCGGCCCCTCAACGCCGCGCGCAGGCGGAGCGCGGCTCGGAGTGCGAGGCAGGCGCGCAGCGAGAGGGCGCGCGCGAGCGAGAGGGGCGCGTGGGCGCAACACAAGCCACCGGCGGCGCCCTTGTGCTTGTGCGGCGCGGTGCTGCTGCCGTGCCTTGTCTGCGCGTGCTGGGCCCTGCTGCTCTTGGGCTGCCCTGCTGCGCCGCTGCGCCGCGCCCTGCTGTTCTCCTCCCAACTCACCTCTCCCGCTCCGGCCCCCCCATTCAGACACCGCACAAGCAAGCCGCCGCACCGCGCCCGCCAATCCGCCGCGCCTGCTCACGCCTCTCACGCCCGCCACGCCACGCCGCTCGCTCACCCTCCAACCACCACCTCCTCTCCCTCTCCCAAGGCGCACTTCTCCGGTAGACGTTCGCACTTGCCCGTCGTCGTCCGTGCCTGCTGCCTCTCCCTCTCCCGCTCTCGCTCTCTCTCCCACACGCTCTCTTTGCACTCGCCTCTCGCGGCACCTGCCTCGGCACGCATCGTCTCTGCCGCCTTCCTCACCACCCACCACACGCATTTCACCATGATGCGCCTCTCGCTCTCGGCACTCGCCGTGCTGCTGCCGCTGCTCGCCGTGCTCGTCGCACAGCTGCCCGCCGTCGAGGCGCGCAACCGCTGGTGCATCCCGCACGGCTACGACAACCGCTGGGCACCCAAGCTCGGCAAGGGCAACATGGAGTGCTACCACCACTGGCAGGACGGCCCCGTGGACCAGTACTCGAAGCACATCGAGTACGTGCCCATGATGTGGGACCTCAACCGCCACGGCGGCCTGTGGGCGCAGCGCAAGCGCCAGATGAAGAACAACCTGCCGCGCCGCATCCTCGCGCAGAACGAGCCCGACGTCAAGGGCCAGGCCAACCTGGACCCCATGTGAGTGGCGTGCAGCGTGTGTTGTGTGTGTGCGCGCGCGCAACAGCAGCTCACCCCTCGCACAGCACCGCGGCCAAGGACTGGGTGCGTGAGCTCAAGCCGTACCAGGACAAGGGCGTCAAGATCTCGTCGCCGCAGATCGTCTACGACCTCGACTGGATGGACAAGTTCATGACGAAGCTGCACCAGCTCGGCGCCGACGTCGACTTCATGGCCATCCACTCCTACACGCCCAAGGGCGACAAGGGCCTCAACCAGCTCAAGACGTTCGTCCAGAAGGTCCGCAAGCGCTACGGCAAGAGGTGAGTGGCAGTGGTCAGCTGTCGCGCGTCGCAGCATGCTGACTCCTTGACAGCATTTGGGTCACCGAGTACGGCATCACCGCCGCCTCGAACCCGTCGTCGGCCGAGGTCAAGGACTACGTCATCAAGGCGCAGAAGTGGATGGACTCGACGTCGTACGTCAAGCGCTCCTTCCCGCTCGGCGGCTTTGCCGTGACGCAGCCGCCGGACGCCTTTGTCACCAACAAGATGGCCTTCTTCAGCGGCAACGGCCAGCTGCGCTCCGTCGCCAACTGGCTCGTCTACTCGGGCAAGAGCCGCCGCGACGTCGGCTCGCTGCCCTCGTCGCCGCTCGAGCACCGCGCCGCCGCGAGCCCGGGCGCCAAGCGCCACCACGCCAAGCTGGCGAGCCGTGCCGCGGCGCGCGACCAGGTCGACGCTGACCTGCTCGAGGCGCGCGACGACGACGACGCCGACGCCGACGAGAAGGACGGCGGCGAGGAGCTGCCGTGCACCGACGCCGACCCGTACTGCGGCCTCGGCGACAAGATTGCCGAGCAGCTCGAGACGCTCGTCGACGGCGACTGGTACGAGTCGCCCGAGGACCGTGACGACGACGAGGAGGACATCGACTAGACTGCGCGACAGCACACCACCTGGCTTCCCTGGTCTCCATCTTAATGCCCTGTCGTCACGCTCTTCGTCTCTGCCTTCTCTCCGACCACGCTCATCGAGGCCGGCGCCCCCGCTGCGCGGGCTCTCGTCGTCTCACCGTCCATTCCACTCTCATTTTCCGGATCCTTTGCTCCTCTCTCGACCCGTCCCTATTCGAACCGGTTTCGCTACAGCTCCGTCGCCTCCACTTTCCCAACCCGTTCCCGCGTTCCGGCCCTCTTCCTTGCACTCAGTGCGGCGTGCGCGCGCGCGCGCCCTGGCGAGACTCTGCCTCGTCGAGCGTGTCTGCTGCTGCAGGAATGCCCTGCTTGGGAAGCAAGAGGCAGACGAGAGAGAGCGGCTTGCAGCCATGCCCGCCGTCGCCGAACTAGACTGCCCAGCCAGCGCCTGGTGCCTTGTTACTCCGCCGTCGCCCTCGGTCCTGCAGACATACCAAAAGCTTCCCTCTCTCCTCTCCCTCTCGACTTGACCCTTCCCACATATAGTCGCCCTCCGCAGTCCTACACGCCCAGCCTTGCTGCTGCCCTCCGCCGGCACGCGCATACACACCCACTGTCTTTTCCCCCTTCGTTCCTCTCGTGTCACCGCTGGCATTGACTGTCGCGCTGGCATTTTGCCGCGTCATCTCTACCTCGCCTGAAGCGTGTCGTCCGCTGCTCCTCTCTCGCTCCCTGTCCGCTCCGGCGGGCCTCGGCCCGTGAGGCAATGCGATGACTGCTTCTTCCCGCGCCTGAGGCACGTCTGACGTGAGGTGACAAGAGGTGCGATTGCGGACACGAGCGATACAGAGCGATAAGGCAGAGTGCGGACTCAGGCGACACGCTGCTCCACGGCGAGCGCGCGGAAGGCGCTGTCCGGACGGGCCATCAGGGCATCGGGCGCATCATACTCGAGCGCACGGCTGGACGGTGCATGTGTGAGCGGCGGCATGTGCAGCGCGGCGCCACGCGGCAACTCACCCGTTGGCCATCACGAGGATGCGGTCGAAGTGGCGCACCGTGACGATGCGGTGCGCCACGGCGATGATCGTGACGCCGTCGAAGTGGTCCCGCTGCGGATGACAGATGAGCTGGAGTCGCACTGCGAGGCTGCCGTCTGACTCACCAGGCACTCCTGGAACTCGACGTCGGTCTGGTGGTCCAGCGACGAGGTGGCCCTGCGAGGAGGAGGGGCTCGTTCAGCTCGGCCGCGGTGGGAATGACTCGGGAGACTCACTCATCCAGCACGAGCACCTTACGTTGCCGAAGCACCGCACGCGCAAGCGAGAAGAGCTGCTTCTGGCCCGCACTCAGCGTGCCCTCGGCAGAGAGGAGCATCGTGTCGAGGCCCTGCGGCAGGGCGCGCACGAAGCCGTCGAGCTTCGTCTTGACGAGCGCATCCCACAGCTGCGGATCCGCGCGCTCGCCGTCGGGGTCGAGGTTGTCGCGCACCGAGGCGGCGAGGATGAGCGGCTGCTGCGGGATGATGCTCAGGCACGAGCGCAGCGAGTGCACGTTGAGCTCGTCGATCGGCGTGCCGTCGAGCAGCACGGAGCCGGGCCTCTGCGCCTCGAGCATGCGGAAGAGCGCCAGCAGCAGCGTGCTCTTGCCGCTGCCCGAACGACCGACGACGCCGAGCCGCGTGCCCGCCGCCACCTCGAAGCTCAGGCCCTGAATGGCAGGTGCTGCCTCGGGCGTGTATGAGACGGTGAGGTCGCGCACCGAGATGTTGCCGCGCAGCTCCTCCGGCTTGAGATGCGCACGCGCCGCCTTGGCAGGGCTCTCCTCGGGCTCGAGGATCGAGTAGCCGTGGATGCGCTCGAGCGCGATGCTGAGGATCTCGACGTCGGTCCACGAGAGCAGGACTTGGTTCAAGATGGTCGGCAGCTGCGTGGCCTGCACGAGGGCGACGGCGAGAATGCCGATCGAGGTTGACTGGCGCAGCACCACCACGAGGATCACGAGCGCGCAGTTGACGATGCTGCGCGTGGCTCAGTCAGCACGGAAGCGTCAGACAGGCTCGGGCAAGCTGCTCACCCGCTGATGAGATTCAGGTACGTTCCTGCGAAACACCGTCAGCCGAGCTCATTGCGCCCGGGACAAAAGACTCACTCAGCCAGTGTCGGACGGCCCACAGCGCCAGGTATGGCTTCTGCGACGAATCGAGGCGCGTTGTCATGATCGCCCTGAGCTTGCGCTCACGGCCCAGTGCGCGCACAGTGGCGAGGCCAGACTCGGAGGACGCCTCGGCGAGACTAGTGATGAGCGGTGACTTGCACGCCATCTCGAGGCGCCGCAGCTGCCGCGAGGCTGGCATGTACAGCCGCTGCAGAGCGTAGTAGAAGGCCGTCAAGCCAGCGAACACGGCGACGAGGTATGGCGCGGGAACGCAGAGGATGATGACGTAGCCCAGGAGCTGACTGTGGGAGGCACGGCCGTGAGCGGCGGGCGTGTGCAAAGCGAGAACAGCTGACTCACGCGGAGCAGCTCATGAAGTTGCCAACAGCGATGCCGAGCTCCCAGTCGACGGTGAAGAGGTCCTGCGAGAAGCGGTTGATGATGCGTCCGGCCGGGTTGGCCGAGAAGAAGGCCATGCTCGTGTACAGCACAGAGTGGAGCTGCCGAGCGTGCAGTGCCCGGCCGGCGCGGCCGACGGCGGTGACGAAAAGAACGTACAGCTGCACGGGCAGGGCGATCGCAATCACGGCGATGATAGCGAGCAACACGCAGGCGTTGCGCGCCAAGTTGACGTTGGGCTGCGCGTCGTTGTCGCGTGCCCACTGCTGCAGCCAGATGGGCACGCCCATGATGGCGGCATTGTGGAAGACCGTGCCTACGACGATGAGCGCCACGCAGCGCCAGCCCATTGCGCCGAACCAGGTGTAGTACGCCGACCACGCCACGTTGCCGCTCTCCATCGCCTCGACCTCGTCCTCCTGCTCCTCGGCGACGGCCTTGGCGGGCGCCTTGGAGCCGTCGCCTGCCGTTGCCCGCTCTGTGTCGATCGAAGCGCGCGAGATCGCCTGCTTGCCCTTGACCGAGAGGTCCTCGAAGCGGCCAGACTCGGCGACCTTGCCTTCCTCGAGGCGCACGATGAAGTCGGCAGAAGGCAGGAGATGCAAAGCGCTGCGTGAAGAAATGTCAAGAGAAGAAGGAGCTAGCACAACGCAGCCTACTCACTTCGAAGCCATGACGATGGTCTTGCCGCGCAAGAGGCCCTGAGGGCCCATGAGGTTTCGCCAGAGCGCCGCCGCCGTCTCTGCGTCAAGCGCACTCGTGACGTCGTCGAGCACGTACGCCTCAGCGTCAGCATACAGTGCACGTGCCAGTGAGACACGCTGGCGTTGACCTCCGGAGAGCGCCTTGGCCAGTGTGCGGTCGCGCTGAGCAAGCTGCAGCACGTCGACGTCGAGGCAGCACGCACGCAGCGCAGTCTGGTACCGCTCTGCGTCCCAGGCCCCGTCGAACAAGATGTTGTCGCGGATCGAGGCGCCCTCCATCATCCAGTTGTCCTGCGCGCAGAAGGCGACTGGACGCGCAAGCATCGGCAGCTGCGACTCGCCGCTCAGCACGTCTGCCTCGCCGAGCAGGCCGAGCAGCAGCGTGCTCTTGCCCGAGCCGATGCGTCCGCAGACCATGGTGAGACGACCACGCGGGATCGTCAGTGCCACGTTGGTGAGCACAGGCTTGCCGGCCCAGCCGATCGTGGCCTCCTTGAACGTGGCGGCCGGGGCGCTCTCGACTTCGATCGAGGTGTTGGAGTCGACGGAAGGCCGCGTCTTGTGATCACGGCTGGTGCTCAGCGACGCGGCTGACTCGGGACGCATGTTTGTGCCCGCCGCCGAGGGACGCTCCTTCTCGCGGAGGAAGACCTCGATGCGCTTGATGCTGGCGTAGGCGCTGATGATGCTGGCGTACTGCTGGCCCATCTGCATGAGGGGCACCTCGAGAATGGCGATCGTCGTGAGCGACGTGAAGACGGTGTTGAGGGTGAAGCGCCGCGAGCCGGAGAGCAGGTCGACGATGCCGAGCGCCGTGAAGGTCGCTAGGGACATGATCTCGACGTTGAAGTTCGACGAGGTAATGACGATCAGCAGGCGCTTGAGGTAGCCCTTTGCGCATGTGATCTCCTCATCGCGGGCAGCGAGCAGCTTCTTCTCGATGGCCTCCTCGTACGCCGCGAACTTGACGCCCTTGGCATCGCGCACGGCAGACTCAAGCAGGTTCACTCGCGCATCCGTCTTGGCGCTCCAGTTGCCCTGCAGCGCGGTGATGTTCGTGCCGCACGACGAGGCGATAGGCGTCAGCGCCAGGTTGAAGGCGATTGCGAGAAGCGTGGCAATGAACACGGCGCCGATCTGCGAGTAGAGGATGTAGAGGCCGACTGCGACGATGACGACGCTGGACCAGAGGTTCTTCAGAGCAGATGTCAGTTTTGCATCGTGTACGTAGCCCAGCGACACGCACGTGGACAGGGTCGACAATCTTGACGAAGCGCTCGAGGTCGACGGAGATGAGATTGGCAGCCGCACCGCCGCCCGAGCGCTTGGCCGCCTCGACGTGCAGCTTGAGGCTCTTGGCGTAGAGCAGCTCGATGAGGCCGCCGCGCAGCTTCACGATGGCCTTGGCGCAGAGCCAGTAGTACTGGCCTGTGCTAAAGGCCAGCACGGTGAAGACGAGCGCGTATGCACCCACGAGGCCCCAGCCATTTGACGTGGACTGCGGCACAGCGCCTTCTTGGAAGCTCTCGGCGAATGTCAGGGTTGCGCTGACCAGATACGGCTGTGCTAGCGTCGCAGCGACCATGATGAGGCGCGGCACTGCCGGTGCCAGCACTGCGCCCGGGAAGGAGAGCACGCAGACCCAGAGCAGGCCGCGAGGCGGATCGATGCTCGCGTTGGAGCGCAGCTCTGGCGTGTCTGCTTCGTGCTCGTCCATCTCGAAGTCCTGCGGCGCGCTCGTCTTCTCAGACGGCCACGGCCGCCACGAGCGCCGGCGTTGCGTTGCGCCGTGATTGGTGCCCGGCTGCCAGACGGACGCAATGCGGCGCCCGAGCAGCGAGCCCTTGAAGTCAAACGAGAGGTCGTCGAGGTCGGACAGCTGCAGCGGAGCACGGAAGCCGCGCCAGATCGTCGGCCAAAGCCAGAGGAAGAGCAGTTGCGAGAGGAAGCTGGCGCGCGACTCTGCGGTGCCGTCGCGCTGAGAGGAGGTCAGCGAGGCAGCGGGGAGCGCAGTCGGGAGACGCACCGGCACGCCGCTCGTGTTCTCGGCCGCGAGCATGCCTGCCTTGCAGATCAGACCGACGATGGCAAGCGCAAAGAGCGGCGAGCTCTCAATTGCCGGCACGCGCGAGAAGGTGCGCACGCGCGAGGCGTCGAAGAGGCAGGAGGCGAAGAGCCAGACGGGCAGCCAGGCTGTGCCGCGTGCCGTCTTGCGGCGCTCAAGCATGGAGCCGGGCACGATTGCGAGCTGCGAAGAACGCCGTCAGCACCAGTGCGAGCCAGGCCCAGGGCTGTGACTGACAGACGCGAGGAAGGCGAGCGCGACGCCCGGCACGATGCTGTCCGCGTCGAGTGCCTCCTTGAGCGCATCGCGCTGCAGCACAAGCGCCAGCACGGCGAGCGAGAAGACGGCATGGACGGCAGCGAGGGCGGTGCGCACGGCGCCGATGGAATCCGCGCGGCCGGGCGCCAAGTCGGGCTTGCGCAGCAGCAGCGGCACGCGCACCAGCGCCGCGGCCAGCAGCACGACGGAGGGCGTGAGGAGCAGCACGAGGTTGGAGAAGCGCAGCGTGAAGTCGAAGGTGCGGCACGTCGACGACGGGCCCTGCGGAAAGAGTGAGTGGACGAGTGGATAGCGCGGCGCGGCACGGCTCACAAAGGCCGCGTCCTGCGGGCACTGCATGCTTGGGGGACGACGCTCTTGCTCGGGATGGATGTGGTCTGGAGGAGAGAGATGCACCGGCCGGCCCTCACGCTCTGGCAATGCGCCGCAGCGTGGCCAGCGGCGGGTGTGGCTGGCGTATCGGGCGCGCAGCAGGAGGTGTTGCCTGCTGCGCGCGCGTGTCACGGTGACTCCGCTCCTGCTGCCATGCAGGAACGCTCGGCTGGCGTGCTGGTGCGTCTTTCCGCGGAGCCCCTCCCCGCATGCCGCTCATTCCGGCCCGAGTGCCCTCAGCCACGCCGGCGAAGCGCGCAGCCAGAGTGCAGTGCACACGCAAGCTGCTCGAGTTGATGCGAGCTCGTCAAGTCGTTCGAGTCGAGCGAGGGCCGAGCGGGCTGCGGCGCTCGGGAGGGGGCTCGGCTGCTTGACGCGCCTCTGCTGTCTCGGGCTGCAGGGAGCGCGTGGGCCGGCGGCTCGCGAGGCGGCAGCGGCTGCCGCGCGGCCGACGCGTCCCAAGCGTGCAGCGGGACGCGCGCATGCTGCGGCTTGCTCTCGGCACCGAGCGACCACGAGGCACGCCGGCGATAGCGCCGCCCAGCAAGCCGCAGCAGGCGCCCAAGAGGGCAGCGACGGCGAGAGGCATAGGATGCGAAGCGATGGCGTGCGGCCTCACTCTGCCCCACGACGCTTCGATGCGCAGCAGCACGCTGCGGTCAGCGCAGCAGGTTCAGGGCGACACGAGGCTCGTAGGACAGCTGTGCGGCAGTGGTGACGTGCATTGCAAGCCGGCAGCAGTAGACACGAGGAGGTCGCGAAGCGCAGCATGCGCAGCAGCCAGCTCTAAGCTGCGATCTGCAGCATCTCCTCAACGGCTGTGGACACAGGCAGGCACGATCAGCCGCGTGTGCAGGACTGTTCGCTCGAGGCAGTACACTCACACAGCACCTTCTCTCGAAGCTTGCCGAGCTCCTTGCCTCTCCTCAGTTCCTCGCGGTCCAGGCGCTCCCAGCCCGCCCACGACACGACGGGCTTTGTGGGCGCTCGCAGCTCATGCGGCACGCCGTCTGCTGGCGCAGGCACGTCTTGCAGCAGGCCCCGCGCCGCCGAGTGCTCGGACTGAGCGGCCCAGTCCGCTAGCAAAAGATCGGCCACCGAGTTGGCGTCGAACATCGTCGACGCGATGACGCCGACTGGGCCGCGAGCTAGCCAGCCAGAGACGTACATGCCCGGCATCTGGACAGCGTCAGCTTGCAACAGATCGCGCCAAGTCGGGCCGACTCACTCCTCGTACTCGGCCGCCTTCATTCGGCACCACTCCGCGCGAGGCATCCCACGGCATAGCAGCGTCGCTTGCTAGCTCAGAGCCCGCAAGAGGCGCGCCTAGATAGCCGACGCTCGACACGACAGTGTCCGCCGGCGTCTCTGACGTCTCGGACTTGCCGACTTGCCACCGCGCCGAGCCGACGCGAGCGGCATCCGACGAGGCAGGGCGCAGCTCTTGCGGGCGGTGGAAGAAGTTGAAGCCCCAGCTTGGCGTGCCTTGCTCAAGCGGCATCGCCTCATTGCTGTGCTTCTCGAGCAGCGCCAGCATGCGTTTCCGCACGCGCGCCTCGGTGGCTCGTTCGGGATCTGATGCTGCTGCCGCTTCCAGCGCCTTCAGATCCTCCTTTGCGACTGCCAGGTCCTGCTCTGCGATCGCCCGGAAGCGCGAGCCCGGCAGCGTGAGCATCTCGCGCAGCTCCTTTGTCGTGCACGCCAGCTGTGCCGCGCCTCGGCGCGCAAAGATGCCCACATGCTCGACGCGGGCGCGCGAGAGGTGCTCCAGCACCGGCTCGGGTATGTCGCTGGTGCGCAGTGCTGCCAGGCCCTTTGCCCCGCTCGACGTCGAGGGGCTCGATGGATCCAGCGCCGTAGGCGCCCGCAGAATCAGCCGCGCTACATCGAGCGCCACATTTCCTGCGCCAATGACGGCGACGTTGCGTGTGCTTGAGAGGTCCACCCTGCGCCAGGGCGCCCGCGCGAGCAGCGCTGCGTCGTGCGCCGTAGGATGGCCGTTGTACCAGTGCACAAAGTCCAGCGAGCTATGCACGCCGCTCAGCTCGCCCGGTGCAGCACCAGGCACGCCGAGCGGGCGCGCCAGCGTGGAGCCGTAGGCGAGCAGCAGCGCAGAGTAGTGCTGCTTGAGCGACGCCAGCGGCAGCGGCAGCGCATGCGGATAGTCGAGCTGCTGCGCCGACGTCGACGCCTCGGCGTGCGCGGCGACGACGTTGACGTTGCCGAAGAAGCGGAAGCGCGGGTCCCTTGCTACCTCTGCAAAGCGATGCTCTACGTTCTGCCCTTGCGCATCAGCGTCTCTTGCCCCCCACCGCAGCCGTCTCGGGCAGGGCTCACCTTGACGTCGGGATGATCGGGCGCCACGCCCCAGCGCACGAGGCCGTGCGGCGTAGGCAGCCGCTCGTACATGTCGACCTGCACGTTGGCGCTGGAGCCGAGCAGGCGAGCGGCGGCATAGAAGGCCGACGGCCCACTGCCGACGACGGCGACGCGCAGCGACATGAGAAGGGAAGGAGTGTGGAGGGTGGAAGGAAGGAAGGCGCAGTGGGGCGCCGGCTTCCCGGCCGGCTGCTGCTAGGTCCCGCGGGATATGCGGCTCGAGTCAGCCGCGCGCTCCGCCCCCGCGCCCCTTTTAGCCCTAGCGCTGCTGCGCCGCTCCCTCGTCTCGTCCACCACATCCCGCCAATTCTGTCCGTCCTTCTCTCTGCGCCGCAGCACGTAGCGTCGCCATACTCTCTTTACGTCCATCACACGCTCTCTTCTGCGCCACTTCTCCACGGCCACGAGCCCTCCTCTCCACGGCCACGCCGTCCGCAACGCTCCCTCGCCCCGTTCCACCTCATTCGCCGACGACGTACGCACATCTACGGCGCTCTTCACTCTTTTCAAGATGCCGCAACTCCAGAAGAAGATGATGCGGCGCGAGGGTTAGCCGGTGGAGCGTCGGCTGCAGCCGCGCAGCTCAGGTGTGTATTGAAAGCACGCGCGACCATGTTCTCGTCTGACCCCCACTCCGCAGGCGCATCTGCCAGCTTCGAGTCCGTCAAGCCGGTCGTCAAGGCCGGATCGACGGTCTAGCAACTAGCGAGAGACGCCCTCCAGAAAACGCACACTCGCCGCTCGGCGGCGCGTTGCCGATGCGGCGAGCGTGCGGTTTCTGGAGGGTGTCTCTCGCTAGTTGCTCGGTCGTCTTCGCCGCTCAGCTCCCCGCTCTCGCCTCACTTCAACGTCGGCGACGCCGGCAACGACCTGATGGCACACGCGCAAGGCTCGTGACGCGCTCGTTCGCCGTGCTGCAGCGGAGAAGCATCGTTTCTTCCTCTCCCGGCGGTACCGCCATCTTCTCCGTTCAACGCCGGCAACGTCTGCAACGCCATCGTTGCGAAAGTCGCTGGCGTTCGCGGGAGCAGATGGTAATACCCTCGCGAAGAGGAGCAACGTCGCTGCTTCTATGCAGCGCACAGGCGACGTCGCCAGCGTCAAGCTTCGGGGAAACGGGAAGTGAAGCAATTCCTTGAACTTGACCGCAGCAAAGCGGCAAGGGTGTCTCATGACACTCCTCCCTCTGCGCTGCTCGCAAAGACAAGTGATCGCTCCAGTTCTCGCCTTCGTCGCAGTTAGGCATCTACCTCGACGCTCTCGTCGTGTCTCCTCACGCGTCTCATGCCTCTGATCTCTCTCGCCGGCGCGCCGAGGCTGCAGCAAGCCACGCTCTTCCTCTTTCATCAACATGCCGCCCTCATCCGGCCCAATGGCTCGCTCTCAATCTCATCCATCTTCCTGCGCACTCACGTGCCTCTCAAGGTCTTCCTCGCCCGCGCGTCATGGCAGCAGTCGGGCCTCACTCTTCCGCTCTCCTCGGCGGCAAGGCGCCCGTCTCGCTCCTCAACGCACAAGTCTCAGCTCTCATCGCATCTGTTCGCTCGCTCGCATGCCTCATGCCTCTCGCCCATCTTCACGCGCGCCTAACGCCTTTGACGGACCCCTCCTATCCCTCACCCACGATCTCTCTCACGAACCACATCATTATACCTCGGACGAAGCACCAAGGCTCGTTTCCTCATTCTTGTATTCATACCTCTAATCACACATGTTCGCTGCGCTTCAGGCTGATCGCTCTCGACGGCGAGCCTTGATCAGCGAGGACAGATGAGCTGCTGCTGACAGCAAAGCCTTGTGGGAAGAAGCAGCCCCTACGTCGACGCCGGCTGAAGCGGAACTGCCTCGAGCCTCCGAGTCCCGCCGCACCTGTCACCTGCGCTTCTTCCAGCCCCGCTCTGCCGCGCCTGTCACGCATCGGGGCCTCGCTATCAGCGCCTCCGTTGTGCAGCTCTCTCGAGGAGTCTTTCCCAGGCAGTGCTCCTGCAAAAGGCGCCACCACAGAATGCAGCGCTCGGCGGCTTTGAGCGCGGGAGCCGAGCCGGAAAGGTGGCTGGCGCCCGCACCGCCGCGGCTGCGGAAAGCGGCACGGCACGGCATGCGCGATGCCGCGCGTCGTGCGCTTGGCGGAGGCATGAGGGCGCTGCGGCTGCTGCGAGTCACGCGCCTGCGACTCGCTCGTCCAAGGGAGCAGCATCTCCTTCGCTTCTTCTTCAAGAAGGATCTGCTGTGGCTCCCACCTCTCCTGCACATCCCACCTCACCACCATATCTTGTCTCTCTCTCTCTCTCTCACGGAGATCTCACGGTGCGGACCCTTGCCTCCGCTCGACGGGACATCATGCGGCAAGGGTAGGGCCGATCACGTGTCCTGCGCACGTCGCCAAGCGATGAGGCTGGGCACTGCACACGGCTCGGCGCTGCACCTCCCCGGCTTGGCCTTGCGAGCTGCCCCTTGAGCACCGCGCGGTCCTCGGCGCAAGCAGCACATCAGCTCGACGACGTATCGGGCCGGCCTGAACCCTTGGCCCAGACGCCCAGCTCGGGCCTCGGCGCTTCGTCGGCTGCCAATCGCTGCGCCTGCACCCTGAGTCAGCCTCCATCCGACGCCGACGTCGAGCATCCAGACGCCGCGACTCGCCGCTCGCAGCGACGGAGGCTGTCATGCTGCGACAAGGAAGAGGAGCAGACCGTGCCCGCTGCCCCCGCAAAGTGGCTCGCTGCATTCCGCGCTGCAATCTCGATTAGGACAGGGGGCTGCTGCATCCAGCACGCAGGCACACGCAGCTAAACGCAGGCACGAAGAGGAGTCCAAGTGCTTCGGCGCACGCGCTCTCTGCTGTTTCCGCGACAGCCGCCTGCTGCTGCGCTGCGCCCCCGATGTGCGACGTCGCCTGCTGCTGCGCCCGACGGCCGAGCACGAGCACGAGGTCCGAGGACGAAGGCGCCCCCCCGCAATGGATGCGCAGATGCAGCCAAGGCGTCGACGTGCAGCTTGCGGAGGCGTTCTCGATCGTCCTCCTCGCCCCTCCAGCGGCCGCTGCTCATCGCAGGGGTGTTCTATTTCGAACGCCGCCCTCAGCCTCGTCGCACGTCGTGCAAGACGGAGCCGTGTCCGTGCCTGGTGTGCTGTGTGCTGCTCGCCGTCCTGCGTGGTGTACCGCCATGGGCACGCGCGTCAAGGCACTTCTTCCCGCCCGCCGCGCACGACACGCGCGCGCTGCTGGCGGTGCTTACGCCGGGGCGGCTTGGCGGCGCATGACACGAACGCTTGGCTTGCGGGTCGGACGTGCACGCTCCGCAGGCAGCGCAAACCGCAACTCGCCGCCGGCCGAGAGGCCGCGGTCGACGTCCGAAGCCGCAAGCCGCACAGCCCGTGACGGCGGCGCATGAGGGCATGACACCGCGGTCGCCAGCCGCAGCCGCACCGCCCGTCCGCCCGCAAGAGGGTGCTGCGGCGTGCGGCGTCGGCAGCAGCAGCGACAGCGACGAAGCGCCAAGGGCTATCTGGCGCAAAGCTGCCCCTCGGCGCTCGAGAGTTTTCTGTCGCTCGCCACCTCCTCTCTCCGCACCGAGTCCTGCCGAACTCGATCCTTATCGCGAGATCGCAAAAGGAGCGAAGCCCGGCCGAGCCCTTTGCGCGCTTTGCAGCGAGGTTCGACGGCGGAGGGGCGAGGCGTGCAGCCGGACCTTCGAGGGGGCGCAGCAAGTGCAGCAAACAGATGCAGCGAGCTGCGAGCGAGAGACAAAGAAGAGACTTCGGGCAGGCAGCCAGTCTGCGGCCATGCTGGCCTGACCACGCGACCGCCTCTTGCGCGCCTTCGCCATGTGTGCAGGAGAGCTCGGGCGCAGCGCCAGTGTGCCCTTAGATCAGGCTTGGCAAGGGCAAATGGCGCCAGCGGCGGCTCCGCTGCAGCGCTGCGGCCCACCGGCCTCTGCGCCGGGCGGGCATCAAGGGCAGTCGGCTCTCCGCCCGCGTCCGGCGTTGCGGCCCTCTCTGCTGGCCGTGCGCCCGGCGGCCAGCGGCCAAGGCGCGCCGCAAGATCCCTGCACACTGCCCACCTGCCCGGAGCCGCAGCTTCTTCCGGGCACCGCCATGCGGGCGCACCGCCGCTGCCGCTGCCTTCGGTCCGGCGCCGCCCGCACCGCAGCCCGCGACGCCGCTGGCACGGTGCCGCCGCCCTCGCGTGCGCAAGCCATGCGCACCCGGCCCACGCCGCCGCCGCGCCAGCACGGCTATCACTCCGCCTTGTGGCCGTGGGTGCGCCTCGCATGCTCGCCTGCAAGCGCCCCACACAGCCGGGCATCGGTGCGGCGAGTGCATCGTGCTTCACACGGGCCAGGCGTGGCGGCACGGCCCCTCGGCACACTGCTCCTGTGGGCCAGCTTCGGTCTCGTCGCGCGGGCAGACGTCAATCAGCAGAGATAGCGGGCAGGGGCGCAGGACAAGAGCGAGGCCCTGGTTGAGTGGCGCGCCAGGTTCAGGCACAGCAGCGCAGGCGGCCGCAGGGAAGCAGGGAGCGCGGCCCAAGCCTGCAAAGCTGGGGCCCGGCTGGGCGCGAAGAAAGCGCCGCGACGCGAGACGGTGGCGCGCCGCAGAGCAAGGGACGCGGGCGCGCAGGCAGCGGCAGAGCAGCAGAGGCGATGCGCTGTGCGCCCCAGGGACGCGCGCGTGTGCTTAAGAAGGCCGCCTCGCCGCAGCTCGCCACTCTGCTCCGCAACCTTCCTCCCTTCTCCCACCCCGCCTCTTCCCACCATGGCGACGCAGCAGGAGATCCAGCACGTCAACTCCAAGGGCAGCGTGTCGCCCAGCGACGAGAAGGCGCAGCACAATGCCGAGGTCAACTCCTTCACCGACCCCGACGCGCCCGGCGAGATCGAGCGCGGCGACCTCCAGCGCGCCCTCAAGCCCCGCCAGATCTCGTGAGTGGCCAGCTGGGCACCGTGGAGGATGCAGCGCGGCTGTCTATGTCCCGGCTGTGTGCTTCACAGCGCATCGCTAGCGCGGGACACGGCGCGTCGTCGTCTGCACCGCGCGTCGGCGTCTGCACCTGCCTCTCCCCTCCGTCCTTCGTCCGCTGACCCTCTGCGCTCTCTCCTACAGCATGATAGCTATCGGAGGAGCAATCGGCACTGGTCTTATCATTGGTACGGGCGCTGCTCTCTCTCAGGGTGGTCCCGCCGGTCTTCTCATCGGCTACACGGGTGAGTGCCGTGTCCTTCTCTCGGCCTGTGCCATGTCTGTCCGTCTCTCGACCCGTGCCGTGTCATTCCCTCGGCCAGCGCCATGTCGTCTCTCGGCCAGCGCCATGTCGTCTCTCGGCCAGCGCCATGTCGTCTCTCGGCCAGCGCCGAGTCCGTCTCTCGGCCAGTTCTCGGCCTGTGCCATGTCGTTCGCTCGGCCAGCGCCACGTCGTTCTCTCGGCCAGCGCCATGTCGGCCAGTGCCAGTTCGTCGTCTCGGCCAGTGCCAGGTCGTTAGCTCGGCTAGCGCCATGTCGTTTTCTCGGCCAGCGCCTGTCGGCCAGTGCCATGTCGTTCTCTCGGCCAGCGCCTTTCGGCCAGTGCCATGTTGTCCTCTCGGCTAGCGCCGAGTCGTTCGCTCGGCCAGCGCCTCTCGGCCAGCGCCATGTCGTCCTCTTGGCCAGCGCCAGGTCGTCCTCTTGGCCAGGTCACGCTCTCTCGGCCAGGTCACGCTCTCTCGGCCAGGTCACGTAAACTGACGAGCGGCCTTTCTAATCTTAGTCATGGGCGCCGTGTGTTTCTGCGTCATGTGCGCTCTCGGCGAGATGTCCGCGTCGCTCCCACACAAGCGCGGCTTCACGGGCTACGCCACGGACTTCGTCGACCCCGCGTTCGGCCTGGCCACCGGCTACAACTACCTGTGCAAGTACCTCATCGTCACGCCGAACCAGCTGTCCGCCTCGGCCATCCTGGTGTCCTACTGGGCGCCCACGCTCAACCCGGCCGTCACGATCTCCGCCTTCCTCGTCGCCATCATCGCCATCAACTTCCTGGGCATCCGCTACTTCGGTGAGCAGCACGCGTCATACGCAGCAGACGCAGCCGCTAACACATCCCACAGGCGAGATCGAGTTCTGGCTGTCGTTCTCCAAGATCATCGTGCTCACGGGCCTGATCATCCTCGGCATCATCCTCGACCTCGGCGGCGGCCCGACGGGCGACCGCATCGGCTTCCGCTACTGGAACGGCCTCGACCGCGCCTTCAACCAGTACAAGGTGCCCGGCGCGCTCGGCCGCTTCCTCGGTGTGTGGAGTGTCATGACGCTCTCGCTCTTCGCCTACATGGGCTCCGAGCTCGTCGGCGTGTGCGTCGGCGAGACGGCCAACCCGCGCAAGGCCATCCCGTCCGCCATCAAGAAGACGTTCTTCCGCATCCTCGTGTTCTACATCATCGGCTCCACGCTCTGCGGCATGCTCGTGCCGCGCGACGACCCGCGCCTCGTCGGCTCCGCCGGCGCCAAGAAGGGCACGGCCGGCTCGTCGCCGTTCGTCATTGCCATTGTGCGCGCCCAGATCCCGATTCTGCCCTCGCTCGTCAACGCCTGCCTGCTGCTCTTCACGCTCTCGGCCTCCAACTCCGACCTCTACATCGGCGCGCGCACGCTCTACGGCCTCGCCGCCGACGGCAAGGCGCCCAAGATCTTCCTCAACTGCAACAAGCGCGGCGTGCCGTACGTCTGCCTCGCCCTCTGCTCCGTCTTCTGCGGCCTCGCCTACATGAGCGCCTCGACGGGTGGCGCGCAGGCGTTCGGCTACCTCACGTCGACCGTGTCCATCTTCGGCGGCCTCACGTGGTGCTCGATTCTCTTCTCGCACATCCGCTTCATGAAGGCGTGCAAGGTCGAGGGCATCGACCGCAACGACCTGCCGTACAAGAGCCCCGCCGGCCCGTACGGCTCGTGGTTCGCGCTCATCCTCACGATGATCGTGCTCTTCTTTAAGGGCTTCGCCTCGTTCATCGGCCCGCGCTTCGACTACCGCAGCTTCATCACGCACTACATCGGCCTGCCCGTCTTTGCGCTCCTCTACATTGTCAGCAAGATCATGTGGAAGAGCAAGCTGGTGAAGCTCGACGAGATGAACCTGCGCGAGCGCGCCCGCACCTTCGACGACCTCAACATCAAGGAGGACGAGGAGGACCAGCCGCGCAACATGAAGGAGAAGGTGGCGCACTGGGCCAAGAACTGGTAATCGACTGCCGTCGTCGCCTGCTCTCCTCCATCTGCCTGCCCTTCCTTCCTCCTCTGCTCGGCCCCTTCACGCGCCCCCGTCGTCGCTCCTGCATCTGTGGTCCGGCACACGTCACGATAGAATACTATTCCCTTCCGGGCTCTGCGGAGCCCGCACGAAAAGAGATGCCTTGATGCTACGTCTGTGTGTGCGTGTGCGCTGGGCTGCTCGAGCGGGCCGGTCTGGGCAGCGCTGTTCGGCGAGTGAGCAGCTCGACAGCCGAAGGTGCCTGATGCTCGCGTCCGTGCACGCGCCACGCTTGACCCCGCATTCGCGAGATGAGGCGACGACGCGCCTGCCGCTGGTTCCTCTCTCTCTCCTCCACACTCGCCGCCATGCAAGCGCTCAAGTTCGCAACGCGGCCACTCACTCGCTCTCTCGTGCTCAAGCCGTCACCGTCGGCCGCACGCTGCTTCTCCGCCGGGCTGGCGTCGATGCGTTCGGCGCACTTTCCCGAGTGGGCCTCAGAAGAGGCCGTCGCGAGCGCACAAGGCCTGCTGGCGCGCTTCCCGCTCGAGGGCGAGCCAGCCGCCTCGCAGACACAGCGGCTCGACGCCACGCATCTCTTCCAGCAGCGCCTGCTGCTCTCCGACATGGTGCCGCCGCATGCGCCGCTCGTCGATCCGGCAGAAGGCACGCCGCTGCTGCCGGGCGAGCATCTCTGCTTCTTCCTGCCGCGCGCCCGCTCGGCCGATCTCGGCGCCGACGGCTCAGACCGCACCTTCAATCCGCCTGCGCCCTTTGTGCGGCGCATGTGGGCCGGCGGCTCGATGACGTGGAGCCGCGAGAACCCGCTGCTCGTCGGCGAGAAGGCCTACGAACACACGTGGGTCGAGGACGTGCAGGTGAAGCGCACGGCAAAGGGCGACGAGATGCTCGTGGTGTGGGTGCGCAAGGAGCTCGGCAACGAGCGCGGGCCGAGCATCGAGGATCGCCGCAGCTGGCTCTTCCAGCGGCCGCTCCAGGACGGCGGCGGAGCACTGCCTCGGCCAGTGCAGTCGCAGCACGGCGAGCCGGCGCAGTCGGACAAGCTGGGCCTGGCAGCGGGCGCCACGGCCGTGCAGCAGACGCCCGCCACGCTCTTCCGCTACTCGGCGCTCACGTACAACGCACACGCCATCCACCTCGATGCGCAGTGGGCGCGCGAGCGCGAGGGCCACCCCACGACCGTCGTGCACGGGCCCATGACGCTGGCGCTGCTGCTGCGCAAGTGGGGCGCCGAACACGCCGGATGGCGCATCGAGCACGACGGCCGCCTGCGCGGCGACGCCGGCAAGCTGGCGCGCGTCGAGTATCGCGCCAAACGGCCGCTGTGGACGGGAGAGCGCTACTGGCTCGGCAAGGTAGAGGCTAGCTCGGGCAGCACGGACACGATGCTCGCGGTCAAGGAGGACGGCACGGTGGTGATGGAGGCCATCATCAGCCCGGCCTGAGCGGCTCGCACTGTCTCGTCACTCCGCTCGCCCTTGTCGCACGACACCCTGTGGAATCAATGCTTTGCTTTGACTTTGTCCTCTCGCGGAAAGACAACAAAGAGAAGGCGGGCTCGCGGCTTCTCGGCGGAACGAGAAAGGGCGCTGTTTGGGCTGTGCTGGCAGACGCACGTGTGGATGGGTCCAGGAATGTAGGATTGGGAGGAGTGGAGAGGGGCGCAGAAGCTGCGGCGGCGCCAGACTGAGAGGGCTGGCGTCGAGACGGCTCCGCGGCGCGTCGAGGCGGCGTCGACGAATTGGTATCGAGTGAGGAGAAGAAAGAGAGAAGAAGGGCACGGGCCAAAGGCTGGCGAAAGTCGCCTGTCGCTCGTCTCGCGCCGAAAGATAGAAGTGTGCTGTGCGATGAGTGTGCTAGATGCAGAATGTCGAGAGCCGAGGCGTCGCGCATTTCAAAGCAAGTGTAAAGAGAGAAGCGAAGTCGAAGTCGAAGTGCCCCTCCTCATGCCGAGGCCGCCACCTCTGGTGCCGTGCCTGGAGCGGGCGCCGCACGCGGCGTGAACTTCATCCGTGCGCCGTCTTGCGGGAAGATGGTGGCGATGACACTGCGCGTAGGAGAGAGGGTGTGAGCAGAGCAAGCGACTCATCTGGCCAGTGCATGCAGCCAGCTGCGCCGCATGTGTGCCTACTCACCGGACCTTCTCGCTCAGCGGCGTCACCTCGTGCTCCCAGTTCATCAGCACCGACGCCGTGCCGAGCACGGCGGTGAGGTGCAGCAGCGCGTACTGCTGGCCGATGCAGTTATGTGGGCCGCTGCCAAAGACGAGGTAGTTCTTGGGGTTCTGCTCGGCGGGCGAGTTGGGGCCCTCGAGCCAGCGCTCGGGAATGAGCTCGTCGGGCTTCGGGTAGGCCTTCTCGTCGTGCAGGGCGTTCCAGAAGGAGGGAATGACCATGGTGCCCTTGGGCACCGTGTAGCCCGAGTCGATGGGGAACGACTTGTTGGCCTGGTACGGCACCATGATGACCGGCGGCTTGAGGCGCAGCGACTCCTTGACGACGACGCGCGTGTACTCCATCTGCTCCAGCACATCGAGCTCCAGCGGCGCCGTCACGTCGTCGCCGCGCAGCCGGTACTGCTCCTCGCGCACCTTGCGCAAAATGTCCGGGCGGTCGGCCATGTGCTGGAAGAGGTAGGTGAGGCCGGAGGACATGGCGTCCTGCGAGGCAAAGAGGAACGAGAGCAGCACCATGCCAATCTCGCGGTCGCTAAAGTCGCGCACGAGCACGCGGCGCTCCTCGCCCTCGAGCTGGCCGGCCTTGGCGTCGAGCATGGCCTTGATCCAGGCGTCCGTGAGGCACTTGACCTCGCCGCCGTCGGCCATGCGCTTCTTGCTCTCGCGCGCCGTGTGCTCGAACCACTTCATCGCCGTCTTGCGCGCCTGGATCGCCTTGTACACCTTGGTGCCCGGAAAGGCAAAGGGGAAGTTGACGAGCTCGAGCGCGACGGTGATGAGCCAGTAGTTGTCCGACACCTCCTTGGCGCCCTCCTCGCTGATGTAGTCGCCACAGAAGACGCGCAGCGACGTCTCCATGTTGAGGTCGCGGAACTGCATCATGTACGGCTGCGGCTTCGTCGCCGGGTCGCTGAGCCACTGGTTGAAGTGCTGCCGGTAGATGTTCTCCTGGATGGGCAGGTACACGCTGTTTGCGCGTGTGAGAGGGGGCAAGGCGGGAGCACTGGCGGCAGGCGGGCTCACCTGAGCGCCTTGCGCGTGAAGAGCGTGTTGAGGCCCTTGCGGTAGTCGACGTGGCGCTTGCCGTTGAGGAACACCCTGCGCGAGTGCTGCATCAGCTGCCACCATCTCGGCTGATTGGCGCGGCGGCGGCTCACCAGTTGTCGTGGCACAGCACCTTCTTGGCGCTGGCGACGAGGCACGGCTCCGTGTATGCGGGGCTGTTGAGGATCTTGCGCGTGTGCTCCGTCGACGAGGCAATGACGATGAAGCTGTTGCAAGGCCGAGATTGAGCACGCAGCTCCGGCAGGCCTCTCACTCTTCCGCCGCCCACGCCCGCCTCTCGCGCGCGCCGCACTCACATGTGGAAGACGCTGGCGACGCTCAGCGGGCCGCTGTTCCAGCCCTCCATGTACTTTTCCAGGCTGGGGTTGAGGCTGTCGGCAAACTTGCCGATGACGGGGATGGTCCAGCGCGGGCCGGGCAGGCCGGCCTTCTTGCGCTGGTAGTTGAGCTGCTCGTAGATGAGCGCCGACGCGACGACGGCCAGCACGGCCAGCGCCACCGTCAGCGGCTCGGCGGGCGGGAAGAAGAGGCTGGCGCGCGGCGAAGCAGCGCCCTTGAGCGGCAGCGCCTCGTGCGCGGCCGTCAGGTTGCTGGCCACCGACGCCGAGGCGCGGGCGGCGAGGTTGGCGAAGCGCGACATGGCGAGAAGGAACGAGGGAGCGCGGAGCAGCGACGGCGGCGGCAAGAGCAGCGGCGGCGACGGCGGCAGCAGCGACAGCGAGCAGGCAGCAGCAGCGACGGATAGACGGAGGATGGTGAGCAGAGGCAAGCTTGACTGGATGGCTTTGCCGCTGCAATCGCTGACCAGCGAGCCGGTCGCTCAAATCCTCTCGTCAGACAAGCGCGGCGGCGGCGGCGCGTTCCGTTCGTGCGGCGCCGCGCGCGGATCACGCCGTTCCGGCCGACGCGCCGTGGCCGGCCTTGCTGCCTTGTGCGCGTTGCCGCCTGACTGGCCGGCTGCCGGGCGCCGCGGCGTGAGAAGTTATTGCGGCCGAGGCGCTTGGCGCGAAGTGCCGCGGAGGCGCCTTGCAGATGCGCGCCATGCGCTGCGTGCGTGCTGACACGCCTGCGCCCAGCGCCTGCCGCACACTCACCGCCTGCCCGCAAGATCTGCAGCAGAAGAAAGGCGAGGGCGCCGCCGCCGCCGCTCCGGCACTCGGGCGCGGAATGCTCCGCTCACTCCTCGTCATGCAAGCTCCTGCGCTGCGAGCTGCAAGAAAGGCGCCTCTTTGCTTGCACCGTCCAGCTCGGCACTCTCGCCCGAGGCGCAGCGACCGTCTCTCTTGCAGCGCCAGAGCCAGCCTCAGCTCACGAGGGCAGATTTGAGCGAAGGGTACGCGCGTTTGACGGCGGCGTGGCAGGTGGGCTGACCTCGCCGCCGCCGGCATGGATTTCCCGATGGGCCTCCTTTCGCTTTGCCGCTGCCGTCTCAGCAGCCGCAGCGCGAGGGCCGAGCGCATGTGCTTTGTTCGCTTTCTCTGAGCAACCTGCCCCTCTTAGCGCCGCCGCACCGCAGCAAGAGCGGCTGGGACACACCTTAGCGTGCGGCCCTGCAGCAGCAGAAACGTCGGCCACCTCGGCTCGGGCAGGAAGCGCACCGCCGAGCGTCCGAGCGCTTTTCAGGCTGACGGCCCAAGACAAAGAACGCCGAGACCCCAGGGCCCTCCAGCCAGCGTCTGCATGGGATGCATGCAGCACGCGGTCTGACTTATCAGTGAGAGTCAGACTCGAGATGCTTCGCAGAGGGTCACTGCAGCGTCGCCAGCCGCTGGCTGCCTCTGCCGCTGGCCCTCAGCGCCGAGCTCGCGCTCGCGCCTCTCCGCCGGCCGGGACGCGCCGGAGCTGCACGCACGACTCGACTTTCGCGGTTCTCGGCTCCCGCGGCAAGGCAGAGCGCCGCCCTCAGGCAACGCCCTTCGGCATCGGGCGCAGCACCCAGAGCCGCCTCCTCAAAGGCACAGACGCACATCTCATGCCGTCATGGGACGCAGAGGGAGGGAGAAATGAGCGTCTACATCTCGGAAGTTGAGAAACAAGAAGCCGTGCGAGGGCTCCAACGCAGCGAGCCTCGCCCGAGCTCATGCAGCAGGTGGCGGCAGCTCCGCTCCAAGCTTGTCGGGTACACTCTTGCGCCACGGGGTGCGCCACAACAGCAGGCCGTGCAGCAGCGCAGATGCAACGCTCTCGGAAGGAGTCAAGCGATGTGATTATCTGCGTGCCACGTCGAGCCCGGGCGTCTTGACTCTGCTCAGAGCGTGTACACGAGCTTCTCGGCGCGCACCTTGCCCTCCAACGAGTCTCTGAAGCCCTTCTCGCTTGAGAGAAAGAGAGGCCTAAATGTCAGCACGTACTTTTGGCTTGGAAAGCGAGTCACGGGAGCCACAACACTCACATGCCCTCCAGCCCGCCGGGCATCTCGCGCAGCGTGGCGCCGACGAAGCGCTCGCTGCGGTTTGCCTCCTGCTTCCAGCCCTCGAAGAGCGCCGGAAACTCCTTGGCAGACCACTGCGCGATGGCCTTGCGGTCCTCCGGCATGGCGGGAAAGCTGCATAGCGAGCGTCAGCGCGCGGTGCGGCGTGAGAGAGACGGACAGTAACTCACGGCATGACCTTTGCGAAGGTAATGGCGCGCCCGATGACGGTGTAGGCCAGCGTCATCTCGAGCTTGCCGCCGTTGGCCTCCTGCGCGGCCGTGTCCTCGTCCGACGGCGGCAGGAGCAGGACAATGTGGCCGCCCTGCATTGCGTCTGTTGCAAGTAGATGTCAGTCCCCAGAGCGGACGCAAGGTCGAGAAAGTGTGCGGGGCGCACCGATCATGTTCTTTGTGCTGCCCTTCTCCACGACGCAGTCGAGGCCGTACTCGATCTTGCCGACGGCCTGGATCTGCTTGACGACGTCGCTGTCATGGTAGTCGACGCAGTGGCTCGCGCCCAGGCTCTTGAGTGCCTCGTGGTTACTCTTCGACGCGACGGCGACGACGTCGAGGCCCGAGAGCTTCGCCAGCTGAATTGCATGGTGCCCCACCGCCGTGCCGCCGCCCCAGATCAGCATGCGCCCCGCGGCGCCGCCCTGGCTGGGCGGCGGCAGATGCATGCGCATGTAGAGCGCCTGCACGGCCGTCATGTGCGGGATGGGCAGCGCGGCGCCCTGTGCGTACGACATGGCCGCCGGCAGCGCGAGCGTCGCCGAGGCGCGGTAGCGCACGTACTCGGCGTACGAGCCGTTGGTGGGGTGGTGGGTACCATATGCGAAGCCCGCGACGCTGTTGCACAAGTGGTTAGATTGGATTTGCAGGCAGTGGTGCAGGAGAAAGGAACGCACCGATCGCCGACGTTGACATCCTTCACCTCGGCGCCGACCATGACTACGTCGCCGGCGCCGTCGCAGCCACACACGAGGCCCGCGCTGCCCCAGTCCTCGGCGCCCGTGCCCAGCGCATGCTTGGCGTCGGTGGGGTTGATGCCGACGGCACGCACGCGCACGAGGACCTCGTCGGGCGTGAGCTGCGTGGCGGACTCGTCGTCGTCAGAGAGATGCAGCGGCACCGTCTCGACGGCGACGGACTTGTGCTTGGTGTGCTGCGTGCGCAGGGCGCGCATGGTCGAGGGAGGCGTGAAGGTCATGCTGGCTGTGTGAGGTGGTGGTGGTGAGGGTGAAGAGGCGGGCAAGGGAAAGCGCAGCGAAGGCAGCTTAAGAAGGCGTCTCTCGCCAGCGCATCAAGCACGCTGCCCAGGCGTATGTCCGCGCACGCCCCCGCTGCACCTGGCTGTGCCGCCTCTGCTGTCGGCCGTACGCCGCTGCCCCTTCTACGGCCGTCTGCACTGCACTGCGGCTGGCCTGTCCCTCTCGTTGCCTGCGCGAGCTGGCGAGGCACGCCGAAGGAAGCGGCACGAAAGGAGCACACGGCATGACGCGCGCAGAGAGGAGCGCGGGCGAAGTGGAGGGGGCTTCGCGGCGGCGTGGGAACGAGGCTTGGCCGTGCCTTTGCGCGCGCTCCACCTCGCCTCGCCTCAGCGCCGAGAGGAGCGGCGTACATGCAGCATTGCAGACAAGGGAAGATGTGCGACGAGAGAGGGGCGATAGTCCGCATGTCATGCTTGTCAGGCAAGACGGCACCCGGGCTCGCTTGCTTGGGCATGTCGCCAAGAGCGCCTGCATCGCCCGAGCTGCTCGGCCCCCTGGCACCATGGGTGGCCTTTGCACCCGCCCACACGGCTGCTCTCCCAAGACCCGGCTTCATCTGCCATGCTGTGACGCGTTCTCCAGGGCGCATCCGCAGCAGTCCACGCACGTACGCTTGCTTGCTCTCCCGTTGGGTGTGGCCATTGCATTAAAACGCATCTCACTCCTCCTCGTCCTCCTCCCTCTTCCTCTCGCCCACGTATCCCAGTGCTCTGGCCCTGAACAGCGCCTTCTCTCCCGAGCCCCGCCCCTTGCCCGCCGCACGTTCCATCTCGAGGGCATGCAGCGCGTCGGGCAGCGACACCATGAGCAGCTGGCGCCGGCGCTCCTCCTCCTGCTGGCGCTGCCGCGCGCCGAGGTCGGCCCAGCCGGAGCTCTTGATGCCGGTAGGCGTGCTGCTCGACGCAAAGCTGGACGGGCCGAGCCCGGACCATTTGGAGCCGGGCGTGCCGGGCAGCGCCTTGCCGAGCGAGGCGCCCGCCAGAGGCGCAAAGCGCGGCTTGGGCAACGAGCTGCCGCCCGGCGTGCCGTCGCCCTCCTCCGTCGAGCGGCTCGCCAGCGGACTGCCGTTGAGCGCCGAGTTGCTCGCCGTCGCCAGGCTCATCCACTTCGGCGTGCTCGCGCCGCCCAGCTGGCGCGCCGCCGTGTTGTTGGCGAGGCGCCGGCGCACATCCTCACTCATGTTCTTGGCCGCCTGCGTGGCGCCAATCTTCTTGCGGCCCGCCAGGTCGGCGCGCGGCGTCGACGGTCCGCCGGAGCCGTCGAGCATCTCCGAGTCGCCCTCGCCGGCGCCAGCAGCGGCAGAAGCAGCAGCAGCCAGCAGAGGATTGGCCTCTCGCTCCTCACGCTCGACGCGCAGCTTGCGTGCCCTTTGCTCCTCGACGCGTTCGACGCGCTCCAGCACCGCCAGTTGAGCAGCGGGCCTCGAGTCGATGGCGACGTGGTACATCGGCGTCGGCTCCTCTCCTTCTGCCGCATCTTCGCGCCAGGAAGGAGGCTCGCGCTCGTGCGTGGCCCAGTTGCGATGCCGAGAGGCGGCAATCATGGCGGCGACGAGATTGCGGAAGCGCTGCTGCGTGGCGAGAGAGAGGTAGTGCAGCGCTTCAATGTCGATGCCGAGACCATGTTGCGAAGCTAGAGCGCAGCATCGCCGTCAGCTCAGGCCGCTGTGGGGGAGTGGCAATGGGCGGAACTCACCGACGGAGCGCATGGCCAATGCCAGCGCGGGCAGCGTCAGGAATGACTCGCCCATCTTGCCGCCCGTGCTGTTCATGTATGCTTGCTGCATCGAGTCTCCCAGCGCATCGCGCTGCTGAATGGCATCCTCCTCGGCCTGCAGCAACAAGGTGAGCACTTGCTCCCTGGCTCGCGGAAAGCGGATGGCGCAGAACTCACGCGCAAATCTACACCAGACATGCCCACGACATCCTGCAGCCCGTCAACTCCATCCTGCGCCTGCGCCTGTGCGCCGGGCTGCGCTTGTGGAGCGGGCGCAAAGTGCGGCGGCGGCAGCGCAGCGGCCGGCGCGGCAGTAGCCGCAGAGGTAGGAGCAGCAGGAGCAGCAGCAGCGGCGGGCTGTGCCGGCGCGGGCGTGGCGGAAGCCATGGGCAGACGCACAGGCGCCGGCGTGGCGCTGCCTGCGGGCCGCGCTGCCGCGCCTGTAGAGGCGGACGGGGCAGGAGTAGCTGCTGCGGGCGCTGTAGGCGCCGGTGTCGCGCTCGGTTGCACAGACGGGGCGGGCGTCGCGCTTTGGCCGGGGCTGATGCGCGGGACAGTCAGACGTGTGGAAGAAGAGAGAGAGCCGCTGCGGGGGCAAACTCACTGTGGTGAAGCACTCGTTGCGCCCGCGCCAGACGCGGAAGGCGTGGTGCCGGGGTTCTTTTTCGGACGTCCTCGGGCTGAAATAGAGGAGAGGAGCGTCAGGGTCTCTGCTCTGCAAGGTGCGCGCTTCTCATTTGATCAGAGTCCCGTCTCTCCCGAGATCCCCTCTCTTCATGCCTTTCTCGCTGCAGCCAGCTCCTGCACTTCATGTCTCTCTCGGTTCGCAACGCCGCTTCCGCGTTCCTTCACCTTCTCCTCAAGCGCAATTCTCCACGTCACCTCTCCGGGCGTGAGCCTCTTCGTGTCATTCTCACTCACGTTTCTTCTTCGGCGCCTCCTCCTCTCCCTGCTCCACCTTCACTGTCGTTGGTGTTGCCTCCTGCCCCGCCTCCGCATCTTTCTTCTTCTTTTTCGGCGCCGCCTTCTTCCTCTGTTTTCCCGGCGGTGCTCCCTCGATATGCTCGAGCGGCACGTCTTTTCCGGGCGGTGCAGCTGGCGGGAGGAGGTGCGCGGCGGTGGAGGAGGAGGAAGGATGTGCGGCAGCGGGCGGACCCATGGGCTGGCCGGGCTGCAACGGCTGCTGCGGTGGAGGAGGAGACCACATCTGCTGCTGCGCCTGCGCCTGCGGCGGCGGCGGCGCAGGCGGCTGCATGGGTGCGCCATACATGCCCATGCCCTGCTGCGGCGGCGGCGGCATGCCGTAGCCCATGCCCATGCCGGGCGGCATGCCGCCCATGCCGCCCTGCATGTTCGCATGCAGCATGCCCTGGTTCTGCTGTGCAGCAGCAGCCGCGGCAGCAGCCATGCCCGCCCAGTCTGTGCCCTGCTGATGCTGCGGCGCGTGCGAGGAGGGAGGCGCAGGGGCAAAGTCTCCCCAGCTCGGAAAGGCCGAGTCTGCAGCGGCGAGCAGCGAGGAGGCATCGACGTTTGCGCCCGACTGCGCCGGCGGCGACATCCAGTAGTTGCCCGCACCAGCGGCATGCGCGCCGTTGTTGCCAACGCCGTTCGACGCAGACGCACTGCCGCCGGGCAGCGGCGAGCCGAAGAGGTCGGCGCCAAAGTCGAACGGCGCGTCGAGCGCCATGTCGGCCGTCGCTGCTGGCTCGAGCTTGACGCGCTTCGGCGACGGCCCGGCACCGCTGCCGCTGCCGCTGCCGCTGCCAGAGGGGAAGGACATGATGCCCTACTGCGCACGCGCGCCGCCGCGAGCGGCCGCGTCGGAGCTGGCTCAGGCGAGCAGAGGAGAGCGGGGCGGAGGGGGCGTGACGAAGAAGGAGAGGGCGCGAGAGACGCGGAATGCGACACGACGCAGAGACGCAGCGCACGCGGATGTGAGGCGCGCGAAGGCGGCGAGCGGAGGCGAGACGGAGCTGCGTGGGGCAGAGCGTGGGGCTGAGAGAGAGGGGGATGGCGGCAGGGACGCAAGCGCCGCCGCCTGCGTCGTCGTCGCGCGCGCCGCGCGTCGTCGCCGTCGTCTGACGTGCGGCGCGCTGTGGCCGGTGCGCGTCGCCCGCTTCCCACGCGCCCGCGACGGCCGTGGCTGGGCGGGCGCACGTGACCTGGCGTGCTTGCCTCGAGGCTCGCTCCTCCGCCTCTCCCTCTCTCCCTCCACCACTCACATCCCCCAGCCATGCGTGCCTCCTTGCCGCTGCTCACAAGGGCGCTGCTGCGCTCGCAGCTCTCCACGCCCGCGCTGCTCGCCTCGCTCTCCAACCCGCACGCCACGCTCCCGCAGCTGCTCGCCTCTCTCCCTTCTTCCGGCGTCGGCGCCAAGATCCGGCAGCGCCGCTGGGCCGCAAAGGGGCTCGACGTGCCGGCGGGCCAGGCGCTCAGTGGGCCGATCCCGCGGGAAGAGCGGGCGCAGGCGGGCGAGGCAGGCTGCTATTGGCTCGTCACGCGCACACAGCTCAAGCAGGGAGGGAAACACGGCAAGGCGTGGGGACGCCTCGTGTGGCGAGGTGAGTGGGCTGCTGCACAAGGCGCGCGTTTGCTTGGGCAAGGCGCACGGCACAGAGAGGACGGCGATCAGGTACAGGAAGCGCAATGGCGGGCAGTTCGTGGGCGGTTTGGCGGGGGAAGAACAGGGCATACAGCGGCAAAGGATGGCATTCGGAGAGAGAGGGCAAGACAGAAGGGAGGCATGAGGTGCCTCCAGGCCACACACGCTGCAAAACCGATGAGCTTGTCGAGCAAAGTAGACAGGCAAAGCGAGAGTGCAAGGAGCTCCCTCCTGTCGCTGGTGTCGGGCGCAATGCGGCGAAGGGCAGAAGCATCACCAAGTCCCTCAGCTGGGCGCCTGCGAGCGCGTGGCTTGTCGGCTGGGGCGGACTGCAGGGGGGTTGGTCCAAAACCTTGTGATTCTGCACGTATTGCCGCGTCGCAAGACTGCCTTGGCTGGCAAATCAGGCATGGTGTGGCGCCAACGTGGTGCCCTCATCTGAGCTGGCTCTCTCTCGCTCGCTGGCTCTTGTTCACAAACCCGCCTTGCGCTGATGCCACCTGCCCTTTCTGCGCTGCAGGGAAGCAAGTGACGCCCTCTGATCGCGAGGAGCAGATCCGCGGCGGGCTCAAGTACGTCTGGGAGCGCGCATAGAGGGGGGGGGGAGGTGGGGCACGCCGAGGGCAGCTGGGGAACGCCGATAGAGGGGGCGGCAGGCATGGGACGTGGGGCGTAATGATCAATCACCAAACTGCTCAGTTGTTCCGAGTCAGTCATAGGGGGAGCGCACCTGCAGCGTTCTTGCTCTGCGCGAGGGGCGTGCTCATGGATGTATTGGTTTGCTTTGACGTACATTCTCTTCCGCCCTCTCTGGGATGGCCGCGCCTTCGCGGGCCCTTGCCTGCGTCTGCTCGTCCCCCTTCCTCAGATCACCGTGTCCTCTCTCCCGATGCCCACCTCGTCGTCCGGCCGCTCGCCCGGCGCATTCGGATCGACGGGCGCCGCCTGCGTAATGCTCGCCTTTGGCGCCTCGCTCGCCCCCGTCGCCGCGACGGCCGCCGTGCCCTGCAGCACCACGGCCTCCACGCCCTCGTGGTCCAGGCCCTCGATCGCCACCTCCTCCACCACGTGGCCGTCGGGCATGTGCGCGCCGTCGTGGATCTCCTCGACGTTGAGGTGGGGCGAGGCAGCTGCTGCGGGTGCGGCGGCTGCGGCGGCATTTGCTTCGGCGGCGACATCGGCGGGCGCCACGGCGCCGCTGGACTGCGCCAGCTTCGGCACCTCCTCGAAGGCGTGGTTGCCGGCCTGTGCCTCGAGTGGCTGCGCCACGGCGCTCGTGCCAGCCAGGCTCTGCGTTGCGTTGGCAGACGCCGGCAGCACCGTGTGCACGGCCGGCCCAAAGCCGCTGTACGCGGCGATGTCCTCGGGGAACTCGACGCAGTTGAAGTCCCACGTCTTTGCCAGGCGTGCGCGCTCGCAGCGGCCGCGCGTCCACGTGCCGGCGTAGGTGAGCGGCGCGTAGATGCTGAACACGAAGATGGCGATGCCGATGATGGCTGCGGCGGCCTGCAGGCGGAAGCGCGGCTTGAGGAAGGAGGTCAGCACGTCAAAGACGACGGCGAGCATGAGGATGGAAAAGTAGAGCGCGGGCAGGTAGTGGTGGATGAAGAGCTGCCGGTGCATCAGCCAGAAGGGAAGGTAGTGCAGCGCCCAGCCCGTGAAGAGGAAGCCGGCCGTGGCGTCGTAGAACACCACCGTTGCTGCGTGAAGAGCGCGTCAGCAGAGAGAGCAAGAAGCAGAGCTGTATGGCCGACTCACAGTCGTTCCAGTCGCGCTTGCCGCGCTTGGCACGCAGCATGAGCAGTGCGCGTGCGCCAATGTAGACCATTACGCTCGTGGTGCTGGCAAGCCACACGAACGGGTTGCCAATGAGGTAGATCTGGCGATGGTCCTTGGTCCAGAAGTTGATGCCGCGGCGCAGCGTCGGCCACGCAGAGGGGCGCGAGTCGTACGGATGCCGCTCCGTCAGGCCGGCGTTGGTCTCCCACATGACCGCCTGCAGCTCCTTGAAGCGCGCCCAGAACGAAGGGCGCAGGTAGTTGACGAGGTGGATGTGATTCTTCTTGCGCTCGGCAGGCAGGCCGGGCGACATGCCGTTGTCCTCCAGCAGCGCGTGCGTGCTCGTCTCGATGAACCAGAGCGAGTTGGGCCGCGTCGGATTCTTGTTGCACGTCACCTCCTGCTGGCCGAAGCCCCAGTCGGGCAGCGCAATCTTGTGCGAGAAGAGATAGCAGCCCGTCAGCGTGTGGCGGAAGCGGACGATGCTGCGCAGCGAGCGCACGCGCGTGCTGCTGACGCTGTCCGATGGGTCGCCCCGCTCAATTTCAACGTGCCAGTTGTCGTTGGCGTCGCCGAAGAAGCCGGGGAAGCCATACGCCGTCACTTCATTCTGATAGTCGGCCTCGGTGATGGGCGGGCGGTGCGAGTCGTGCGAGTGCAGCCGCTTGTCCGACTTGCGGTGGATGAGCCGCACCTCCATGCCGTGCGTGAGATGCAGGATGGTGCCCGTGTTGTACTTCTCAATCTCGTGCGGCCCGTCCGACGTGAGCGGCACGCCGTCCTTGTCGACCGGCGGCGGCGGGTCGTCGGGCTTCGGCGCGGCAATGACGTAGAACTCATTGTTCTCGTCGCGATGCGGATAGAGCGTGATCTGCTGCTGTCCCGAGCCGGCGGGGTAGTTGTGCGAGTGCGAGTGCAGGTAGCCGCCCTGCGTGTGCAGATGCCGGATCGTCACGGTGCTGCCGAGCGCCACGTCGGCGTACGTGTCGGGCATGCCGTGGCCGCGCAGCGTGTGCTGGAACGCAGACGACATGAATGCATCGCCCTCGCCGCTGCGGTTCAGCACGGCGAGGTGGATGGCAAACGTCGAGAGATAGACGAAGAAGGGCACGACGATGAGGCAGAGTGCCCGCGCCAGAAAGTGCCGCAGCACCTGGCTCATCGGCTGGCGCACGTCGCCGAGGTGCGCCCAGAGCTGCACGATGGTGCAGAGGCCGATCGTCGTGATGGTGAAGAGACCGACCCACTTGACGCTGGCGACGCAGCCCAGCGACACGCCCGTCGCCAACAGCCACAGCCACCAGCTCTTGCCAAACGCACGGCGCTTCTCCTCGACGCAGAACGCCGTCCACGCAAACGTGGTCAGGCTCGTGAAGAAGAGCAGCGGCGAGTCGAGCAGGATGAGCCGGCTCTGCGTCACGAGGGCATTCTCAAAGGTGAGCAGCACGCCGCCGACGAGCGCCGTCGTGACGCGCAGCGAGAGCGCCCGCAGCGTCAGGTACGCCAGCGGCACGGTGAGCACGCCGAGCAGCGCCGAGAGCAGGCGCATCGCGACGTACGGCACCGGCGTGTCGTCGCCGACGAGGTACTCGCTGCCAGGCCACCATCAGTGCGCTGGTGCAGGCGTGCCATGCGGTTCCACTCACCGGCCGATCTCCTTGAAGTCAAACGCGCCATTGAAGCCGGCCGCCCATGCCACAAACGCCAGCAGCAGCTTGGCCAGAGGCGGATGCACGTCCATGAAGAAGCGCTGGTTGACGTACTTGGACGCGAAGCCGCCGAAGTGCACCTCGTCGAAGCTGCGAGCAGGCGATTCAGCCACTGCTGACAGCACGCAGCATGGTGCGGCGAGTTGGACAAGGCATGTCTGCGCGTCGGCGCAGCAGCACCGAACGGAGCTCAGCACAGCCTCGAGGACGGGCAGCCGCAACACCGGCGCGCCTGCCTCAACCCAGCGCCTTGCCGTCTGAGCGCACCGACTGCCTGAGTCGCGCTCTCGTCACTCACACGACACTGCTCGGCCGGCTCAGCGCCCAGCATCGCACCACGAGTGCGGTGAGGGTGAGGATCGCCAGAATCGGCAGCTCCTGTCTTGCAATCTGCGCTGCGCCAGGCACCTTGGCCGCCGGGCGCGCGAGCGACGAGGCGCGCGTCGGCATGGCTGCGGTGCCTAGGCCGCCGCTGCTGCTGGATGATGCGCCATAGCTGCTGCCCGCGCCCGGCGAATGCGACGGCAGCGCAAAGGACGGCGAGGCCGTGCCGGAGCCGCTGCCGGCTGGCGCCGCGCGCACGCGCTGCGAGAGCGACGTGGGCTGGTAGGCCATGGCTGCGAGGTGTCGCGGTGCTGCGCGAGAGCAACAGAGGCGAGAGGCAGAGGCGAGGAGAGATGCAGAGGAGGAGGAGGGCGGCGGATGGAGGCGGGAAGCAAGGCTTGGAAGCAAGCTGTGACACGCTGCGCGCCGGTGCACGGCCGCACCACCAACGCGCGCTGCTCCCACGCTGTGCTGGCAGGGAGCATCTCACGTGCGCCGGCCCGAGGCAGCGCCGCTGTTGGCCCCGATGCGCCCGTCATCCTTGCCTCCTCTCCACCACACCCTCGCCCGCGGCCTCAGCGCACCTCATCTCTGCACGGCGTCGCATGCTCGCCGCACCCGTCTCCATGCCTGCCGCCTGCGCCGCTCGCCTCTCCATCGCCTGCGCCTCCTTCGCGCTCGCCCAATAACGTCTGCCGCGTGGCGCCGCGCGCCTCTCTTCTCCAGCATGGCCGTCGAGGTGGTGCACACCGACGTGACGCAGATCTCCATCTCCTACGTCATCCTCGGCTGCTTCATCGTCGTCTATGGTCTCTTCTCCTACTTTGTCAAGGAGCGTCTCTACCTGAGCGAGGCCCTGGCGAGCGTCGTCATCGGCGTCGTCGTGGGGCCCTATGCGCTCGACTTCATCGATCCGCGCCAGTGGGGCGACGCCGCACGCACGGGAGAGATTACGTACGAGCTCACCCGCCTCGTCATTGGCGTGCAGGTGAGCAGCGACGGCCCGCCAAGCGGCTGAGCGAGACGCGAGGCTATGGCAGCTGACCCTCCCTCGCAGGTGCTGCTGAGCGGCATTGCTCTGCCCAAGGCATACCTGCGCAAGGAGGCCCTCTCGCTCACCGTGCTGCTCGTCGGCGTCATGACTGCGGCGTGGGTGCGTCGCCAGTCGAAATGCTCACTCGGCCACGCTGCCGGGCGGATGCTGACGCCTTGACCTGCAGCTCATCTCCGCCGCCCTCATCCTCGCCCTCTTCCAGCCCCTCTCCTTTCTCGAAGCTCTCTGCATCTCCGCCGCCATCACACCCACCGACCCGGTGCTAGCCGCATCCATCACCAAGGGCCGGTACGCCGAGAAGCACGTGCCCAGCAATGTGCGCAACCTGATCGTAGCCGAGAGCGGCGCAAACGACGGGCTCGGCTTTCCGTTCATCTACCTCGCCATCTATCTCATGCGCCGCACGAGCGTCGATGCGAGCGAGAGCGTGGGGATGGAGGTGTGGCGATGGCTGTGAGTAGGCTAGTCATGCGGCAGAAGCGCTTTCGCTCACGACCGTGCCGTGTGCGCCGCAGCTACGGCGTCGTCATCTATCAGATCCTTCTCTCGTGCGTCTGGGGAGCACTGCTCGGCTATCTGGCGCGCAAGACGCTCCGCTGGGCCGAGGCCAAAGGTCTGATCGATAAGGAGAACTTGTGCGTCCGCAGCCTCTCCCCCCACTCAGCCCACTCCGCTCACTCCCACACGCCCGGCAGCTTCGCGTACGGCCTCGGTCTCGCTCTCCTCGTGCTCGGCACCACGGGCCTGTTTGGCTCCGACGACGTGTTGGCGTGCTTCGTGGCAGGCAACAGCTTCACGTGGGACGACTACTACCGCATCCGCACGCACGAGGAGGAGACGGATGCGTTCCAAGACATTCTCGACGCGCTGCTCTCCTCTGCCGCCTTCATCTACGTCGGCGCCATCATCCCTTGGAACGCCTACAACACGGGCGCCCAGGAGCTCGGCATCGCTCCGTGGCGCGTCGTAGTGCTGGGCCTGGGCGTGCTATTGCTGCGGCGTCTGCCTGCCGTGCTGCTGCTGCACAAGCTCATCCCCGCCCTGACGACGTGGGACGAAGCGCTCTTCACGGGCTGGTTCGGGCCCATCGGCGTCTCGGCAGTCTACTACATCGAGATTGCACATCGCCAGGTGCCGGCCGACGGCAGTCGGGAGCGTTTGAGAGCGCTGTATGAGCCGCTGGTGCTCTTTCTCGTCTTTGCAAGCGTCATGGGCCACGGCACCACGATTCCCATCTCCAAGCTCGGCCCGCACATCGTCCGTCGCACTGCCACCATAACGCAGACGCGCTCCATGACGCAGAGTCGCCCGCCGTCGAGACGACCGACGATCGCTGCTCCTGCTGGCGAAGCAGCGGAGCCGTCGAGGACACAAGCGAAGGCCTCGAAAGGCCTCTTTGAGCGACTCTTTGGCTTTGCAAGCACGCCCCAGACGCGCGTGGTCCAGGCGAAGGACATTGGCGCGCCCAGCGGCGCGCGACGACAGCGCGAAGTGAGCGCGAGGGGCGAGGAGGGCGAGGCTGAGGGACAGGCGAAGCTGGAGCAGCAAGAGGAGTCGAGCGGCAGCAGCGACGAGATTGCGCTCGAGGAACGCTCGGCGACGGCCACGCCCGCTCCTGCTGCCGCAACGTCAAGCTCGACCGTCGCCGGCGCCGCCTCGCGCTCCGCGTCGCCGAAGCGCAGAGCACCCGCGCAGCCCCTGACGCTGCCCACGACGCACCGGCGCAGCGGCGGCCCCGCCGAGATGCGTGACACAAGCAACGCAGGCTCGTCGCCCCTCTCCTCTGCGCCCGGCACGCCGCTCGCGTCCGTGCCCGGCACGCCGCAGCGCCCCGCAGCCGCGGCAAGGGACGGCAGCATCCTGCGACACGCTGGCAGCGCCAGTGGCAGCGGCATTCTGGCGCATGTAGAGCATGCACTCTCCGATGAGCTACGCAGAGAGAGACAGGAGGCGCTGGGCGAGAGAGGCATTACCTGGGGCGAGACCGAGGGAGCGAAGGAGAAGGAATGACAGGCCGGGCCTGGCGCCTCGAGAGGAAGTCTACGGTAGCGCAGTGCAATGCAACATACATGGTGTCTGCGACGCATGACCACAGCATGAGGCTAGGTTCCCGCGCTCTGCAGCTTCTGGATCGCTGCATGCATCGCTCACTACTGCACACCGCTCTTCGAGGGCAAGCAGGCTCGGCCGTGGAAGAGGGCAAGAGAGGGGCTTCGAGGCGTGGCGCAATCCGAATGCCGCGGCTCTGGCGCCCTGGCGCGCGCACGTGACGGTGGAGGTGCGCGGCGGCGGCGCGCGAAGCTCCATGTCCTGCTTCGCTTTCCCTGCCCCGTCTCTCCACTCCACATCCTCCTCACCATGCCCGAGGCGACGTACGTGCCGCCCGAGCAGCAGTCCGCCGAGGACCTGCGCTACATGCGCGAGGCCCTCGCCATGGCGCAGGAGGCCTTTGATGCCGCAGAGATCCCTGTCGGCAGTGTCTTTGTGCGCAACGGCGAGATCATTGCAAAGGCGCGGAATCGCACCAACGAACTGATGAATGTGAGTAGCGCAGGAGGAGTGAGCGGCAAGGGGCTTGTGTGGCAGAGAGGCGGATGGCGGGCACAAGCAGCAGCAGCAGCAGCAGCAGCAGCCCTTGCCCGTCCTCTTGCTCGCCCTGACGCGCTTCTCGCAGGCAACGCGGCACGCCGAGCTCGAGGCAATCGACTACATCCTCTCCATCTTCCCTCCCTCCTCCGACTCCTTCGCCGTCTCGCCGCACGCGCAGGCGGCGGGCGAGAATCCGTTTGCAGACACGACGCTCTACGTCACCGTCGAGCCGTGCATCATGTGTGGCTCGGCGCTGCGCCAGGTGGGCATCAAGCGCGTCGTGTTTGGCGCGGGCAACGAGCGCTTCGGAGGCAATGGCAGCGTGCTGGCGGTGCATAATGAGTGAGTCGTGCAGATAGACGGGGATGAAGCGGAGAGCGGCAAGAGACCTGCAGCCAGAGGAAGCAGACGCATGCGCGAGAGGCAGACGCATCTGGCAGCAGCAGAGGCTGGCTGGCAGCGAGGCACGACAGCGTCACGGACTCGCATGCTCGGGCTTTTGTGCTGCGTCGTATGCCCTGGCGAGTGCAAACGAGCCTCCTTCGCTCGGCGGCTGCTCGACGTTGGCTTGGCACTTGACGTAGGCTTGGCATTTCGGTCTTCTGTCTGCGTCCCTCCCATCACTGACCTCTTCGCTTTCAGTCCCGCTCTGATCAATGCGCCGCCATACGAGGCACTCGGCGGCTACTACCGCGCCGAGGCCATCATGCTGCTGCGGCGCTTCTATCTCAGCGAGAATGCAAACGGTGCGTGCTCTCGCACGATGCTCCTTGGCGACTGCCAGCTGACGTCCGTCGACAACAGCGCCGAACCCAAAGTCCAAGGCGCATCGCACACTCAAGACCGAGATCCAACGTGCGTCCCGTCTCTCACCTCCTTCTCCTCGCCAAGCTGACCCTCACGCTCACATCGACAGCGCCCGGTGTATCGATGCACGGCCCAGCCGGGCCTTCCAAGAAGCTCGCCCGCACCCTCCGCGGCACCTCGTCGCCCGCCGCTTCCTCTGCAAGCTCGCGCGCACAGACGCCCGTCAACGACGGCAGCGGCGGCGCTGGCGCCGCGAAGGAAGTGGCTGAGGTCAGCGATGGCCAAAGGCGGGGCCGAAGCACCGAGGAGGAAGCCTCGGCGAGAGAAGCGCGGAATGAGGGCGGCAAGGAGGGAGAAGAGCAAGAAGCAAGTCAGGCTTGATGCCAGCTCCTGCCGGTCACGTTTCCCGCCTCCATCTCGACTCTCAGCTCGCTGCCATTGCGCCATGCTCCTTCTCGCATACGTCACTTCTGTAGCATCACCTCGCGCCCCTCTCCCCGTCACCCGTCATCTACAGCACGCATCGCCGTGGGCATGCATTAGACCCCGATTCCATTTTGGTGCGAGGTGACTGATCTACCGGTCCCACGCGGTATACACAATGGCCGACCAGGCCTTGAGCTCGTTGAGATCTGCCAGTGCCTGCGAGGTAGGAGAGACACAGACGTCAGCGTCTCTCTCAGCGTCTCGCCAGAGAGTCACTCGCCTCGGCATAGGTGTTGGGCACCGCACAGAGGATCAGCTGGCTCTGTCTCGCGATTGCCGGCAAGAGCGCCGCGAGCCTGACGCGCTTCCCCTCCTCTTCCTCCTCCTCCACCTCCCTGAATCTCTCCAGCGTCATGCTCGGCACGCCCGGCGGCTTGGGCGGCGCGACGCCGAACGCCGGGCGCAGGGCCTCGTCGAGCTCCGCAAAGACGCGGCTGAGCGACAGGCGCAGCACGCGCCGGAAGTCGCGCGACTCGAGCACGTCGCGCGTCTCGTCGAGCAAGGCGCGCAGCGCCGCAGGAATGCGCGAAGAGTCGCGAGTCACGGCGCCGGCGCGCACGAGGACGTCGAGCTCTGCCTCCTCGCCTGCGGGGTACAGCGCCGTCGCGAAGCTGCAAGCGAGTGTCAGCATGACCTATCGGCACAGCAGCCTCGAGAAGAGGCACTCACTTGCGTCGCTTGCCTCGTCGCATAGAGCTCAGACCGCTCCGCTCCGAACGCACATCCGACATCATGCTGGCGCCGAGTCCGCCTGCCTCGGCATCGCCATCGTACTCGATGCGCCGACGCACGTCGGCGAGATGCGCGAGGAAGTCGGCGTGCGAGAGGGGCGTCTTGAGTGGCAGACTGCGGTGCGTGCAAGGCCCAGTCAGTGGGATGCAGACGGAGCCGTCTCGGTCTTGCGAGGCCACTCACGAGCCGAACACCTCGCCCACGCTCTCGCGCACCAGCGCTGCGATCTCCTCCCAGCCGCGATGCAGGAACCACCAGCTGAACGTCAGGAAGAGCTGTTCCGTCTCCTTTCTCTCCTTCTCTTCCTCCTCCTCGTCCAGGCGGCCCCAGCCATCTGCGCCGGTCCCGGCGCCTCCGGGCTCCAGACGGATCTGATGCGGCCCATCCGAGGGCGCAGAAGGCGCGGCGCGCGGGTAGAGCGCAGAGACGGAGTCGAGGTAGGCGCGGCGTCCCAGCACGTTGAGCTGCACTGAGGTCTGAAGCGTGAGAAGGACGAGAGCGTAGAGGGAGGTGAGAGTGCGGGAGATGGCTGCCAGGTATCGCGTGAGCGAGAGCACGAGCGCGATGCCACACGCAAAGCGAATAGACGCAAGCCCGGCTGTCCACTCACAAACGATGCGCAGCTCGTTCCACAGTTCCAGCTTGGCGCGCTGCTCTCTCCGCAGCTGCTCCTTCTTCTCTTCCTCGTTCAGCTCCGGCACCGCCGGCGGTGTGGGAGGGGAGGAGTCTTCCCGCTCGGCCGTGGTGTCCGCCTCGGCTTCGTGCGCTGCGACTCCATTCGAGAGCGGCGCCTCTGTGCCGTTGGTGGATGCTGCGGCATCGTGAGCGGCCTCTCCGGAGGAGCGCTGCTCAGCCGCGGAGGGAGGTGCCAGGCGCGCGTCCGCAGGGATCGCTGGCGGCGGGGGCTGCGCGCGTGCGACGCGTCAGTCTCCTCGAGACCGGGCAGTGCGCGGTGAGGCAGGAGACTCACCTCGGCAATGCTATCCAGTGCGCTTCCGCCCACCGCTTCTGATGCGGGTTGCTCATCTGGCGCCGCCTCATCAGCCGGAGCATCGCCATTCAAGTGCGGCTTCTCCCCCTGCCCGCCCTGCGCTTGTGCTTGTTCCTGCTGCAGCGTCTCCACCTTGTCTTCCACCATCTCTTTGCCCTCCGACAGCACCTCCTGTGGCAGAGCCGGCGGCTGCGCCATGCCTTTAGGCACGAACGCAGCGGCGGACGCAGAGAGACTGCGCAGCTTCTTGGGCAGTGCCTCGGGCTGTGCCTCTACGTCGGCAGCGGCTGCTGCGGCCTCTGCGCCGGGCGCAGCTGCGGCGTCTGCAGGCTGCGAGGCAGTGTCGGCGGCCGCGGCGGCAGCGACATCGACATCGACCGCCGAGGCAGCTGCGGCCGGCGCGGCGTCCGAGGATGGCTGTGCCTCGAGCGGCGCTGAGGCAGCAGCCGAAGCGGCGGGCTCGCTATCTGTGGCAGCGGCAGCAGCGCCTTCGACTGGGGCGCTAGGCTCGGCCGCTGCCGGAGCTGCGTCAGAGGCCTCTGCTCCTGCGTCGACTGCGGCGGGAGAATCCGTCCGGGCGTCTGGCTCTGCCTGCGCTCCTTGCTCTGCAGCGCCGTTGGTCGTAGCATACGGCTCGACCTCTGGCTCCTCTTGCCGCGCAGCCGGCTGCTCGATCTGCTGCGGCTGTGCCGGCGCCGGCAGCTTCCTGCCCTGCTGCAGACTGGCCGTCACCGCCTCGACGTCCATCTGTGCCCACAGCTGCTCGGCCAGCGTCGGGAGGAGCGCGAGCACCGTGAAGCTGACGTCGTCCTGGTTCTGCGCAAAGCGGCGCTTCAAGCTGCGGGCGGCGGCGGCGGCGGGAGGCAAGTGTCAGCTGTGCGCTCTCACATGCATCAACCACCCACGCCGCAGCGACGCACTTTTCGCGGTCGCGGCGCTCGTCGGCCAGGCGCTGCTGGCTCTCCTGCAGCACGCGCACGGCCGTGCCGACGAGGGCATAGGCGCCGCCGGCGACGGCGCCGAGCACGACGAGCGGCCGCAGCCGCGTGCGCAGCGTGCGGCTGCTCGGCAGCGAGAGCGCGGGCGGCAGCTGCATCGTCTGGCGCGGCTGCCGAGTGTGGGAGTCGGTGAAGTGGGGATGGAGGTGTGGGGTGAGGGAAGCAAGGCTGCCTGCTGCGCGCTGAATGCGGCCTCGCCCCCCGCTGTCCCGCCTTCCGGGCTCGCTCAGCCGGAGCCGGTCCCGCCGCTGCACGTGCGGAATACAAGCAGCCCAATACACCCCGCGTCCGCATTCTTGTAGTGCCCCTGCAGCCGTGCCTTAGCGCATCTTGCGCAATGGCGCGATCAGACCATCTCGCCATTCTTATTCCGCCCTCTGCCTTCTTCCTCTCCACCACGCCCGCCAGGACATTGCCCGCCATGTCCAAGTCGCTTCTCACGCACCTCAACTCCTTCACGCGCAAGGGCGCGCCCGAGCCGCGCGCCGCAGAGGGCGGCCTGCGCAACGACCTGCTGCTGCGCGCCGCGCGCGGCGAGGAGACGGAGCGCGCGCCCGTCTGGGTCATGCGCCAGGCCGGGCGCTACCTGCCCGGTGAGTCGCGAGCAGGACTGGTGCAGGCGGTGCGCTGCGAAGCGAGCGTGGCTTGCTGGAAGAGCTGGGTATGCGTGGCGGGCGAGCAGGAGGCAACGCCCAGCGGTCACCAGCGGGAGCCGGGCGAGAGTCGGCAGCGCCTGCCCCGATGGCTGGTGCCTGCCGGAGACCATGTCTGGCGGCAGCGCGCCTCTCATCTACGCTGCATCCTCGGGTTGGGCCTATGCGGAGCAGCGGCGTGAGAGACGGGGCCTGCGCGGCTCGATGAGCAGTCGCCTCACCCACAGCCCCGGCTCGCGGCAGCAGCGGCAGGGCCTGTCTGCTCTCCCACAGCGCTGACACACTCTCCGTGCGGCTAGAATTTCGTGCGCTGCGCGAGAAGCACGAGTTCTTCGAGTGCTGCCGCAACCCCGAGCTTGCGTCGGAGATCACGATGCAGCCGATCCGGCGCTACTCTGGCCTTCTGGACGCGGCCATCATCTTCAGCGACATTCTCGTCATTCCGCAAGCCATGGGTCTCGTCGTCGAGATGCACCCCGGCAAGGGCCCTCACTTCCCCGCGCCACTCGTCGAGCCCAAGGACATGGAGCGGCTGACGAAAAAGGTGGATGTGGAGAAGGAGCTGGGATACGTGTACGATGCGATCCGCATGACGCGCACCAAGCTCGCGGGCGAGGTGCCGCTGATTGGCTTCTGCGGCGCGCCGTGGACGCTCATGGCATACATGGTCGAGGGCGGCGGCAGCAAGACGTTTGAAAAGGCCAAGCGCTGGCTGTACAAGTACCCGGAGCAGAGCAAGGAGCTGCTGCAGCGCATCGCAGATCTCTGTGCCGAGTTCCTTGTGGGCCAGGTCAAGGCGGGCGCGCAGGTGAGTCTTGCCCATCTGCTGCCTCTCTACTGCACCATACTCACGCCAGTGTCCTGCGCCAGATGCTGCAAGTCTTCGACTCCTGGGCCGGCGAGCTGACGCCCGACGACTTCCGCACCTTCTCGCTGCCGTACCTCAAGTACATTGCCGCGGCGGTGCGCGACGAGCTCTCCTCTTCCTCCGTCAAGGCCGTGCCGATGATCTGCTTCGCCAAGGGCGCGCTGGGCCACTCGCTGCCCGACGTCGCCAAGGCCGGCTACGACGTCGTCGCGATTGACTGGACGGTGGAGCCGTCGGTGGCGCGCCACATTGTCGCACAGGCGGCGCCCGGCGTCGTGTACCACAAGGGCGCCGCGGCCAACGAGGCGGGCCACCGCATTGCGCTGCAGGGCAACATGGACCCCTCGGTGCTGTACGCGGGCAACGAGGCCATCGAGCGGGCCGTGGAGCGCATGTGCCGCGCGCGCAAGGGCGGCTTTGGCGGCTCGGGCGCCTACATTGCCAACCTGGGCCACGGCATCACGCCCGGCGTCGACCCCGAGGCGATGCGCTTCTTCCTCAAGACGGTGCACCGCGTCTCGGCCGAGGTGGCGGCGGCCAAGGACGACGAGTAGCGGGCGAGCGGGGGACGAGAGAGAAAGAGCAGTGCGGCGCGAGTCCTGGTCAATACAGAGTCTCTTCGCCCAGCCCTGCTCCGCGCGTCTCGCGTCTGTCTGCAAGAGCACCACGACCCTGGTCGAGTGGCTTCGCGTGAGTGCATGCTCGCCCCGCGAGTCACTCTGATCATAATTGCATTGCGGCTCGCTGCGCCAGAAGGGCCGAGTCTGCGCGTGAAAGGCACGCGTTTGGAGGTATCAAAGAAAGAGGGACAGAGGAGAGCTTAGATGTACAGGTCTAGCTGCAGGAGGGCGGTCAGTCTGGGCGCAGAGAGGGCCAGCGCGGCCAAAAGGGCTCACCAGCTGCTTGCTCGTGCTCAGGTCGGTCTGCGGACCGGGAAGCGAATGGTCAGCTACCACGCAAAAGCATCTCGCTTCATCCCGCAACTCACGCGCTCAAAGTCCTTCGCCTGGTCCATGAACAGCAGCGGCATCTCAATCTGTGCCAACGTCGCCGTCTGTCAGCACGCCGCACCGGCAACACACGCCCCACGTGCAGACTGACCAGGTGTCCGCGCACCTCCGACAGGCGGTGCTTGATCTCGTCGATTGACTTGTCCGCCTGGTGCGCAATGTGGCCCGTGTCGGGGCCGCGGCAGACGAAGAAGTCGTCGTACTGCGGCCAGTCGCGCACCTGCGCAGCGGCGGCGTCAGCGGCCGAGCTCGCGCAGCTGCAAAGAAGCTACGCACCCTGTCGCTCGGCACCACCTGGAACAGGTCGTCGGCGACCGCCGTGTTGGTGCGCGCCTGGCCCTTCCACATCTGCTCCAGCTCCTCCGAGAGCGGGTCCGCGACGAGCGCCTCCCACTCTTCCTCCTGCGCCATCGCCTCGGGATCGGGGTTGGGGTGCGGCGCAGGGCGCATTGCGTCCGTGGGCTCGCCACTCTCAGGCGTGCACTCCTGCGGCGACACGAGGCCCAGGTGCTGTCGGAAGAGGTGGCGGCGGAATGAGGCGACGAAGCGCCCGGCCATGTACTGCGGCGCGGTCAGCCAGGGAGCCACACACTGAACGGCAGCATGGGCGCACCTTTTCGCCGTTCATGGTCGACTCAAAGAGGTCGCGGTCCTCGAGCACGCACGCGATCTCCGAGTCGCGGTTGCCCATCTGGCTGCGGTCGTTGATGTTGGCCGAGCCGATGAGCACCTTGCGGTCTGCAGCAGAAGGTCAGTGCATGGTCCGCAGTCACGCCGCCGACGCTTCTCACCGTCGATGATCATGCACTTGCTGTGCACGTAGCATCTGTGTCGCAGCGTCAGCAGCAGTCAGACCGCGCTTCCGCAGCGTACTTACTCCTCCGTGACAAAGGCGCGCTTCTCTTCCTCCTCCGTGCCGTTCCACGGCTCTTCGCGGAGATCCGGCTGGCCGTGCAGGAAGCACGACGCGACCGAGTCGCGCACGTCCAGGCTCTCCTCGGGCACGCCCTCGCCGTACCTGCGGATAATGTCCTCTGCCTCCTCGATGCTGGCAGGCATGTCGACCTCCTCGACGGCGACCGTCTTCGTCTTGCCGTCCTTGTCCAGCATCGACTCGGGCGTCGCAGGCACCTTGATGGCAATGCGCTGCTTCGCCGCGCCCTCTTCGCCGAGGTACACGCGCGCAGCGGCGACCTGTGCCGCGTGGTACGAGATGCCGCTGTTCTCCTCGGCCTGCCGAGCCGAGGCGAGAGGAAGTCGGTCGAACGAGCGCAGATTGTAGAAGCTGGGCTCGCTGGAGTCAGCAAAGGCTACGCGAGAACGGACCGCAAGCGGGCGCACCTGATGTACTCTGCCGGATCGTAACCCGCCGCCCTGACGACCTCCATGATCGAGTGTGGCCCTCTCGAGATGGACTTGTACTGGAAGTTCATGATCGTGCGGATGCCCGCTGCAGCGTCGAGCGTGCCGGCGAAGCAGGGAATCGTTGGGATGACGATGACGACCTTGAAGCGCTTTCCAGCACGCGCGGCCATGATGATGCGTGCCGCAATGCTGGCGCCGATCGTGTTGCTCACGCGTGCGTCCGCCTCGGTTGTGGTGATAAAGAACTGCGAGCGAGCGGCGTGAGTTTGTGCTGCAGCAGCAGGTCCCAGCGCGCAGAGGCTCACCTGGTTCTCAATATAGATGCAGTGCACTGCCTCGGTGATGAGCTGCTGGTACGCGTTGAGGATGCTGTGCTCCGTCAGAATGCCCGTGCTCCAGTCGGCACTGGAGCGCAGCACCTGGATGTCCACCGTGCCGCCGCCCTCCTCGCCCTCGGGCCCCTGCAGCGCGCGGCGCTCGCGGTGCCACGGGTGCTTGAAGTGCTCGCCGATGGAGTGGAAGCGCGTCGTGAAGGGGTGGCGCGCCACGGCGTCGTCGTCCTCGTCGACGTCGTCGAGGTTCTCAGCTCCGTTGGGAAAGCTGATGAGCGAATACGTCTTGTCGCGCTTGTACTTCAGCTCCTTGAGGAAGCACCACCGCTCAATGAAGTGCTGCGCCACGTCGAGCGCCGCCACGCCGTGCAGCATGACGTGCACGTCCTGCCACGGCATGCGGCCCATGACCAGTGACGAGTGCTTGTTGGCCGCCCAGTTGTCGACCTGCTGGAAGTCCTCCACTCGCGCATTGTTGTAGTCCTGTCCCACGAAGAGCGTGCGTCCGAGAATGTCCGAAGGGTGGCAGTCGGACAGCGGGTGCAGCTGCGTGTCCCACCGGCCGAAACAGACTGCGCTCGGGCTCGGGCGTCAGTGCGGTGCGCCGGAGCGTTGCACAAGGTACACTTACTGTCGAGACCGCCGATGCAGGCCTTGGCGTTGTCCACACACACCAGCTTCTCGTGATGGCTGTAGAAGAGCGTGATCTCGCCGCCGAGGTGATCGGGAGAGCGGAAGACTTGGATGTTCGGGTGCAGGTCCTCGAGATAATGCTTGGTGTGCGCACTGGACATCGTCATCGTCTCTGTGACCTAGTGAGCACGACAAACGTGAGCGTCGTGGCGACGCGCTAGCGCTCCGCTGCTGAGCCCATTCGAGTCTGCCGGCGCGCTCTCCGTGGTGCCCACGAGCGCACACTCACCTCCTTGTACACGACGATGCGGATGGCGACGCCCTGCTCAGCCTTGCGCTTCAGGATGCGGTCCAGACGGAAGTCCTCATGCAGATGCGACGGACGGCGCAGGTACAGTTCCGGCGTGAGCCACCTTGCCGCGGTGCCCCGCCCACCAGGTCAGCGAGGGAGCATGCATTCCGCCCGCGCGCGCGCAATGACGCACCAGTCGAGGATGAAGATCGTCTCTTCGGCCGACTCGAGCAGCTCGCTGAGCGCCCAGAAGTAGTCGTGGCCGCTCGAGTACCACTTTGCCGCATTGTTCTGGCGCACGCGCGCAAAGCTCTGGAAGCGGTGCGACTGGCGGGGCGTGCGGCCGGTGTGTCAGCTGCGAGGGAGAGGGCAGAGAGCGCGCAGGCGGCGAGACGCGCGCAACGCACGTCGCAGATGGCCTGCCGCTGAGCGTCGGCGGCCTTCTCGTGCTCTTCGTCGTGCCGGTGGTTCGGGTTGACAGTGTTGGAGACGCTGACGGCCAGACGCTCCATGCTCTGCCCGATCTTGGACGCTGCAGAGGTGCCAGGTGCAAGATCAGCGCGTGCACTCGTGCGCCACGTCTGCGGCGCCCCACGCACGGTCCTTGAGATGCTTGAGGATGGTGTCGCCGACTCCCATGCTGGGCGAGTAGGCTGGTGGGGGTTAGGGCGATGTGGAGAGGGAGGAGGGTGCAAGAGAGAGAGCAAGCTGCGGTCAGAGCATCGGCTGCACGGACGCTTGCTCCACTCCGAGCGCGGCTGTGCTCTCTGCGAGAGCGTCTCTTGATCAACGCACACTGGCCGCCTGCCCGACGGGTCGCTTGTCGGGCACAGCCGCAGCAGCCGGCGGTCCGGCGCCGGCCAAGGCGCATCAACGCACGGGAGCAGCCGCATGAGGGCAGCAGGCGTGATTAGAGCGTGGGAACGAGCTGCTCCTTCGGAGCCGCCGCGCGCGGCTGCGCGGCGCGCTCGGCACTCGGGAGTGGCCGCCGCCCCAAAATCTCCACCGCCTCGCTTGGCGCTCCTCTCCTCCTCTCTGCACCACCATCATCCCTTCGCCATGGCTCGCACAGGCATTCCCGGCCGCGCCGCGCCGCGCCGCAAGCACGAGCGTGCGCCCAGCGGCAGCGCCCCCGCGCGCGGCCCGCAGGCCAAGAGCAAGTCGCGTCTCAGCAGCTCGTCGGCAGCCGCAGGCAGCAGCAGCAGCGCAACGCCCGCGGCCGGCAGTGCCGAGGCGGCCGTCAGCAAGGCGGCCAAGCGCGCCGTGATGCGGCAGGCGCTGCTCGCTGCGCCCACTGTGGCAGCCGCGGATGTGGCGCCGGGCAAGGGAGACACCGTGTCGCGCTCGGCACTGCGGCGACGCAAGCGTCAGGCGCGCGATGCGATTGGCCAGGACGCGGCGGCGGGGCGAGAGGGCGGCGTCAAGGACGTGGCGGAGGCACTGCTGCATGTCGAGGAGGAGATGGAGGAGGAGGAAGACGCGCGACAGGAGGAGCCGCTCGGCGTGGGAGCGAAGAGCGCGGCGACCATCAGCACCAACATGCGCAAGGCCACTCTGTGAGTTGTTGCGTGGCCATGCGATCGACTGGGTGGCGTTGCAGCCTGAAGCGTCGAGACTTGGCACGATGCAGTGCTGGCGAGACGTCACTGCAGAGCGCGGTGTATGCGTCGTCTGGGCCTCGATGTCCCAGCTCGACGCTGGCGCATCCTCTGCGCTGCAACTCTGACCCCTGCCCCTCTCCCCCACAGCGCCCAAGAGCAAAAGCGCCAAGCCGCCATCGTGTCCGACGCCTCGTTCCGCGCCAACCCCTTTGCCGCACTGCGTGTCCACGCGCGCCAGAGCCTCGCTTTCGACGCTGGCAAGGCGGCGCGGTGAAGGTGTGTCCTGGCGTTTGCCGGGCTGCTGGCCTCGCTGCGAATGGGGCCCTCTTCGCCTCCTGGTGCGGACGTCGACCCGCGCTGCCACGATACTTACCGAGCGCAGTCCTCTGCACACAGCATCAAACGACCCAATGTGCAGTCAGCGAGTGAGGCGAGGCAATGTATTTCTAGTGCAAGAGATCGAGATCGAGAGAAGAGGCGTTTCGAGTGACGTGCATGTGCCCTGGCAAGGAAGTGCAAGCGAGAAGGAGCGAATGGTCGCGGCGAGAGAGGTCATCGTGGGTGTAGACAGCAGTGAAGGAGGTGAGATCAAGGTGGGGTAGAGGGGAAGGCAGTGCAGACTGGACGTCAGGGCATGCCCCGAACAGCTTGGCGGAGCCGATGCGGAGGTTCTGGCGCTGTGTAGTATCAACGTGCAGGGGCCGGCGGGTGCAGTGAGGATTGAGGCGAGAAAAGACTAGGAGCGCTTCTCGGTGTCGGCCACGTCGGCGACGGGATGTGGGTTGCGCGCCGAGGGCAGGCCCTGCTTCTCGCGCGCCACGTCGATGAGCAGACGCAGCTTCTCGAGCGTGATGAAGATGAGGATGGTCTGGTGTGTCGCGCAGGGTCAGCTTGCGCCCAGAGAACACGACGCGCTCGTCCCGTCATGGAGACGAGAGAGAGAGAGGCACACAACTCACATTCGGCGAGAGGCGCACCCATGCCGGCGTCCAGCCGCGGAAGAGGAAGCCGATGCCTTCTGTGCGCACCGCCTTTTGCAGCTTGGCAATCGTGCCGCCGCTCGCGCCGTTGCCCGACATGACGCGTGCCTTGATGACGCTGCGAAGCATGTCAGCGCGGCCAACAAGGTGCGATTCACCACGGCGAGCACTCACTCGGCAGGACTGCACACCGTCGTGGCAACCGTGCCAGCGAGGAAGCTGGCGCTAAAGTGCAGCCAGGTGCCCTCCTCGTAGAAGCCCGTGTGCAGCAGCGAGTGCTTGAAGAAGTCGTACGTCGCCAGCTGGCTGGCATTCATGAGCACGGCGCGCGCCACGTTGGGCGTGATGCCGCGGAAGAGCGCCGAGAAGCCCTCGTCGGAAACCATGCGGTACACGCCGTGCAGCGCATGCCGGTAGTTGAAGCGCTGTTGGGGGAGCGTGAGCAGCTGCAGAGCGCAGGCAGAAGACAAAAGGACGCACCTTCTCTGGTGCACGGTTCATATCCGAGGTCATGCGCACGAGGATGATGTCTGGCGGGCGCGCAGTGTGAGGCCTGCTTCTGCGCCAGGGCCATCCCCCAATGCCAGCTCCACTCTAGCATGACTCACCGGCAGGGTTGCCCGCGATGCCGCCCGCCGCGCCCGCGACGGAGGCGCACGCAGCCAGCTTCCACGCCGGCAGTGGCTTGGAGGGCGGGCCGTCGTCTTCTGTCCGGATCTGCGCCTTGAGCGAGTCGTACGCGCCGAACCTACGTATCAGTGGTCAGCCTCGAAGCACACGGCGCCGGCATGTGCACTATTCCTGCGGCCGCTCGCTGCACGCCACGCACCTGACCACGCTGTACGTCATCTGTCGCAGCAGACTTGCCGTCAGGCCCGCATAGAGGCCGCCCATGCCCTCGTTGCGCGCCGTGTCGGTGAGGGCGCCCCACATGCCCTGCTTCGTGCGGCTCGTCTGCATGCGGTTCTTGATGCAGTCGAGCGGGTGCGTCGCAAACGAGGCAAAGCAGGCGGCCACGCCGCCGAGGTAGAAGGGGTACTTGGGCGGCTTGGGCTTGCTTGCCGAGCCCGAGCGCGGCCGCGAGGAGCTGGCCGAGGGAGCGGCCGACATGGGCGGCGCGGTGTGGAGGGGGGGAAAAGAGAGAGGCCTTGCTTGGGCGCCAGTCTGAGCGCGCAACTGGGGGTGCGGAGAGAGGATCGGGCAGCCTGCAGACGTGCTTTCCTTTTGACTGGCGTGCCAAGCAAGGGTGGTGGATGGAGCGATGTGGGGTAGGCGGAGCGAGTCGGACGAGGAGAAGGAGGCCGATTGCCAATCGGCCGAAGCAGGGTGCCTGGCGCTGGTGCGGGCGCGGGACCCGCAACAGCCGCGGCGCGCCTGCCGCACGAGAGCTGGACCCAGCCTTTTCTTCCTCGGCCGGCGGGGCCGACGCCGCGCCGCGCGCTCAGGCACAGAGAGGCGCGCCTGCGTCATGGGGCATGCGCCGCGTCCAGCGCGAGCCGCTCCCTGCGCGCGCGGCCAAGAGCCGCTCGAGCGAGCAACTTTGAGCTGCAGCGGCGGCAGCGGGTGTAGCAACGGCAGCGCCCCCTGCTGCCAAGCTGTTGCAGGAGGATGCTCCAGAATACGGGGCAGCGGCGCCGACAAGGGCCGGCAGAGCCGCGCGACGGCGGCTGCGATGGCGGCAGCGTGCGGCGGCGCCCAACGAGCTCGCCATGCACGCCCGATGATGCGCTCATGGCGCCGCGCGTGTGCCGGCGTGCCGGCCGCCATGCAGCACAGCAGCCCGTGCCATGCGCTCCGCCGTCGCGGCAGCATCTGCACGCGTGAGGGAGGCTCAGCATGCAGAAGTGAATCGGGCTGGGTCTGGGTGCTGGGTGATGGCCTCGAAGGCGCGAGTCTAGTTGGAGACTCGTCTGGGATGGATGCGGGCGTAGGGCACGGCGCCGCGCGCGAGGGGCGGCGCCGCCGTCCCTTCTCCACAAGCGGCGCGGCGCGTGCGGCGCGGCGCCTTGGAGGCCCGCTGCCTTGGTGCAACGCGCGACAGGCCGCCGACTTGCAGCGCTCCTCCGCACCACCACTCCCTGCTCCCTCTTCCCCGTCTCACTGCCAGTGCACCCGCTGTCCGCTCCGTCCTCCCATTACCGGAGTAGCAGCAGCCGCACAGCCGAGGCGCCGCCTCGCGCCCGCCCGCCATGACCTCGTCCGGCACGTCGGCCGTCGACGCACTGCACCAGGCGTACGACCAGACTGCCTACTACCTCGGCCTCGGCGGCGCAGACCCCAACCAGCCCGCCGGCAGCGACGAGGGCCACGCAGCTCACCGCGACGGCGACTCCAAGCGGCCGTCGCACGAGAGCGAGCGCCCGCCGCAGGGGCCCGGCAACCACCCTAACGACAGCAGCCACCCGGCGTACGGCGAGGGTCAGCAGCAGGACAGCTCGGGCGCGCCCGACGAAGAGCCGCAGCAGAACCCGGACAAGCAGGACGAGGAGCAGGGCGAGTACACGCAGCAGGCCGCCGAGTCGTCGGCGCGCTACAGCGTCGACGCGTCGGGCGGCGGCAAAGGCAAGAAGGAGGAGAAGGCGCAGCAGTCGGAAGAGCAGGAGGAGCAGAAGCAGGCCAAGCCCGAAGACGTGCGCGATGCCATTGAGCGTGCGCTCGGCCCTACTGGGCCCGTGGCGTCGCGCAATGCGCAGGGCGCCGCGGCGGGCGATGCCTCGCCGCGCTACACGCGCCAGGAGGCGCACGAGGAGCACCCCGAACAGAGCAAGAAGCTCGAGGAGCACGTCGACCGCGGGCCCGTCTGGGCCAGTCGGCCCGACGACGAGCAGCGCGAGAAGATCCGCCGGATGAAGGAGGAGCGCGCTGAGCGCGCAAAGCACCACCACCTCTCCTTCCTCGGGCGCCACAAGGAGGAGCGCGAGGAGAAGCACGAGGAGAAGGAGAAGGCAAAGGGCGACAAGGAGGAGGAGGGCGGCGCCCCGTCGCAGCAGAAGAAGCCGCTGAGCGCCCTGCTGCCCATCCGCCGTCGCTTCAGCGGCAGCCAACCGTCGACGCCGGCGCCTGCCGGGCCCTCGTCGCAGCCGCAGACGCCGACGTCGGCCGGCGGCGCCAAGGCAGCCAGCCGCCCGGCGCTCAAATCGCCGAGCTCGCAGTGGAGCACCAATGACCGCGCCATGCGCGGTGCCTGGGGCGGCAACCAGCAGCCGATGACCGCAGAGCCTGAAGAGGACGAAGAGGCGGCCTCGCCGCGCGGCCGCAAGTCGGGCGCCTCGCAGGACACGCCGGAGCGGCCGCGCAGCACGAGCAAGAAGCACAGCGACTCGCCAGTGGCGTCGCCGCGCCTCGGCAGCAGCAGCCGCCAGAACACGGGCGGCTCGGCAGCCGCGCGGCGCTCCGGCTCGGGCGAGGCGAGCGACGGCGTTAACTCCAAGATGACGCGCATCAGCAAGCTCATGCTGGGCAAGACGGACGACGTGGGCGATGCGTCGACGGGCGAGGCAGCTGGGCAGGCTGCCGGCGGCGGCGACGAGGAGAAGACGCCGTCAAGCCCGCCCGTCGGCGTCGCAAAGTGGGGCGTGCTGAAGCAGAAGATCAACAAGGGCGAGCTGACGCGCGGCAAGAACCTGCGCAGCGGCGCGACGGACAAGCAGCGCGCCGCTGGGCCGATGAGCGTCGTGACAGAGCTGCAGAGCGGGTGAGTAGCAGCGTGAGGTGCGCATGCGCGTCGGTCTGCTGACACGCCTCGCAGCATTCTGCCCGTCTTCATGCTGAAGATGTCGATTGAGCGCGACGAGCAGAAGCACCGGCGTATCCCGGTGCTGCTGAACCATCTCAAGCTGCGCATCACCGACAGCGTCAACCCGCTCAACAACACGCACGCCGTGTTCCGCATCGAGCTCGAGTACGGCGACGGCCTGGTGCGCTGGGTGTGCTACCGCGAGCTGCGCGACTTTATCAACCTGCACGCGCACTACCGCGCCGCCGCGCTGCGTGGCTACCTCGGACGCCCCGTGGGCCAGGCCGAGGGCGACGTCGGCCTGCCGAGCTTCCCCAAGACCAGTCTGCCGTACCTCAACCAGCTGCAGCGCCAGGGCCGCGGCAAGGACGGCGGCGATGCGCGCGCCAGCTTTGCAAAGGCGCAGCGCGACGCGCTCGAGGACTACGTCATTGAGCTCATCCGCCGCACAATGTTCCGCCCCGAGGCGAACCGCATCTGTAAGGTGCGTCTCTGGAGCGCCTGTCGCGTGCGTCCATGCTAACACTCTCGGCTCCAGTTCTTTGAGCTCAGTGCCCTGTCCATCTCGCTGGCGAGCCGCGGCGGCTACCAGGGCAAGCAGGGCTACCTGCGCATCATGTCCAAGTCGTCGCGCAAGGACAACCAGAAGGGCATCCTCACGCCCGTCTCGTGGGCCAAGTCGCACGAGCCCAAGTGGTTCATCGTGCGCGAGTCGTACATCGTCGTCGTCGACGAGCCGGACGAGCTGCAGGTGTACGACGTGTTCCTCATCGACGGCGACTTTGCCATTGAGCGACCCAAGCGCTTCTACAAGCAGACGATTCACCTTGCTTCGGAGCTCGCCAGCGACGACAAGGACAAGGACAAGAACGGCGAGAAGAAGGACAGCGGCACGAACCCGGAGCACGCCGCTCTGCTCACCGACGGCCAGTACGGCGGCGAGACGGGCGCCGACGACGACTCGCCCGGCTCGAAGAGCGTCAGCAGCCACACGTTCTACATTCGCAACGCGCAGCAGCGCCTGCGCCTCGTGGCCAAGACGGAGCGCCTGATGCGCCAATTCATCGGCAGCCTCGAGCGCGTGGCGGCGCGCAACATCTTCGTGAGTAGCCTGTGCGGCGCGGCGTTGGCCTCCGCTGATGACACGTCGCTACAGTCCGGCTCGAACCGCTTCGGCAGCTTCGCGCCGATCCGTCTCAACTGCAGCGCGCAGTGGCTCATCGACGGCCGCGACTACTTCTGGAACCTGTCCAAGGCGCTGCTCATGGCCAAGGACCGCATCTTCATCCACGACTGGTGCGTCATGTGCCGCTTCTGCCCAGGCTGACTGAGCATGACTAACTTGTGCGTACAGGTGGCTCTCGCCCGAGGTGTACCTGCGCCGCCCCGGCACGCCCAAGTACCGCCTCGACAACATCCTGAAGAAGAAGGCCAGCGAGGGCGTCAAGATCTTCGTCATCGTGCGTAGCCCTGCCGCGTCCTGCCGCCTCGCAAGCTCACGTCTTCTGTCCCTCAGGTGTACAACGAAGTGTCGAACAACTTCACGCCCACCGACTCGAACTACACGAAGCAGCGCCTCATCGGCCTGCACCCCAACATCTTCGTGCAGCGCTCGCCGAGCCACTTCCAGACGGGCACGTTCTACTGGGCGCACCACGAGAAGCTCTGCGTGATCGAGTGCGTGCTGGAGCGCGCGTGTAAAAGCTCGTCCACTGACGTGCGCCTGACCACAGCGAGACCATCGCCTTTATGGGCGGCCTCGACCTCTGCTTCGGCCGGTGCGTCGCACGGTTCTCTCCAAGCGACCTTCTGCTGACCCGCGCTGTGCAGATGGGACACGCCGGCGCACGTGCTCACGGACGACTCGCAGTACGACCCCGTCGAAGGCAACCTGTCGAGCGCGAACCTCAAGGACGACCCCGCGCTCCTGGGCCCCGGACGCGACGGCTCCGAGGCGCACATCTGGCCGGGCCAGGACTATGCCAACGAGCGTGTCATGGAGTGGCACGACCTGACGAAGCCGGCCAACGACCTCATCGACCGGCAGCACCACCCGCGCATGCCGTGGCACGATGTCGGCGTGCAGCTCGTCGGCCAGCCGGCGCGCGACCTGTGCCGGCACTTCATCCAGCGCTGGAACTACCTGCTGCGCATCAAGAACCACAAGCGCCTCATGCCGTTCCTCATCCCGCCGCCGGACTTCCAGCCGTCGGACCTGACCAAGTACCAGCTGACGGGCACGTGCGAGGCGCAGATCTGCCGCTCAGCCGGGCCGTGGAGCATGGGCACGGCGACGACCGTCGAGCACTCGATCCAGAATGCGTACCTCAAGGCGATCCAGATGAGCGAGCACTTCGTCTACATCGAGAACCAGTTCTTCGTCACCTCGACGGTCGTGCGCGGCACAGAGATCACGAACCAGATCGGCGAGGCGCTCGTCTCGCGCATCATCCGCGCGCACCGCGAGGGGACCAAGTGGCGCGCCGTCATCATTATCCCGCTCATCCCCGGCTTTCCGATGCCGATCGACCACCCCGACGCCGGCTCGGTGCGCCTCATCGTCGAGTGCCAGAACCGCAGCATCTGCCGCGGCGAGCACAGCATCTTTGGCAAGCTCAAGCGCCAGGGCATCAACCCCGACGACTACATCAGCTTCTTCTCGCTGCGTCAGTGGGGCAAGCTGCGTGGCGGCAAGCTCTCGACGGAGATTGGCTACATCCACGCCAAGTGGTGAGTGGCGCATTGAGATCTGCTGAACGCCGTGCGTGGCTGACTGACTTCTTTGCAGCATGGTCGTCGACGACCGCCTCGCGATCATCGGCTCGGCCAACATCAACGAGCGCTCGCAGCGCGGCGACCGCGACTCGGAGCTCGCCGTCGTCATCCGCGACACGGACATGATCGACAGCACGATGGCGGGCAAGCCATTCAAGGTCGGCCGCTTCGCGCACACGATGCGCGTGCGCCTCATGCGCGAGCATCTCGGCGTGGACGTCGATGACATCGAGGCACAGGAGGCCGCAAACGTCAACCGCCCGCCGGCCTCGCGCGACGGCTCGCAGGACGAAGAGGACGACCAGTGGGACCCGGACCACGAGCAGCGCCGCGACGGCGACCCGGACGCTGGGCAGACCCGCGTTCAGGCGCGCACAACCGCCGCGACGCAGTTTGGCCGCACTGTTGGACAGGCCGTCTCGGGCATGGCCAACAACCTCAGCAATGAGATCCGCAACGAGGCGTCGGAGAACAACCCCCTCGCCCGCGGCGCTGCCAAGGCGCTCGACAGCGACGACCAGCCAAAGGGCGGCGACGAGGAGGGCGCGACCGGCTCGACGCAGGACTACGTGCAGGACGGCGACGAGCGCGCAAAGCGCATCGCCGAGAACCCGGAGAATCCGGGCTCGGCGTCGAACCGCCCCGTCGTGCCGACGCTCGAGGAGCGCTTCGTGGCCGAGCAGCGCCAGAACGGCGGCTCGAGCACGCCGCGCAACAACAACCGCAGCCGCGGCGGCTCGGTGTCCGAGACGGCGGCGCAGCGCCGCGCCGCCAACGGCAGCTCGCACGACCTGAAGCACAAGCAGTCGCGCGGCGGCGCCGGCGGCAACCCCTGGGCGCTTCCAGCCGAAACGCCGGAGGTCGACAAGGACAACTTCACCGACCCCGTCTGCGACGAGTTCTTCCGCGACGTCTGGCTCGCCTCGGCCGTGCACAACACAGACATCTTCCGCCGCGTCTTCAAGGCGACGCCCGACGACAACGTGCTCACGTGGTCGGAGTTTAAGGCCTGGACGGCGTGGTACGACCGTCTGCAGCGCTCCTTCCGCTCCGAAACGACGAAGCCGCCGCCGGAGCAGCAGGGTCCGCCGCCGGGCGAGGACGGCGCGTCGCTGTCGACGTCGCAGAGCCGCGCCGCCGACGAGAAGGGCACCGGCAAGTCGAGCAGCGCCAAGGTGCAGGAGGCGCCCTCGACGCTGCCGCGCGCGACGCCCAAGATGCCCAACGAGGGCTTCTCGCCGCAGGAGCTCGACCAGATGGAGGCGCTGCTCGGCGAGCTGCAGGGCACGCTCGTCATGCACTCGACGCGCTTCCTCGAGGCCGAGGGTGAGTGCCGCTGTGCTGCAGATTTGCGCAGCCAGTCGCTGACCTCTTCTCAGATCTCTCGGACAACATGCTCTTCTCGCTCGACCGCGTCGGCCCGCTGCAGGTGTACAACTGAGCGCGACGTCACGACGACGCGCGCCTCTCCGTACCCTGCCTCCTCACCTCGGACACATCTGCGATACCTCCACGCTCCTTCCACACACACACCCTAGACTACACAGAGTCATGCCTCACATCATCGCCTCCTTTCTCGCCCCAATGCATCCTTCACAGCGTCGCATCCACACGCATCGGCGCTGAGCCGTGTGAGGGTCCGTGTGGGGCGGCATCCTGCCCCACTGTTGGTATGTGAATTGCGCTGCGCCCGTCTCGCTACGTCTAGGTGCTAGCTAGTCCCGCTGCGGCATCCAGCGGTCGCCCGGCGGCACGCCATTGCGGGGCGTGTGCGGGTGCGGGTATGGCGGAGGCACTCCGACGGCCTGCTGCTGCATCTGCTGCATGTGCTGCTGCGCCAGCTGGGCATCCGGCGTGAGGGCCAGCTCTTGGCTGGGGTCAGGCGCAGCGCCGCCGCCGTGGCTGTGAGAGTGGTGGCTGCCACCTGCGTGCTGCTGGTGGTGTCGATGCGCCTGCTGCAGCAGCTGCGCCTGATGCTGCTGTTGCTGCTGCGTCTGCGACGACGGGTAGTGCGGCTGCTGCAGCGGCAGCGGCGTGCCCATGACGCCAGCGCCAAGATGTGTCGTCGAGTTGTCCAGGTTCCACACCTCGGGCCAGCTCGTGGCCGAGGCCGAGTGGAAGGCCGCCTGCGGCACGCCGCTCTGCCAGTGCCAGCGAGTGTTGAGCCCTGAACGCATGTTGAGGCCGGCGCGCATGAAGCGCAGCGCGTCACTCACCGAAAGTGCACTCGCTGAAGCGGACGGCCCGGACATGTGCGAGGCGTGCGGCCCGGATGGAAGCGCATTGTAGCCCGCCATCGGGCTCACCGACGCCAGTTCTTGACGAAAGTCAGAAGACGGCCCCTCCGCTGGACTTCGCGCCTGCGCCGTGCTCGCGCCCGAGGCGAACGGCCAGGCCGTGAGCGTGGCGGCCGCCTTGTCCAGCGCATCCGCCGTGGCGGACCAAATGCTGCCGCGCTCGATGCTGTCGTGTGCACTGCCGTGCTCGTTACGGCGCACGAAGCCGTCACAGGCACGCACATGGCGTGCGGCAGTCTGCAGCACGGAGGCCTGCTCAGTGGGGTCGTTCTCGTGGGTCGGTGCCTCCGGCTTGCGCATCCGTTGCGACACGGCGAAGCGCGCGGCGTAATGGAGGAAGGAGCAGGTGCTCAGCACCGGCAGAGCCACCACGGCCGAAGGTGCGAAGTGAAGCCAGCCCTCGAGCGAGGCATGGACGAGCGAGTTGAAGCGCGAGACACCGCTCCACACCGCCTGCGCCTGCATGTCCCGCACTTCATCCGACTGGAAATCGACCTCTGCGTAGTTCTTGAGCGCCAGCCTGTCTTGAGCGTATGCGGAGCTACCGCTCGGAGCATAGCCTTGAGTCTGGGCAGCGTATGCCGAGATGCTTCCGAGCAAGAGCAGGCGGCTCATCTCCACTTCGAGCTGCACGGAGTGCCATGCCACACTCAGTGGGCCTTTGGCAGCGTCGATCGGACCTGCCGCACCGCAGCGTCAGCGCAACTCTGTGGGAGCAGGCTCGTGACCGGCAGACTCACCGAGCCGTTTCAGCGTCGCATTGCGCACGTCTGTCAGCGCAAATGAACAGCGGGACAACGTCGGCTGGAACATCGCCAAATTGAGTCCGCTGACGAAGGGCTCTCTTTCGAAGATCTGCTCGCAGCGTCGCTGGCAAGCCTTGAGATGCTGCAGCTGCTGGAGGCGCAGCAACAAGAGGCCTTCGCCTGCTCGTCGAAGCAGCGGCACGTCCTCGTACGCCAACGTGCAAGACGGCGGCAGTGGTCCGACGGAACGAGCTGCAATGTCGCCGAGGTGACGCACCGCGCTATCGAACTCACTGCCAAGCTCAACGTTTGCCGACAGCGTCTCTCTCCATGAAACGAGAGTACACCAGAGCAAGGCACGTGGATCTGTCCGGCTATGCGTCGCAGGTGCAGATGCGGTGGTCCGATCGACCTCGTCTGGCAGTCCAAGCTTGCGCGCCAGGCGCCCTGCCAGCTCTGCCAGGCTCGTGCCTTGAAACGCATGCGCGTCGCGTGACGGTCCTCGCGGCAGTGACGGAAGCAATGCGAGAGGCATGTGCACCGAGAGAAGGTCGAGCGCTTGCACGGCCTCGATGCTGGCGTCGGCATCGGAGTAGAGCAGAGCAGCGTCGCGGCGGATGAGAGCGTGCAGGCTTGCGACAAGCTGCAGGGCGCCGTGTGGCTGCGGCGCCAGCTCCGGCAGGGCCAGCGCATACAGCGAGGTCAGCAGCAGTGAGGTGCCAACGCTGGCCGACTGCGCATGCTGCTGACGCAGCGTGCGCAGTGACGGCAGGTGTGGATGCCACAGAATGAATGCGTGCGCTCTGCTCAAAGCGTCAGTGGTGCGCCCAGCCATGTCCGGCACCTGTCGCAGGCGTGCATCGCTCGTACAAACTCACATGGTCTCGAGGCGCGCGCTCAGCTCGGTGCTGACGAGCGACAGCACATTCGCACCCGATGCCGGCGGTCCAGTATCTCGGAACGGACTGACCGCGCAGGCGCTCTCGTGGGCAAGAAAGCGCGAGAGGGCCTCCAACGGAGTGTCCGGCTTGGAGGTGCAGCCGGCAGCTGCAGGGCTGCTCGCTGCCTGCATTGCGATGCTAGGTACCGACGGCGGCGGCTCATGCGCCGGCGGCATGGGCAGCCCAGCTGGATGGTATGGCGCACTCTCCGTCATGCCGTCCAGAAAGGCATTCAGGTCGAGCTCGGCGCCCGGCTGAGGTCGCGACGATGCTAAAGCGGCAGCATGCCCCGGAGCCGATACGCTGGCCTGCTGGTAGCGATCCTCGGCGCCCTCGTCGACGGAGACAGGGTAGCGTGAGGATGACGCGGAGGTCGACGAGCGGTAGCGCTGCTGGTGTTGCAATCCGCTGGCGCCGCCTGCAACCTGGCGCACGTCTGGCTTGACAGGATGCGGGCCCATGTAGAAGCGCAGCGAGGCAGGGTGCGGCCGGTGCTGCGGTGCGCCTTCGGAAGTGTCGGCGAAGCTCGGCTCGGCGAAGGCGAGGTCGAGCGACGACGGACCAGCTCGCGCCTGGGGCATGGCGGTCGTTCGCGGAGCCGACATGCCAAGAATCGTTGGATCGGGCTGCAGTGCAGCTGCCGTCGGGAGCGCCGCGCCAGCAGCCGTCGGAGCCTCGCTGGTGCTCGAGGCGCCTCGTTTGCGCTTGCCGCGGCCCTCGGGGTCCCAGACGATGCAGCCAAAGCCATGCTCGGCGCATCGGGCGCAGCGCAGGTGGATCGGGAGCTCCTCGAGCGACGACGGCACGCGCAGCGCCTCCTCGGGCAGCTTGCACTTGGCCTTGCGCTGCCGGCACTGCAGACAGGTGCCTGCAAGTAGAGTCTGGGTCAGCGCCGTGTCTGGAGAAGGAATCCTAGGCGCTTACGCGAAGCGTATGTGCCGCGTGGCCGACGCGTGCCGGCGTTGACGCGCGAGGCAGGACTGGCTGAAGGGGAGGCGAGCAAGCCCTTGTGCGAGGTCGAGAGCGGCGCAGAGAGTGGTCCACTGGCAAGAAGTGAGGAGGGACCAGCTTCCGCCGAGCCAGCCAAGGGTGCCGTGGACGCATGCGTCGGCCGGCGCTCGCCAGCTGACGATGTTCGGCGCGGATTAGGGTGCTGAGCGAGGAGCGGCACGCCGATGAGCGCCGCGGTGCGCGAGGCGTCGGGCCGTGAGGTTGATGCCGACGAGGCGCTCGAGCTAGCACTTGTGCCTCGGGTGCGGCCATGTGCCGTCCCTGCGCTGGGCGGGACAGGCTCCATGGCCGGCGCAGCGGGCCGGCGCCTCGCCTCGGCCGGAGCGTGTGGACGCGATGCGGAGCAGGAGCAGCAAGCAGCAGCGGTGTGTGAGGTGCGACGACGGAAAGAAGAAGAGGGCCGTTGGTTGTGCGCAGGGCGGAATGTACAAGGTATGGGGTATGCGCCGGCGGGCAGGCAGAGAGGTGTGTGTGTGCGTGTGAGAGGCAGGAAGGAAGCCCGGCGAGGGCCTGGCGGGAGCGTCCCAGGTGTCCGTTGCGGCGGCGTCAGCTGGAAGTGCCGCGGCAGCAGGGCAGGCGGAGTGGGCGCGCGGCGCGGCGCTGGCTGGCGTGGGCTGCAGCGTCTGTCAGTCTGAGTCGAGTGTGCTGGGACGGGCGGCGCGGTGCGTGCGACCCGAGAGAGCGGCAGCGCGCAGCTCAGGCAGCAGCGCCAGCGACGGCAGCGGCCGGGCACGCGGGCGTGCGCTCTGCGGTGCGGCCCGCTCGGCGACGGGCGACGGGATGGGAGCGGAAAAGGGAACGGCGCAGCGTGCGTACGGCCGGCGCCGCGCGGGGGGCGTCGCCGCGTCCGCCTCGCGCCGCGTCGCGCTCGCGCGCAAGAGGGCGGAATCCATGCACCGCTCGCCGCTGACGCTGCTCCGGCTGCTGCTCCGCCAGAGGCACGCCGGACACGCGGCGCCCGTGGCGCTCGCTGAGGCTGCAGCGCCGTGCAGCTGCTCGCCGCTCTCAGACACACCTGGTGCTGACGCTGACGCTGGCCACGCACCTCTTACTCCGGACTCTCTGTCGTCGCTCGGTGCCGGCGCGGCGCAGCGTGTGAGGTACACTCGCCCTCGGCTGCTGGCGGGCGTCGCTGCGCGGCAGCCTTCGCCTTTCCGCCGTGCGCAGCCACGCGCAGGCGCCACGAGCGCGCCAGGGGCAGCGGGAGCCTCAGGAGCAGGAGCAGCAGCAGCGGCAGGGCAGATAGAGAGAGCAGCAGGCGTCATGCGGCGCCGAAGCAGCTGGCGTCTTGGCCGAGATGCATGAGAGCTGCTCCAGCGCCCCCCGCTCGCTCCTGATCCCGCGGCCAGAGAGAGTCGAGTGGGTGAGCACTCTCGGGGCAAGGCACCTCCGGGCCGCTGCCCTGGGGTGGTCAAAATAGCTGCGCGCCCTCCTGTGCTCTGGCGGCCGTGAGTGCCCTCGCAGGGAGAGGAGTGCCGAGAACGGCAGCAGCACTCCAGCGAGGACAAGTCTCGACCGCCTGAGCACTTGAGCTGCTGCTGCGCTGCCTCGCCGCCGCGGTGCTCCACCGCTTCGGCACAGGAGCACATGGCACCACGCTTGCACGCTGCTCGGCGTCCGGGTGCAGCCTGCGCTGCTGCGCAATCAATAGCGCCCAGCTCCCGGAGCAGGGGCTGCGCGCTGTGCGGCTGCGGCTTGCTGCCCTGCTGCTCCACTGGCGTCCACGGGAGCAGGAGCATGCGGCAGCGAGAGCACGGCGGCAGAGGTCACACGGCACTGCGCTGCAACGGCAGGCACTTGGCTCCCCGCGTGGCAGCAGGCGAGCCGCTGCTGCCGAGCATCGCTCTCCTCGCCGGCGCTAGGCCCCGGGTTGCTCGCAGCCCAGCGCGACGACAGCGTGTGGTGACGGCGCGCACTCGCCGGAGGCGGTGGGCGAGGGCCGCAGCGCAGCTTCGCGCGCAGCGACGAGACACCTCGTGCCGGAAGAACGGCAGCGGGCGCAGCTCGGCGCCGAGTGCGGGCCGCTGTGAATGCTCCTCTTTTGGTATTCCAGCATGTCTCTCGCCCGCGGCTCGCTCCTTTGTCTTCTGCGGCGCAAGGAGCTGCAGTGCTCGCGCAGGCCGGTGGGTCTTGCTCAGTCGCCGTGCAACAGCAGCGAGAGAGGGCGCTCACCCTCCAGCCGCAGCGTCAGCGGCTGCGACGCATCGCGCAGCCGGCTCCGGCGCTCGCACCGCACGTCGCTGCCGACGCCGGTGCCGCATCGCATCCGCGAGATGGCGGCGGCGGCGCTGCCTCTGCGCGCTGACGCTGGGTGCTGCGGCTGCCCTGACGGCACGACGCCTGGCGGAAATGAGAAAGCGGCGCAACCCGGGGCCCGTCCCCGGCGCCGCTGCACCTCGCGCATGTGCTCGGCAGCGCTGCCGTGGGTTGTGCCTGGAGGCTGCTCTCCTGCGCTGCTGCTCCTCCATCTGCCGTGGCCTGCGATGCTGCGCTACGTAGATCCGACGCAAGCGTCGCTGCGGCAAATGCGCAGCGGAGACGCTGGGTGCCGCTGAATGGGCAGCGCCAGCGCGGCAGCCCCTCTCGCAGCGCCCCCGCCTCGCGCTCCCACCGCATGCTGCGCGCGTCGAAGAGGCCGCCCTCGCGGCGCGCCCGATCTCGCCGCTGCTGCGAGCTGTCTATATCGGCCCTCATCGCGCCTGCAGCGAGACAGCAATTTAGATACGGGATGCCCCCTCGGCCAGGGCAGCGGGTGCTATTTGCCGCACGCGCGGCCGCGCTCCTCGGCGTGGCAGCGTGGGCCTCTGCGCTGGGCCAGGCGGGCCGCCGGCCGGCGCCGAAGGGAGCGTGCCAGACGCAAGAAGCAGCGAGCGAGCAGCTGATTTCCCGGCGACGCGAGGCGTGCCGCGGCGCGCGACGAGCGCGAGCGCGTCTCTCACGTCGGCATCACAGCACAGCGCTGCGTCTGCTCGGCACGGCTGCGGCACCTGTGCGGTGCCTTGCGCTTGCTGCTAATTCTGCACCTAGCTCGATCTCTCGTGGCGGTGTGTACATGCGGAGCATGTGACGCTGCAGCAGCGGCGCAGCATCCCAGGCCGGAGGGGGCGGCTGCTCGAGCGCAAGATGGAGCTGCCGTGAGTGCCGCGGCGTGCGCGCGCCATACTCCGCCTGCCCGCATCGCATGCCTGCCTGCGCGCTGTGCAGCGAAGCGCCTCTCCGCTCAATTTCGCGATGCTGCACCTCAGACCCGCCCGTCAGCAGCACAGCGTCCGTGCCGCCGCAAGGTCGGTGCTTGCGGCGGCTCTACGCGGCCTGGCGGCGATGGCGTTTCGCCGCCGAGCACGTCGCGCGCCCGTCGGGCCCGATGCGCTGCGCTAACTCGCCTCGCCGAGCGTGTGCGTCCGCCGTGAGCCTCCCCGTCATGCATGGAAGCGACACACGCGTGCAACATGCGATGTTGCAGCAGAGGTGCTGCATGCTGCACGCTGCGTGGATGGTGATGTCTGATGCTGAGGCTCCCTCCGGCGACTCGGCGACTCAGGCTGACAGAAGGAAGAGCAGAGGAATGGCCACGCGCGGGCTGACGCTGCTGCGGCACCCACGCCCATCAGATTTCACGTTTGAGCGTTGTGCTTTGCGCCGCGCCAGAAGAAAGCCGCAGAGTGGCTGCGTTCCCGACGGCGGCGAGGGGTGCTGTGCGGATGGTCCGCACGGCGGGGTGGCGGGCCAAGTTTGCATGCGCCGGGGCAGTTTGACCCACTCCCCGACACTTCTTGCGTCCTGCGGCAGATCTGCTTCCATCGTCCGCCGCGCCGCCGCCGGGAGCAGCACCCAGCCCCAGGCGCGAGTGCTCGCTGCTCTGGGGGTGACGGCACAGCGAGCCCTGCCACCTCGGCATTCATCTTTTTCAGGCGACGGCCATGCCGCGATGCAGGCCCTTCCCGCTCGCCCCTGCATGCCGCGCTGCGGCCCCGGCCAGCTGCCCTGCCGTCGGATGCAGGCGCCGGCTACGGGGCGCTGCTTTGTCCCACACCAAGAGACCCTGCTGCTGCGTGGCCAGACAGAGAGCTGCTCGCCAGGCTGCGGCCTGCAGAGCCTCGCGGCATCCTCACGGCATCATGAGCGCGCGTGCGGGAGCTGGGCGACGCCAAGAAGACGGGCGGCTCCGAGCGCCATGGCGTGCTCGCGCTGACGCCGCGGCTGGGCGGACGCTGGCTCGTCCACCATCGCACGCATGTCATGACGGCGTGCAGCGCACAGGCGCTGCGGCGCTTCTGCGCTGGCGGATGAACGTAGGACTTGCGAGCAAGCGACATCGGCTGCGGCTTTGCGGCTTGCCAGCGCGACGGCGTGGCGCAGCGATTGCCGCGATGCGGACCGGAATTAGCCCCCTTAGCCGGCTGCGAAGGCGGAATGAAGAGCATTCAGCTTCATGGGTCGCGGCGGCACACCGCCGCAGCAGCAAGCCTCCAACCCCAAAGCGCAACTCCCGGCTCACGCTCTGCCCGGAATGAGGAACACCAGTCCCATCCGCGCGCTGCCGCACCGTGCTCGTGACTATTCTCCGTGGCCGGCAAGTACCAGCAGCACCCTGCCGAGTGGGCCGCACCGCTGCACGCTGCGTCAGCTTCAGCGCGTTCGGGTCGCAGCCGGGAGCCGCTCGCTGAAGGCTCCGAGCTTGCGCAGCAGCAGCAGCAGGAAGGCTCCGAGCTCTGCACTCCGCAGCCGCAGCAAGCACACGCCGTCGGAGAAGGCTGCTGCAGCATGCACAGCCAGACGTTGCCGGCGGCTGTCGCTGTCTGCTGATGCTGCCGTCCTCCGCACTGCTCCACGATGACCAAGCTGCGGGATCGCAGAGTCGTCACCGTCGGTGCCCTGCATGCCGCGCAAAGAGGCCGCTAACTGAGCGAGAGACGGCGGAGTCGCGGACATGCGATGCTCGCCGCAATCCCGCGCCCACTGCGGCGCGCCACAATCTCGGGACGCTCGGACAGATTACGGAGCATTGCATGACGGGAGATGTGCCAGAGTGTGTGCATGTGAAGGCGCAAGAAAAAAGCCAGGGGGGATGGGACGGGTCTCGTCTAGGGCGCCCCGGCTGCCAAGCCCGGAGCACGGCCGGCGCGGATAAGGTCGAGGAAGTTGCTCTTGCTGAGCTCAGCGACTGGAAATGGCGGCTCGGGGTCAGCAAGGGTCCACGGACACACTGCATTGGCCTGCATCTGCATGCCCGTCGATGCGACTCACCAGCCTTGCCCTTGCCGCCAAGCTCGTTGCGGCCCTTTTCGCTGCTGCGCGCCGAGTCGGCCATCGCACCGGCGCCGCGGCCGTCCTCCTCGAGATCCGCCTCCGACGTGTTCTGCGCGGCCCGAATGGCATTGAATAGCTTGACCACTGCAGACGCCGCCTGTCAGCTGCCGAATGTCGGGAAGCATGCACGACGACTAACCTCCGCGCTGGGCCACCTTGCGCAGCCGCTTCTCCCGTCCCGTCGCTCCGCCCTCCTCCTCCCACTTGATGCCCGCCTGACCTGGTGGGCCTTCGCCCGGCGGACAGCCTGGCGCGCCCCAGCCAGCGATGACATCCTTGACGCGTGCGCGCTCCTCGCGCTCCTTGCGCGCCTCGGTCGCCAGGCGCGACGCCTTGGCCGAGAGCTTGGTGGCCTGCGCCGCCTTGCGCAGGTGCGGCGCCATGGACAGGATCGGGCCGCCGGGCGCGGGCTTGCTCGACGTAGCCACGGGCGCAGCCTCGGTGTCTGATTGCGCATCTGCATCTGCAAGGCTGCCTGACGGCGCCGGGCCACCGAGCAGGTCCTGAAGCGTCGCACCGAAGGACGTCGGCGAGACCGCACGACGCTTGCGCTCTGTCGCGAGAGGTGTCAGCCAGCTGCCAGCGAGCAACATGCTCCGGCTCAAAGCGTCTATGAGAGCCGAGATAGCCTGTCACTGCGCAGAGCCGAAGCCGTCGTAACGCATGCAGCGCACATTTCGCGGCCATGACTAGCATGATGAAGTTCTGCCGTCCCCCAGTAAGAGGAGCGCAGACGACTGGCATCGATCGCTACAGCCCGGTCACGCCCCCGCTCCGGAGCGACGCAGCGAAAGCCGCTGAGACATACACCTCCCTGCTTCTCGCACACACGGCAACCGCACTCACTCTGTGTCTTCTTGCTCTTCGTCGTCTTCTCAATCTCGCCGTCCGTGTCCACCTCGGACTCGCCCGCCTCCACGTCGCCTTCCTCGTCGCCACCCTCCGAGTCCTCCTCGTCGTCGTCGTCCGAGTCCGGCTCGTCTCTCCGCGGCGCTGTTGGCCGCTTGCGCTTCGCTGCGCCCGCCTGCTGCTGTGGCTGCTGCTTGGAGCCAGCCCGCTCGGCGCCCGTCGCGCGCGCTGCCGGCCCGCGCGCCGGCCCGCCGACGGGGTTCTGGTTGGCGCGCATGCTGAACTTGCCCTTTGGCCGGCCGGCGGAGCTCGAGCCTGAGGGGCCGCCGCGTGACTTGTATGCGGGTGCCATGATGTGTGAGATGGAGGTGTGGGGGTTGCGAGGGTGTGTGGAGCCCAGGCAGCGGCTGCTGCCTCGGGGCCGCCAGCCAAAAAAGCTGGGAGCGGCGCAATCGGCCGACAAGCGCCGAGCGCGGCGGCCCTCCGTCCGCGGCTGCCTGCGCGCCTGCCAGAGGATTTCCAGGCGCTTCGGCGCCGGCGCCGTGCGGTGTAAGCGCGCGCTTCCAGCTCGTCGGCGAGCAGCGCAGCTCTCGTGGCCGCACATCTTCCTGCCCACCACTCCTCTCCTCCATCGCTGGCAATGGTCCTGATACGTGCCGCCTCCACGCTGCTGCCGGGCGCAGGCGTCGGTGCCGTCGCCACGGCCAGTGCAGCAGCTGCGGCCGTGTCGTCTGCCGCTTCTTCTTCCTCCTCCTCCACCTCGCCGCCGAGCGCCAGCGCAGCACCGGCACAGGCGCAGGCCACCTCGCCGCGCCTCTTCCACGCTCGCGCTCGTCCACGTGCTCGCACCAGCCCGGCACTCTCCTACGCCGCCGCTGCTGCGTCGGCACCCCGGCCAGGCGCTGCCGCACGCGGCTTCCAGTCCAGTGCTGCGCGCGCAGCATCGGCAAAGGACCCTTATCAGACGTTGGGCGTGAAGAAGGACGCCTCGCCGCGGGACATCAAGAGTGCATACTACGACGTGAGTGCATACATGCGCTGCGCTGGCCTGCACAAGCGAGCGGGCGGCGTGGTAGCTGGTGCGCGAGCGGCGCGCCGCAGCGACTGGCGAGTCCTCGCTCGCATTGTGGCGCAGCGTAGCTCAGGTCGCACGCCGGCTCTGCCAGCCAGCTCATGCTGACCGCCTCGCCGCAGCTGGCCAAGAAGTACCATCCCGACACCAACAAGGAGAAGGGGTCAAAAGAGCGCTTCGTCGAGATTCAGGCCGCCTACGATGTGAGCACTGCGGCGCAGGACTGCTTGAGCTGCGCTGACATGTGCTGTACAGGTGCTGTCCGACTCCAAGAAGAAGGCCGCCTTCGACCAGTACGGCACGACCGACGGCTCGCCGGGCTTTGACCCATTCGGCGGTGCTGGCGGACCAGGCGGCTTCGGAGGATTCGGCGGCTTCGGCGGCGGCTTCGGTGGCTTTGGCGGCGGCGGCGCCAGCGCTGGCGGGCCATCAGCCTCTGACATCTTTGAGGGCCTGTTCGGCAGCGCCTTCGGCGGCGGAGGCGGCCGCGGCCGGGCGCAGACGCAGGGCTTCGCTGGCGAGACGCGCGGCGAGGACCTCGAGGTCAACGTCAGCATCTCCTTCGAAGAGGCGTGCCGCGGCGCTTCACGCTCGATCGTCACGAATCCAGTCGAGCGCTGCCAGCCATGCTCGGGCGGCGGTCTCAAGCCCGGCGCCCGCAAGAGCTCGTGCGCAGCCTGCGGTGGCACTGGAGCGCGCACTTTCGTCATCCAGGGCGGCTACCAGATGAACACGACGTGCCCGGCGTGCGGCGGCAGCGGCCTCAGCGTCAAGCAGGAGGACCAGTGCACGAGCTGCGAGGGTGTCGGCCGCGTGCGCGGGCGGCGCAACGTGCAGGTCAACATCCCCGCCGGCGTCGACGACGGCGCCAAGGTGCGCGTTGATGGCGCAGGCGACGTGCCATTGCAGGGCGCAGGCCGGCCAGGCGCACTCTACGTGCGCATCAACGTGCAGCCGTCAAAGACATGGCGGCGACAGGGCGCAAATCTGTACTTCCCGGCAGCGCTGCCCGTGCACACTGCCATCCTCGGCGGCCGCGTGCGCGTGCCCACGCTTGATGGCGACGTCGAGCTGCGTGTGCCGGCCGGCACGCAGGTCGGCGACGAGATGCTCCTGCGTGGCCGCGGCGTGCCGAACCTTGCCCGCCGTAGCGAGAAGGGCGACCTGCTGGTGCAGTTCGAGGTGCAGATCCCGCGGTGAGTGTCCGTGCTCAACCTTGCCTACGCTGGCCTGGCTCACGTGATGAAAATCTAGGTCACTCTCGCCTCGCCAGCGCGAGATCTTGCAGCTGTATGCCGATGACATCGAGGGCCGCGCGCCGCCACGACCGTCGCCGGCCGCCCCGTCGCCTCCGCCCTCGCCGCAAGCGTCTGGCTCTGCCTCTACCAGCACTTCAGGTAGGTATCGCGGTCCGGGTGGCAAGCCGATCAACCCCTCTGGCACGCGCAAGCCTTCTGCGCCTTCTCCTGCCGCTGCGGCACCGAGCAGTCCCGAGGCTGGCGCCTCCGCTGCTCCACAGGCCGACAGTCCGGGCCTGCTCGGACGCGCGTGGAAGTGGCTGTCGGGCCAATGATCTGCGGCTCTCTTCCATCGGACTAGCATGTAGCGGTACTGATGCATGCAATCGCCCTGTTGTGCCCACAGATGCTGCTGGTGATGCCGCATCTGCCGCTGCAGAGACAGAGGCGCCGAAGCCGGACGCTGCCGAGTCGTCAACTCCCGAGGCCGCCGCCAAGGAGGACCCGAGCAAGCCAGAGGACGGCGCAGCAGACGTCACCACGGAGAGCAAAGAGGCCAAGCCATGACGCAGCGCGCGTGCACCTAGACTGCAACGACATGTCGATGAACTTGCTGCGCCTAATCACTACTCATCACACATCGCACTGCGCGCGCGTGGGAGACGACATAGACATTGTGCAGCGAAGGGAGATATGCATGGGAGGGAAGCGCGGATCCTGCGAGGCGGCCTGCAACTGCTCTAGGTGCGGTTGAGGTACTTGATCGTCGCGACGTAGCCGGCGATGCCGATGACGGCCATGAAGGAGACAATGCTGGATGGGCACGCCGTCAGCAGGCAGCCTGCACCACGCCTCGCGCATCTCGACTCACCCGGCAAACCAGTAGAGGTTGTCCGTCACGTCCTGGCCCGGCACGTGCACGTTCATGCCCCACAGGCCGGTGATGACGTTCATCGGCACGATGACCGTGCCGAGCGCCGTGAGCTTGCTGAGCACGTCGTTGATCTGCGCGCGGCGGAGTCAGCACCAAGCGCAGCACTGGAGTGCGTGCTGCACGCACCTGGTTGTTCGCGTCCGTCATCTCGATGGAGATCTGCGCGAGGTCTGCAACACGCTGTCAGCACGGCGCCCGTGTCCGGGTCAACAACGGCTGCCTCACAGTTCGAGTGACTGCGCGAGAGAATCTTCTCGTAGTGGTTCAAGTTCTGCGTCATGGTGATGAGATGGTCCTGGATGTCGGAGAGGTAGAGGCCAATGTCGGACTTGGGCGCCACGCTCCAGTTCTCGTTGCAGCGCTTCGCCAGGCCCTTGACGACGTCGGCCTTGTTGCCCATGAGGCGCAGCAGACCCATGACCTTCTTGCGGCATGTGCCGATGCGGCGCAGCATGTCGCTCTGCTCGGCCTCCTTGAGGATGAGCACGAGCTCGTCGATCGAGTCGACCTCGTACTCGATCGACTGAATCAGCGGGCCAAACGCGTCGGTGATGTCGTCAATGAGCGCATACGAGATCCAGTCGGACGTCACGTTGATGTAGTCCTTGAGCTGCTTGATGCGCCGGCGCACGTTCTGCGGGTGCGGCGTGGCGCGGAAGTGGAACGACAGCGTGCCCTCGCGGAAGACGATGATGTACATGTTCAGCGGCTCGAGATAGGTCGGGCTGTACGGGTCCTGGTCGAAGGAGCGGAAGCAGACGAGGTAGTAGTTGCGGAAGAGCTCAATCTTCTCGCGCGTCTCCTCCATCAGAATGTCCTCGGTGGTCAGCGGGTGAATGCCAAAGACCTGCGCCAGGGAGTCAGCTTCAGACGACAGGGCAACGCGACGCCACAACTCACTCTGCTGAGCAGCTTCATCTCCTGGTCAGTGGGGCTCAGCACGTCGAGCCACCACGTGTTAGCCTCAGGGTCCTGGTCCATGCGGATGCCGCCGCCTGGGATGACGCGGCCAGCGTTGGCCGGGACAGACGAGTTGCGCGCCAGGTTGGCGCCTGACGCGCGCTGAAAGCCAGACTGGCCTGCGACAGACGGCGCCGGGCCGCCGAGCGGAGCACTGGCCAGCTCGGGCGTGTTGGCGCCCGTTGGCGGCGCAGTGTTGCCTTCCATGCGCCCGAGCTGCGCAGAGAGCGCACTGGCCTGCCGGTTCGCAGGCCGCGCGCCCGAGCCGCCGCTGCCTGCCTCCTCCGTCGCCGTCTCGCCTGGCGTGGGCGCGCGCGTCTGCTCGTTGCTTGGCGTCTCGGGCACAAGGCCCGAGAAGAGCTCCTCGAATGTCTGGCCCGGCGCCGGCAGCTCGGCGAGGTGCCGCGCGTGGATCGTCGAAGGCAGCGCATTGGAGTAGAAGGTGAAGCGATAGGGCTTCTCCGTTGTACTGCGCGCACCAAAGGCCGTCGTGTTGCGGCGCCGGTCGCGCGGGTGCACAAACGAGTCGCTGCGGCCCTGCGGCTGCGGCAGATGCTGCTTCGATGCCTCGTCGTACCGGCCGGCGTCGTACGACGGCGCAGAGCCGCCAGCAAGCAGTGGCGTCTTTGCGTCCGCTGCGGCCGAGTTGGCTCGCGCCCGGTCGGCATCGGCAGTGACGAGCAGGCCGTTGCCCATGATCGTCGGCCGTCCGCTGACCGGAATCGGCGGCGGCGACGTCGCGCTGGAGCCGCCTTCAAAGAGGGCCAGCTTGCGCTGGTATCTGCTGCTTCCGCCTCCAGCATCGGTGCCATCTGCGGGAGCGAAGCGGCGCGGGCGCCGCGAGTAGAACGTCGCATCGTCCGAGTCAGGACTGACGGCGTAGGCCGCAGCGCGCTCCGCGCCCTGAGCAGCCTCAGCTCCGCGCGGCGCAATCGGCAATGTCGCAGCGCTGCGCTGCCGCAGGCCGTTGGCAGCCCACGACGAGCTGGTGGCAGTGGCGCCGGCCTCTAGACGCGTGCGCTCCTCTGCGGCAAACGTCTCGAGCGCGCTCAGGTCAAACGTGAAGGGGTATCCGGGCGGGCAGCGCTCCTGGCCGGCGTGGTGGTGGTGCATGTCGTGGTCATGCTCGTCTCCGCCGAGCGCATTGCGCGGCGTGTGGTGCATGCCGCCTTCCAGGTGCTCGTGCGTCAGCTCGTCGCCGGGCGTCGTCATCGGGAAGCACACGTCGTCCTCCAGCATGCTGGGACGCCGGCTCATCGTGTGCGGCGTGCCGGGCACGGCAAGGTCGGCGTCGTCGCGCGCGCCCGAAGCTCGCGAGGCACGGCGCCGGGCAGCGGCGCGGTGAATGTCGTCAACGTGCGGGCCCTCATCCTCCGCAACCGCCTCCTCTCCCGGGCTCATGCCAGCGCGCAGCGCATGCGGGCTGCGCGTCGCTGCACCGCGCTGGTTGAGCGAGCGCCCGAATGCGGCGCCGCCGTTGGAGGCGGCGCTGTAGTTGCTGTGCAGGCGCGACGGGCTGGGCACGTACGACGAGGCGAGCTGGTTGGAGCGGTGGTCGATGAAGTGGTTGGCGCTGTCGAGGCTCGTGTTGCTGCCCTGGCGGTGGTGGTAGAAGTGCTGGTGCCGCAGCGCCGCGGGCGAGTTGCCGAGCGTAAAGGCGTGGCGCGGCGACGTCGAGGTGCCGCCCATGGTGGCGGCATTGCCGCTGCTGCCGGCGCGCGTCTCGTCAAAGTCCATCGCCGGGCCCGGCAGCATGTCCGGGTTGTCGGACGGGTGCCGCGCATGGTAGGGGATGGAGCGCGGCGACGTCGTGGGCATGGCGGAGCGCCCGACGTTGCTGTTGGCGCGCGCCCGCGACATGGCGCGCGCGGCGTCGAGGTCGTGCTCCATCTGCGAGCCACGCCGGGCGTCGTCGAGGAGGTCGTGCGCCATCTCGCCGGAGACGCGCGCCGCGCTGCCGCCGCCGCTGCGAGGCGAGGTGGAGAGGTGCGGCGGCGACACGGCGCGGCCCGAGGAGGACATGGCGGCGCGTGAGGTGAAGGCCCGGCGCTGCAGTGGCGGCGGCGGAGAGAGGCTCGAGCGGCGAGACGGCGACGGCGGTGCTGCGGGTGGAGCTGGACGTGAGGCAAGAGGCAGGCGCTGCCTATCGCGAGGGGTCTCTGCGCGCGTGCCGAGGCCGCGAGGCATCTGCCCTCGGCACGGCGGCGTGCGACTGCAGCCGTCCCGCGCTGCGCCTGCGCAGATCGCCGCCGCCGTCGGCCTGCTGCCGCACGGCTGCGTCACACGTGCAGCTGCGCGAATTCACCTTCGGGCTCGCTCCTCAAGTGCGATCGAGGGTCCGCACGACAAACGACATCAGGCCGCGGCGCTCGAGGGGCCCTCCAGGGGGGCCAGCTCCGCTCCTCCTCCTCGCTGGACAGGTCGTGTGACCTGCTCCGGCGGCCTCGCCTCGGCTACAGCTGCGTCGCTCGACTCCGCCCCGCACCGCTATATTGTGTTGCCAAGCTCGCACTTGGCCGCTGCACCGGAAGCCATCCGTCCCGCGAAGCCACAGCGCCACGTGGACGGCAGAGCGTCGCGGCCATGCGAGGAACCTGCTCTGGCCATGCTGGCCCAACCAAGTCGACGGGGGCTATCTCATGAATCATCGTAGCCGCATGTGTACTACGCGAACCCCGTCATGCCTGCGTTCGGAAGCGCTTTGGGCACTCCCTGGCATGGCGGATGCTGCGCTCCAGCGAGATCGGGCGCGACGCGCTCATGAGCCCCATCCGTACGGGGGTCGTCCGTCCTCACCACGCCCTTGTTTGAGCCGCGGCCGACCCTTTGGGCTCAAATTCAAGCCCCAGTCGAATCGAAACTACTCCCCACCAAGCTATCTCACTCCGGCTGCGCGGCGCCGGGTGGAAGCCGTCAGCGCGCAGAAAGTTGCAAGCTCGCCCGGCGTGGCGGCGGCACCGAGCTGGCAGCGCAGCTCGCAGTCGACTAAAGCAGCTGTCCGGCAGAAAGAGGACTAGCTCGTGCCCAAAATGAACGTACCTGAACGACTTCGGAGGGTAGCTCGTGAATGGTGAGAGCAGGCAAGCTCGCACCTCTTCTGCGGACCGCAAGGAAGCGCGCAGCTTAAAGCTGCAATGCAGCAAGGCATACTAATACACGGTGACAGGGTGACAGATGTGCGGGGTGGTATCAAAGGCTGGACAAAGACGGAGGAGCGAGACAGCAGGCGAAGCGTTCGAGGGCGCTCATGCCGCAGCAGCCTCCTCGTTGATCCACTTCAGCACTCTCCGTGCCCTGCCCTTGGCGTCGCCCTTGCCCGACGACACCTTGATGCGCACGCCCGACGCATTCACGCCCACGTGCACGCCTGCGACGCCGATGCGCACCAGCGCCGAGGGCGAGGGATACAGCGAGGAGTGCTCGGCCAGGTAGGCGGTGAGGAGCGGATGAATTGGCGCTGTGGGCGAGAGGAGATCAGCTTGGCGAGCTCGACGCGCGAGCATCGAGCACTCACCCTTGCCGGCGCCGCCACAGCTTTCCGCCGCGTCCGCCCAGCCCATCTGCAGGCTCATGTTGTCCAGACCCTTGGTGCCCATGTCCCATGCACACTCGATGCTGCCCTCGCCGGCGCCCATCGCATGCTTCCACAGATCCTCCAGCAGCACCTCGAGCCGCTTGCCCTTGCACGAGCGCGCCGCGCCCTGCGGCGACAGGTGCGTGTCGAGATGCTGTGCTGTAAAGGCGAGCAGCAACGGCAGCAGAGCAGGCGCCGTCGGCGACGTGCTCGATGTGCGCGCGGCGCGCGCCAGCAGCACAGTAGGAAGCATGAGCACAGCCGCCGACGCCGGTGCGGTCGCAGCTGATGCGCGTGCATTTGTCGGGTTCGGAGCGCGCATGACCACCTCGATGACCCACGCCTCGGGTCCGAGCGACGGCAGCGTCGCCACTCGCACCTGCGGCGGTGGTGCTGACACGCCAGGCAGCGTGTTGGACAGCGCCGCAAGCCGGGGCGTCATGAACTCGCGGCAGGCTAGCCGCATTGCTCGCAGCTGTTCGGGCGCGGCTGACGAGGACGGCGTCTCGGACGGCACGTCGGATGGAAAGTGCAGGTGCGAGTGCGCATGTAGGTGCAGCGTGCGGTCCAGCAGGAGCCCTGGTGGACGGAAGTGTGAGCGGCGCGAAGGCGCCGAGCCTGCTGCGGCCGGCGCGCTGTGACAGCTCTATCCTGTCCATCACACGCGCTCTCGCAGCCGCACAGCACTCGCACTCACGCTCTACAGTTGCCCAAGCTCCATCCTCGCCCTCGTCCTCAGCCACGTTGGCGAGGCGCGGCGAGGCACGTCCCGGCTCTGGGCGCGCCGGCTTGCCGCGCTGGGGCGGAGCTGGCGAGCCGGGCGACGACGACGAGCGCGCGCTCTGCGACGAGACGTGTGCGCCGGGCGCGGCGCGCTTGGCGGGCGACGCCGACGAGGAAGGGGTGCGCAGCGCTGGCATCTTGACGGGGGCTTGTGGAGGGCGGGAAGCAGGTGCAGCGTCGGCGTGCAGCGGCCGACATCAACACCTCGACGGCGGCGCTGCTCCCACGCACCTCGACGCGATGCTCCCAGGATCACGTGCTGGGCCGTCTCCTCTGCCTGTCCTTCGCTATCCGCCCTCCTGCGCCACCCGCTCTGCCGCTCTCGCTCTCCGTCCGCTGGCGCCGAGCAGCCGGAGCAGCACTCCTGAGTTGCAAATTAGCACTCGTCGCAGCGCAGGTGCTGACAGCGGGCGAGCCCTGCGTGCAGGGCCCACGCGGCCGCGCGCTCCCGCTCCCGATTAGTGTCGTGCAGAGCGTCGGAGAGCGCGGGTGCGGGCCTCTCGCCCTCGCACACCGACCGAGCTAGGCGGAATGCGGAGCCTGGATGGCTGGAGCACGAAGAACGATGAGCCGCCGGCCAGCTCGGCGCCAACACAAGCGTCCTCGGGGGTTCGCAGGGGAGCAGGGCCTGTCATGGCCGAGTATGCCGAGTGTCATCTCACCTCGCTTGCGCTGCGAGCTGGCCGCGGGTGTCTCCTCCGAGCGACGGCCAGCACACCGAAGCTCGCAGCGGAGGGAAACGTGCAGTGTGCGCCGAGGCAGGTGCAGTGCAGAGTGCAGCATGCATCCTGCGGCCGCCTTCGATGCGGATTAAGCTGCTGCAGCGTACAGCCGCAGCAGGGCCCGGCCCACGCTTTCTTTGCGGAGTGGTTGCTGCTGAGTGTGGTGCCTGCGCAACGAGGCTTGAGAGAGAGGCCCTTGCTGCGGCGAGCAGGGCGCTGAATGCTCCGCCTCGTCCCGCCGCACAAGCACGCAAGCCGCTGCGTAGACTGCCTTGTCCACTCGCAGGACAGCAGCAGGATGCGGGCACCCTCTCGGTGCGCTGCGATGCTGCTCGGGCTCACCAAGGCAGCGGGCGCCGGCGGCACGGCCGACGTTCATGCGTGAGCGGAGTCGCGCGTGGCGCTCGCTAGACGCGCTTGGCCGACCCCCTTGCTGAAGGAGCCACGGGAGCATCGCGCTCGGCCATGGGGCCGGACAAGGACGAGGACAAAGAGAGCGCAAGCATCGAGACAATGCCGATTGAGGGTGCCTCGCAGACAAGGGCCAAGGGCGGCGCGGAGCAACCAGGATCAGCGAGGAGCCGCCGGACCAAGCGAGAGCGCGCGGATGGGCGGTGCTCGACGCGCTGCCAGAGCGCAGAAGGCGTCTAGCGCGAGGCGTGAGTCCAGCCAAGGTCCAGAACCGGAGGCAAGGCCAACGAAAGGGCGAGGAGAGGAGCGCTGCGAGCGAGGTGCGAGGTCCCCCCCGCGAGGGCGCCATCGCGCTAGCGGCAGTGCCCAGCATGCGGGGCAACGAGGGCGAGGGAAGCATGCACGGCGGCATGGCCCGCGGGAAGAGACGGCGCGGGCGGAGGAGCGAGGAGCGTGGCCGCCGCAGGCACCACGAGGGCCGCGTGCAGTGTGCATCAAGACGGAAAAGAGCGCGCCAGCTGCGACGCTGCGCTGCAGAGGAGAGCTGCACCTGAGCAGCGCTCAGAGAGCGAGAGAGCTGCGACAGCGGCGGAGCGGATGGCGATGCTGCCTTCGCTGCCGTCTGAAACGCGGCTGCGCGGCGCGGCGTGCCAGTCCGGCCGCGCATTGCTGCCCTCTCGGCGGCACATCCGGCGCACGCCGGCCGCGGCGCTCTCGGCAGGGCCTCGCAGCAGCAGGCAGCACGCAGCCTCTCACGGCGGAGTGAGGCATGCGCTGGCTTGCTATGCTGCGAGCGGGCGCCCTGCAGCGCTTTTTGAGATCTGGAGCGGCAGCGACTGCGGCGTGCGGATCGCCAGGACGTGAGGGCCCAGCGGCAGAGAGGACGCTTGCCGCAGCATCCGCAGCCGGCGCAGATCTTTGGCGGCGCTGCGGCTGGCTCTGCTGCTGATGCTGCCTTGGTGCCCAGCTGGACGGGCGATAGGCAATCCCTTGGGCTCGGCGGCACCGCGCTCTGCTGGGCTGGGCGCTGGGCATTGGCGCCGCAGCCAAGCACTCCGCAGGCACCCCAGGAGCCTCGCTTCTGCGCCGGCGCTCCGCGGTGCGGCCAGCGCGAGCTGGCGAACCCGCGTTCGTGCTCAGCGCCAGGGCGGCTGGACGTTGTGCTGCCCCTCTGCCCAGGCCTTGGTATTCGACACCAGCATCAGATGGCAGCTGGGCCTCGCCTGCCTGCATGCTGGCTGCGGCACGCACGCCTATCTTCCTTGTGCGGTGCCGCAGAGCCGGCGGGGGGCGACGTTCGCTTGTACGCCCGGCGCCGTGCGTAGCGCGCATGGCAAGGCGAGCCCGAGGCACCGAGGGCCGGCGCTACGCATCACGAGGACAGAGAGCCGCTGTGCCTCGCTGACGCGTGATGAACGTCTGATGCTGGCGCCTCGGCCTCGCGCTGGCGCTGGGCTGCGCCGCTGTGAAATCACACCAGGGGCTCGTCGCCCGCCCTCTGCCGCTGGCTGGTTTCAGCTCGCCTCTTTCGTGATCCACAGCGCGCAGCGGCTCCTCCATCGAGAAGAGAGCCCCAGTCGCGGCCGAGCACGACGGGGCAGCAGAAGAAACGAAGCATCAAGCTCAGCAGAGCATCCTGCAAGCCTCGGTTTCGCAGGAGACGTCGAGCCCGCCGCCCGGCACCGGCAGCGGTCGGAGGGCGGTGTGCGCTTTTGCGTGCTGGCAGCGCGTGCAGCGGCAGGCGCGAGGCCCCTCTGCGCTCTGCAGCTGGCGCTCTGGCGCGCTGCGGCGGCGCAACCCGCTCGCGGCTCGCTCGCACTCAGCCAGCAGCCGCAGCGGCAGTGCAGCGGAAGCGCCGCTGCGGCACCTGCGCAGCAGTGTCGGTCTCGCGGCCGCAAGCGCGCCGAGCCGGCGCTGGCAGCGCTTATTGGGGCACGGCGGCAGTCTGCGTCCGGCGGCGCCCCTCTCTGCGCTGGCACTCGACTTCTCGGGCAGCACGCCGCCGAGCCGCCGACTCGCCCCCTCGCGCCCCCTTCTTTGCCGGGCGGCGCCGGCGCGGCGTGTGGTGCTGATCTGCCCGCGACAGCGCCGGCGCTGCGGTCAAGCTAGGCGAGCGCCTCGCGGGCACACGGCGTTTGCCGCCCGCCACGCCACGCTCGCCACATCCTCGCGCGGATGGGAGCCCGCCACGGCTGGCAATCAAAGCTGTGAAGGCCTTTGAGGGGAGCGAGGGATGTGCGTGCGGGCGGGCGAGTCGCGCCGTGCCGCACCTGCTCCTGTCGCGGGCGGCGCGGCGGCCGCGTGCATGCAAGCGCCTGCTGGCAGCTGCACCTGCCCTGCACGGCAGCTCTCTTCTGCGGCGGCACGAGGCCTGCGCCTGCAGCAGCTGCACCTGCCGCCGCGGTGCAGCAGCGCAGCAGAGCAGCACCCGCCCCGACGGCCGCCGGTGCTGCAGGGCAGGTGCAGAGCGCGACAGCACGCAGCACGCAGCAGCGCCGCAGCGTGCATCTCTCGCCTCTCTCTGCCGCCGCACGCGCACCGCACGCGCATCTCCTTCCCGCCTCGCGTTCCCCTCGCTCTGCTCTGCACCATCCCGCTCGCTCCAGCTGCAGCTCTGCGCTGGCCTCTCTCGCTCCCCACACCCACCTACACTCTCCATCCCGCAAGCTCACCCCGGCGCCCTCCGTCGGCTGCCGCAGCTGCTCGCTCCTCCTTGCCCTCGGCCCGTCGTCCTGCGTCGCTCGTCAAGGCTGCTGCGTCCTTGCATCGCCTCGACCTCGCCAGCTCCTCGGATCCGCCGGCACGCGTCGCTGCCGCCTCGCGACGCTCCCTCACCGCAGCAGCTGTGCTCTGCTCGACGTCGACTCGGCCTCCGACGCGCTCCTCTGAGCCGCTCGTCCGTCCCGGCCTCGCCGCTGCAAGCTCTGCTGCGTCGACGCGTCTCTCGCGCTCCCTCGCGTCTTCGACGGCAGCGCCGTAGAAGGCCCAGGTCAAGCTCGACGCTCGGCCGCACATAGAGATTCGCCTGCCTCTTTCCGTCCTGTCTCCCACCATGTACTCGCCCACTGGCTACTACGGCGCGCAGGCGCCGCAGCAGAACGGCTACAGCTCGTACGGCGTGCACGGCGCATACGGCAACGGCAACGGCAGCGCCCACCACAGCGGCAGCAGCACGCCGACGGGCAGCGTCGCCATGCACCCGCCGCCGCCGCCGCACCACCTCGGCGGCCAGCATGCGCAGCAGGCGCAGCACCACCAGCAGCAGCAGGCGCAGCAGCAGCACCACCAGCAGCCGCAACAGCAGCAGCAGCCGCAGCACGGCAGCCAGCACGGGCAGCAGAACTTCGGCGGGCCCGGACAGGCAAGCATGTTCTCGCCGTACGCGCAGAGCCCCATGGGCCACCCGCACCAGCCCAACTCGCCCGCCGCCGGCAGCCCGTACTTCGGCATGGGCCACGGCAGCGCGCCGTCTCCGCACGTGAGTTGCGCCGAGAGTGGAGGATGTTGGGGTGTGAGAGGCAATTAGGGTCTTCCCGCATAGCCGTCTTGGCGGCAGCTGTCTCGTATAGCGCCCTCGCTCGAGGCGAGAGGGGCGCGCCCGGCACCGCGGCCGCCGCGGACATTGCTCGCTCTGCACTCTGGCTGACGCGCCGCTCTTCTCCATCAAACGCTACAGCTCGCATCCCCCTCGTACACCTCTGCGCCGCAATACAGCACGCAGCTGCCGATGGCGGGTCGTCACCGCGTCACGACGACGCTCTGGGAGGATGAGGGCACGCTCTGCTTCCAGGTCGACGCGCGCGGCGTGTGCGTCGCACGGCGACACGGTGAGCAATGGTGCGGCGCTGCTTAGCTCCGTGCTCTGTGCTGACACGGCGCTGCCTCTCAGACAACAACATGATCAACGGCACGAAGCTGCTCAACGTCTGCGGCATGTCTCGCGGCAAGCGCGACGGCATCCTCAAGAACGAGAAGGAGCGCATCGTCGTCAAGGTCGGCGCCATGCACCTCAAGGGCGTGTGGTGCGTACCGCTGGCGTGGCTTTGTCTGCGCCCGATCTGACTCGCTCTACTCTACAGGATCACGTTCAGCCGCGGCAAGCAGCTCGCTGAGCAGAACGGCATCTCCGACGTGCTCTACCCGCTCTTCGAGCAGAACATCCAGTCGTTCCTCTACCACCCCGACAACTACCCGCGCACGGCGGCCGTGATGGCTGCGGCGCAGGAGCGCGTCAACCAGCGCCAGGGCGGCCGGCCGAGCGGCACGAGCAGCCCCGGCGGCAGCGGCCAGCACGCTGGCGGCGCACCGCCGCCTCTGATGCGCGCCAACACGACGCCGCAGCTGCGAGGCGACGACGAGGGCATGCCTGCGCCCGGCGGAGCCTCGTGGGGCCACCCGCCCGCGTCGACGAACCAGCACCACTCTGGTGGGTATGCGAACGCGTCTCCGACACAGGGACACAACGGCCAGGGCCCGCAGCACCCGCACCAGCAGCAGCAGCACTACCAGCAGGCGGGTGCGCCGGGAGGCGCCTCGCCCAACGGTGCCGGCGGCCACCCGCAGCGTCCGCCGGCCGTCGACCGCAGGCACAGCATGCCGCTGACACTGGCGAACATGCATTCGCACCCAGGCCACAGCGAGAACCCGTACGGTCCGCCGCAGCCGTCGCCGCACGGCATGCCGCCGGGCCCGCGCCGCACGCCCAGTGGTCTGAAGCGCAGCTACGACGAGCACGGCGAGTCCGAGGGCATTGCGCCGCCGGCGCCGGCGCCCGGCATGGGCAGCTACACGCCCAACGGCGGCGTGAGCATGTCGGCCAGCAACTCGGGCGGCAGCGGCAGCTACGACCAGGAGAGCCCGCGCGTCTACAAGCGCTCGCGCGACAGCAACGGCGGCGGCGAAGAGCACGGCCACCACCACCATGGCGACTACCACGGCGCGTCGGACCATGATGGCGGCCGCTCTCGCCCGCTTGGTGAGGCGCGTGTGCCCCGTCCCATCATGGCATGAAGCATAGTACTTACCGCGTTCGCACCACCCACAGGGCATCTGAGCCTCAGCTCCGGCTCCATGCGCATGCCGAGCGGCCAGCAGGGCTGGACGCCGCTGTCCACGCCCTCGCTCGGCCACTCGTCGGGCACGCTCTCGTCGATGAGCAGCGTCACCGACGACCCGCTCAGCGCCGAGGGCCAGCGCAGCAGCAGCGGCGGCGGCTCGGGCCTCAATGCGTACAGCCTCAACGCCATGAACAACAACGGCGCCATCGACAAAATCCCGCCTCCAGCGCCCTACGGCGCTCGTGCGGATCTCTAAATCCCACTCACTCACTCAAGCCGCTCTCGCGATCGCTCGCACACAGCAACTCAATCTCAATCAACGACGTTCGCCTTCTCTTCTTTCTCTCCACTCTGCGAAACAAAGCCTCGCAGCAGCCTTTCTCTGCCTCTGAACCAAGTTTTTCCCCTTGATGGGCGCGTGCGTCATCGACCGCATACCCTCTCGCCTAGAGCAGGTGGATCTGCGTGCTCGTGCTTCGCCAGATCGACCTCTTCTCGCCTCGCCGATCCTGCACGCGACTCGCTCCCGCCTGCGATGTAGCTGGCTCCTCCAACCGTCACTTTCCCCCGCGCCTGCGTCTTTTCCCTTCTCTCTCTCCTTCCCTTCTTCACCCTGACCCCTCACACGCCACATCCACCCTTCACCCTCTCTCCCTTCACGTCGCCACAGCTACCACGGCTCGTCGCTTGCCCTGCTTTCCGACTCTTTGGCCCTGAGACCAGGACTGTCCGCAACGCCCATCTTCCCTCTCTCCTCTCTCTCTCTTTCAGCAAGCCCACGAAGAAGACCAGCCTCTCGCGCGCGTCCCGCAAGTTACTCTTTCCTCCACATGCCCTCATGTGCCGTGCCCTCACCGTCGAAAGCTCTTCTTTCGCAATGCGCGCTGCGTGTGAGGATGTGTGAGGCTGCTCAGGTGGTGTGATTGCGAGGAAGACAGGTGACGCTGCAGAGGCGGCCGGCGCGAGGCGCTGACCGCCGGACCAAGGAGGCGTGTGACAGAGGTATGCACGGGCGGAGGAGAGAAGAGAGAATGATGACGCAGTGCGCCGAGCGGGATGCGGCCACTTCTGCGCGCGCGGCTCACTGCGGCATGTACACGTCGACGTCGTCGAGCAGCAAGTCGCCCGGCTGCTGTTGCTGCTGCTGCTGCTGTTGCGCATCGTGCTGTGCGGCATGCTCGGGCTGCTCGAGCTCAGCATACTGCGGATGCTGCGTCTTGTCGTCGGCATCGGCGTGCACTTGCTGCGCATCGCTATCTTGCTGTGCGTGCATGTCGCCCATGCCAGGCTCGTGGTACTGCTCGAGCTGCTGCTGCTCGTCGTAGTGCTCTGCGTCGGCGGCGTGCAGCGCATGAGAGGCGAGCGCCTCGAGATGTTCAGGTTGCAGCGCAGCCTCGTCGCCCAAATGTTGGTGGTGGTGGTCTTCCAGCAGCTGCTCAGGATGCTGATGCGCGTCGTCGGCGTGCTGCTCGGCTGCCGTGGCGAAGTAGGCGGCGGCGTCTTGCTGCTGCGCCTGCGCCGCTTGTTCCTCCTCAGTCAGCGGCTGCTGCTGCATGCCGTCGTCGACGTGGCCGCCATCCTGCTGCGACAGCTCTTGCGGAGGCGCCAGCATGCTCTGATCGCCGTCGAGCTGCTCAGTCGGATGCTGCTCCTGCTGCTCCTCGTGCTGGTGCAGCTCGTGTTGGTGATGTAGATGCTCGTCGTCGGCCATCGACTGATCGGCTTCCATAGCGCCCTGCTCTTCTCCTTGCTGCGGCTCCGGCTCAGGTGCGACCGGTGGGTCCGGCAGCGTGCCGCCGCAACGCTCCACCTCGGCGCGCAGCAGGTCGTTCTCCTGACGCAGCAGCTGGATGTCGTCGCGCATCGCGTGCATGAACTCGATCGCTGCGAGCCAGGTACGATGAGCAAACCAAACTATTACGGCTGGCACTGCGGAGCTCACTTTTTGACAAGATCTCCCACTTGCTCGTTTTCGGGCTCTTCTCCTCCGGCAGTGCTACTCGCAGATCCTCAAACAGATCCTTCATCTCGCGCCGCCGCTTGCGCTCAGCGAGCTTGTGGCTGACGCGCAGCTCGGGAGTGCGCGCATACGGCGTGATGGGACGGTTCGCGCCCGGCGCCTGCAAGGAGCGACTGGCTGCCTTGCCTGACGAAGGCGACTCGCGTGCTTCGCCATCGTCGACTGCGGCGGCCGCTGAATCTCCTCCACCGTCATCCTCTGGCGCTTCGATGCGCGGGATCTCTCCGTTCGACAGCGCCGCGGCTGCAGCGCCGAGGTGAGGATGTGCGGGATGAGGCTGGAAGCTGGACGAGCCTGATGCGTCCTGGTATGCAGGCGGGCTCGCTTGCGCCGCTGCTGCTGCCACGACTGCGGCGCTTTCTGCTGCCGCTGCATCGGCATCGAGCTCCCGGCTCTGGGCATAGCCGCCGAGGATGTACGTGTCGAAGTCGATGGCGCTTGGCTCGGCGTCACGACGCGCTTCTGCAAGACAATCGGGATGAGCATCGAGACTGGCCGAGGAGCAGCCGCAGGTTCCGTGCGACAGCACGCCCGCGTGTCGAGCGCTCCGGACACCAGCCTGGCCCCGACATCACACGACAAGCAACGTCACTCACCGACAGCTCCGTCCTCCGCCAAGCTGCCCACTGAGATCTCGGGCTCTGCTTCGGAGATGGCGACGTGCTCGTCCATGGCAGCGGCGTGCGGCTGCACTGCCAGCATGCGCAGGGTGCTGTGCCAACGCAGCCTCACGGCCAGGACGCGTCGACGTGCCCTCTTCGCCGCCGCTGACGGCTGCCGAGCGCAGACAGCTGACACTTGTGCGGGCCGGGTCGAGGCAGGCGAAGATCCGCGATGCTAAGGCAACGATGCCTGAGCGCTGCAAGCCCCGCTCGAGAGGCGACCTGGCGCGCAGAGGTGTCCAGCCTGATGCGCACGTACGAGCAGCCTGCCGCTCGGCCCCCGACGCTCTGCCAACGAGCCGCTGTGTCGGCTGGCAGCGCCTGGCCGAGGCTGGCGGCGAGGGCGGGTGCCCCGGGGGCGTACGCAGGTGGAGGTGCGGCGAGCGGCGGGGTGGTGCGTGCACGGCGCGCGACTCGGGTGGGAACTGCAGCGCGGCGCCGGACGGGGTTAGGGTCGAGAGCGCCTCGCTCGCGTGGCAATCGCCTCGTGGCAAGAGCGAGCGCGGCTCCGAGGGCGCGACGAGGACAAGGCGCGCGCTGCGCGTGGGAGCAAGGAGTCGCTCGCACCCGGCAGCGCCCTACCGTCACAGCGGCTCGGCCTTGGCCGCTTTGATGCATGAGCAGATGGTGAGTGCAGCTGACTCTCGATCCGTTCTCGAGATGAAGACAAGTGAGGTGCTGTTCAGGCATGGGCGGAAGGAGCAGCGGCGAGGAGAGGTGCAGGCTGGCGCTGACGTAATCACGCGACTGTCCCACGCTCCGGACGCCGGATGCACGGCCCAGCGCCAACACCGGCTCGGTAAGGCCACGTCGTCATGCTCCGGACCCGCTTCCCGACTCCACAGCCCCGTCCCCACCTTCCTAGCCATCAGCATCGTCGCCTCACGCGAGACAGACTTAGTCCACGCGCACCTCTTGGTCTCGCCCTCAGCGCCACAGCGCTCCATCTGAGCCGTCGCCGCCCAGACCGCACGCGCCGCCATGTCTCTCGCAGCAGCAGGCGCGCCAACGCCGACGCTGCGTTCGGCGCAGCTCTCGTCGCTCCTCTCGCTGCTCAACTTCAACCAGCCGACTGGCGCGCAGGACGGGCCGTCGAAGCTCAACGGCGCCTCGGGCTCGGCAGATGCGCTGGACGGCCTCAACATTCCAGAGGGCCCGCCCGCGTGGAAGATCCTCGTGCTCGACAAGGTCAGCCAGGAGGTGCTGGCGACGAGCCTGCGCGTGCAGGATCTGCGCGACCACGGCGTGACATTGCACATGTGAGTATGCCGCCACAGGAGAGCGTGACGCAGCCTGTGGGGCGACGCATCGCCGCCAGCTGGACCCTGTCGCGCGCAGTCCCGAGCTCGGCGCTGACGCGGCGCTGCTCCAGGCAACTGCAGTCCGACCGGCCGCCGCTGCCAGATGTGCCTGCGGTCTACTTCGTCGCGCCCACACACGAGAACCTGAAGCGGATAGCAGAGGTGAGTCGCAGCGAGGCCAGTGAGGTAGTGCGCTTGCTCACTGCGCCTCGCTCTCCAGGACATGAAGAAGTCGCTGTACGAGGCCTTCCACCTCAACTTCACATCCACGCTGCCGCGGACGATGCTGGACGAGTTCGCCTCGCAGGTCGCGCGCGATGGCACCGGCTCGCTGGTGGCTTCGGTGTGGGACCAGTACCTCGACTACGTCGTGCTCGAGCCGTGCCTCTTCTCGCTCCTGCCCGGCCCGCCGCGGCCCGCTACGCAGCTGGTGCCATCCGCGCCCGCAGGGAACGGCGCGGCAAAGCAGCGCGACTGGACGACATACGAGCGCCTGAACGACACGAGCGCAGGCGAGAGAGAGGTGGAGGCGGAGACGGACAGGATCGCGCAGGGGCTGTTCTCCACGCTCGCGACAATGGGTGGGTACGGCTGCTGCGGGCTGCTGCGAGCAGCCTCGAGGGCGGCCAGCGCTGATCATGCTCTTCCAGGCACATTGCCCATCATCCGCTGCCCGCGCGGCAACGCAGCAGAGCTGGTCGGGCGCAAGCTTGAGGGGCGCCTGCGAGAGCACATCTCGAGCGCCAGAGGATCAGCACACCTGTTCTCGGGCGAGAGCGCAGGGAGCGCATGGGGCAGCAGCCGGCCATGTGAGCGCTGGAGTGACTTTGAACCAGCGAGGAATGGCGCTGACGCACGCGCGTCTCAGTGCTCATCATTCTCGACCGCAACGTCGACCTCGTGCCGATGCTGTCGCACTCGTGGACGTACCAGGCGCTCGTGCACGACGTGCTCGACATGAAGCTGAACCGCGTCACCGTCGAGGTGAGCCCGCGAACATGTGCAGGTGGCGGAGCCAGGGCTGACCAGACTGCAAGTCGACCGAGGGCGGTAAGACGCAGAAGCGCAGCTACGACCTCGACAGCAAGGACTACTTCTGGGGCAAGAACGCCGCCACGCCGTTTCCGCAGGTGGCCGAGGACATCGACACGGAGCTCAACAAGTGGGTGCCTTGAGCTGCGTCCTGAGTGCACTGGCTGACCGCGGCTGCGCAGGTACAAGTCCGACGCTGCAGAGATCACGCGGTCGACTGGCATCAGCAGCATGGATGAGGTCGGGCAGCTGTGAGTGCACTGTTGCAGCGCTTGAGCTGCAGCCAGCTTACACGCCTCCACTCAGCGATCTGTCGTCCAACGCCTCGCACCTCAAGGCAGCCATCACGGCCCTGCCGGAGCTGACGGCGCGGAAACAGACGATCGATGCGCACATGAACATCGCCACGTCGCTGCTGCAGGGCATCAAGGCGCGCGGCCTCGACACGCTCTTCCAGCTCGAGGAGGGCATTGCTCGGCAGGTGAGGCCTGGTGCTTGTGTGGCCCCTTGCAGCGCTGACGCCGTGCGACCACAGGGCAAGGCAGTCATCCTCGAGACGATCCGCGACAAGACGCTCGAGTCGGCCGAGGACAAGCTGCGCCTTTTCATCATCTACTACCTCTCTGCGCCGGACGCCGTCTTCTCGAACCGCTCGGACGTCGAGGAGTTTGAGCGCGCGCTGTCTGAGCAGGGCGCCGACCTGCGGGCGCTGCAGTACGTCAAGAAGTGAGTAGTGCGCTGCTGTGCTATCTGCGTGCATTGGCTGACTACTGCACGACAGGGTGCGCGAGTTGACTCGCATGACGATGTTGGCGTCGGCACCGGCCCCCGCACCGGCCGGCGGAGGCGAGCTATTCCGCGGCTTCAGCTCGCTCAGCAGCAGAGTGAGCAGTGGCTCGGCTTCACACGTTCTCCACCGCTGACCGTAACCTTGCGCAGCTCACGGACCGGCTGAAGGACAGCGGCCTCGAGAACATCGTGGCGGGCGTCAAGAACTTCCTGCCCGTGCAGAAGGACCTGACCGTCACGCGGCTGGTGGCCTCGCTGCTCGATCCGGCCGCGGCGTCGGCGCAGGTGCGGCAGGAGACGGACGACTGGCTCTCCTTTGACATGCAGCCGCGGCGCGGGCGGCAGGTGGCGGGACAGTCGTCGGCGACGGGCGCCGGCGCCAAGGACGCCATCGTCTTTGTCGTCGGCGGCGGCTCGTACGTCGAGTATGCCAACCTGCAGGAGTACGCTGCGCGCACGGCCGGCAACAGCCACGCCGGCGCCGTCGGCACGCAGGCGCGCCGCATTACGTACGGCGCGACGGAGATCCTCACGCCCACGGCCTTTGTCGATGCCCTGGCGGGCCTGTCTGGCTGAGCAGCGTGTGCCTGCAATGCATGGTCCAAGCAGAAGATGTGTGAAGTGAGGGCGAGCTGCTGCGGCTGCGGTGCGGGCGCTGGCGGCGGCGCACACGCGACGCGTTGCACTGTACGCGTGAAGACGCGCCGGGCACGGGAGCAGTGTCGGCGCGGCGCTGGCTGTTGGTTGCCCCGAGCTGCTGCCGCTGCAGCCGAGGTCGTGCGCCGTGCATGCGACGCCGCCGTCTGCCCGCTCGGCCGGGGTCCTTCCCGCACCTCCAGCCACCATCGCCTCACCTACGCTCACAGCATCCCTCTCGCACTCACGACCCACGCACGACCGCCGCAATTCCAAGCCTTGACAGCGTGCGAGCATCGACAAAGCCTTTGCAGAACGACACCGCACCCTGAGCTGCCGCCGCCATGGCGAACTTCGAGCTGCCGCTGGGCGACGACCTGATGCGCGACCGCGCGCGCATGTTCGGCGAGTTCCTGGACGACGAGGTGAGCTGCGCCGAGCCGTGCGCCGCTGGCTGTTACTGAGCCCCACATGCAGTCCGGCGAGACCAACTACCGTGACGCCGCGCGCAAGATGCTGCACCAGGGCCGGTGCCGCCTCGTCATCAACGTCGACGACCTGCGCTCGTACAACCGCGCCTACGCCACGGGCCTGCTCGACGAGCCCAACGAGTACCTGCCGGCATTCGACATGGCGTTGCGTGCCCTCGTCGGCATCCTGAACGCCAAGGAGGAGGACCTCTCCGAGAGGCAGTTCTACATCGGCCTGCGCGGCAGCTTCGGCGACCACCACGTGAACCCGCGCACGCTGCGCAGCCAGCACCTGGGCAAGATGATGAGCTTGGAGGGCATTGTGACGAAGTGTGAGTCCCGAGCGGGTCTGTGCGCATCGGCCCGCAGCGCTCATGCCTTCTCGCAGGCTCGCTCGTGCGGCCAAAGATCCTCAGGTCGGTGCACTACTGCGAGGAGACGATGCGCTTCCACGCGCGCGAGTACCGCGATGCGACGATGTACGGCAATGCGCCGCCCTCGACGGCCGCGTACCCGACCGAGGACGGCGACGGGCACCGCCTGACGACCGAGTACGGCTACAGCATCTACCGCGACCACCAGATGGTCAGCATCCAGGAGATGCCGGAGCGCGCGCCACCCGGGCAGCTGCCGCGCTCCATCGACGTCGTCATGGACGACGACCTCGTGGACCAGTGCAAGCCGGGCGACCGCATCCAGCTCGTCGGCATGTACCGCAGCATGGGCAACCGCGTGGGCCAGAGCACGAGCTCGACGTTCCGGTGCGGATCTGCTGCGAAGCGCGGCCCGTCTCACACTGCTCACATGCCCGCCCACCGCAGCACGCTGATGATCGGCAACAACCTCAACCTGCTCTCCTCCAAGGCCGGCGGCGGCATCGCGCAGGCGCACATCACCGACACGGACGTGCGCAACATCAACAAGATCGCCAAGCGCCGCAACATCTTCCAGCTGCTCTCGCAGTCGCTGGCGCCGTCGATCTACGGGCACGACTACATCAAGAAGGCCATTCTGCTGCTGCTGCTCGGCGGCATGGAGAAGAACCTGCCGAACGGCACGCACATCCGCGGTGACATCAACATCCTCATGGTCGGCGATCCGTCGACGGCCAAGTCGCAGATGCTGCGCTTCGTGCTCAACACGGCGCCGCTGGCCATCGCCACGACGGGCCGCGGCAGCTCCGGCGTCGGTCTGACGGCGGCGGTGACGAGCGACAAGGAGACGGGCGAGCGGCGCCTCGAGGCCGGCGCCATGGTCCTGGCCGACCGCGGCGTCGTGTGCATCGACGAGTTCGACAAGATGAGCGACGTCGACCGCGTCGCCATCCACGAAGTGATGGAGCAGCAGACGGTGACCATCGCCAAGGCCGGCATTCACACCAGCCTGAACGCGCGCTGCAGTGTCGTCGCCGCCGCGAACCCGATCTACGGCCAGGTGAGTCGCGCAGCTCGCAGTGCACGTGCAAGACACTGACCATCTTTGCAGTACGACGTGCACAAGGACCCGCACAAGAATATCGCGCTGCCCGACTCGCTGCTCTCGCGTTTCGACCTGCTGTTCGTCGTGACCGACGACGTCGACGAGCAGCGCGACCGCATGATCAGCGAGCACGTGCTGCGCATGCACCGCTACCTGCAGCCGGGCCTCGACGAGGGCCAGCCGGCGGCCGACAGCCTCGACCAGGCACTCAACGTCGGCGCGCCCGACGGCACAGACGCCGACGGTGCGGCCATGCTGGGCGACTCGAGCCCGTTCGAGAAGTACAACCCGCTGCTGCACGCCGGCGTGACCGCCTCGGGCAGCGCCAAGAAGCGCGAGGTGCTGAGCATGGCGTTCGTCAAGAAGTACATCCAGTACGCCAAGCAGCGCATCCAGCCCGCGCTCTCCAAGGGCGCGGCCGAGTGGATCGTCAACGTGTACGCCAACCTGCGCAACGACGAGATGTCGGGCAACCAGCGCAAGACGAGCCCGCTGACGGCGCGCACGCTCGAGACGCTCATCCGTCTCTCCACGGCGCATGCCAAGGCGCGCCTCAGCAGCACCGTCGACGAGCGTGATGCTGAGGCGGCCGAGGAGATTCTGCGCTTTGCTCTCTTCAAGGAGGTCATCACGTCGCGCCGGCAGAACAAGCGGCAGCGCACCGCCAACGGCAGCCGCTCGCCCGAGGGCGACAGCGACCTGGACGACGATGCCGACGTGCCCGAGGTCGAAGCTGCGCCGTACAAGGGCACCGGCGCGTACAGCACGCGCGGCGCCACGCGCAACGGAGCAGCAGCCAAGGACGTCTCGCCCGTCGCCTCGCTCGACGACGACGCCATGGACGAGGACGCAGAGGCTGCCATGGAGGAGGCCGACGCAGAGGCTGTGCTGCGGGTCGGTGTGCCGCCCGCCGAGGCAGCTGCTGCCCCTGCCGCGGCCGCGTCGATCAGCGAGGCGCGCCTGGGCTCGTTCCGGGATCGCATGGCCGCCGTCATGTCCTCGGGCGGCTCGATGGCCGAGGAGGAGGCCTTCTCGCTCGACGCCCTCCTGCCGGCCGTCAACCACGGCCTGCCGTCGAACGACCTCTTCAGCAGCGCCGAGGCGCGCGCGGCGCTGCAGCAGATGAGCGACGCCGACCAGATCATGCTCGATGCCGAGGGCGTCATCTACCGCATCTAGCGCGCTGCTTCCTTTCGCCTCGGTCTCTGCATCCACCCATGTCACCCTGCTCTGTCTGTCCTGTATCAATACCTTATGACCTGCACCCAGAGGAGAGCGACAGCGTGCTTAGCCCGTGAATGGCCTCCTTCTTGCTGACCCTCACCCAGCTGTGCGCGCCCTGGCCAGTGCGCAGCTCGCACGTTCATGCGCATGTCGCGCATCCCGAGAGACCCTGGGAGGCACGACGCAGGCACGCAGTGCTGCCTTGCGTGCTCGTGATAGGGTGCACGGCGACGGCGCGATGCATGATCGGCCGTGTGCCGTGAAGGGAGGTCCGGCAGACGCCGAGCGGGAGGCGCGGGCAAAATGGAGGTAAGCGCACCCATGCATGCGAGACTCCGCTAGCCATGTGGGCCGCTAGTGAAGCATGAAGGGCGAGGTGAGATCCCTCTGACGCTGCGTCGCATCTGCTGCATGAAGCATAAAGGCGGGCGAGAGGACGCCAGCGGTGCAGGCGCGGCAGAGACGGCGAGCAGACGCAGCTGCCGCCGCTCCCAACGGCCGGCGCACAGCTGTCTCCTCGTCCAACAAGCGGCTGCGGCAGCGAAGCAGCGGAGCACAGCGAGCCGTCGTTGCCGACGAGTCTTGTTTCTGGGCCTGCTCGAGGAGTCCGAGCAGGCAGAGGACCTGCACCGTGCGAAGGGCGATCTTGGGTGAGACACGCAGAGCGCTCTTTCCGGCGATTCGCTTCGGCGCGCTGCAACGCGCCGCCGCATCGGAGTCGTGTTTCAGGGCCGTGGCTCGGCCAAGGGGTGCAATATCCAGCGCGCTGCCACTTGCAGAAGCAGCCAGGGCACCGTGCCTCGCAGTCCAGGTGCGCTGTACCTGTGCTGCGAGCGTCGTCAGGTGGGAGCGGCGACGGCAACGACCCTCGGTGGGTGCATGCGCGGCGGAGAGCGGGCACCCGCAGCCGCAGCGCGCTCGGGCGCGGCGTTGCCGCTTCGCGCTTGTGTGCCTCGGCGCTGCAGAGAGCGAGAGAGAGGTTCTCCCGCGCGGCCGTGCCCACGCACACGCACGACGGCCGTCGTCGAGACTTGGCTGGCGCCATGCAGCCGCTGCAGCGACGGCTCCGCGCACAGAACGTCTCAGCGCGAGCTCCTCTTCCGGCCGCTCCGCCATCTCTGTCTCACTCGCCTCCATCCTCGCTCCTCAGCAGCAGCACCTTGCTGTGCACACTGCCGCACGCGGCACCCGGCAGCAGACGTCACGAGCGCGCCTGCAGCTCTCTGCGGCGCACGGCCGGCCCTGCCTCGCTGCAGCGATCTGCGGCCATTACCCCTCTCGCCGCCTCTCCACCCTCACAGCCGCTCTTCGGCCCTCGGACACCGGACACTCTCACCTCCATCACCGACGGATCTCCCACAAGCGTGCCGCTCGTCACCACACTCTCACACACTCTTCATCTTCGTCATCGCCTCTGAGCGAAGCAGCTGGCGCCCACACGCCTTCCCGACTCGGCACCTCGCAGCTTGCCGAGACCGGCACGAGCTGGAGCAGGGACAGCCTCGCGAGGTCGTACAGACACGTGCGCCACTGCACTGCGTCTCCAGCTCGATCAGCCTGATCCGCAGACCTCGTAACGGAATTGTCGCGGCCTTGGCAGATAGCCAGCTGGTGTGGAGGCACCGGCAGTCCAGGCAACCCGAGATCTCGGTTGCCCGCACAGCGTCTGAGCTCAGCAGGCGCACAGAGCCGTGGCGACGCTTCCACTGGTGTTTGCTAGGCAGCTGTCAATACTGTGCGTATTGGGCAGCGCTCTTCTCTGGAGCGCGCGGCGAGGCGCACAGCCCAGCATGCCGTCTGCGATCCGGCCCCCGTCGGCGCAGACAGATCGGCCGCCACGAAGCATCTCGCTGGGCGGCATCAAGTCTGCCGGCGCCTCCACGACACGGCGGGTGCCACGAGACGCCGGACGAGGCGAGTCAGGCATTCCTCGGCTGGCCAGCTCCTCATCGAGCGGCTCGCACGCGGCGCCGTCCAGTCCGACGACTGCCCAGCCGAATCGCACCTCAATCATCGGCAACACGCAGGCAAAGAGTGCGGGCCAGGCGCTGCAGGTGGTCAATGAGCAGCCGTCGCCGCGCGAAGGCCTGCCATGCAGCGATTATGGCATGCCCAGCAGCATGCTGCCGCAGCCGGAGCGCAGGTCGGTCATACGCAGCCAGGGCAAGCGCGCCGAGAGCGAGAGCGCAGGCCTGAACCGCAGCCGGATATCTGGGCGGCAGTCGGAGCCCGCTGAACAGTGAGTGCTGTGGCCCAACGTGTGCGCCTGTGGTGAGGCTCACTGCGTCTTTTGCTAGATCTGCGGCACCCACCAGGTCCAAGTCTCTGCGGCCCGGCACGTCGCCGCGCAGCACCTTCTCCACAGTGCGGCGCATCTTTGGACGCTCGAAGTCGAACTCGATCAGCTCGACGCAGGGCGACGCTCGCCCAGACTTTACAGCTGCAGCGGGCGAATTTGGCCAGCTGAGCGACGACGAGCGAGCCAAGGCTGCGCGAGCATCGCGAGACTCGGCGCGCACACTCAAGGAGCGCAGCATCTTCTCGCCCTTCCGGGCGCGGGATCCGCAACGGAAGATGACAGCAAGTGCGAGCGAGAGCGCGTATAGCCCGAGGCCAAGCGCTGTCGAGGAGATGCGCGTCAGCAGGGACGCCAGCCGCGCGCATGGGGCCACGTCGATGGACGTAGCCGAGCCAGGCCACACACTGCCGCAGTCTGCATCTTCCGAAGGAGCGCACGCGTACAACAGCGTGCACGCCAAGCCGGACCGCAGCTTGACGCTGCAGGCGCTCTCGGTGCCGCCCTTCGCGCACAGAAGCAGTGCCTCGCGCATCTCTGGCGAGCAGCAATGGCCGGATGATGCTAGCCGTGTCAGCACGCCGAACGCGGCGCAGATGCAGCGCAGCGCCAGCTCGGGCATGGGCGATGAAGGCATGGGCGTGGCGCTCACCGTCGGCGCCTCGACGGATGCGCTTGGCGAAGCGCTCGAGCAGGCGCCCTCGCGCGCTGTCTCCGCTCCATCAAAGCCGTCGGTGCCGAAGATGTGGCAAGTGTCGCGCTCCTCTCTGATCCCTGATCTGGGCGCGACGGCGAGCGAAGAGTCAGGAACCGACGGCGAGGGCGGTTATGAGCCCCCGCAACAAGGGCAGCAACCGCACGCGCGCTACGGCACCTCGACTACGATGGCCTCGACGAACTCGTACCAGACCGCCGCCTCCTCGCCTTTTGGCAGCCTCGCTCGCCGGGGCCAACCGATTCAAGGCGGCCCGGGGAGCAGCACAGACTCGGAGCTGGAATCGCTGGCTCATCGCAATGGCGACGCTGCGCCAGATGGCGACGAGACGCTCATTGCAGCCGAGTCGCGCACGCCGCTGTCCGACTTGCTTGACAAGCTCGACCGGCGTCGCCATGATCTCTCTAACTCAACGCCGACGACCAGCCAGGCGGAGGACTCATATCTTTCGTCTCGCCCTGCGCTGGCCGCGGGTCCGTCGCCGATCCCCTTCCCAGACACTCCTCCGGCGCTGCAGCATGTGCCCAACACGCGCGCACACGAGCCAAACAGCACCTTCTTCGAGGACGACTCGATTGCTTCGCCTGGCTCGCCTCAGCTGCGCCGCAACACCTTTGGCGACGAGCACGAGGCGCAGCGCGACTCGTGGCGCGCTCGGCTGCCGGTCTCTCCGCTGCGCGACGACTCGCAGCTTGCTGGTGGGCGCTCTGGCCGCGACGCTGGCCACGAGCTCTCGCTGCTCGAAATCGAGAGCAATCTTGCGGCAGTCGAGGCAGCGCTGCAAGACCACAGTCTGGCGGGCAGCTTCGATGCCACATCGCTGCGTCGGCGCATCGGCTCATACGGGCAAGGCGACATGTCGGCACACATGCAGGACTCCGCGGGGGGCAGTCCGCAGGCGCCGTATGGCGCTGGCCTGTCGTATCGCCCAGCTCCGCGCGTCACGTTGCCGCCGGGCTCCGAAAGCGCGATTGCCGATGCAGTTCGCGAGGTGCGACGTGCGCTCAGCTCTTCGCACCTGCCGCGCATCCCGAGCGAGAGCGAGATGGGTGCTTCCTCGGATCGCAGTCCGACGATCTCGCGCCGGCGCTCTCCGGCACCGTCTCCTCTGCGCGAAGGCTCGCCGCGCGAGTCAACGCCGATGCGGGCTGCACGAGTGCGGCAGGAGTCTATGCAAGACGTCGAAGAGGCGTACGCACGCATGTGCGACCTCGTCGGCTCTGCCGCAGGCATTATCGCACCATCGCCCATGCTCGGTGGCAAGGCTTGGAAGCGCAAGAGCGCTCACCCAACAGAGAGTGCAAAGTTCTCTCCGCAGCGCAACGGCACGGAGATCCGCGAGCGGGCGCAGAGCCTCGTCGCCCCTTCTCACGTTCAGGCATCCCGCCCGGTCGTGATGGACCGAGTGACAAGGCAGCAGCTTCTGCGCGACGCCGACTCGCTTGCTCGTCACAGCGCAGCCTTCGCAGACAGTGGTGCGCCAGACGATGAGCCCGAGCATGCGCTGCGCGGTCGCAACAGTACGCTCTCCACCGGGTCTCGCCGCGCCATGTCCGAGTCTCCGCCGCGTCGTCCAGTGCACAAGGAGGAGACCAAGAGCGAGGCGCGTCGCCTCTCTCAACACGCCGAGGCGCAGCGGATGAGTACCGGCTCGGCGACCACGACGAAGCGGTCCAGCAACGCTACGACCTCCGCCAGCGGCTCTGGCGGCACCGCCGCGCTCAGCGCATCGCCTTCGGTCACCGTCAAGACGCAAGGGACGCCACGCTCGCCTCAGAGCGACGCACATCAGAATGCCGAGTGGAACCGCATGCCGCAGTCGCCGTTCCGACACGGCATGCCCAATCAGCACCAAGGCTCGCTGTCGCGTCACGAGCGGCAGACGTCGTCGCCCTTGTCTCAGCAGCACTTTGGTGGTGAGCCGTCGAACACATTCGAAGCTCGACCGTTTGCACTCAATGCGAGCGGCAACGCCGAGACCCGCCGTCACGCCGAGGAGGCGATGCGCCGGGCACGCGCGCAGCTCAGCTCGGCGTCTGTGCGGAACAGCACACTGCGGTCGCCAACGCCTACTCTGGGCGGCTACCGGAGGCCGCACTCGGGCTCGGTGCGCGAGTGGACCGCAGAGGTCGCTGGTAGACCCACGAGCAGGACGAGTGCCGCTAGCGCCGCCCACCACGGGCACGGACCTGCTGCGCGACACTTCCCGCGCCTCGCAGACCAGGACACCTCACGCAGCATCTCGCAGGACGGGCACCAAGCGATCAACGCCGCGGACCTGAGCTACAGCACTGCCTCGTCGATGCAGTCGTCGCTCAACGCTCTGCAGCGGCGGCACGCGCTGGAGCGCGACAGCCTGCTCGACATGCTCGAGCGAGCGCGCAGCGAGAACGTCGACCTGCGTGTGCGCAACGAGATGCTACAAAGTGATCTGCATCTCGAAGTCACTCAGGTCCTTGAGCTGCAGCGCGAGCTGGAGCGACAGAGTAGTCGTGCCTCAGAGCAGGCTGCCAAGGTCGAGGCGCTTGAGGCGCAGCTCGAGACTGAGCACCGCGACCGCCTGCGCATCGCCGAGCTGCTCGAGCGCGTGCAGACTGCCGTTGACACTGCCGCCAATGCGCGTTCCATCAACGGACTGAGCCCGACAGCCAGCTCTGCAAGCATCGTCCAGGAAGATCTGCAGCCCACTTCGCGCCGGGTCTTCGACGTCACGCCGAGCGTGCTCGCTCCGCTGCCGCTTTCGGAGGCCTTCGAGGATGAAGAACAGATCCTGGCGAGCTTCCGCGGTCATCAAGCCGGCCAACAGCCTCCGGACAGCCATGCGCGGCAGCTGTTCCTGTCGCGCGCCCAGTCGTCGTACAGCCTCGAGGGCGGCTCCCTGATCGGCGGCGCCTCGATCGTCTCTTCGGATGCACAGCCGCGCAGCCCGAATCAGGGTGCCCCCGACAGATCGCCGAGCCTGCGCTCGATGCCCAGTGCTCTCGGACTCGAGATCACCGAGCGCGAGCTCGACTGGTCGCTGCACGACGAGGCGCCTCTCGAAGGCGCCGAGAGCGGCGGAGAAGACGACTTGCCGCGGGACTACGAGCGGTCGACACAGGCTCGTCCAGCCACTCCTCCGGTCAGCCACCGGGAGCCAGCTTTCACCAGTCCGCCGAGCCGGCGCGTCTCGCAGCTGCCGCAGCCGACGCCTGCGCATGCCAAGCGCTCGACGATGCCCGCATCGCTCTCTGCCAGCGCTCTGCCTGTCGGCGTCACGAGCGGCATTCCCATGTCCACCTCCGCCTCAAGCATGAGCCACGTCGGGCAGGGCAGCAAGCGAGCCGGTCTCGCCGAGCGCTTCGGCTACCGTGGCCCGGTGCTGCCGTCGACGATGCAGAACAGCGCGGCCACGCCCGGCGGCGCGCGCCAGTTCTCCACCGCCAGTCGCTTCACCACTACATCGGCTGGCGACACGAGCTGGAGCGCCGTCTCGGACGAGCCCATCGGCGGCTTCGTCCACCGCAGCGCCGGATCGGGAGCCGCTGGCGGCTACTACGACCCGCGACGGCCGCAGGGCTACGACCCTACTGCGCTGCCTGACACGCAGCGCGGCCTGCTCGAGGATGCCGAGCACAGCTACTGAGGGCACCTCGTCGCCCTCCACCACACTCATTGACTCCCTTTGACCCTTCACCACACCCTCTTTAGCCTGCCCTCCCCGGACTCCTCTTCTGCGCGCGCATGCCTGCGCCAGCGCCTGTTCCTTGTCTCGTCACTGCACAGCTTGCTTTTGCATCGCCTCATCTCCCGGTGTAATCTTAGCATTTGGAAACTCGCAAGGCTCCAGACAGCGCGTGACTCATGCGCCCATCTCGGCGCCTCCCGTGGCGCCTTCGATCTTGCCGTTCTGCGCCCAGCCCTCGAGCAGGAGGCGCAAGCGCATCGTCGCTGCGTTTGCGCTGGCATCGCCTACAAACTTGGCCTTCTTGGCGTCGAGGCCTTGCTGCAGCAGCAGCCGCCATAGCTTTGCAGCCTGCCGGCCATAGATGTCGAGCGTGCGTGGTCCAGCTACCTCGAGGAACGTCGCCCACAGCGCTGGCGTCAAGCCATGGTCCGTCATAGGAGGCGTAACGCAGCGCGCCTGCCATGTCCACAGCGCCGAGGGACGCATGTGCGCCGGCACGCGCGCGAGGTCGACGGCGCTGCCGGACGGTGGCTGCGTGGGCTGAAGCACGCAGATGGCCGTGTAGAACGCCAGGATGCCACACATGCGCGCGGTGAACTGCAGCGAAGCCTCGTCGGGCTTCGAGCGGCCGATGAGCTTGCCGTACGTTGCTTCGTCTTGTGACTGTGCGCGCGCAGAAGTGAGCCTCGACACTGCTTGCTACGACGCTGCGACCAACTCACGGAGCTGCGATCCGGCACGAAGCCAATGCACCAGCAGCACTTCTTGACGAGGCGGCACATGAGCACCTCGCCGAACTCGGCGTGGCCCTCGAGCATGACCCAGAGCGCCACGCGCGCCAATGGCCAGGCTGTGTCTTGCTTGGCGGCCACTTCCTGCTCTGCTTGCCGGATCAGACACTTGGAGAGGTGGTTTAGGATCCACGTGTAGATCTCGGCCACGCCCGTTGAGCGCGCTGCGTCCAGGACTCCACAGATGGCAGTCGTCTGCAGAACACGGCATGAGCGAAGGAGCGCAACGAGGCTGGGAGCCAACTCACGATGCGAGCAATCTCGCTGCGCGAGTTGGTCAGCTGCCCAATCTTGGGCGTGATTTGGCGCTTGGCGGCAAAGCACTGCTTGCGCCAGTCCGGGTTGCCTGACACGACGGGCAGGACCTCGGTCTTGATGCGCTGCAAGGAGCAAGAGTATGCGGGTCAACTTCATCCCCGTTGGCATGTGGCAGCGTCACGGACTCACCTGCATCTTGCTGCTCCAGCCAGCAAAGTCCTCTCTCGCCGTCGCTCGCAGGCCAGGCCCCACCAGCTTTCCCTGCCCCTTGGCCTTCTCTTCCTCCTCCAACCTCGCCCTCTCCTCCTTGGCCACTCTCTCCTTCTCCTCCGCCTGCGCCTTCTCCACTCTCGCCGCCTCTTCCTTCTCCCTCTGAATCTTTGCCTCCTCGGCTTCCCGCGCCGCACGCGCCACTTTCTCCGCCTCTTCCTGCGCGCGTCGCGAGGCTGCTAATGCCGCTGCCTCGGCTGCTCGCTTCTCTTCCACTTGCTTCTCGTTCTCTCGTATCGCCGAATTGATGCGCTGGCCACGGATGCGTCAGCGCGCCTCGTACACGCCAGTGACATGGCGCCAGACTCACGTCCCACAGATCCTTGTTGCGTCTCTCAAACGCCTCGCGATCTCTTCGATCCTGCTCCTCGCTGCGCATCCGCATCTGCTGCAGCATCTGCACCACATCGTCGAGCTCCGGCGCTGCAGACCCGGGCCCTGGCGTACTACGTGCCGCCGCTGCAGTGCGCGAGCGCGAGCGGCTGATGCGCCGCGCCGCATCGGTGGCCCATGAGACACGACTGGCGGCGCGCGAGGGGTAGAGATGCGATGCGTAGTCTGGCGAAGAGCACGAGGCGAGACGGATGCGATGCGCTGCTTCGGATGCGCTGGAGGAAAGAGCGGTGCTCTGTCGCCGTGCACGACGCGCAGGTGCGACGGGGTACAGCTCCTCCTCGGAGTCGTCCGAGTCGGAGTGGAGCGTAGAGGCGCTAGAGGAGGCCTGTGACGACACGCTCGTCTCGCCGGGCGAGCGCAGCCAGTACGGCGTCGAGGCGCGTGCGCGGCGCGGCGGCGTGGGCGAGACGAAGCGCGCGCGCAGCTTGGCGGGCGAGGAGGAGTCGAGCACGGTGGGCGAGAGGGGAGGCGCGGAGAGATGCGGCAGCGCCTTGGAGGAGGAGGAGGCGGCGAGCGGCGAGCCGGGCGGCGACGGCGACGCGGAGCCTGCATCCGAGCCGGAGTCGGAGGGCGGAGCGTAGCGCACCATCGTGAGCTGGCGCTGCGAGACGTGCGAGGGAGGGAGGTGAGGGGGATGCGGAGAGGAAGCGTTGGCGCGCCGAGGTGTGCCTTGGGCAGCAGCAGCGGCGGCGGCCATCTCCGCGGTCTCCGGCGCCGCGCAGGCCGCTGCTGCCTTTCGCTGCGCTGACCAGCCTTGCCTTGTCCATCCGTTCCTCATCCTCCTCTCCCACCCAGCACAGCCCACCCCACGCCCACGTCTACGCCGACATCATGGCGCCCATCCCTCCCATACTCCTGCGTCTCGCAGCGCAGATGGTCTCACAGCATCTCGCCCGTCGTGTACGTCTCTCTCTCGGGCCCCTCCACATGCGCAGCATGCTCACCTCGCCACCCTCTCGCTCCACAGCTCGCCGCATCGCCCGTCTTTCAGTCGGCCGTGCATCGGCTGCTGCATGAGGTCGACCACCTGCCCACGCGCATCGGAGGCGGCAAGGTGCCCGAGTACAGACATCCGGATCCGCTGCAGAAGAGCGTGGCGGACCATGTGCGCGAGGCAAGAGGTGAGTGCGGCGACCCCCACGAGAGCGGCGGGAGGCGAGAGTGGGCGGCGCCAGAGCTCAGAGACGGATCGTATGATGCCTGGAGAGCGGATAAATGGGGGCCGAGAGAGCTCTAGCGGTACCTGTCGCCGCTCGAGAGAAGCTCTGCCCCAGAAAAGGCATGCTTTCACGTCTGCCAGATCTCAGATGGGGCCGCACGAGCCATGCGATCAGGGCAGGAGGGCAATGAGCATCGACTGACCACCTTTCTGCTGCAGAGGCCGACCCTGGAGAGCCACACGACGAGCCTTCTCCCTTCCCCTCCTCCTCTCGCACTTCCTCCGCCTCTCCACCGCCTCGTGCACCGCCGACTGACGGCGGGCTTCGCGACTCTCGCGGCTCTCTCCGTCCCCGCACACCACGGGACGAAGCATGGGCACAAGCACAAGCCGCCGAGAAGCAGAAGGATGAAGCGAGGCTTGAGGACTTTCAAGTGCGCGAGCGCGAGTTGAGCGAGATCTTGAGATTGCTTAGGGAGAAGAAGGAACGCGAGGGCGGAGAAGGGAAGCAATGAGGAGCAGGCGATGATCACGCACCGCCAACGGCCCTGCTACTTTCCACCTTCATTGAGCCTCTAGCGCCGTCGAACTGGGGTGCTCTCTGCCGGACGTCGCCGTCGCCGCCGCCGCCGCTCTTGCGGGCCGCCGCGGCGCACGGCCTTGCCGCAGCCGTGAGTCTGGGCGGCCTTGCTGCCCTTTCTTCCCTCCGCGCGGCGACGGCGGCGGATGTACTACTAGCCTCTACATTTGTATTATGCACATCGGTTCACCACTCAGCTGGCGGCGCCGTCGATCGAAGGCACGTGCGTGCCTGTAGCGGCGGCCTCCAGACCTTCAGGCCAGCTAGAGAAGAGGGCGAGAGAGGAGCTGGGTGTCGTCCTCAGGGGTGAGGCCGATAGAAGCCGCCGCTGGCGCCTCCTCTGACAGCAAAGATCGATAAGAAGCATGCCCCAGCGGACCGGTCTGCTGTCAACTGTTAGCAGGAGCAAGCGGAGCCGCACGACGTATATGAAGCGGCCTGCTCCGCGATGAGCCCCGGTCTCCCGCAGCGTGGTCTCTGGTATCATAGGGTGAGTGACGCTCCCTCTTGCTCTCTGTGTGCGACTAGAACTCACCCATGCACACAGGCTCATCGACATGGATGACTTTCAGGTGGGACACGACTTCATGATGGCGCAGGACTTCGCGGGATACGAATCCACGATGGCGCCCGACTGGCCGGCGACGCTTGCCTTCGAGATACAAATGTCGCAGGCAGCCGCTCTGGGCCAGGTGGACGTGTTGCCGAAGGACGCTCTCGGCCAAGTGGACATGTTCTCGACGGCCGCTCTCGGCTGCGAAGGCTCCTTTTCGTCGGGCACTCTCAACGCCTTGCAGCCATCTGCGGCAGATGTCGACTCAACTGCACCAGCCAGCGACGATGCGAGCTCTCCGGGCACGACCGACCTCGAGGACTCTTCCGACGGGACGTCACCCAATTCCGAGGCACCCTTCGACATGCCCTCGTCTGATAGCTCGTTCGCTCTGAGTAACAAGCAATTGCTCGAGCTGTGCGCCATGGGAGACATGTCCGCACACGCGGGCGACGCGGGCACAGCCGATGAGGCCGCATACAGCGGCGTACCGCAGCAGGACGCCGACGCAGGCGCACCTCAGCAGCAATTCGGCGACGGAGTGGGTATCGATCCGCGCAAGACCCTCCTGTCGGCACCTGCTGCGGCCAACCAAACAGCGTCAAGGCCTGAACGCCTCGACGATGATGAGAGCCACAAGCCGCCGTCCCACCGTCGCATCAAGTGCGGGCCGTGCAACAAGGTTCTTGAAGGCGGCGTGAAAAGCATTCCCCTCCACGTCAGGAGCAACCGTCACCTTCGCAACATCGGCGCGAAGGACTGGCTCGAGCGCCATTCCTGTCTCTTCTGCAAGAAGGGCCTTCGCCTCAGGTCGTTCACGCGCAAAGCGACTCTGAAGCGCCACATCATGGCGCACCACCCCGAGCTTCTGACTGTCACGGCCGATGGGAGTTACACGGTGCCCGACGATATCCTGGAGCAAGGCAAAGTCAAGCCGCCTAAGTGAGGAGCGTGCACGATCGGCCGCCCCTTACGACGACTCGGTCACAAGTCTTTCGATTCTCTCCGCCTGCTCCGCTCCGCTCAAGGCTCGACCTCTCGACACACGTCCCTCAAAGGCTTGACGCCTTCCTACTCTGCGCTACCCTCTTCAAGCCTCGCGCTCAGAACGCATCACCGCTCCCTCCCCTCCTCGACGAGGTTCGCCATCATCCGCACGCCGACGCACTCTGCTGCATCGCAGCGAGTGGTGTCCTGATGGAGGCGAACTTCTTCGGGCAGCTGAGGGTGCCGTGCCGCGTTCTCGACGTCGCGAAGCCAAGCTAAAGCTACCGAATTGAATTGAATGCCGCGTCTCTGAACGACGAGTGATATAATGGGTTGTGACAGAAGGTGACAGTGGGACGACGAGCGTCGACGACGCGCTTACGCCGGAGCGTTGGCGTCCTTCTTGGCGGCGCCAGCCTCGTTGCGCGCGTTGCCGGCGGCCTGCTTCGTCTTGTCGCCCGTGACGGCGCCGACGATGGAGTCCTTGTAGCCGCCGAGCTGGTCGATGGCGCCTGTGTGCGATGCGGACGTGAGCTGCCATGCCACGTCACAGAGGTCACAGAGCTGCAAGCTGGCCGACAGCCGCCATCCGGCTGTCACTCACCCTCAGCATAGGCCTTGGCCTGCGCCGCCTTGGCCTCGCCCTCGCCCTCGGCGTGGCGCTGCTTGCCGGAGGCCTGCCACTCCTTAGAGCCGGTCAGGTTGCCCACCTGCTCCTCGAGCGTGCCAATCGTGCTCTTGATGTTGCCGTTCAGCTGCGAGGGCTCGTTCGACATGGTTGCTGTGTGTGTGTTGGTGGTGATGTGGTGGTGAGAGAAGAGAGCGACCGTCGAGGATCGCTTTATGTAGGATCGCCGCTTCGCGGAGTGAAAGTGCACGGACGTCCGTTTCGAGGCGAGCCAAAATAGCGCTGAGTGCGCTCGGGGTCCAGGCGCGTGCCTTGGACACAGCATGACGTCACTCGCGCGCGAGATGGCCGAGCCTCGAGCGTGACCTTCTTTGCCGCAGCTCGTGAATCGTTTGAATGACGCGAGGTCAAGCTGAAGGTGCAAGCGCTGCATTCGTTCATGCGAGCGGTGAATGACATGCTTCCTTGAAGAGTCTGGGCCATGGTCGACGTCGGCGCGAGGCGCTCGTGGCTCGCGGCAGGCTCATGCCAAGCGGCGTTGAATGCGCACCTGCACAGCATGGTGATCACTGACCTGCCAGCCAGCGTCCGCTCCACTCCAAGCGGGTACGACTCCCGCCGTCTCTATGCTCCAAGCATTGCGTGCATGCCGCAGCGCCAGTGAATCGGCAGAGCGCACAGCGCCCGAGTCGGAGAGCAGGATGAAGTCGATGCGCTCTTGCTCTGCGGTCTCGGAGCGCGGATAGAAGTCGATAAAGGTACGGTCGGGGCCGTAAGGCTGAGAGAGTCGGCCGCGAGCGTGAAGGACGGAGTCGGGAGACTTGGGCTGCATGGCATCGTGTTCGACGGCCGAGCTGGAGCTGGGCTGCTGACGATTCGGGAAGCGCAGAGGGACCGCTAGCACTGCATCGATGAAGGTGAAGCTCTCGCTGCCTGCCGCGCCGAACGACGTATTGTGATGCCCGGTGACGAGGTTCTGCCAGCCTGCTTCAGTTCGTGGCGAGTTGAAGTCGCCCAAGACGACGACCTGCGCAAGATACGTGAGCTCTCGCTGTGCGCATCAGACGGCGAGCGAAACGCACCAGTGGCTCTTCGCCCTCTGCTCCCTGCATCTGCCTACTCCACTGCACCGCTTCTCTCGCCTTGCGCAGCACTATCTTGCTTGACTCTGCGCGCGCAAGCAAGCCCTTGTGGTCGTAGTGGCAATTGATGGCATGCAGGATCTGCCGCGGACTCTGTCGAAGCCGCAGCGCGACGTGCGTGCACATGCGTGTCTGATCCTGCAGTCTCAGGCGTCAGCCGGCGCGGAGAGGGCGAGGCTCAGCACAGCAACTCACTGCATCCCATCCGACACTGCCCGGCTCTCCACTCGGACTCAGCCAGAAGTGCTCGACGCCGTGCGTGCCCGTGCCGCCCTTCTTGTGCGGCACGCGTTCGAAGAGCTCCTTCTTCCAGAAGATCGGCACCGCCTCGCCAGCCGACCGCCCATCGTTGCGCGGCACGCCGGCCCAGTCGTACTTGTAAGCCTCTCCCGACGGCAGCGGCGGCAGCGCAGGCTGGCCGGCTGGCAAGCCGTCGGTCTTGGCGCCCAGCAGGGCGACAATGTCGCGCAGCTGGTTCGGCAGCATCTGATGCGAGGGCGAATGCGTCAGACGTGAGCGTCTGCACTGCCGTCAAGCCAGGCTCACCTCCTGCAGCCCAAACAGATCCCAGTTGTGAAACAGCGCGATGTCTGCAACGGCATGCCGCCGCGTGCTCCAGCTCAGCTCGCCCCACTGACGTCCGTCTACAGGCTGTCCTTCATCCTCGAGCGACGACGCAGTAGGCGCATCGCCTAGCTTGAGCTTCGAGACAAGCCGTCGCGTAGGTGAGGAGCTGGCATGTCCGTCGAAGCGCAAGTTGAAGGAGGCGAGCGTGAGCTCGACACGAGCCGGGCTTGTGGACGCATAACCCGACGGTGAGGTAGCCTGCCAGAGAGAAGGCAGCTGAACGAACCCATACGTCAGCGCCATGAGCGCCGCTGGCACCACGAAGGCGCCAAGCACGATGCCGGCGAGTGTGCGGCCTAGTGGGAAGGACGGCACGACGATGACTGCTGGCGCTGCGTGGCTGCGTGCCTCGTCCGCAGCCAGGTCAGCTTGCATCAGAGGCGGGTCGGCCTCGGCCGCTTCGCTGCGCCGCTGGGCGGCCATCTGGCTTGATTTTGGCGATCAGACGACGACGAGGTGGTAGTTGCAGGCCAAGACTGGGGCGCGGCGGCCGTCACAGCGGTGGGCGCCCGCTTGCTGCTCTCACGCTGTGCAGGTGTGCCATGCGCGCGCCATGCGTCGGCCGCTCGGGAATGCCAGGCGGCGCTGTCGCGTGTGGTGGTCACGACGCAAGCTGCCAGCTCGATGTTCGGCCAGCTCGAGCGTTCGCCTGTCGCCCAGCATCAGCGTGGCAGGCCCTGCGCGCAGGCGGTGAGCATGGGCAGCGAGGCTGGCGGCCGCGAGCTATTCTGGGCCTTCCCCACGCACGGGCCCGTCGGTGCTGCAGGTGATCGACGCGCTCTCACGCCCGCATGACGCACTGTTTCTTCTTGCCCCGCAGCGCAAAGCAACAGCCATGCCGCCGCGCACGTCACCGCGCGCCGCCCGCGATGACCCTGAAATGCTGCCCTGCATGGTGCGCGCCGCGGGCCCACCCTTTCTTTTGGCTGCGAGGCTGAAAGCGCGTCCTTCGCCGGGCACCTTGGGACCCGTGCTGCGAAGGCGTGCGTGCGCTGAGCGGGCGACGTGGCGCCTCGAAGAACGGCGAGCGTGGCCGGGGCGCGAAGGAGTGGGACGCCATGACGCGCGGCCAACTCCCCGCGCCAGACGAAAGCCACTGCCTGCGCGCAGCGGCGGCGCTGCAGAAGAAAGTCGGCTGCCAGATGGGCTGAGATGCGGCGGGACGGAGAGAGATGCCTCGGCCTTGGAGATGCGCGCTGGATGCTGAAGCTCGGGCAGGCCGCGCGCAGCGGGACGAGACGTGGCTGCTCCGGCGGCGAGCGGCGCACGTCCCGGGCGGCGGATGCACGGGCGTCACGCATGATGCGCTCAGCAGCGACCCTGCGACGCCGCTGTGGAGAGCGGGACAGCCGCCGCCGCCGAGCGTCACCGCCAGCCGCCGCTGCGCTTTTCGCTCGCTCGCCTCGCGTTGCCGCTCTTGAGGGCGGCGGAAGGCACGTTTGCCAGCAGCCGTGCCTGGCGTGCCGGTGCCTGTGCCTCCTTCTTCCTCACCACCACATCCACCCAGCCGCGCAACTCTACCCACCCCATCCACTGCCCACCATGGTCCGCGCCGCCAAGCCCTTCATCACCGTCTCGCTCCTCTGCCTCGTCCTCGCCGCCTCGGTGCCCTCCACGCGCGCCGACTGGGTGCAGGACGTGACGCGCGGCGGCGAGCGCACCTTCCAGGCCGCCTTTGACGGCTGGACCGAGTCGGAGTGAGTGGCGCGGGAAGACGAGACCCGCCGAGGAGAGCGGCACTGGTGGCGTGCACAGACCATCCGCTGACGCGCTTCTTCTGCAGCCTCCGCTCGTACCTGCTCGACCGCGGCATCGTCGCGCCCAGCAACACGCGCGAGCAGCTCGTTGTGCTTGCGTGAGTGTTTGCGGGTGCATTGCAGCGCCACCGCAATGCTGACCTTTCTTCCTCGACAGCAAGCAGAACTACGCGCAGATCCAGGCCTCGGCCGCCGCCGCCACGGACAGCGCCTCGTCGCTGGCCCACGCCGCCGCGTCGAGCGTGTACAGCGCCGCCGCCTCGTTCGAGTCCGCCGTGAGTAGCCTTGGCCGCCAGGCGAGTGCTTGTTGCGTGCAGTGGCGTGCCCGAACAGCGACTCACACTCTCCTTTCGCTGCGCACAGGCCTCTGCCAGCGCCAGCTCGCTCGGCAACAGCGCCACGTCGGTGGCGAGCCGCGTGTCGAAGAACGTGCCCACGGACGCCAGCTCGCTGTCGTACGAGGTCTCGTCGGGCGCCTCGGGCGCCTCCAAGAGCGCCTCGAGCATCTACGCTCAGGCCTCGGGCGCCGTGCAGAGCACACTTGACGATGCCAGCGACTACGTCTACTCCTCGGTGCGTGCCGCGAGTATGAGGCCAGCGTGCGGCAATGGCTGACACGGCTACCTGCAGTGGACGGACAACCAGCTGCACGACTACCTCGTCGAGAAGGGCCTCATCAAGTCGAACACGCAGAAGAAGCGCGACGAGCTGCTCGCCACGATGAAGGACGGCTACACGACGGCCAAGAACGCGCCGTACGAGGCCTGGTCCGACAGCTACGCCGAGCGCTGGCTCATCAGCCAGGGCCTGATCCGCAGCCACGGCGAGAAGCAGCGCGACGAGGTGGTGCGTAGCAGATGAAGGCATGCCACCAGTAACGGTGTGCTGACTTCCTTTGCGCAGCTCTCGATGGTCAAGGACAACTACTACGGCGCCCAGGACACCGTCTACGACAGCTGGAAGGACTCGGACCTCCGCTCTTACCTGATCAGTGCGTGGCTACGCGCGCGTGACACAGCGTGTGGTGCTGCCACTGACGCGCTTCACTCCTTCCAGAGAACAACGTGATCAAGAGCGACTACCAGGCGGGCCGCGACGACCTGCTGCAGAAGGCGCGCGAGTACGTGCCCTCGACGAACGACATCTGGAGCACGTCGGTGTGGAGCGACTCGGACCTGCGCAGCTACCTCATCAGCAACGGCTGGATCAAGAGCGACAGCAAGGCCAAGCGCGACGAGCTCGTCAAGACGGCGCAGAAGCACGGCAACGAGCTTGCCGAGACGGCAAAGGTGAGCGATCGCAGTGCTGCAGCCCCGTGCGATGCTCCTAGACTGACGCATGCCACGTGCAGGACTACTACAACTGGTCCGACAAGCGTCTCCAGGGCTACCTGCGCTCGACGGGCATTGACTCCTCGAAGATGCCCAAGACGCGCGAGGGCCTGATGCGCGAGATGCGCGCGCGCTACCACCGCAACCACACCGGCTTCTTCGCCGCCGTCAAGGATGGCGTGCGCTCGATCCTCGGCGTCGGCGAGGCTGCTGCTGGTGCCGCCGAGCAGAAGGCCAACGTGGCCAGCGTCAGTGCGTCCAGCGCTGCGTCCGTCGCGTCGGCTTCGGCTTCGAGCGCGGCCGCCAAGGCCCGCGACGAGCTCTAGATGCCTCGCTGCATCCTGGCCCGTCTTGTCTAGTTCTCAGTGACGCGTGATCTTCGCAACTGTCTTGCTCTTCTACCCCCTTTCCCTCCACGCCTGTTTCCCCTCCGCCCCACGAATATCCCAGGCGCTTCTCTTCTCGAATGACGCTTCGCAACGAATGAATAGCATTCATGCTCTCACTCCTGCCTGACACGCGGCGAGAGAAGCATCAGGCTGTGCAGCAGGTGCGGCGGGTGCGGCAGTCGGGATGTCTCGGCACCGCCCGGCGCAGCACTTGCAACTGCGGCAGATCAGGCATCGGTGCGTGAGGAACGTCTATAATTGCTTGGCAGCGATGCGGTGACAGGTGGTGGACATGACAAAGGGCGTGAAGGGGAGAGCAGAAGCACAGGAAGGGGGTAGCAGGGAGACGACGAGGCGTCTAGTACGGGTAGCGGAAGCTCTGCAGGTCCTTGTCCGTGCGGTCCTCGAGGCCCTCGAGGGCGTTGTGCTCCTCGACCTCGCCGGCGGCGTCGCGCTTGTGGTTCCAGTAGCGGTGGATGAGCGCAATGGCGACGAGGCAGCTCGCCGAGATGCCGAACATGGCCTCCATGGCAATCTTGGCGGGCAGGTAGTTGGGCGCATCCTGCTGGCGGTACAGCTGCGGGCCGACGATGTTGCCGGCCGAGTAGCCAAGCTGGAGGGCAGCGTTGAAGACGATGCGCTTCGTCGTGCCGCCGATGCAGCTGGAGAGCCAGGAGTAGTAGAACTGCGGAATGAGAAGGTCAGTGCGCAGCTCGGGGGGCGAGTCGCAGAGAAAGGCACTCACGGGACTGGCGACGGGATAGGCGAACACGATGGTGTAGCCGAGGAACTTGACGGCCGAGGTGAGGCTCGGGCTGATCATGAGGGCACCGCCGACGAGCGCGACGAGGAAGGCCGCGCAGCCGGGGATGGCACGGCTGCCCGTGCGGTTGGCGAGCCAGGCGCCGGCGGCGATGAAGACACCCTCGGCGAAGCCGGGCGCCATGCCGAGCAGCGCCGTGTCCTTCTTGTTGTAGCCCAGACCGGAGATGATGGCGCTGCCGAAGTTCGAAACGCCGCCGTTCGCCACGTTGGCCGCGGCGACTCCGCAGAAGAAGAGGTACAGACGGGGGTCGCAGAGCGCCTCGCGCAGCTGGTCCCACTTGAACGTCTTGTCGTGCAGGCCCGTCTTGTTCTCGCGCACGCGCTCGATGGCCACGAGGCGCTCGCGCTTGCTGAAGAAGCGGCAGTGCTCCTCGGGGCCGCAGGGCATGAAGAAGAAGACGGGGAATGCGTAGAAGGCCGTGATGGCGCCGAGGATGATGAACATGGTGCGCCACGTCTGCAGCGGCCCGGCAGGCTGCGAGAGCAGGCCGTAGGCAATGCCGCCGCCGAGGATCTGGGCGGTGGCGTTGGCGCTGAACCACCAGCTGGTGCGGATGACCTGCTCCTTGCGCGTGTAGAAGCGGCCGGTGACGAGGATGAAGGCGGGCGTGAGGCCGCCCTCGAGGATGCCGAGGAAGATGCGGCAGGCGACGAGGCCGGCGTAGTTGTATGCGGCGGCATGCAGGCCGAGGCACGTGGCCCAGAGCAGAATGACGACGCCGACGTAGCGCGAAATGTTGAAGCGCTGCAGCATGTAGCCGTGCAGCGGCGAGGCACCGAGCCAGCCGAGGTAGAAGGCCGAGCCGAGGAAGCTGTACTGCTTGCCCGTCAGGTGCAGGTCCGTCTTGACGCCGAGCAGGTTGGCGTACTGCGGGGAGGTGGTCAGCAACGGTGCGATGCTGCTCTCGTCATCGCACGGCCACTTACGTTGAGCGACGTCTTGTCGAGGAACTGCAGCAGCACGGAGCAGTACATGAGCGGCATGAGGATCGTGTCGATCTTGCGCAGCACGCGCTTCTTCTCGGCCTCGTCGATGGGCGCCGAGTCGGCGGCGCTGATGGGCTCGCCGTCGTGGCCGAGCGCGGCGAGCGTGTCGAGCGGCGACGTCGACACGACGGCCTTGTCGCCGCCGTGCGACGAGGGCGAGGCACTGCGCTTCTCGACGGCGTCGAGGTCTTCGATGGAGCGAGGCATGTTGAAGAGAGAAGGAGGAGGTGTGTGGGGCATTGGAAGATGAGGCGAGAAGAAGCGGCCTTCTTGTACCCCTCACGACGTCCTGCTCGCCACGGGACGGATCGGAAGATTATCTGTCCTCGCCTTCGCTGCACCCGCCTGCGCTAGCTTGCATTCGATGTGTGCCTGATGCTGATGCCCGCTGCCTGCCTGATGCTGCGTCGAGCTGGCCGGCTGGAAGAATGTTGCGAGCCCGGTTATCGCACGACCCACTTTCGTCCACCGTGCCCACGCTAGAGTGCCGCCACCATGCATCTGCAGCGGCCAGGGACGCATCTGCATCAGCTGCCCGGCGCAGGCCACCTGCCCTGCGGTGGCCACGTCTGTGCTGAAGCGACCCGGAAATTTACTGCAGCCCAGCCTTGCCCCCTGGAGAAGCTCGGGAGCGCAGCAGCCGCCGCAGCGGCCATGGGCAGGGTCGCTTGCGAGGCGCAGCTGCACGAGAGGCGGAGACGCGCTGCGGTTGCGGCAGCGGCAGCGGCAGCGGCGGGAAGGCGGCGGCGGCACGCCCACGCGATGTGATCTCGCGCGCGGCGATGCGCTGGCGCTGCGCCTGCTGCACGGCGGCCGCTGCGCGCGCGAAGAAGCTGGCCGCCGCTGATAAGAGGCGGCGAGAGCGCCGAGCCGCCTCTCATGCCGTGCCGCCTCGTCGAGTCCGATGCCATCGGACCGGCCGCTCCGATGGAGGCACGCCGCCTCTTGGGCCGCCTACTCACGCCTTGGGCCGCCTGGGCCGCAACCAGCTTCGCCCTCAGCTGCCGCCGGCCGGCGCGGAGTGGGCTCGATGCCGCCCTTCCCGCCCTGCCCCGCCGCGGCTGCCAGCACCCGAGCTTCGCGCGAGCCCGCCAGCATGCACAGGCCCAAGGGGCCAGGGGCTCGGAGTGTGAAGCTAGGAGAGGCGCGCGCCTATACCCACATCCCCTTCCCGCGTTGGAGCCCGATACAACCTTGCCTTCGCTCCAACAGCGAGCGGGGGCGCGGCGCTGGAGTAAGCGAGCTCGGCGATGGCGAGAGCAAAGAGGCGCGCGCAGCAAGAGATATCGCAGGGTGCAAGGGCACGACAGCAAGCCGAGCATCGCCGAGCCAAGGCCAGCAAGCCGAGAGCTGCCGAGGCTCAAGTCGAGCGCCTCGAGCAAGGTCGAGAAGTCGAGAACTATCCGGCCAGGCTGCAGTGCCTGGCCTCGAGCCATGCCTGAGCTCGAGGCTGTGAGCGGCTGCGGAGCGAGATGCTGCCGCTCTGGCACCGCCTGCACCGCCTTGAGCGGCCTCACACGACAGGGGATACCATGACGCTGTGGCGCTTCCATTTCCCCTTCACTCGATGCATTTGCGACTACTTTGAGCCTCTGATGGCCGAATGAAGATGATTGACAGGAGCTGCGAAGCGGTGGCAGAGGGCAAAAGAGAGGTGAGGCGCGCGATGCGGTGCTTCGACGCGCGCGCGGCGCAGCACAGCCACGGCGCTCGGCACTCGGGCGGCGCAGCGAGCACCGCCTTGGCCTCGAGCATCCGCGCGGCCGTGCGGGGCACGCTCCTCCCTCCACAACCTCCATCCCGCCTCAAGCAGAGAGAGGGAGCGCAGCCATGGCGCTCGACGCCGCCAACTTCCTGCTGCAGCTGCATCGCGACTCCTCCTCTTCGCGGCAGCTCGAGCTGCGTGTCCCGCCGCCTCTGCACTCCTCCATAGACACACCCTCTGCGGCGCCCTACTACACCTACGAACGCGCCGCCTCGCGCGCATACGGGGCGCAGCTGCTCGATGGACACGCACGCGTGCTCCTCGCCGAGTGGCAGAGCGCAGGGAAGAAGCAGGGCGTACTGGGCCTGCGACAGCCCGACGGAGAGGTGAAGGTGACGAAAGAGAAGGGCTGGGCATGTGAATGGCGCTGGGAGTGGGAGGGGTGAGTGTGTGCCTCTTTGCCTCGTCGTGCACAGCCGGCGCTGATGGAACGGACAGGGAGACATATCAGTGGAAGCGCGAGACAAATGCGCTGGGCATGAGTGGCGGCAAGGCGGGCTTTGCGTGCGACATTGTGCGCAAGCCGGATCCGAGCGTTGCGTGAGTGGTCGCCCTCCAACAAAAGCGTCGCCTGTCGCTGATGCCAGGTGGAGGACAGCGTCGCACGATACAAGCCGGCGTTGAAGGCAAGACCGGCGCAGCTCGAGGTGCTGGATTACAACCTCCTCCGCGTGCGTCTTGCTCCGCCTTCGCTCTCGGCCAGCTACGGCATCTGACGCTATTGTACAGATCGATATCGCAGATCGCAAAGGGCTGGAAATCACCCTCATCTGTGTCCTACTGGCGCTGCTGGATGGCGAGGGAGAGGATGCGCTTGGCGACAGCGCAGAGGAGGGCTCACCGGCTGCTTCGCCTGCTGCGACGGATGCGAACAAAGTGCTTGCGCCTGCGGCTGCGCCGGCGCAAGCGGCGGCGAAGCTGGCGAGCAATGAAGTGGAGATCACTCCTTACGGTGAAGTACGTCCCCTCCCTCGCACTCTCCTCTGCCGCTCTCTGATGCCAGCCCATTTCTTCAGGAAGCAGCGTACATCAAGCACTGTCTGTCTCTCCTCCGCTGCGATGCAGAAGGCACGGGCATGGACTTGATCATCCTGCAAGCGCACTCTGCAGATGCGGCGAGGAGGGCTGTAGGCATTGCAGCGGGGGTTAAGGGAGCTTACTATCGTGCGTTCAGCTCCACCCTACAACCCATCGAGCCGTTTACTCATGGAGATGCGGCCTTGCAGGACTGCCGCAAGCAGCGAAAGGCAGCAGTGCCGACCCGACAGCCGACGGCGCAGGCGAGCTGTTCCAATACGTGCGCGAGCCGGGTCGCAGCTCCGCCGCATCGTCTGCGGAGACGCTCGCACAGTCCATCGCCGCCGAAGCGCGCGCTCGTCCTCGCATCCAACTCAACGCGCCTGCCGCAGGCAGCAGTACTCCACCGCCGCAGCAAGAGCCGAAACGGCCGACGTCGATGCAGTACGCTCCGCCAGAGAGACTCAGCATCTACCTGAGCAAGCTGCGCATCGCTGAGCTGGAGCGCGTGCAGCCTCCGCCGCCTCGTACTGCTCCGCCAGTGCGAGCTGCGCCTCCTCCGGCACTGGCGCCAAGTCCGGGGCCGAGACCACGGCCGCGCTCACAGGGCCCGTCACCGACGCCGCCGAGTCCGCCTGAGCCGGCCAAGGAGCAGAAGGAGCCGCGAGGCGTGGGCAAGTTGCTGGGCAAGCTGGGAAGGAAGCATGCCGAGGAGCACTAGCGTAGCAATCAATACCCTCTCGAGACGACGGAGCGCTGATGATGGGAATCATTGAGTGTGTGTGTGGCGTGAGGGTGGTGATACAGAGGTTGCGCTGCCTTTGCCGCGTGCAGTGAGAGAGAGAGGGTATGCGAGAGCCAACCGGGCTAGAGTGAGAGCGATGCGCTTCAGACCAGCGAAGCAGCGGCCGCCTCGTCCGGATCCGCTCCCGTCGCATCGAGATCCACGGGCGGTTGGCCATCCGCCATCTCCTCGAGCGCCACGATCAGGCCGTCAAACTCCTCCTGCAGCGTCTCCTCCTCAATCATGCTGCCGAACATGCGCGTGTTATGCAGACGCTCCAGGAATGCCTGTGCGCGGAGCGGCGAGGTCAGAAGATGCAGATGAGAGGGAAGTAAGGGAGAGGGGGAGAGGACTCACTTCCTTCCAGCGAGGCCCGTACTTGTTGGGCCCGCGAGGCTTGCGCTCCTTCTTTCCACTCTCGCCATTCACTCCCACTGCAGCAGCAGGCGCAGCAGCGACAGGCGTCGCCGGCGGCTGACTTGCGCTGGCGTTCATCTTCGCCGGCGCGCTCTTCCTGCCCTTCTTCGCGGGCGCAGCAGGCGTCGCCGCGGGCGCAGGCGCCGGTGCGGGCTCGGGGTCGGGAGGAGGAGGAGTGCCGAGGCCATCGTAGAGCACTGGAGAACGAGGAGGCGCAGGCGGGATCTTGGGCTTGTTCTTGCTGCCTTTGGGACGGCCACGACGTCTCTTTGGCTGTCCGTCAGGACCGAGCTCGACTGACGCTGCCGGTGCTGGAGCCGCGACAGGAGCGGGAGCAGGGACGGGAGCCGGCGGAGGTGCGGCGGCCTTCGGCGCAGGAGCAGGCACCGGAGGAGGAGGCGCAGCGGCCTTCTTGCGCCGCTTGGGCGCTGGCGCAGCGGGCGTCGGAGCGGGCGGCGGCGGTGCCGGTTCGGGCGCAGGCGGTGGAGGTGCAGCCTTGGCAGCCTTCGACGCCGCTGGCGCCTTGCGCTTCTTGCTCTTCGCAGCGGGTGCAGGTGCAGCGGGTGCGGCCTCTGCTGCTGCGGTGGCGGTGGTCGTCACGGGCGACGCTGCTTGGGGAGAAGCATCGCCGGGCGTGTAGCTCGAGTAGAGCGCGTGGGGATGAGAGCCAAGCATCGGTCCGCCGAGCGACATCATCTGAGCTGCGCGTGCCACCGGCTGCGCTTGACGGTGCACTTCGTGCGGCGAGATGAAGGCTTGCTGTTGTTGCGACTGCTGCTGAGACTGCGACTGCGACTGCGACTGCTGCTGAGGCGCTGCTTGGCGCTGCGAATGCTGGGGCTGCGCCTGCTGCTGCGAATGCGACGTGGCGTAGTTGCCGTACCCGAGCGAAGTCGACTGCTGCGCCTGCGCCGATTGCTGCTGGTACGCAGCTGCCGCGTAGCGATCGCGCGACGAGAGACCAGCGCTCGCGATGCTGTACTCATGCGAGTTGCCGCCTGCACTGCCGCTGCTCCCGCCCCGCGCAGCAGTGGGCGGATAGTGCGCCGACCAGCTCTGCCCCGCCGAGCCGTTGATGTTGTGTGCATCGTGCGTGGCCGCAGCGCTCGTGCTGCCACTGCCGCTGCGCGACGCAGGCGCGGCGTACTGCGACGCCCAGCTCTGGTTCTGCCGCGGCGCGTTCGTCGGGTAGCCCTCTGCGGCGCCCGTCGTGCCCGTGCCCGAGGCCGAGGCGGAGCCGGAGCCCTCGCCGGACGTGCCGTTGAGCGAGCGCAGCAGGTTGGCGACGTCGACGTCCTGCTGCAGACTGCCGTGCGTGGCGCGGCCCTGGCGCTGCTGCGGAAATGAGGCGGTGGAGGCGCGCGAGGTCGGTGCAGCAGCGGCAGCAGCGGCCTGCTGACGACGCGGATCCCACGAGGGCAGGTTGGAGAGGTGCTGCTGCTGCTGCTGTTGCGCCTGTGCCTGCTGCTGCTGCTGTGCGAAGTGCGACGAGGCACTGCGGCTCCAGTCGTCGCCTGCGCCGGAGTGGTAGGCCATCGCGAGGCCGAGGTGTTGGAGTGGAGTGACGTGGAGAGGTGGAGCGTGCGAGCTCGACGCGTCCAGCGGGGTTCAGGAACGGCGCGTCGTGGCGGAGTCGCTCTCGCACCTCTGGCGCCCCGCCAGCCAATGCCGCCGCTCTTGGGTCCTCGCCGCCGTACGAGAGGCCGGCATCGGCGGCGGTGCCGCTGCTCCACCTTCGTTCCCGCTCCCATCATCCCCGTCCACGCCGCCGTCTCACTCCCTCCGAAGCGTCTCTGCCAGCCGTGCTGCTCTAACTTCGCCACGCGCCGAGCTCTGAGCGCATCGAGCCGTGCTTCCGCCTCGCGCCCTCGCCTCGCGCCCGGCCCGCCGCGCCCGTCGCCCGCCATGGACGTCTCCTCGCTATCGCAGCACGGCGAGTCGCCTCTCTCGCCGCCCTCGCATGCGCCCGACGATGTCGACGACGACTCCAGCACACGCGATGTGCTGCGTGACGACTATCACTCTGGCGAGACGCACGAGCAGTCGCACGAGCACCAGCACGGGCACAGCGGCGAGCTGGAGCACGACGAGTCCTACACGCAGGACGTCGACATGCACGGTCTGAATGAGGCGCATCAGCAGCATGAGCAGCACGACCAGCGTCTCACAGACGAGGCGGCACACAACCTCGTCACCGAGGTCATCCTGGCGCGGCTGGCCGAGACGAATGCGCAGGCACAAGCGCAGCAGCAGCAGGCCGCCATGCAGCAGGGCGACGACGGCAACGGAGGCGAGGCCTCGACGTCTGCACCTGCGCCGCCTCCTCGGCAGAAGCGAGCGCGCACCAGCACGGCAAAGATCACGCGTCATCGGCCCATCACTTCGTGCCTGCAGTGCCGTGCACGCAAGGCAAAGTGCGATCGTGCGCGTCCGCGATGCGGTGGATGTCCGGCAGACAGTCCGTGCACGTACGTCGATGCGGACATGCCTACCGAGGCGGTGGTGAGCTCGATTCAGAACATCCGGAAGGCGGAAGAGGAAGACGAGGCGCGCCGTGCTGAGGCAAAGTGAGTCTCTCCATCTCTCGTTGCCGTTTGCCGCTCGGCTGACCTCTCGATCAGACGCGCCCGCCTGCGTGGCAGCATCTCGCACGTGCCAGATCACCACAACAGCAACGCCTACGATGCCTCCGCCTCTACGTCCTCAGCACGTCACGCTCTCGTCGAGCGCACCTACGCCCTCGGCAAGCGCAAGGACCTCGACTTCGACGTTCGCGTGAGAGCATCTCGCGCTGCGGGCGTCGGCGCCATTCTCTTCTCGTGCATGCCTACCGCACGCATGTCTTCGTCGCACGGCTTTGTCCTGCCTGGCGACTTGCAGCCTCTGCATTTGCCGCAGCCCGACGACGTAGGCCCATTGCTCGATGCGTATCGAGCACACGTCGAGCCCCTCTGCAACGCCGTAGTGATCGATCTCAACCGTCCTCGCATCCGCGCCTTCCTGCGCTGGTGGCACTCCGATCCCGACAGTCTGCCTGCAGACCCGCCGCTCGTGCCGCTCGTCCTCGTGGTGCTGGCGCTGTCGGTGCAGTCGATCCGTACCGCAGGCAAGGGAGGCGAGCCGGAGGTGGATCGCTTCCATGGATGCGATGTGGAGAAGCGTCTGCTGGAGACGGCCGGTCGTTGCATCGACAACCTGCAGGTGAGCAGCGCTCGTCGCAGCGCGATGCGTACGGCAGCGCTGACACAGCGTCCAGATCGCATGCCCCAGCAACTGGTCCAGCGCCTTCAGTGCGCCTCTCGACTTGGTGCGCGCCAGCATGCTACGTGGTCTCTGGCATCTCGGCGAGCTGCATCTGCAGTTTGCCACGTCTTGCTTTGCTGGTACGTGACGCTGCCGCGTCTGCAGCCCTGGCTCTCTCGCTGACCTTGCAACAGCCACACTGCGCCTGGCACATGCTGCCGGCCTGCATCGCGATCCGAAGCACTGGAAGGGCATGGGCAAGGAGGAGGCGCAGGCGCGACGCAACATGTGGTACAGCTGTCTGATGCTCGAAGTGGTGCGTAGCAAGGAGCACCGTTCTCCCCTACGCTGCACTGCTGACGCGCTGTCCTCGCCGCGCAGACGCACGCCCACCGCCTCAACATACCCTGCTCGATCACCGGCGAGAGTTTCGACTCCGAGCTGCCCAACGACCACAGCGCGCTCGTCGGTCTCTTCACGCGCGCCTCGGAGATGCAAGCAGCCCAGGCAGCCGCCACTGGAGTCGCTGCTCCGTCGTCACGCGAGCTGCTGCCGCCCAGCCGCATGGCATTCGACTTTCATCTGGCGCGCTACAGTCTTGCCCGTCTCTTCGCCCAGCGTGGAGCTCATCCTTCGCGCAACGACCTCGTCAGTGAAGGAGGCGCCGCTCGTATTGCAGACGTGCTAGCCGAATGGCGCGCGTCGCTGCCACCGGCCTTCGAGACTGTCCTGCAGCTCGACGAAGGCCCGCTGTGCGGAGCAGGCGCGCTCGACGAGGAAGACGACCCGTACTTCCTCGGCGGCAACGGACGCCTGTCGCCCGAGGACACGCGCGAGCGCAAGCGCATCGCCTACTTCCAGCGCGTCATGCTGCGCATGCTGCACCTCCAGACTCGCATGGCCATCTATCGCCCGCAATTCGACGTCAGCGGCGCATGGCGGCCTCCGGGCGATGCACAGCGTGCCTTGAGAGAGTGCCTGGACAGCGCGTGAGTAGCCAGCCAATGTGGCGTAGTACGTGACGTGCTGAGGCTGACGTCAAGCTCCCCTGACAGGCAACGCATTGTGCACCTCGTCTCGAGTCTCTTCACGTCGAGCCCGCCGCCGCCGTTCCAGATGTACCACGCCGCCTCGCACCAGCTCTTCCAGGCCGCCGTCATCCTCAGCGTGCAATCTGCGCTCTGTTCGCCGTCCGAGGCGTCCGGCGCACACTTCCGCAGTCTGGCACGACCCATCATCGACCGCGCCGTCCATGCCTTCGACCTACTCTCCGGCAAAGCTCCGCTTCACAACGTCTGCGAGCAGGCAGCACGCTATGCGAGCACGCTTCGAGAGATGGACGCTGTGCAGCTCGCAAGGCAGGCTACAGCGGCGGCCGGCGGAGCGGAGGCGAAGACGGGAGAGGAGGAGAGCGCGGCTACGGCTGCAAACGCCTCGAACAGCATGCAGCGTGCTACGCTCGGCATCCTGAACGCGCAAGGCACGGCGGAGACGAGCACCGAGCTCAGTGCACAGGCCTACACCGCGCACGCTTCGCCTCCTTCTGCCTCTCCGTTGGGCGGAGCATCGAGCAGCGCAACGCTCGGCGGTGTGCAGCTCAGCGATGCCGTGCCGACCTCGTGGGCCGAGAGCAGTGGCTCAGGCGGCGCCCAGAGCTCGCATCAGACGGCGCAGTCTGCGCTCGAGGCGGCACTCTTCGACGATGCGTGGTGGCACAGCATCGACGGCTCGTACTCGCAACGCTCCTTCTTCCCTTCCGGACCTTCTTCGGGACCGCGAGCTGTGGACGCCACCATGGCAAGCCACGGCAACGCCCAAGCAGATGGCAGCGCGCTTGGAGAGAGCGGCTACGGTGGCCCGAACCTCCCGCCGACGGGCCTCGATCTGCTCGCGTCGCAGGTCGACCACGCACCGCGCGCAGCTGGCAACGCAGCGCCCACAAGCTGGCAGCAGGAGCAGGCCGAACGCCGTGCGGCACGCGGCGGAGGCGTGGCAAGCACGCTCGATCCGGCCCTGCAGCAGGCGCCGTGGGAGGGCGGCGGCTCGGGCGCACCGCAGCGCGCCACCTGGGACACTGAGGCGCAGCCGCAGCCGCTCTTGCCGCCGCCTGCGGCGCCGGGCAACGGCAGCAACGGCAATGGCAGTGGCGAGCCGGTCGGCGGCAACGGAGCAGAGGGCCTGGCGGCCTCGGCGCCGAGCGTGGCCTCGTTTGAGGGATGGCAGGCCGCGTGGAAGGCATGGGAGTCGTTCACTGATCATGTACTGCAGAGCGAGGGCTAGCTGCACCCCCGGGCGGGCGGCGAGGCCGTGGAGATGAAATATCGCATACCGTGTCACCTTGAGCTGAGCGAGAGACGCGCAAGGGCAACTAGAGAGACTGTGTATTGAGATCCGAGCAGCGGATATAGTAGCCGCAGCTTGCCTCGCGCCTGAGCGCTCCCCTCCCTCGCAGTGTCGCCCTCGTCGCTTACAGGCCCATCTCCTTCTCCTGCAGCTTGGCAATCGTCTGGCGCTGGATGTTGCTCGTGCCCTCGTAGATGGCTGCAGAGCGGGAGGATCAGCAAGCAGCGCGCAGAAAGAGGGGGACTCCTCGACTCACCGCCGATCTTCGAGTCGCGCCAGTACTTCTCGATGCCCGTCTCGCGCGTGAAGCCCACGCCGCCAGCCCACTCGATGGCGCTGCCCGAGACGCTCTGTGCGACCTGGGACGAGTAGATCTTGGCCATCGCCGCCTGCTTCGTGAACGGGCGACCCTCCTCCTTCAGGCGTGCGGCGTTGTACACAAGCAGGCGCGCGGCCTCGATCTCCGTGGCGGCGTCGGCCATCTGGAACTGCATGCCCTGGAAGCTGGCCACCGGCTTGCCGAACTGCGTGCGGTCGTACGCGTAGCGCACGCTCTTCTCGTACGCGCCCTGCGCAATGCCGACCATCTGCGCGCCAATGCCCACGCGGCCCTCGTTGAGAATCTCAATGGCAATCTTGTAGCCCTTGCCCTCCTCGCCAATCAGGTTGGCCGCGGGCACCTTGACGTCGTCAAAGTTGACCGTGCACGTCGACGAGGCCTTGATGCCGAGCTTCTGCTCCTTCTTGGCAATCTCGACGCCCATGCTCTTCTCGACGGCAAAGGCAGAAATGCCCTTGTAGCCCTTCGAGGGGTCGCCCTGCGCGAAGACAATGAAGAACTCGGCCTCGGCAGAGTTGGTGATCCACATCTTGCTGCCGTTGATGATCCAGTCGCCGTTCGAGTCCTTCTTGCACGTCGTCTTCATGGCGAAGGCGTCTGAGCCAGACGAGGGCTCGGAGAGGGCAAAGGAGCCGAGCTAGGGCAAAAGAGTGAGCGCGAGCGAGTGCTGCTGGCGTGCAGGGCAGACTCACCACCTCCGTCGAGAGCTGCGGCAGGTACTTGTCCATGAGCTCCTTGCTGGCGTACTTGCGCAGCACCGTGTTGACGAGCGTCTGCAGGCGGGGCATCAGGGACAGGACTTGCAGGCACACGCTGGCTGCCACTCACGTTGTGCACGTCGCAGAGCACCGAGACCGAGGCGTCGACTTTTGCGAGCTCTGCATCGAACGTGTCAGCCCGCGGCAGCTTCGCCGCCGCACGAGACACAGCGCACCCTCAATGACGATGATCGCCGCCGTGAAGCTGCAGCCCGCGCCGCCGTGGTCCTGGCTCGTCTCGATGCCCATGAGGCCCTGCTCAAAGAGGCCCTTGATGATGGCCGGGTCCATCTTCTCGTTCTCGTCCATCTCGCGGACCTTGGGCTCGACGACCTCAGTAGCGAAGCGACGCACGGCCTCGCGCAGCATCTCCTCCTCGTCGGAGAGCTTGGCGAGCGAGTTGATGCCGAAGGGCGACTCGAAGTCGTTGCTGCGGCATGCGGAGCCGCTGAAGGCACGCGAAGGCGCGGCAGCAGGTGAGGCGACGGCGCGGGAGGCAGAGGCGATGCGAAGCGAGGCGGGCGCACGGCGCGACGCGGCACCGGCGGCGCGGAGGAGGGGAGCGCGGAGAGAGGCCATGGTGTGTGAAGGGCGGTGGTGTGGTGGTGGTGCAGAGGCAAGGCTGAGGTGGCACGCAGCAGGTGACGGCACCCGCTGCCCCTCGGCCTCGGGCAGCCGCCGCCGTCGTTGGCCAGCCACGCGGCGCGGCGCATGCGGCTCGTGCCCCGCGGCGAAGGCACCGCCCCTGCGCGCCGGACGAGGCGGACGAGCGCCGCCGCCAAGCATGCGCGCGCCGTCAGCATCGCGCAGCGGCGCCAGCCTCCCGACCCGCCGGCTCCTCGTTGCTCTCTTCTCACAGCAGCACCTCAGTCGACGACGAGGGTGAAGCTCCTCCCACGTGCGGCTGGCTGGGCGAGATGCCACGCGCGCCGCCGCATGCTTCTCCCCGCACGCCGCTCGCTGCGCGCCTTGATGTCAGCGCGCGCGCGCCTCCGCAGGCTGCGTGAACGCTCGACGCCGGCGGACCGGCCCGGCAGCAGCTCAGCCGGCGCATCGCCAGCGGCCGCCCGATAGCCGCGACCCGAGATCCGGCACGTGACGCCGTCTCCCCTTCTCTCGCGGCAGCATCACCGGCTTCCCGTCGCTCCTTCGGTTTGCTTCCCTCCCACTGTCCTCCCGATGAGCTAGCTTTGGGGCCCGAAATGCGCGTATGAGAGCTGCGTGCGTAGAGAAGCTGTCAAACAGGGCCTCTGGTCTTGCAGAATGGCTGCAGAATGGCTCAGGCGTCGTCAAGATGTCGCCCGTTCTCGCGAGCACCTCAGTTCACTTGCTTTCTCTTCTCGACGCCTTCGCGGACGCCAGCAGGGAGATGCACTGTTTAACGAGCGACCTTGAATGCGACCACTGATGTGCGAGAGCTTGTGTCAGGCAAGCGCCGGAGTAGTGCGCCCGCGACAACCAAGACTGCCGCTGAGCCGCTGCGAGCTGCTGACGCTGCGCGCTGCGCTCTGCTCCTGCGCAACAAGCCGTGCTCTCCTCCTCGCCAAGTGCTGCGATGCCGTCGTGCCGCGGTGCCGCTTGGTACGAGCAAGCATGGAAGAGCGTCACAGCCCGCAGCTGCTGCACTGCCCACGAGGTCTGAGAGACGCATGCACGCGCAGGCGCAACGGCTGATCCGAGAAGAGGAGAGCAAGCTTCGCGATGCCCGGCGCCGAGAGACGAGAGCAAGGATCGTTGCCGCGCTCTGCTGCGTCCGAGAGGCGCCGTCACCATCGCAGCGCTGCCTTCGCATGCGGCTGCGGCCTCTCGCGCTGCCTTGTCTCGTCTCGGCTCCACCTCGCTGCATCTTCGCTCTGCATCCGCGAGGCGTTCTCTTGATTTGCGAATTGCAGCGGGCTGGAACTCAATCTGCGCTGCTGCTGCTCGCTGTCCCGGGCTTGCCTCCGGTGCAGCCGCTGAGACGCCCAAGATGAGCCTGCGAGAGGAGCGTTCGGGCAGCTCGCCAGCGAGAGAGAGCCGTGACGCTGCCTTGCGGCGGAAAGCCACACGCGGGCGGAGGCGGAGTCGCAGCAGCCGCAGCTGCCAGCATAGCAGCTCGAGGTGTCGTCGCTCGGCAGCGACGGGACGCCGATCCGCCCTTGCGAGCCACTTTCTCCTCTCGCGCGCCCCTCTCGCAGGCCCCCCTCTCGCGAGCTCCTATCCGTCAAGGGTGCAGCCAAGAGCAGCACGAGAGGAAGCGGCACGTGCGACAGACGCATGAAGCTCAGCGCCCGAGACCCTGACGCTTGAGCGTGCTGCAAGAGGGATGCTGCTACGGTTCGGAGTCGAACACGTCGCGGCCCCGTGCGTCTTGCACGGGGGAAAGAGGGCAGGGTTACGCGCGTGGCCGCCAGGGCCCCACGCCCCAGTTTAGCTGGTGAACGCCTGCGTGGGCGATGTTCGCGGCGCCGACCATGTCGCGGGCGAGTGCGCAGCGGCAGTGCGGGCAGTACTTGACGTCGCGCGACGGATAGCGGGCGCTGCGCGAGCGCCAGAGCGGCAGCAGCGGGGGCGCGTCTGCGCAGCGCGGGCACACCGACGACGTGAGGTACTCGTCCTGCGTGCGCCAGAGGATCGTCGCGGGCAGTGGCGTGAATGCGGCGCGCTGCATGACGGTGCGCAGCAGCGGGCCGGCGTGCGTCGGGTGCTTGAAGCCGCGGCCGCCCCCGCTGCTTGTCCCGCCGCTGTGGAGGACACGGCGTCAGTGTCGTTCAGTGCGTTCCCGGCGGCGTGCCCAGGCCAGAGCACAGCAGGTGGCCACAGCCTGCGCATCGCCAGCGTGAACTCACGGCCAGTCGCCGACGTGTGCCACGACGACGAGCTTCTTCTCCTCCTCCCACTTCTGGAAGCGCCTGCTGTAGAAGCCCGGCGCGCACGCGAGCCACTCGATGATCTCGTCAGCCGCACGACCCCTCTTCTTCTTGACGTCTTTCTTGCGGGCCTCGGCGTGCGGTGCGCCGACGCCAAAGGCGTGGCTGATGCGCGCAAAGGCGTCCGCGGCGCTGCGAACGGGCTCCGCCTTGGTGAGTGGCCGGAGAGCTCCTCGCTCGCTGGATTCCTGGGCGCCGTGAACGGGCTCCGCCTTGGTGCGGCGCTGGAGTGCTCCTGGCTTGATGGACAGCGTCTCCCAGCGATCCCAGCGCTCGCAGGCGGCCGCGTTGGCGTAGTAGCGGCGCGGGGCGTTGACGACTGGGCGCAGCCCGAGTTCTGGCGGCGGCGTGCCGGGGAACTCGATGATTGTGCCCGGCAGCAGAGGCCGCGTGCGGTGCAAGGCGGCCACGTTGGTGTTGCCCGGATCGATGCCCACGTGCACGACGGTGCTGTCGGGGTCGGCGTCGGCCAGCAGTGCCTTGATCTTGAAGTCGGGCATGCCTCGCACCAGGCCGCCAGCACGTCCGCGCGGCGGCGTAAAGTCTTCGTCGGAAGGCAGCGGCAGCGGAGCTCGGAGCGCCGCTTGCAGCGCTGCAGGAGGCAGCGCAGCGAGCCACATGGACCCGCGCGCGTACACCTCGACGTTCTGGTGCATGCTCTGCACAGTCTCCGCGTCACTGCGGCCCTTTGGGCGACGCAGATTGACGTAGAGCCAGCGGCAGTTGACGCCGTCGCTGTACAGCGTGCCCGTGGGCAGCCAGGCAGGCCGGAAGCCGAGTCTTGCCCATGGAGAGGCTCTCGGGGACCGCGACGACCGCGTCGTCGAGCCGGAGAGCAGTGCTTCGAGGCGCGTGACCGTGCCCTCAGCTGCGCCCCGGCTCGTCGCGGCCATCGCTTCGAGCGCACTCAGCAGGGACGGACGCGGCCGCCACAGGTTGCCGTCTTGAAACAGGCCGCATCGCTCGAGCCACTCGTGCTCTGTGAGAGACAGTTGCGAGGCCCACTTGCCGAGGGCAGCTAGGCGCCCGGGCGCCGCGCGGGCGACGGCTGGCAGCGAGCTGGGCGTGAAGATCTGGTGGAACGTGCCTGCGGCTTTCGGACGGCTGCGGCCTACTGCTGCGGCTGGCTGCAGGGCCCGCACCCACCCCTCCAACAGATCTACTGCCGCACCGCCGGGTAGCTCCTCCAGGAGCTCTCTTGGCGTCCGTGATGGCGTTTGGGAGGAGGCGGCCTGCATCTTCTTGAGCATGTGGAAGTCGCGGCGCCGCAGCATCTCCTGGTCCTGATGCGGCATGCCTGCGTACGAGCTTGAGGCCCCGAGCGGGGTATTGAGAGCGAGGTCAACGAGATCGCCACTGCCAAGGCACTGCTCGGCTTGGGCAAGAAGATGCGGCACAGACGCTCGCCTGTGGCGCCCCGCAGTCTGGCCGACGCTTTGGCACATGACGTGGTCCGCAAGGCTTCTGGGGACGAGGGGCCAGCCAGCCTGCAGAGCCCTGCGTGCCCGCAGCACCGAGGCGGGTGCATCAGGGTGCCGGGCCCATATGAGGAGCTCCTCCTCTGTCCAGCAGTTCCCAGCTTCTGGAGGCTCACGGCTGCGAGCCATGCCGCTGCGAGACGGGCGCACCCCACCTGCCTCGCAGCAGCAGAAGTATGCGAGCTCTGTGAAGCGGCGGTCCAGCTCCTCGTCTTTGCAGTCAGTGAGGTAGGCAGGGTCGAGGTGCTCAACCAGGCGGTCTAGCGTGGCTGCAAGGTACTGCTGCACGCCAGCAACCAGGGCTACCGTGGCAGTGAGCTCACGAGGCAGAGTTGACGAGGAAGAGACAGACGCAGTGCCGAAGATCTGTCAATGAGGGCGAGTCAGCCGCCAGTCCGCATGAGCCGCCTGAAGGCTGCGGCAGGAAGAAGGCGGCCAGGGACGCTACGTGCGACGCGAGCGGGCCGGCAGCCGCGTGCCGGCACGCGCGCCGCTGCCGTGCCGCCCAAATGATCTGCAGCACATGGCGCGTCCTCCAGCCTCCCCACCCTCACCATCCTGCGGGCCGGCTCACCTTGATGAGTGTCTTCCTCGCCTGTGAGCTTGAAGTCTCCCCACCCTCGTCCTCCTCCTCCTCCTCCGCTGCCTCGTCCCTGCTGGCAAACGGCCTGCGCTGCTTGCCCAGCTTGAGCTTGGGCTTGCGCCCAGCCTTCTTCGCCTGCTTGCCCTTCTTCTTCTTCTGCACGCGCTTCTTCGCCCACTTCTTGCCGCTGCGGCGCGTGACACGCTGCGGCGGCGTGAGGGGCGTGACGAGCGGCGAGGACGCAGCCTTGGGCACGAGGTACGTGCGAGCGACTCGCGTCTGGCGTCTTGAGAGCGTGCGTGCGCGAGCGCGCTTGCCGCGTCCGTGGGCGTCAAGCACGGGCACAAAAGGCGCGCTCGCAGAGAGGTGCCTGTCAACACGATGGAAGGTGAAGCCGCTCTGGCCGGTGCTGCTGCTGGTGTCGCGGCGGAAGCCGAGGATGTTGCGCGAGCCATGGTCATCGATCGTCGTCGGCCGAGGCTGCGTGGCGGTGCCATGCGTGCCGAGCACATAGATGTCGGCCACGGCGCAGACGGTGCTTGCGTCGGCGGCATTGCTGCCGGCAAGCGCAGCCACACGCCGGATGAGCGCATGCACTGTTGGCCGCAGCTCTGCTCCCGGACCGCTGCCGATGCTCGACCAGGCGCGAGGCAGCAGGCGGCCCTGCTCGGACGCCGTGCCACGCACTGCTCGCGTCAGGCGCGCCTCGCCGATGCCCGGCAGCCCGTTGGCATAGTCGGTCGTGCTCAGTGCCACGAGCGCAAGGTAGAGAGCCGGCGCAAAGGAGGAGGACGAGGAGAACACCTGTGGCCATGTCTCGCTCATGGCGCCGCCAAGGAGGGTGCGATCGTAGAGGAAGTGACTGCGGTAGGGCGGCGGGGGCTCGTTGCGGAGCAGCCTCTTGCGCGAGCGGGAGCGCGACGTGGCGGGCACGGGGCACACCAGCCAGCGGTAGCCCTGCAGCGTGGCGTCATGGGCCAACATGTCCCCGTCGACGGAGAGCACGGCCGTGCCCAGCGGCTGCCGCAGGGCACGCGTGATGCGCGCGATGAGACAGTCGGCCTCGTCGGGCGCTACAATATGCAGCACCCCATCAAGCCGCAGCAGCGCCTCCTCGAGCTGGTCCTCGGCGACCAGGTGGTGGCCGTCGCGGCCGCGGACAAACATGCGCTCTACGCCTGCGGCCGAGTACATGCCGTCTTGCTGCAGGTGCTGCATCACCGCAGCGCTGGCGTAGCGTAGGAGCTCCGACTCTTGGGAAGCGCGAGCCCAGTTGGCCGCGAGGACGGCGCGCTCGCGCATGCGGTGGCTGGTCGTGTCGACCTTCAGCTCAGCGACGGCGGGCCCGTCCCAGCAGCACAGCAGGCGCGCGCCGGCGCCGTGGGCAAGCTCGGCATACTCGTTGACCTGCGCCACAACACCCTCCACCACTGCCGCGACGTGAGCTCTTGCGTGTATGAGAGGGGAGAGCGCAAACTTACCCGTCTCGGCGAGCACAGACAGGTCGCGTGGCACTCTCGTGCCTGTGGCCGAGGCGTCGACCGTGTCCAGCGGGGCCGCCGATGCGGCAGCCGCGGCCAGCGGCTGGCCAGCGATGCGCGCTGCAAGCGAGTACACCAAGGGCATCGTGTCGACGACGAGGAAGCGCAGCGGCGCTCCCACCGCCACGGCATGCTGCAAGGCCGCACGCTCGCCCTGGTGCACGTTGCGCTGGCGGCCCCAGCTGATGCCGCCGATGCGCGCATGCCGGAGCGCCGCATGGCTGGACGTGGCGCCGAGCTTGAAGCCCATGGCGCCTCTGGGTGCGCGAGAGATGCGTGTGTGGGCAGAGGCTTCGAGGCAGCAGGAGCAAGAGGGGTGAGTGTGCAGCGGGAGGCGCCTACTCGCCGCTGAACCCATGGCCGCACAGCTTCGCCGCAGCGCTCTGCGTCCCTCGCCGCTGCGGCGGCACGTGCCCGCAGCTGCTTTGGGCTGTGCCCCTGACTCGGCAAGCCCGGCGCCGCTGGGCTGAAGCACTTTACGGGCGAGGTGCGTCAGCGGCACTTTGCGGTAGAACCCTGTCTGGCAAGACGTCCTGCTCACTGCGTGCGTGCATCATCCATGGGCGCGGCGGAGCCGACACCCTTGGCACGGCCGCGCTCGCACCGACTGCCGCTGCCGCATGGCCGTGCGCCGCACATGGTCCTTGGCCCTGCCGGCTGAATCGGCAGCCGGCGCAGCAGCAGCAAGCGGCAGCACGCCAGCAGCAGCGCCGCAGCAGCGCCGCAGCCATGCCCGCGGCCTGCCCGTGCGGCAGCTTGCCCGACACGACGAGGGCCCGCCACAGCATCTTCTCGGCCACCTCCTTCTCTCTCTCCCCTCCTCTCGCCCTTGTCGTGGCGCTGCGTCGCCACCATGGCCATCGAGCTCACGCTCACACACGACATCATCGACATGAACGAGCGCCTGTCGCGCAGAGCGGCGCCGCCGCTCGCCGCGCCGCACCCGCAGGCGTGGCAGAACGACGACGGCTCGCTCAACTGCTCGCCCTTCGCGCGCTGCGTGCTCGTCGACCCGGCGCTGCCGGCCGCCGGCTTCTTCAATCAGCAAACGTACGTGCTGATCCGGCAGGCACTCGAAGATGCGTCGCCCTTGGCACGGCGCAGCAGCGTGCGCCTGGGCACGTTTCTCGGCGTCGTGGCCCGCATTGCGCCGGCGGTCGCTGCGCCCGAGGAGCACTGGGCCTCGCGCGTGAGTGCACGGCTCTGCGCAGACTCGCTCCAGGCCCTGTTCTGACCCGACTCGCTGGCAGGCCGCCGCCGAGCAGATCCGGCAAGACATCTGCGCCTGGCTTGGCATGCACAAGAAGGACGGCATGCTCGACGAGCTCGTCCGCGCCGCCATCGCCGAGGACGCCGAGAACGAGGCGCAGATGTCGGGCACGGAGCATGACGCGCGCACGCCGCGCTGCGTGCCTGCCGGTGTTCCTCTGCTCGACTACACGCTCGACCGCCTGCTGCACGCCATCGCTGGCCCAGACCAGCTCTTCGGGGCGGTCATGAGCGTCAGGAGTCTGAATGAGTGGGCATGCGGCATGGGGCGCGAGGCGCACGGCCTCACTGCCGCACCAGAGCCACTCCAGCCTGCGCCGACGCCGGAGCAGGCGCTGCAGACGTGTGCCAAGGCCCCGGAGCCGCTGGCGCTCGGAGATTCCGCCTGCAGCGTGCCCACGCTGGTGGGCGTGTATGAAGACGTCCTGCTAGTGGAGAGCGGCCAGCGCCTTGACGGGCTGCTGCCAGAGGCTGCTGCGCCCGTGCCCGACGAGCAGGCCGTGCCGCAGGGCATGCCGCAGGAGTGGGAGGTGCTCGACGACGCCGCGTGGCCCGAGGACGCGGAGGCGCAGGAGGCACTGCGCGCCGGCTGCGAGGGCTCGCCCGACCACGACAACAACGAGCTGCCGGCCATCGAGCCGCCCGCCGACCGAGCTGCCGGGCTCGAGCTCACCGACGACGAGCCGCCCGCCGGCAGCTCGGACCGCGCTGCTGTGCTGCGGCAGCGCATGTCGCTGCTGGCCGGAAAGGCCAAGCTGCACACAGCGCTTGGGCTCGAGAGTCCGACCGGCTGGCGCGCGCGCTGGAATGGTGGTCTCGTCGCCGTCGACGCTGCCGATCCTCGCTTCCAGCGGCTTGTGGTGTGTGTCTTTGCCATGCCGGACCCTCCTTCCTTCCGCGCCGTTGCTGCTGCGCTCGACGATGCCGGCGTGCACGATCTCCGCCCGGTGCTGGCCGCCCTCAAGTCTAGCCCGGGCGTCAAGTCAATCAGCCGCAAGGACTGTGCGTGTCTTGCCTGCGCACCAGTATCCGCTGCTGACGCTGCTGCCACACAGCCGCTGCAAGCAAGATCGCCAAGACGCTGCGCGACCAGTCGTATGAGCTGTATGCCGCTCGCTGTCGCCGGCCGCAGTCGGAGGCTCCGAGCGCATCGCGCGCATCGCCTGCACCGAGCGCGTCAAGCGTACTGCCCCGCTCCGACCTGCCGAACGCGCTGTGCGATGCTCTGCAGCAAGAGGTGCGTGGCGGCCAGGCCTCGTTGCCGCGCCTGCGCCAGCTTGTTGTCGATGCCCTGCTCGTGCATCGAGGCGAGGAGGCTGAGCCCCGCTGGCGCACCGTGGCGCAGGAGTACGCCAGCAGCCGCGGCAGGACGGATGAGGAGCTTCTGCCAGCTCTCACGCATGCAGCTGGGCTGGGCGGCCCTGCCATGTGCGCCTGGGCCGAGGAATCGGGCTGGGGCTGGACGGTCATCGTGGAAGAAGTTGTGCGCCTAGCCAACGAGCGCCTCGCTGCAGAGCGGGACACGTTCAATCGCCAAGTTGTCCTTGACGACCAGGCTTGGCACGCCTGGCGGCTGAGCGTGTCCCACTTTCAGCGCGCCTTGCGCGTCCTCCAGCACGAGCTGCCCGAGCGCACCCGCCGGCGTCCGGCGCCCACGCCGGCATCGACTGCGGCCTCGCCTGCCAAGCGCCGCCGCAATGCGCAGCAGCCCGCAGGCACGTCGTGCGACTGCTTCAGCGACACCGCGGTCGCAGCGATTGTGGTCGCCACCGAAGCGAAGCTCACCGCACAGCGCGCTGCGGCGCGAGACCTCGACGGGGTCGCCGAGGCCCCCCGCTGGTCCTCGACACGGTCGCTGATCGCACGCACAGACGAGGTCCGTGGCGATGGCGCGTGCGGCTGGCATGCCCTGGCCGCCCACGACGACCAGGACCCCCTCGAGATGCGCCGCTCTTTCCACGCTGCTCTACTCGCCGAGCCAGAGCGTTTCCTCCTCACTGTCGACGCAGACGCCGCCGAACCAATGCTGCGCAGTGCCCTGTGCCGCAGCTGCCCCGAGCACCCGCCCGTGGGTGGCAATTCGGACACCTGGCTCGACATTGGCTCCATGGGACCCTTTCTCGCCGAGTTCCTGAGCGGTGAGCTGCAGGGCACGCCATGTCGCGCTGCAGGGCGTGCCAAACTTCTGATCTGACTCGCCTTCCCGACCCTGACAGATCGGCTAGTCGCTCTGCATCCCTCCTTTCTCTCTGCGGGCGCGTTGCAGGGGGAGACTTACCTCCCGCTACGCCTGCTGCACGAGCCACGCACCCGCGTCATTCTCCACACGGGTGGGAATCACTTCTGCGTGGCTCGCCTGCACGGCTCCAGCGGCGGTGACAACGAGCCCTCGAGTCATGGCGTGAGTGTCGTGTGTCGATGCCGCCGAGACGCCCGGCTCACTCTCATGCAGAACCAGAGCGGCGGTCGCGACAGTGACGACACCACGTCGGGCGGCCACGGCTCTCCCGACTCACTCAGCCTCCCTCCTCCTCAAGAATGGTGGCGCAGAGCCGCTCGGGCATTCCAGACTAATGCCTGGGTGTCTCTGGGGCAGCACTAGATGATATCCATCCATCTGCGTGACAATTGATGCCCGACGAAGCAAGCTCCTGCGGCGCGACAGCGGCTCGCCTCCGCCTCTTGGCCGTCGGAGGGCATCTATGGTCATTAGAGGTATCCTTCTATGCGGTGGAGACATGGTCCGCACGGGCCCGGCAACTTGGGCAGCCGCAGCAAAGCGTGGCACAGGCTCAGGCGCCCGCGTGGCCGTTCAGGAAAGCCTCGCACGGACCGGCTTCGTTCGCGTCGCGAACGAGCCGGCACGTGACTTTGCTGGCTTTCTGCGCTGCCGCCGCGCACGCCCCGCGCCTGCGACGCGCGACTGACTTGAGTTTGGGGCTACCTCGACCGGCGAGGAGCGCCAAGCTCTAAGCCGCGGAGTAGCGCTACCGGCCGGGAGAGGCGTGGGAGCGCACTCGGAGCGGTGGTCGGAGACCGAGAGCGGAAGCTTGGTGCTGCGGTGACGAATCCGCAGACGAAGACGATACACTGGCACGGGTGAGAGTGCCGGTGTCGATCGAGGCAACGCTGTTGTGCAGCGCTACACCTTCGCAGCCGTGTGACGGGCAGCGGAAGCCGAGCGTGACGTCTACAAGTAGACGCGACGCGCCGAGAGGCCCAGTCGATGAAGACTGCGGCGGCTCGGGTCCAAGGAGCTACGCCGGGGCTGGCGAAGCGACTCGATCGAGATGCGACGTCGGTGCTGGCGACGCGTCTCAATAGGCGAGAGGCCTCACCGGGGCTGGTGACGGCGGCTCGCGAAGGGGGCAGAGAGGCCTCACCGGGGCTGGTGACGGCGGCTCAGCGAACAAGGGCAGACTCTGGAGAGAGCGCGCACGAGTCAATTGCTGTGAGAGGCAATGTAAAGACAGAGGGGAATAATTGGGTGACATGTGCGCTCGGGGGCTGGCTCGCGTGAGTATAAGAGGGGAGCGCGCCTGTCGAGGAGCGAGACAGGCGCAGTGCGTCGCGCATGGCGCAAGGAGAGACACTAGGCGCAGCCTGAGTGTCGAGAGAGGAGCCGTCAAAATCGGACGGCGAGGAGGGGCGGCCGCCGGCTCAGGGGGTGATGAGCCGGCGGCATTAAGGGGCGCACGCGAGCGCTAGGTGCGAGCGATGCCTACGTCCTGCCTGTGCTCGCAGCATCAGGGTAGGTTCGGCAATCATCGCTGCGACACCCGCCGTGATGGAGGGGGTGATGTGAAAGGAAGAGGTTGAGGAGCCGACGCGGGATGAACCATGCGCGGCGGCAACGAAGGCGGTGATCGGTTGCTGGGCGTTGCGCAGCGGCGTGTGCGAAGGCGGTGGCGCCGGCTGTGACGAGCGTGAGCAGCGCGATCGCCCCTACCTCTTCCAGATGACGAGACGCGGGGATCGGAGGCGAGCGGAGCGGCGAGTCAAAGATTGTTGGAACAAGAACGGTCGGCGAGACGAGGCGGCGGTGAGGAGACGAGTGGCGGTGATGCGAGGCGTCGCAGGAAAGGGCGCAGTGTCGGCGACGATGAGGCGTCGGCGCGTGCGTCCCGCAGCGGCGTCGGCACGGACCGCGAGATCGCTCTATAGGGGCTGCGCGACAGGGGCCGGCGAGCGACGGCGACGAAGCCGTGGCGTCGCACGGACTCTGCGATGTGAGGCGCGCGCAGCCCTGATCGCAATTCGACGAAGCCGTGGCGTCGCACGGACTCTGCGATGTGAGGCGCGCGCAGCCCTGATCGCAATTGCGGCGGCGGCGGCGACGCGCGAGAGCGAGATGCGCCGCGAGGCGACTTGATGAGACCCGCGAGGGATGCTGCTCGGCGTTGCTCTGACGCTGCTGGCGGCTGTCGTGCCTGCACCTGCACCTGCTGCAGGCATCGCCGAGCGCCGGCGCGGCACTCAGACGCATCGGAGCAGCTGCCCCGCGCCACCTCGCGCCGCTGTCCTTCCCTGCCGCGCTGCCGAGCCGAGCAAAGGGTGCCGCGCGCGGCGCGTGCGGAGCACGGCAGAGCAGCAGGGCACGGCAGCGGTCGCAGCGCAGCAGCACGACGACGACGCCCACCTCCCGCTCGTCTGCCGCCGCCTTCGCAGCGCAGCGCGCCGCCGTCCGACTTGCGACTTCTCGCTCCGCCGCTCCCGTCCTGCACCTGCACCTGCGTCTTGCAACTGACTCTGACCGCTGTCGCCGCCGCTGCCCGGGGCCTGTCTTGCTGTCGCAGCGCCGGCCTGGCTCGTCGCTCCTCCTTCTCCTTCTCCTCCACCCCATCACTCACTCACCCGCGCTTCTCTGCTCTGCTGGACACGCTCCGCCTTCTGGACCTGCACTCAGCGCCTGCATCTCGCCGCCCGCGACCCTTCTCGCCGTTCCGTCGTCGCCGCCGCCGGCCTCGCTCGGCCCTCGTCGCACCTCTCCCTTTCCCTTGCGTCGGCCAGTCGGTGCCGACCTGAGCCGCCACGCTGTCGTCTCGCAAGCGTCCCGCCTCGTCTCCGGCCGACTCGGAAGTCGAGCTTCCCACCGTCGCCTCTCAGCAGCAGCAGCGCCAACAGCAGCAGGCCGGTCCGCCGCGCTTTGCCGACGCCGTCGCCGCCGCCGTCGCAGCCAGCGGCGCTGCGGGCTCCGGCTCCGCCGCTGCGCCCCCCAGCAGCAGCTCGTCGTCGCAGTCGCGCGACGAGGGCCGCAAGCACAAGAAGCGCCCCACGCCGCCGCCGCCGCAGCACGAGCTCGAGCTCGAGGTCTCGACGTCGGTGCACCAGCTGCAGGCGCAGCACGAGCAGGCGCAGCAGCAGCAGCGCACCGCGCATCCGCGCCTCGAGCGCAAGAGCTCGCAGCGTGCCCTGCCCAGCAGCAGCAGCGCCGCGCAGAGCTATACGCATCTGAAGAACTCAAAGAGCCTCTCGGGCGCCTCGCCGTACCGCAGCGCGCACCACCAGTCGGCGCCGCGAGCTGTGCCGCGCACGTCGCTCACCTCCAACAGCAGCTCGGCCGCGGGCTTCTCCGGCTCGCCGCCGTCGTCGTCTGCGTGGCCGCAGGCCTCTTCGCCGCCACGCTCCACCGGGCCTGCGCCCATTGAGCTCAGCCCGACCGTCAGCGCCGCCGAGCTGCCTTCTGCGCCGTCGTCCGACGCTGCGCTCAACCCTGCTGGCAGTGCGCCGTCTCCCACACAGCGCCTCTACCCCTCTCCCGCCGTCTACACGACGGCAGCTTCCTCCTTCCGCGCCTCGCAGTCGGACCACTCGCATCGCGCCGGCTTTGCCAGCTCGCCGAACAACTCGTCGTACTTCCGCGCCTCGGCCTCGCCCGCCGGCAGTGGACAGTCGCCGCCCGCCAGTGCCGGCTCGCCTCCTGCCTCTGCCCTTGCGCAGGCGCCCATGACGAACTCGTCGACGCGCAACAGCACGAGCGGAGCGGGTGCCTTCTCCTTTGGCTCCCCTCCCTCTCACCCCGACACGGGCAGCCCGCACGGCTCCGAGACGCAGTCGCAGAGCGCCTCGGTGGGCCCGCCGCTCGTCAAGCGCGGCACCAGCTTCACCATGATGGACCTCGACGAGTCGCTGCGCGCGCTGTATTTTGCGCCCATGCCCCTCGTCGTGCTTGACAGCAACCGGCAGGTGCGCATGTGCAACCGGCCCGCCGAGATCGTCTTTGGCGTCAGTGCGCCGGCGTGCGTGGGCCAGCGCTTCGAGAAGTGGGTGGCCAAGAGCTCGATTGTGCAGTACTCGCTGGCCTTGAACGAGGCGTCGCAGTCGTCAGTCGACAAGCAGTGGGCCAGTCCGACGACGACGCGCCTGGCGCTCCTGACCGGCGAGGAGCAGCGCCTGATCCAGGCGGACCTGAGCGTCTCGGCCTGGTTCACGAGCGACCAGATGTTTGACTCGAGCGACACGCACGCCAGCACGCCGCAGCCAAACGCCATGCGCAGTCTCGATCAGCCCGTGCCGCGCCGCTCGGGCTCGGGCATTGGCAACAGCGGCAACAATGTGCCGCTGCTGCACGAGGCCATGTTCACGATCGCCGTCACGCCAGTGTAAGTTGCGCGCGCGCGCAGATGCGAGCCTGGTCTATGCGCTGACACGTCGCCACACAGCCGCACCGCGCAACGCCGCATGAACGCGGCCGAGAGCCACATGAGCAAGACAGACCAGCTCAAGGACGCAGTGCTGCACAGTCTCGACACGGCCGTCATGGCGCTGAGCTGCGACGGCACGGCCGTGGTGCGCAACCGTGCCTGCGACGAGGTGCTGTCGCTCTTCACCGTCGAGGCGCCCAAGCAGACGGCACTCGAGGCGCCTGCAGAGGGCGAGGAGCAGGATCCGAACAACGCCAACACGTCCATCGACCTGACGTGGCTCAGCAAGAACATGAACTGCTACGACGAGCATTTCCAGGGCCCCTTGGATGTGAGTGGCGCCGACTTGCGCGCGCTGAGCGCTTTCACTGACGACGCGCTGCCTGCAGGAGAGCAAGTGGCCAATCTACCGCTCTGCGGTGCTGGGTCAGCGCACCGAGCCAGTCTTCATCGGCTGCGAGCACCCTGTCACGCGGGAGCGCACGGTGCTGGAGATTATCGGCAAGCCGATGCGCGACTCGAGCGGCCTGGGCGAGCACATTGGCGGCATCATCACGCTGAGAGATGTCACCGACGAGCGCAAGAAGCGCACCGAGGACATCCAGGAGCAGGGCGATGCCTACTTCAAGCAGACGTGCGACGCCATGCCGCAGCTGGTGTGGGTCACGACGCCGACGGGCTACCACGAAGTGAGTGCCGCCGCGCGAGACTGACAGTAAGCGTTGGCTAACCGCACACACGCGCAGTGGTACTCCAAGTCGTGGTACGAGTACACGGGCGCCAAGGAGCACGAGACGCAGGGCGCCGGCTGGCAGAACATCTTCCACCCCGAGGACATGCCGGAGAGCAGCAAGCGCTGGAGCCACTCGCTGCGCACGGGCGACCTGTACGAGACGGCGTACCGTGCGCGGCGCCACGACGGCATGTGGCGCTGGATGCTGGGGCGCGCACAGCCGGTGCGCGACCAGAACACGGGCGAGATCAAGAAGTGGTTCGGCACGTGCACCGACATTCACGACCAAGTCGAGGCGCTGGCGGCCAGCCGACAGGCACAGGCGCAGCTCGAGAGCGTCATCAACCAGGCCGCCATGACGCTCTGGGCCGTCGACCGCGAGGGCGTCGTGACGCTGGCCGAGGGCCCTGGCGTGCGGCAGCTCAAGCTCATGGCGCCCAGCACGCCGATCGGCTCCGAAAAGGGCGATGCGGCGCGCTCGGAGGACTTCCGCGAGCGCGCCAGCGAGGACGGCGGCCAGCACCACAGCGGCAGCAACTCGAACAGCAACAGCAGCGGCTCGCGCCCGCGGCACACGATGATTGGCCGCTCCATCTACCACGTCTGGGACTCGTCGGACATCCGCACGGCCATCCAGCGCGCGCTCCACGGCGAGTCCGTCACCGAGGAGATGGAGATCGACGGGCGCTGGTTCCGCACGAGCTACAACCCGCTGCGCGCCTCTGACCCCGATGGGCCTGCCATGGCCATCGCCGGCGAGATCGAGGAGGAGGCGGCCGACGACTCGGAGATCATCGGCGTCGTCGGCGCGTCGATGGACATTACCGAGCGCAAGCGCGCCCAGATCCGCATGGAAGAGTCGCTCGTGGAAAAGTCGCGCGCGCTGGCTGCCGAGGGTGCCGCGCGCGAGGCGAGCCGGCTGAAGTCCGAGTTCCTCGCCAACATGTCGCACGAGATCCGCACGCCCATCGCCGGTGTCATTGGTCTCTCGGAGCTGCTGCTCGACGAGCGGCTGAGCCCGCAGCAGCGCGACTACGCCGAGACGATCCAGCGCTCGGCCGAGGGTCTGCTGACGGTGATCAACGACGTGCTGGACTTCAGCAAGGTCGAGATTGGCAAGCTCGACGTCGAGCGCGCGCCGTTCAACCTCGAGGTGGTGCTGCGCGACCAGAAGCGCATGCTCAGCTTCGCCACGCAGAAGAAGGGCCTCGAGTTCCGCGACTCGGTCGAGCTGCGCTACAAGGGCCTCTTGATCGGCGATGCGGGCCGTCTGCGGCAGGTCATCACCAACATCCTCACCAACGCCATCAAGTTCACGTCGCGCGGCCACATCTCGCTCGACGTGCTCGAGGTCAGCGAGGACGCCAACAGCCTGACGGTGCGCTTCGACGTGCGCGACACGGGCTGCGGCATTGCGCCCGAGACGCTCTCAAGGCTCTTCCAGCCCTTCAGCCAGGCAGACCCGTCGACGGCGCGGCGCTTCGGCGGCACGGGCCTGGGCCTGAGCATCTCCAAGAACCTCGTCGAGCTGATGAGCGGCCAGATCGGCCTCAACTCGGTCGAGGGCCAGGGCTCGCATGCCTGGTTCATCGTGCCGTTCGCCAAGGCCAAGCCCGACGAGATCCGCGCGCAGGTCGAGACTACGCAGGAGCAGGCGGCCATCGCGCCCAACGGCGGCATGCCGGGCCTCGACCGCAACCCGCTCTCGCGCCCGCGCAAGGACATCTGGATCCTCATTGCCGAGGACAACCTCGTCAACGCGCAGATCGCCAGCAAGAACCTCAAGAAGATGGGCTTCAGCTGCCGCACGGCCGAGAACGGCCTGCTGGCGCTCGACGAGCTGCACCGCAACACGTACGACGCCGTGCTCATGGACTGCCAGATGCCCGAGTGCGACGGCTACGAGGCCACGCGGCTGATCCGCAACTCGAACAATCCGGAGACACGCATGCTGCCCGTCATTGCCCTCACGGCATCGGCGATCAAGGGCGACCGCGAGCGCGCACTCGAGGCGGGCATGGTCGACTACCTCGCCAAGCCCGTTAAGCGCGCCGCCCTCGAGGCGACGCTCTGCCGCTGGCTGTACGACCAGGACGCGCGGCAGTGCCTCTCGCGCTTCTGCGCGCCCGTGACGCCCGGCTGGGGTGCGCCGCCGCCGCCGGTCGCGGGCCCTTCAAGCAATGCGCCGGCAGCCAGTGGTGGCGAGTCATTGACGCCGTCGCTCGAATCGCACACCACGCGCTCCGAGTACCCTTTCCCGGCCGAGGTGGCTAGCGCGTTCCCGACGGCCGTGGCACAGGCATCAGTGGACAATGCCATGTCGCCGCACTCGCTGCCCATGGCGCGCAAGGGCAGCGCTGGTTCGGCAGGCGGCCATTCGGCGAAAAGCCACACGAGCAAGGCGAGCATCGGCACGGCTTCCACTCGCACGCTTCTCGTCAACACGTCAGACGCGCTCGGCGCCGCAGCAGCACTGCTGGCGGCCCGGCGCTCATCAGACGAGGCCTCGCCACTGCGAGTGCCGCCACGACCCTCGATGATGCCGCGCAGCAAGTCGCATACACACGACAGCGGCAGCGGCAGTCGCTCCAGCCGCTCGCGCGCACATGCGGCACCGTTGCTGCGCCGCTCGAGCCGTGAGCAAGGCGGCATGGGCCGGGATCTCGAGGGCGAGGTGCTCAAGGCGGCCGCTGGCCTCTCGAGCGAGCCGCGCCTCGGTGCAGCGATGGAGGGCGAGGGCGACGTGAGCGTCGAGTCCGTTGCCTCGAGCGCTCACACCGCCGCCGGGCCTATCGAAGAGGAGGGCCCCGACGACGAGACGCGAGATGTAGACGGCGACTCGCCCATGGTTACTACGTAAAGGAGAGCACATGGATCCGCAATGCACTGTACGATAGCTCCCGACTTGCAGCGTGTGTGATCTGCGACAGGCCAGCGTGAGCCGAGGGGAAGCGGAGTGAGCCGGCTCGGAGGGGCGGCGCCGCAGGAGATGAAGCGCAGAGCTCGGACCGCGGCTGCAGACGTACAGCGCGGCTGAGATCTGCGAGGGCTGCGCTTGGTCCTCATCTGCCCTGTCTCGAGGCTAGCGCCGCTGCATCTGCACCCGAGGCGGGTTCCCCTGAGCCCTGCAAGGCCCTTGCGCGCGAGAGCGGACCGGCGCTCGCGCCATCTGGCGCTAGCGAGGCGCGCGCTGCGGCGCGCTCATGCCCCGCCTGACCGCCCGACAAGCCTCGCCCGTTGGCATGCCGCTCGCCGGAGCCATGCAGCAGCAAGCGGACCGGCAGCTCATGCTGCCTCTCTTGCTTCCCACCACCATCAAGTCACCATGAAGAAGGCATCGCTCGTTGCGCTGCTCGTCGCCCTCGTCTCGTGCGCGCAGGGCACCACCGTGCAGGCTCCCAATTTGAGCGCACAGCCTGATCGTGCCAACGCTGTGAAGGCGGCCTATGTCAAGAGCTACAAGTGAGTTGCTTTGCCTCTGCGTCAGAGTCACCCGACGGCTGTGCAGGCAAGCACTGTCGGCCTGTGCGCTGATGCGGCTCTTGCGCAGTGCTTACCTGCAATACGCCGAGGGCTCTGATGGTGAGTGGCCCTCCGCGGCTCATCATACGCTGTACTGTGCTAAACCTGCACCTTTCAGAGCTGCTGCCGCTATCTCGCAAAGGCGACGGCGGCTTCGGCAACTGGGCCGCAACAGCCATCGATGCGCTGAGCACGCACCACCTCATGGGTCTCAGCGACCTCTTCTCGCGCAGCGTCGCGTTCGCCGAGAAGGTCGACTTCAGCCGCACGACGCAGTCAAGCATCAGCATCTTCGAGACTACGATTCGATACGTCGGTGCTCTGCTCTCAGCCTATGAGCTCGACGGAAAGCGCAATGTCAAGCTGGTGCAGCAGGCTCAGGTGATCGGCGATCACCTGCTGCGAGGATGGACGGACAACCACGATTTGCCGTACAACACGCTGCGCGACTGGAACAACTTTGGAGGCCCGCAGACTGATGGTGCCATCATCGCCGAGACTGGCACACTGGTCATTGAGCTCGATCGCCTCTCAAAGTTCTCGGGCAACAACACGTACCGAGAGTTTGGAGTGCGCGCGATGCGCGCTACCGTCGAGTCGAAGCAGAGCGTGAGCAGGTTGGGAGGCAGGCGTAGAATGAGCTGCTGACGCGGAGTTTGGCAGCTTCCGGATGGCCTGTACGGCCAGCAAATTGACCCAGAGACGGGCGAGGGCTCGAACCTCATGACGGTGCGCTGCCTTCCGGGACCTGGCGTCACAAATCACGACTGAGTCTCCTCCTCTGCAGTGGGGCGGAGGCAGTGACTCCTTCTTCGAGTGCGTCACTGAAGCGTGGGACGTTGGTTGTTCCTGCTCATCATTTGCCGCTTGTCAGATACATGATCAAGTACGCACAGCTCATTGGCCGTCCGAATGATATCTGGGCGCCGGCATGGATCAAGACCGTCAAGGCTTCCATCCAGCATCTCATCACGCGCGCCGGCGGCACGTCCAAGCAGCTGTGAGCCTCTCTGACTTTCTCTTCTGCCGCTCTGCTGACCCGAGCGTCCGGACGCAGCACCTACCTGACCGACTACACCACCTCTTCCGGTCAGATTCCGCGCTGGTCTCACCTCGGATGCTTTGCAGGCGGCAACTGGATCCTCGGTGGCCGCCTGCTGCGGAACGATGGCATCGTCCAGTACGGTCTTGAGCTTGCTGAGAGCTGCATCAACACGTACACCAGCAGCGCGTCGGGCATCGGCCCCGAGTCGTTTGTCTTCAAGACGCAGAGCGGCTCAAGCAAGTGCGTTGTGCGTGTGGAACGTTCGGCTACAAGCTGACTTGCCCGCCATTGCAGTGGCGTCACGATCAACGACCCAGCCGGCTACTACGCCCGAGGCTTCGACTACGACAGTCCTGCGTATATTCTGAGGCCCGAGGTGCTCGAGTCCGTCTTCTACGCCTACCGCGCCACGGGCGATACGCGCTGGCAAAATCTGGCGTGGACGGCGTTCCAGGCGCTGCGGAAGCACTGCGAGAGTGGCAGCGGTGCCTGGGCCTCCATCAACGACATACGCAAGACGAACACGGAGCAGATCGACAACAGCGAAAGCTTTGTGTATGCCGAGACCCTCAAGTATCTCTTCTTGACGTTCGCGGATCCGGATATTGTCTCGCTGGTGAGTCCGCCGGAGGAGGGTGAGAAAGATGAAGCTGACGCAAGCCGGCAAAGGACACGCACGTTTTCAACACCGAAGGCCATCCGTTCCAGATCGATGATCCGGACGCCGACTTCACCTCACTGCCCGTCGGCACGTTGCCCACGCCCTCCGGCTCAGCCAAGGGCAGCTCTCGCACCGCAGAGGACGTGCCGGCGCCGCTGCTCAGCGGCCTGCCCGCGGGCCTTCGGCTCTTGCAGAGCGTCGCGGAGGGCGTGCAGAAAGTGCTGGGCCGCGACGAGCCTGCCGCTCCGGCGCCTGCGTCCGGGCCTGCCGGCATGCATCGCCGTCGTAGCCCTGCCGCTTTCTTCTAGTCTGCCACCACATCGCTTCCTTCAAGCGAATGCCCACCTCATCTCATTCCGCCGCTCGCTCCTCCAAGGCCTCTTGCGCCGCCGGCGTCCCGCTCCGCTTTGCCCAGCTCACGCAGTAGTGCGAAAGCAGCATCTCGAGCTCCTCCACCTCATCCAGGCCCTCCAATCTCGAGAGCCTACATACAGCGCCATCAGCGTTCGCTCCTCGTTCGCGAACGCGTGCTCAACTCACCTGACTCTCTCCTCCGCCGGCAATGCGCTCCAGACGTGCTTGAGACTCTGCGCCTCGCTCTGCGTGCTGTCCCCTTCAGCACAAGCGCTCAGAGTTCGCTCAAAGAGTCCCGCGTACGCCTCGGGCGTCGTCAGGCCTCGCGCGCCGGGCAGATCCAGGCCTCTTGCGCCCAGGTTTGACAGCATGACCTGTCCGAATCTGCTCGGCGCTGTTCCTGCGGCCGTAGCTCCGGCATCGCCGCCGATGCACATGTCATAGGCGAGCACCTCGAGCTTGCCAAACCGCTGCGCGAACCACTGCAGCAGCGCTTGAGAAGAAGCAGACGGAAGATAGGCGAGCACGCATTCGGCGAGCAGCAGCGTGGGAAGCGAGGCGTCGAGCACGGAGAGGAGCGACTCGGAGATGTGAGATGCCGAGCCTTCGTCTAAAGAGGAGGGAGGCGCAGTGGCGATCTGACGAAGATCGCACGGGAGGATGTGCAGACGAGAGGTGTGCAGAGCACTGCCGTTTTGCTCTGCGCCCCAAGCATGCGCAATCAGCGCTCCCACTTCCTCCTCTTCTTGCGGCTACGCGACTGTCACTCACCGACGCGCATGCCCTGCGGTCCAGTCCCGCCCACTCGCTTCCGCAGCGGCTCAGAGCGCGCAATGCGCTCAATCTTGGCGCGCGTCAACTGCGGAAAGTCGAGCTCTACGTAGCGTGCCAGACGAACGTCGAGCTTCTCTTCTGCCTGCGCGAGGAGAGGAGAGGGACCACGTGAGCGTGCAGACTAGGCGAGGTGAGGGTGCGGCGCACCTGTATCCGCCAGAAGCGCGCGTCACTCCCCGCTCCCAGGCTGACGATCTGTTTCTTGCCCTCGCCCTCGCTCAGGAACCTCTCGACGCATTCGTCGAGGCGCCGACAGCGCAGCGCCGTGCCGATGTTGATGATCGGCGGACGACGCGGCAGTGGCTGTGGCGTGCCCATGGGCACGAAGTGCGCTGAAAATGACTCGGAAGGGAGATAGCCTGCGCGCATGGCCGAGAGGCGGGAGAGGAGAGCATCGGAGTCGGTCGCGCGCACGGCTTGGTCGGAGGCGAAGGTGGAGGAAGAGGGCGCGCTAGAGCTACCAGCGACGCCGTCGCTGCCTGGAGCGGCGGCGCGGCGCGAACGAGGCACGCCGAGCGAGAGGCCAGACATGACAAAGGTGGACTGAGGAGCACGTGGAGCTGAAGGCAAACGCGACTTCGAGGTGGAGCAGAAAGAGAGGCGCAAGATGGCGGCGCTGCAGAAGGTCCGTGCAGACGCGGCGCGCTCTCGCACGAGAAGAGACACGCTTGCTCCTCCTCTGGGCCACCTCCTTCTCCCCTCTCCGACGCCGCTGCGCCTGGATCAGAGATGGATGCTGCGCCTCCTCGGCCACTGCACGGCGACCTACGTTCTGGTACCTGCATCTTGACGGCTTGCCCGGCCGGCGCGCAAGCGGGCACAAGAAGAACCGCGGCTCCGCTCTCGCAGCAGCTGCTGCCGGCTGGCTTATCGGAGCCGAGCCGCGGCGGGAGCAGGCGCTTCGGCCCCTGAAGCCCGTGTGAGGCCTCTCGCAGCATCAGCAGATGGATGCGCGGCTCCGAGAGATGAGCCACGGCGGAGCTGTCGTTGCTTGCTGCACTCAGCGCTGCAGCCAGCAGGAAGATAGCGCCGGCTCGACTCGAGTGTGGGGAGATGAGGGAGGGGGAGCGCGAGCTGTCGCTGGCCGGCTCGCGAGCCTGGAGTTGGCCGGTGCTCGCGCTCGGCCAAAGCGCCGCGCGCCACCTCAGCAGCTGCAGCGGTGCGGTGCGCGCATTTCGCCAGCCTGCGTGTGGGTCTCGTCTGGCAGCAAGGTCTGATGCGATGCTGCAGCGATGCCGGCGCTGAAGCGAGAGAGTGATGGAGTGCTCGCATAGCCGTTGAGAGCGTGCCTGAGAGCAGGCGGCGGTGTGGCGCCGCTGCTATCGACTGCGCAGCGATAGGCGAGCGCGAGAGGTGCAGCAGCGCGGCTTGTGGCGGCGGTGGACCCGTGCGCACGCTGTGCCTGGCCGGCCGGCCTGCACTTGGCCGGCGCTTGAGCTCCGCTGCGAGACGTGCGCGCCTTAAGCAGCCAGCGGCCGCCTCATCTCCTTCTTCTCCACCTCTCACACCCCTCTCACACCCACACACATCATGGCACCTACCGCCACTGCTCCAGCGGCGCCTGCGCCCGCGCCCGCGGGCAAGAAGATTGCGGCGCCGCAGCACCCGCTCGACCCGCCCTCGCAGGTGCGTGGCGCGGGTTCGCCACTCTGCCCACCTCATGCTGACTTCCATGGCAGGCCGAGATTGCGCTCGCCGCCGACACGATGCGCCCCTGGCTGCTCAAGACGGGCATCAAGGCCTTCAAGTTCGTCAACATCTACCTGCAGGAGCCCAGCAAGGCCAGCGTCATTGCTGCCGGCTTCTTCCCCGCCGGCGCCACGGCCGACAGCGCCGCCGTCTCGGCCGCCGCCGCGCCGATTGAGCGCCTGGTGAACGTGCACATCATCGACGCCATCACGGGCGAGGGCTACGAGTCCGTCGTGCGCCTCGACGCCGCCAGCGACAAGGCCGAGATCCGCAGCGTGGAGAAGCTGCCCGAGGGCGTGCAGCCGGCGCTGACGATCGAGGAGCTCTGCATGGCCGAGGAGGCGATCCGCAAGGACCCGCGCGTCATCAAGGCCGCGGCCGACGTGGGCATCACGCCGGAGCAGCTGTACGCCGAGTGAGTGGAGCAACTGGGGCGGCTGAGAGAGCTGGGCCGGCTGAGAGGGGAGAGGCAAGGGCTGACGTACGTCTCGCAGCGGCTGGAGCATCGGCTGGGACCAGCGCTTCCCGGGCAAGCGTATCCAGCAGTGCCTCACCTTTGCGCGCTTCAACAAGGACGAGAACCTGTATGCGCACCCGCTCGACTTTGCGCCCATCATCGACAACAACACGGGCGAGGTGCTGGCGATTGACTTTCCGCCGCACCGCAAGAACGGCAAGCTGCCCGGCTCCACGGCGCCGCCCACGGCGGGCTTCGAGTGCTCGGAGCGCGCGCGCATTCCGCCGCCGCTCGAGAAGCACGACTACCTGCCCGAGCTCGCCAACGCCGGCCCGTTCAACAAGGACGAGAAGATCACGATGCGCACTGACATCAAGCCGCTGCACGTCGAGCAGCCGGAGGGCGTGAGCTTCAAGCGCACGGGTACGGGTCTTATCGAGTGGCAGAAGTGGAAGATGCACATCGGCTTCCACCCGCGCGAGGGCCTCGTCCTCTCCACCATCTCGTACAACGACACCGAGGCGCCCGGCGCCTCTGCTGCCGCGCCCAAGGAGCGCCCGCTCTTCTACCGCATCTCTCTTGCCGAGATGGTCGTGCCGTACGCCGAGCCGGGCTACCCGCACTACAAGAAGTTCGCCTTGTGAGTGGCACAGCGGCAAAATGCGCTTCGGTGCGAGCTGCTGACGCACGTTCGACAGCGATGTGGGAGAGTATGGCCTCGGCTACCTCTCCAACTCGCTCTCGCTGGGCTGCGACTGCCTCGGCAGCATCGAGTACATGGACGGCATTGTGGCGCGCCACGACGGCACGGCCGAGGTGATCCCCAACGCCATCTGCCTGCACGAGGAGGACGCGGGCCTGCTGTGGAAGCACACGGACTACCGCGTCGGTGGCCGCGCCCACAACGTGCGTGGCCGCAAGTTCGTCATCAGCATGGTCTGCACCGGTGAGTTGCGCTGTGTATCTGTGCGCGAGGCAATGTGCTGACTCTGTTCCTCCAGTGGCAAACTACGAGTGAGACTGCGACGCCTTGGCTCTTCGCCCCGCGCATGCTGACGCCATCACCCAGGTACGGCATCTACTTCTCCTTCCACCAGGACGGCAACATCGAGCTCGAGATCAAGCTCTCGGGCATCCTGAACCTCTACATGCTCGACCAGGGCGAGACGCCCGCCGGACACGGCACCGAGGTGGCGCCGCGCATCAACGCCCACTACCACCAGCACCTCTTCTCGCTGCGCGTCGACCCGCACATCGACGGCCCGCTCAACTCCATCATGGAGACGAAGATCGAGCCGAGCCCGTACGCGGCGGGCAGCGAGGAGAACTACGCGGGCAATGCGTTCACGGCGCCGACGCGCATCCTGGCGACGGCCGGCGAGGGCGTGCGCGACGCATGCGCCGACGAGGAGTGAGTCGCGCCGTGCGTCGCCTACATCGCCCCATACTGACCCTTTCTTAGGCGCAGCTGGACGTTTGTCAACGAGAACCTCAAGCACTACTCGTCGGGCAAGCCGATCGGCTACAAGATCGTGTGCGACAAGCAGCCGCGCCTGCACGCCAAGCCGGACAGCTTCACGGGCCTGCGCGCGCCCTTTGCGCAGCACCACATCTGGACGGTGCCGTACAACGACGCGCACCGCTACCCCGCCGGCCTGCACGTGCCGCAGACGCTCAAGGCGCCCGAGGACAGCATCGTCAACTGGGTCGGCGACGGCAAGGCCAGCATCCAGAACAAGGACATCGTCTCGTACATCACGCTCGGCACGACGCACATCCCGCGGCCCGAGGTGAGTCCCCTGACCCCCCTACTCCTTCCCCCTTCTCCCCCAGCCTTCCAGGATGGCAGCTGACCTCCTTATACCTAGGATTTCCCTATAATGCCCGCTGAAACGGTCCGTTTGCACCTCAAGCCCATCGGTTTCTTCGCGAGAAACCCGGCGCTCGACGTCCCGGCGACGGCGGACAAGAAGAGCGTGCCCGCGCAGGCCGGCACGAGCTCCGGCGCGGCCTGCTGCGCCTGACCGCAGCCCTCTCTTCTCATGCGACGGTGCGGACCGGCTGTAGCTTTCTCTCCTGTCACGACCTTCTCGACTCGACTCTGTCTCTCGCTCTCGGTATCTTACGCGCGTCTCAATCTGATCGATCTGCGACTGCCGCGCGTGGCGAAGCCGCTGTGCGATGTGCCGCGGCCAGAGCTACCTCGAAAAGGGCTCGTCCTCTCCAGGCGACGTGCTGTTGTCCATTGCCTGTTGATCTGCCTCGCATAACAAGCGGGAAAGAGAAGAGACGCCGCACTTGTGGCCATCGGCGCTTGGGTTGAGGTGTCAACTTTCTAGCTTCGGCCTCTCTCGCTCTCGCTGTCTGCACCTGGCAGGTCCATCGTCTCCTGCAAGACGCCGAGAGAGAGGACCTGAATCTGCACGTCCGATGAGTAGTGTTGCGGAGCCGGCCACGCCTCGCTGCAGCGTCTGCAAGCTGGTGCCGGTGTGAGTCGAGCTCACCCCTCTCGCGTCTGAGGCGTGCCCTGTGATGCGTCCTCGCGACGCTGAGTTTGGGCTTGTGTAGGAGACAGGCTCGCCACAGTGCCGGCTTGGCTCCTCATGAGGTCGAGCACAGCAGCAGACGCCCTTCAGCCACACGCTCCCGGAGGCGCCAGCATGAGCGGTGCAGATGTTGCCGCTGCACGCGCTGCACGCTGCGCTCCTGGCGCGTGCCCGCGCCGCGCGTTAGCGTCGGGCGCGTCCAGCGGCTCTCCCGCGCGAAGCCCCTGGAGAGGACGCCGTTGCGTGCCTGTGCCCGCCGGTGCTGCCTCCAGCCGCAGCGCTTCACGCCGGCGAGCAGCCTCAGGGGCGTGCGCAGGCTGCTGCGCCGCATCGTCACTTCGCCTCCATTCCGTGCCGCCGGCCGTGCAGCCGCGTGGGCCGCACGCAGCCGCAAGCCGCAGGCCCGCGCGTGCGCCCGGCGGCTCGGGGTGGTGGACGCAGCGGCTTCGCAGGAGGTGCCTCTCCTCGCCTTGCCGCACGGCCCTGCCGACGTACGCTCTAAGCGCCTGGCCTACTGTCGTGCAAGCGGAGGGCGGGACATGTCCGATCAGTGGAGCAAGCGGCATCGGCGCGTCGGGAGGGCAGCAGCATGCAGAGGCGTTGGACGAGGCATCTTGACCCCGCTTGACCCCTCGCGAGCCGCTGGTTGCTGTCCATCGACGCGGTACATGAGGGAAACAGAGTTGTCAACCAGCGCTCGCTCAACATACGTGGCTTGCCTTCTCTCCTCCATCATCTCCCTCTCTCTCCTTCTCGACTCACCCCGGCTCCGTTCTCCTCGCCTCGTCCTTCGCTCGCGCAAGCCAACCCCCCACAAGGCCGACATCTGGCGCTGTCTCTCCTTTTTCCTTCCTTTCCCTCACTTCTCGTCCCTCCTCACACTCTCGCGCACCATGCGTCTCACACTCTCCCTCCTCTCTCTGCTGCTCGCCTTCTTCGCCCTCTCCTACTCCGTCAACGGCGACGTCTCGCAGCATGAGCAGTCTCTGACGACCGAGGTCGACGAGGCCACGGGCGCCGTGTACCACATCATCGACTCGGGAGGCGACGAAGACGGCGACGACGACGAGCCGCAGACGCCAACGACGGGCACGAAGGAGAGCCGGAGTGAGGGTGCGCTTGAGGCACGGAAGCGCAGTGAGCAGCGTGCACCATGGAAGGTCAAGACGGAGAGGCTGACTGCATGTGCGGTGTACAGCTCGCAAGCACAAGCACAAGTCCAAGGCTGCACGCAAGGGCCGCCAGAACTTCCTCATCGGCAAGCCGCCTGGCGTCAAGGTGAGTGAGAGCGTTGCATGGTCGGGCATCATTAGTCGGGCCGTCTGAAGGCGAAAACAGGGGCAGCGCGCCTAGAGCAGTCAGGTGCAATTCTTACCTCATGGAGCGCTTATCCCACCCTTCACCCTTCTCAGGAGTTCCCGCGCCGCATGGAGATCACCTGGTACGCCTCCAACGACCTCAAGAACCCAGCGTGCGGCGACGGCAGCTGGGATCCGAACAACAACAACCACATTGGCGGTGCGTCACCTCATGCTTTTCCCCCCTGCCCTTCTCGGCCGCGATGCCGGTGCTGATGCGAGGTGCGCGACCCGCAGCGGTGATGAAGAGCTGGACCAGCGGCCCGCAGTGCGGCGACTTTGTGTACATCTGCAACGAGGACGCGCACAACCACTGCGTGCGCGGTGAGTCCCCCACGCAATCGTCCAAGCGTGTGCTTGGAGGCATCCGCTGACCAGGAGACCAACAGTGCGCGTCGTCGACTACTGCGCTGGCTGCGACACCGACGCAGTGGACCTCTCCAAGGTACGCCGCTCCCTGGCCTTCTCCCTTCTGCGGCACCTTCGTGCTGACGCGTGCTCCTCTCCGCAAGTCGGCGTTCAAGAAGCTCTCGCCCTCGGGCGGCCTCGACGAGGGGCGCATCAAGAACCTCAAGATGTACCACTCCAGCCGTCCGAACCCGTTCGACATTGGCCTCTTCGGGCCCTTCCGGCTGAAGAAGAAGTAGAGGCGGCCACGCATCGCATCGCAGACGCCGCGCGAGCGGGCAACACGACCAGGGCAGCGGCGATGGCGCTCCGCGCTCCGGGACCCGAGGTCTCCCTTTCCGCCTGTCTAGCTTCAAAGGCATGGCCTGCCCTGCGCCATTCTCTACTCACATCGACCACCCACCTGGGCCGCCTGGCGCGGCCTCGTTTTCTTGCCCCTTCAGCCCCCCGCAGATGCGCGCCCGCCCTTTACTGACCCCCCACGATCCGTCTCGCACCCAACTTTCTGCCCGGCTCTGTCTTCCCACATGTCCTGCACTCCCACAGCATCGTGCCGGCGCCTGGCTCGCGCAATGGCCTATACTCCCGTTTTCTCCTTCTGATGATTTCCCTTTTCCCTCTCCTGTGGGGCGCGGAGCGATGCGCTGGGGCTTGGGGAGGAGGTGTGGAGAGTTCAAGCATGCGCGGCGCCCGGAGCGCTCGGGCCGTGCTCAGCGGCGCGTCCAGGCAAGCAGCTTGGCGCGCTATCGCGGAGTCGCGCTCGTGAGAGCGTGGGCGCAGGGGCTGCCACGCTTTGGCGCGCCCCTCGAGCCTGCGCCTGCGCGCCCCTCGAGCGGAGCAGCAGGCGTTGCTCCGCATGCGTTGGGTGTTGCTCCAGCGCAGGCGCGCTGGCGGCATGCGATGCCTGCGCTCGCGAGACGCCGCTGCGTAAAGGGTGCCGCCGCCGCAAGCGAGAGAGCGACAGGAGAGACAGAAGCAACGCATGACTTGACAGCACGCGCACAAAGGGAAAGGAGGCACGCCGGCGCCGGGTGCGGTGCCGAGCCATCGTGCGGCGCAGCAAAGCGACGCGGCGCGATGAGAGAGGCGCTGCAGGCCGCTGCAGGTCGCCGGCGTGGCGCGCGTGAGGCGTGAGGCGCGAGGGGGTCCGTGGGTGCGTCGCTTGCTGCTGACCACCACGATCACCGCCTCTCGCCGCCTCTTCCTCCAAGCCTCCACGCCTGCTCACTCCTCTGCGTCGCATCGCTCACACGGCGCTCAGCCCTTGCTCATCCGCCTTCTCGCCGCTCGCTGCGTCTGAAGCCCAGCCAGCGCTCCCTCTACGCACGCGCCACTCGACGACTTCCATCGCCGCTAGCCCAGCATGGCCGCCGAGTCCAACTATGACTTCCTCGTGCGTCGCTCTGTCCCTCCTTTGCCCCACTCCCCTACTTCTTCACTAACCCCCCGCCGCCCTGCAGTTCAAAGTCGTCCTCATCGGCGACTCGGGCACGGGCAAGTCGAACCTGCTGAGCCGCTTCACGCGCAACGAGTTTTCCCTCGAGAGCAAGAGCACCATCGGCGTCGAGTTTGCCACGCGCAGCATTGCCGTCGACGGCAAGACGGTCAAGGCGCAGATCTGGGACACGGGTGAGTGTGGTTTGGCTGCCAAGGAGCGTAGAGGCGCAGGAGGGAAGAGAGGAGCGGCAAGAGGCCAGGGCGGGGAAGAGGTGCGATGGGTTATGAGATGCAGATGGGAGATGCTGTCAGGTGCCAAGCGATACGGCAGCGAGGGATTCGTGCAGATGGGAGATGCTGCAAGGTGGCCAGTGACACGGCCAGCGAGGGATTCGTGCAGATGGGAGATGCTGCAAGGTGGCCAGTGACACGGCCAGCGAGGGATTCGTGCAGATGGGAGATGCTGCAAGGTGGCCAGTGACACGGCCAGCGAGGGATTCGTGCAGATGGGAGATGCTGCAAGGTGGCCAGTGACACGGCCAGCGAGGCGTGCGTGCCGGCCGCTGAGCTCCTCGGCCGGACGATGGTCGGGCCGCTCAAGAGGCCGGCAGCGTCGCGTTGCGGTCTGGCGTCTGGCGCCTGGCCGACTGCGCGATGGGCTTCAAGCCATGCTGGCAGCCAGGCGACAGCGCGGAGGCGCATGCAGCGGGCGCGCGCAAGCGCTGCGTGTGTCCTGTTGCATGCGTCAGAAGGCCAATGCGCAAGCCCGCGCCAAGGCATCAGCTCCGGTGCGGGGATGCAAAGAGACAAGCAGGCGGCTTCTTAGCGAGAGCGACCCGAGCGCGCGCCCTGTGAGCGCTCATTGGAGCATGCATGTGCTGCCGGCGTTGAGAGCTCGAGGGTGTGCCGCGCATATGCCTCTCTACGCGCCCCTTGTTCCTTGCTCAGAGGCGGGCGATCGAACGGCTCGACTGGACGCAAAGGGCAGCGTGGCGTGTCAGTCCCTGCTGCACCGGCCTACAGGCTTCTCGCGGACGATGGCTGCGCTCCTGGTCGAGTGTGCGGCCCAGAGCTGTGCCCATTGCGCGCGCGCGAGTCCTGTCCGAGTAAGCAAGGTGCGCTGCTGGTCCCCGCTCCCTCGTGGAGCGCTCTCGCCCTCTCGCGCGCCAGAGCATCATGAGCTGCATCAGGGCGCAGCTGCGGGCGACTGTGGGGATGCGTGTGCGCGGACATGGGGCAGGGCTCATGAGGATGTGCGGGCGGAGTGCTGAGCAGAGATACAGCGGAGGGCGGCACAAGGACGTGTGGAGCTATCAGCGGCCTTGTGTGTGTGTGTGTGTCGACGCTGTGGGTCCGGACTTGCGACCTTTGCGACCTCTCCTTCTCCCTCCCCTGCTGATCTTTCTCTTCCCTTGCAGCGGGCCAGGAGCGTTACCGCGCCATCACCTCTGCGTACTACCGCGGCGCCGTGGGCGCGCTGCTGGTGTACGACATTGCCAAGCACCCCACCTACGTCAACGTGTCGCGCTGGCTCAAGGAGCTGCGCGACCACGCCGACGCCAACATCGTCATCATGCTCGTGGGCAACAAGAGCGACCTGAGACATTTGCGCGCCGTGCCGACGGAGGAGGCCAAGAGCTTCGCTGGTGAGTGGCGCGAGGAAGAGGCGACGATGGGCCAGATGCTTGTGTGGGAGATGCACAGCTGTGCGACATGAAGCTGATGTAGACTTGCCTCTTTCGCGCGCAGCCGAGAACAACCTCTCCTTCATCGAGACGTCGGCACTCGACGCCTCCAACGTCGAGCAAGCGTTCCAGAACATCCTCACCGGTGCGTGTGTGCGCGCTCTCCCCTCGCCCACGTCGTGACGTCTGGCTCTCTTCGCGCCCAGCACTGACCCCCCGTCCTCGTCTCGCGAACAGAGATCTACCGCATCGTGTCGAACAAGGCGCTGCAGAGCAGCGAGAGCGACATTCGGCCCTCGGGCGGCGAGACGATCACCGTGCAGCCGTCGGCCGACGACGGCGGCAATGCAAAGGGCAAGGGCGGCTGCTGCTGAGCGTGCCCTTGCGCGCACGTAAGCGCGTCGGAGGCAGCGATGGAGGGCGGAGGAGCAGGTGGAGAGCAGGGGCGAGCTGAGGCGGGAAGAGCGCATGAGAAGGAGGGCGATTAGGTCAAGGCGGAGTGCGTCGGCATGCGCGCGGCGTGAGCGGGCGCTTCGTCGATGATTTGTCGAACGCTGCGACCTCTTTCGATGCGTGTTTCCATCGCACCCCTCGTCGTCCTCTCGATTCCTCGCGCGCATCGCCTTCTCTGCGCTCTTCAATGGCTCTCCAATCTTCGCGTCCTCAACACCGAACCACCTCGCCTCATCGCCTCCGCCCGCGCCCCTCGGCAGCCAGCTCCCCCCGACCCCCTCTTCCTCTCTCGCCTCGTTCCTGTCCCCGAGAGACTCTGTAACGCCCCGCTCCGCTCTTGTCGTCCCCTTGCTTCAGTCATGAACCGTCTTCTCGTGCATTGCGCTGTGCGTGTGCCAGCGTCCATGAAGCAGCGCGAAGCGATGCTGCCGAGCGAGAGTGCGTGCGGCTCGCCACGCATCCCTGCTCGTGCGTCGTCGCTGGCTGACGCTGCTCGCTTGCTTGTTTGTCGTGCCACCCGTGCGCACAGCCGTGACACAGGGCTGCACTCGCTCCCCGGCCGAGCGCGCAAGGCAGAGGCTGTCAGCCCTCGCCAGCCCGAGTCTCATTCCCGGCAGCGCAGTCACACACAGCACAGACGAGAGGCAGAGGAGAGGCAAAGCATATTCCAGCTCGCTTGATTTCTATGAGTGAGAGAGAGAGGGCCGCGCGAACAAGCGGGCACACGAGCAAGCCGCCGCACAGATGGGGGGCGCTGGTGTGGCCGAGACGGCAGGCGGAATGAGGGTGACTAAGGGGTGTAGCAGAGAGGGGAGACAGGACACAGACCGAAGGGGGGCTAGAGAGGCGCTATGCTGACAGAGAGGAGTGTGTATGCGGGCCGAGACGGCGCCGGCGACCCCGGCTCTCGTGGAGGGAGAGCGTGGATGGCGGGCGCGAATGATGGGAGAGAGAGAGAGAGAGGCGGACACGGCGATGCGCAGCGGCGGGGCCTCGCGGAGGCCGAGCGGCGGGCGGGATGGAGTGCGCAGCACTTTTGAGGCGGGCGAGTAGAACAGACGAAGTGAGGCACTGCCGGGTCGTCTTGCTGCTCCTCGCGGGCGCTTAGTTGCTCGTCGACGACGTGGCGTTCGAGTAGCCAAAGACGACCTTCTCGATGGCGCCGGGCGTCTCGCTGCTCGAGACGTTGGCCAGCTGCTTGTAGCCGTCGGCGAGGACGATGGAGTTGCGCTCGGCGCCCGGCACCCACGACGTGACGACGCCCTGGATGGTCATGTTGTTGGCGGGGTTGACGATGGTGAGGGTGCGGCCGCACGCCGCGGCCATGTCGTCGCTGCTCATCAGGTCCGTGGGCGCAATGGCGACGGCCGACGAGTTGGACGGCACCACGACGCCGGGGCAGCCGGCCGTGCCGACCTCGGCCCACCACGAGGGCACGCCGCTGACCTGCTTGCCCTCGATGCCGGCGAACGTGGCGTTGCGCGCAGCGGACGGCGTGGAGGCGGGAGCGGCGCTCGACGAGCTCGACGAGGGGCGCGGCGTCTGCGAGGCCGAGCTGCTGGCCTGCTGCGCCTGCTGCGTCTGCTGCTGCTGCTGCTGCTGGCGCTGCGACGAGGAGCTCGTCGTGGCGGGCGCGGCGGCTTGGCGCTGGTTGCCGTTGTTGTTGTTCGAGTTGCTGCTGCTCGAGCCCGAGCCGGCCTCGTGCCACGACATCTGGAAGACGCCGAGGCCCATGTTGCCGTTGGTGAGGGCGCTGAAGAGCGCCGGGCTCATGTCGAGCGAGCCGTAGCTGCACGTCGGGCACGCATCGACGACGGTGGCCGTCTGCGTGTTGCCGCCGTTGGAGATGGTGATGCGCTTGCCGCACCAGCTGCTGCGCACACCCGTGTTGCCGTACTGTGCCGTGTTGAGCGCGACGACCATCTCCGAGTCGGAGTTGGTGCCGCCGCAGGCGCCGAGGCCGACGGCGTAGTACGTGGCCCGGCCGCTGTAGTCGCGCTTGGCGAGCGGCGCGGCCGAGACGGAGGCGGCGGCGGCGAGGGCGAGGGCGATGAACTTGGAGGCGAACATGGCGAGTGAGTGTGTGTGTGTGGACCGAGGTGTAGGTGTGGGTGAGAGGGCCGAAGAGAGAGAGTGAGCCGAGGCAGGGGGAACTTGAGGGGAGGAGCGAGGGTGAAGGGTGGGATGGGGCGGCAAGCGGGAGGAGCGCCAGTCCAGCTGGGCTCTTATACATCGGCGCACGATGCGCTGCTGAATGGAGGGTGTGGCCGCCGGCGTGCCTGCTGCCCGAGCATCGCCTGTGTGGTGGAGCGGGCCTGTCTGGAAGGGACGGCCAGGAACGGCCGGGCGATGGCAGGCGAGACAGCGTGGCAGCGAGCGGCGAGCGGCGCGCCGGCCAAGCCGCCGGCCGGTGGCAGCAGCGAGTGCCCTCGAAGTCGAGGGTGCCCGGCACCTGGGCAGCAGCAGCAGCGAGGCACGGCGGCGGCGGCTGCGGCGGCCTGCAGCCTGTCGATCCTCGTTTCGAGGGGGTGCGGCACTGGGCCCGCGGCTGACGCTGCGGCTGTGCGCAGGTGCGGCAGGAGAGGTGATCGGCGGCTGCTGCGGCTGCGCGGCGTGCGTGCAGTGCGGCAGTGCGCCCGCCTGCTTGCTGCACTGCCGGGCGTGGCGCCGAGAAGAGCAAGAGGAGTGCGAATGGTGGAGAAGGTGCCGCAGCATGCAGGTGCAGCCGGGCGGATTTGCGCGCAACCGAGCACGGCCCGCAGCTGCAGATCTTCCTGCCGGCTGCAGCGCGGCGCGGCTCAGCTCAAGGGGCACGCCGCGCGCGCCGTGAGGCCGCGTCGAGGCCCCTCGAAATTTTGGCCGCAAACCCTCCCTCGCTCCTCGTGCCGCACCGGCTCAAATGCAAGCGAGTGACAGCAGCGTGCAGCGTCCCTGCGTGCGCCTGCAGCACGCCAGTGTGTGCCTCCATTCGGCCTCCACGCTGCGCCGGCAGGCGAGGTGCCGAGGGCACGCCGTGGAAGCCGCCGCCGCAGTAAGTGCAGCACCGCCGCCTCTTCAAGTTCATGCCGCCGGCATCTCGATCAGCAGCACGCTGCTCGCGTGCCTGATTGCCGCACCTGTCATTTCTCCGAGGGTCCCACCTCACTGCCGCAGCCCGCAGGGCAGCTCTCGGCCCCCCGCGCTCCTTGCGCCTCGCACAACAGCTCGCCGGCAGCGGCACCGAGCGTGTGCGGGAGGCCAGCGCGCAGGATGCAGGTCGCTCGCTGCCAGCGCACCGCTCGCGGCGAGGGCACCGAGGGCACCGAGGCTGCACCCCGCTGGGGCGAGACAGCAGCGTGGCGGCGTGGCGCTCACGCGACGTGCGCGGTGCGCCTCTCGGCTGAACGCCGACGCACCTTCCTCTGCTCATCTCGCTGGCACGTTCCCGCTTCGCCTGCCTTCGCTGCGTGCTGCGAGAGCCTGCTGGGTGCTGCGAGATCGAAGGTGCAAGGCACGCGCTAAACACAGTCGCTGACGATCGTCGCTTCGTCACGCAAAAGGCCCTCGACTCACGCCGCGGCAAGCGCGAAGCGAGAGGGATGGTGTGAATGCCGTACCGCAGGCGTACGCGGCTTCTCTGCGCTGCTGGCGCCTCGCAACCTCCACTGCCAGCACGACAGCCGCAGAGGCAGGTGAGCAGTCGTCTCCAGGCCTTTTGCAACTTCAACAGGGCTCGTGCTGCCGCTGATGTGGGCTGACCGGGTGCCGGCTTGTCTCGTCGGCGAGCGGCTTGCTGCGGCCACGGCGCCGGTGCCGTGGCAGAAGGCGGCTCCGGAGTTTCGGGCGAGGGCAAGCACCCCAAAATCGAAACTCGCCGCCTGCCTGGTCGGGCGCATGGCGAGTGTGCTGCGCCGTCGATCATCGCAAGCAAGCGGCGGTACAGAGGCACGCGAGCAGTCTGACGTGAGGGCGCGAAGAGAAGAGGGCGCGCGCGGCACGGCAGCACAGCCGCCGCGCAGGAGATCAGCAGCCTCGGCGGCGCGCCGCGCGGCTCGGACACCGCGAAGCGCGAAGCTTCGCAAAATCGTCCAGCTCGCCGTTCGCAGCCCGCGACCTCGCTCGCTGCGCTCTGGCCACGACGCTGCGTGCTGGTGCTGCGTGCTGGCGCTGCCTGCAGCTGTCAGGTGCAGCAAATTCAAAGACGTCAAGGCGCCTCAGAGCGCGAGCCGGAGGCCTGGAGGTCGCCAGCATGCCGCCTCGAGCAGCGGCTCTGCTGCTGCTCGGCCTCGGAGCCCGGAGGGCCAGGCCGCGGGGTTGAGGGCCGACAGCAGGACCCTCTGCGCTGTCCAGCCTGCACAGCGACCCTTGCCAGCGCAGGCGCGTAGGAGCGCTCCCGCATCTCGGAGGAGCAGCGACTCAACATCCCCGTCCGGGCCGTGCGAAGAAGGGCGGGGGTTGCAGCGCTTCTCGAGATGCAACGCTCAGATCTCTCTCGCGGTGGCTAGGCTTGAAGCAGCACAGGGCAGGGTCTTGCGTGGCCCAAGGTGGATGCTGTTCGGCTCCACGCTCGTCGCCCAGCCCGCTTGAGCCCGCCTGAAGAAGCGCGGGCCTCGGTGCAGAGCGTGCAGCGATCGCCGTGCGTGGAGGCTGCGACGTGCGAGGTAAGCATGCAGCTCGAGAAGGTCGGACCGCTCTCGGCGCTCTCGCTCTTCGTCGCCCCTTCGAGCTCCCGCAGGCCGAGCTCGGCGCCGGACTGACGGCGGCCTGCGCGCTGCGGGCCATCGCACGACCCCACCGCGCCAACGCGACGGCGCAAGCTGCTGCCGCCTGCTGTGGCGGCCCGAGGGTGTCGGCGCCGGGAGCGCGCACGTTGGACCGCTGCGCCTCAAGGGGAGCGCCGCGCGGCCCTCTCTCAGTCTGAGCTGCGCTCCGGCCTCCAGCGCGGCGATGCGCTGCCGCTGCAGCCTTGACTGCCAGCGAGGCCATCTTGCTGCTGCTGATGCTGGCCTCCAAGCGCCAGGCACGGCTCGCGCGCTTGCGTGCTTGCCGGCATGCGACCACGCCAGCGATGCAGAGCGGCAGCATGCGGCACGAAGCCCATCGGGCGCCCAGCAGAGTGCGCAGCGAGGCTAAGCGTGCAGGCTCCTGCCGATGGGCGGCGACGATCAGCCCCATCGCCCTTGCTGCTGTGCTGAGGAGGCCAGCACGCTCGAGCCCCTCTCGTAGGGGGATCTCAAGGGTCGCGAGCTGCGAGAGGCTCGGCAACTGCCAGTGCACGTCAAGGTGGGCCTGCACCCTTCGCTCTGGCCCGAGGGTCGCTGGCGGAGATGCGCTGCTCGGACGAGCCTGCCACGTGGCGCCTGGGGGTCAGTGCTGAGCTTGCTTCTGACCCTTGAGGCGGGTCGAGCCCACGGGCGCACCTCCGCCGCATCACTTCGTCGCCGGCGCCGGGCAGCAGCCTCGAAAATTCGCAGCACCCCTTGAAGCGGAAAGGAGTGCTTTCCGTGGACGCAGCGACGTGGGCAGCAAGAAACGGGAGCGGGCACAGCATGCGCGCGGCTCTGCCGAGGCTGCACTCTCGGACGCCAACAGCAGTGCTGCTCCCACACTAGCGACATCGTTCGACAGCGAGGGGCACAGCCCTCAGCCTGGACCGACACCCGACGTCGGACCGGACATCCGGCGCAGTGTGACTTGCCGATGCAAGGGCATCAGAGAGAGCCTGTGACGCAGTCCTTTCATTGCCTCGTCATGCCAAAGATCTGCGCCCTCACATCCTCACCCGCCAGTCTGAGCGACTCAGCGAGGCAAGCATCGGCCGTGGCGTCGAGCCAGGCATCTCCATCTGCTGTCGCTCCGCCGCTGGATGCGTCCATCTGTCGTTCCGCGCCGGCCAGGAGCGTTTCTGCGTCGATGCTGGCGATGAGCCGCAGAATGGTGCCCGAGTCGGCGTGCACCGAGGGCGTGGAGCGCCCTGATGCTGCGGAAGTGGGCGTCGAGTCGCCCGTGCTCGCGGGCGTGACGGCGGCAGTGGTGGCGCTGCGAGCAAAGGCAAAGTAGCTGCCTGTCTTGCGGCTCTCTGCCCATTCGTCGACTTTCGCCTCGACGGCGGCGATGACGCGCTCTGTGGTGCGCCAGCCAGGCACGCTTGCGTAGAGCTTGGGCGGGAGAGGCAGAAAGCTGGCGTCGGAGAGAAGACTGGGAGACGTCATGCCTGACGCCGAGCGCGATGCTGGCGCCGAGGCCAGAGGAGAACGAGTGCCGCTGCTGGCAAGACTGTCGGGTCCCGAAGGGGCAGAAGGGAGCAGCAGTTGCACCAGGCGTCGAAGCGTGTGTCCCGCCCGCACAATCTCGTACGTCAGCTCGTGCGCTGCCTTTGGCGATGCCAAGTATTCGTCTGAGCGAGCCAGCGCGAGGCCGAGCGTCGCCATGATCTGCAGCGGAAGGGGCAAAGCCGTCAGCTGAGAAGAGGGAGAAGCAGCCGCCAGCATGACTCACGGCGCGCACCAGCTCCTCACAGTCCGTCGCCCGAATCTCTGCATGACGCGACGCCACGAACGAAGCGAGGGCGAGCACAGCACGCCACGTCTCGATCCACTCGTGCTCCAGGCGGACTTTGGCGTCCGAGCAGCTCTGGACCGCAGCGCGAACAAGGCGCAGGGAGAGGCTAGGGGTTCGAGGATGCGTCAGCGGGCGTGCCCAGGGTTCGAGGCGGAAAGAGGAACTGACAGATGGCCAGTAGCGTCGAGGCGTCGCGACAGATTGTGCCGCAGGAACAGCGTGGCCGTGTCGATGACCGAGGAGACCAAGCGCACACGCTTGGTGCTCGACACCGGCAACGGCGGCGGTTTCTGTCGACAGACCCGCACGAGTCGCGCCTCGTCGGGTCGTTCATCGAGCATGGCGCGTGCGCCGTCGGCGTCGGAGAGCATAGTGGTGAGGAGGAGCAGCGTGAGACGAGCGTAGGAGCGAGAGGTGAATGTAGAACTGCCGTGGGAGGCGAGATAGGAGGAAAGGGAGAGGAATGTGACGGAGAAGGTTTGTGCTGGATCCACTGAGGAGCTTCTGTCAGCTCCATCTTACGCCTGTCGCGGAAGGATACTGACGCTTGGCGCCGTTGCCGTCGGTAGAAGCATCGAGCGATGCCCGATCCAACAGCCGGCCGATGAAGATGGGATTGGAGCGCGCGAAGAGGAAGAGCGAGAGAAGAATGGCAACGGATGGCGGAGGTCTGTGCGTGACCTGTCAGTCTGTCTCCGCAGCGCATGCCGTGTCTGTGCCAGGCGGGCAGCTCACAGATCAGCAAAGTCACCCCCCGCAAGCTCGCCCTTTGCTTTCTCTCGCTCCTTCGCGCTCGTACTGCCGGGCAGCGATTCGGCGAGCCACTTAAAGTTTGCGGCGCCCGCCAGCATCGTGGCAAGCGTCGGCGGCGCATCGTCCAGGCGCTCCACGTAGCTCGTCAGCGCCTCGCCCAGCCGGGATGCGCTCGCGTCACGCAGCAAGCCCATGCTTTGCGTGTCTCGCCAATCGCGCATCCTTCGCGCGTAGGCATGAGCAGTAGAAGCTGGCCCTGAAGGACCCAATGCAGAGAGCAAGCCGAGCAGCTGAGCAGCCTCGGAGGCCACTTGCACGTTGCCGAACGAGCGCGCGAGAAGGGCAGCAGCGGTGCTCCAGAGATCTCGGCGCGCGGCAAAATAGGCGGCGAGGGGAGTAGGCCCGACATGCGAGACCCACACGAGCGCCAGTTGCAGCACTCGTCGTTGCAGCGCCGGCGTCACTGCTCCTGCTTCTGCAGTGCGAGGTGCAGTAGAGGCACTGTGCGAGAGAGGCGCACGCAGCGCCTCGTCGATTGCGGCGACGAGCAGGGAGAACTCGAGGTCGGCCTCGTCCATGCCACCTGCGAGAATGGAGATGATGTCCGAGGCATACTGCGGGAGACGCTTGGAGAGGATGGAGGAGGAGATGGCGAAGAGCATCTGTGTGGAAGGAGGGCGGGGTCAGAGGGCCGCACATCGCTTGCAGTCCGCACGCTGCTGAGACAGCGCCAGCAAGGCAGTCCAGGCAGCAATGCCGAGCTTGCAGCACGGACGACAGCTCTCGCCGCTCTGGCAAAGCCACAAAGCAACGCCGACGAGCCAGGCCCACATCCCCTCTCTCGCTGTCTCAACGTCACTCACCTCGACGGCATTGCCCATCCGCACCGCATCCTCCTCGCGCCACACGCGTCCGGCCTCTCTCCACAGACTGCCCACATTCTCCCTGATCCTTGCGCCCTTGGTGCCCTCGGGCGCCAGCAGCGTGGCGCTGGAAACGGCGCCGAGCGCGTCGCGCACGAGCGCCGCGTCGCACGGCAGGCAGAGCAGGTCGGCGTAGAAGCGCGCGCGCGGCGCCGCGGCCGACTTGCCGCCGCGCTTCGAGGGCGAGGGCTGCGCCGAGGCCGGGCCGCCATGGCTGCCGCTGCTGCTCGCCCACGGCTCGTCGCCGGCCAGGAGCGCGTCGAGCGAGACGGCGAGCTTGCTGCGCAGCGCCGGACGCGCTGCCGTGCCGCTCATGGCGCCGTGGCAAGACGGAGAAGCGCGCGGAAGCCGAGACGCGAGGCTGCCAGCGCCCGTGTGCCGCTGTGAGAGACGGCGCAGATGCAGATGGGCGCGCTGGTGGATGGTGTTGGACGCCAAGGCGGCGCCGGAGGAACGCGACGCGGTCGCGAGAGCATCACCGCCCGCCCGCGCGAGGCTCGGCACGGCACGGCACGGCACTCGGGCGAGCTCGAGGGCGCAGCGTGTTCCCACGCGGGTCCTTCTAGTGCATTCTTCAGCGCCCAGCCCACCCGTCGGCAGGCGCATTCAGCGCCGCGCGCTCGACTCACGCAGCGCGGCCGTGCCTGCTGCGAGCCGCTGCAAGGCGCGGCCTCCGCGGGTCTCAAGTCGCCTCGCGGCGCATCTCGCTCTCGCCTCGCTCGCTTCGCGCGCCGAGCCGCTCGCTTGGCGCTCAGACCGCACCACGAGCACCACCGGCACAGCGACAGCGGCGCGAGCGCTCACTCAAGGGCTCGACCTGCTCGCTCGCGGCACTCGGGCAGCAGGCATGCAGCCAGCGCCAGCCAGCATTTTGCGAGCTGCGCCTCCTCTCGGCCATTCACGCCGGACCGCCTGCCCGAGCGCGCCGTCCCACAGCCGCCGTGCCGCTCAGCCAGAGCGCCCAGCTGGCCCCGCTGGCCCAGCTGCAGCGATTCAGATTTCTCCGTGCGAAGGCGAGATGGCATGAACGCTGCCGCGTCTGCGACGCGAGCGGCGCTGGCGTAGCGTCGGCGCGCAAGGGCTCGCTTGCCACCTCCCCGCACGCGCCGACGGACACGCACGCCGCGACGCCGCAGAGGGCAAGTCAGAGTCGCGAGAGATGCAGGCTGAATGCGCACAGTGCAGCAAGGTGCAGCTGTCAGACTCAGACTGAGACCGACACGAAGCTCGAGAGGCACGGCAGCTGCCTACACGAGGCGACGTCTCTCACGCCGCTGCGAGGAGGCTGCGGAGCCTCCACTCGAAGCCGCACTCACGCATGGCACCGGCACCAGCAGCAAAAGATCAGAACTGATAGGATGCTGGAGCCAGGCTTACTTCTCGTCCACATCCATCCGACCTCATCCTCAACGCCCCCGTCAAGCTCCCGTTTGCGCCTTGCGCCTCGACGACTCTGCTCGCTTTCGCTCTGCGCTCCTCGCGCCACCTCTCTACGTCCTGCGCCTCTAGTCTCGCTCTTCGCACCCGTGCTCTCCTGGTTACCGCTCGAGGCGGCATACGTGGCCCAGCATGACGTCGACTCTCGAGCATGAGTCGAGCAAGGGCAAGATGGGCGCCACGTGGCAGTTCAAGGATCCAGCGACGTGGACGTGGTGTGCGTGTGCCCATTCTGTCCCTCTCCGCCTTGGCTTGCTGCCTTTGCTGACGCTCCGCTTTCCCATCGCTGCCAGCGCAAAAGCTGCCGATGAACCTCTCGCTCCTGCAAGACCCGCCGGACTCCAAGCCGGCGCCCGTGCATGAAAAGACGGCGCCCGTGCCTGCCTATCCGCCGATGGAGCAGCACAAGTGGATCGCGCCACGCGCTCTGGCGCCCATCTATCTGCACCGCGTGCTCTTCGAGTTTGGCGTGCGCATGCCGTGGTACGCTGCCTTCGTCTACTACAGCCTCGCCTTCCTGGCGTTCGGCGACAGCATGTTCAAGATGCTGCGTCGTATGGGCAAGAAGTACGGCTTCTTCGACGGCGCCGTGCCGCGCGACGGCATCCCGGACGTCTACACAAACAAGGTGGCGTGGAGTCTCGTCGGCGTGCTCTTCCTGCGGCCGCTCGTCGCGACGATGTGGGTGTACGACGCCAACGCGCCGCCGGGCGTGTCGCTCTGGGCGCCGTTGCAGGTGTCGCTCTTCCTCGTGGTGCTCGACTATTGGTTCTACATCTACCATCGCTCGATGCACGAGTGCAAGCCGCTCTGGTTCATCCATCGCCTCCATCACACGACCAAGCACCCCAACGCAATGCTCGGAGCGTTCGCAGACAACATACAAGAATGGGGTGATATCCTGCTTATCCCGTAGGTCGAAATGAGAGAGAGAGAGCGGCGCGGCGCTCGAGGCGGCGCGGCGCTCGAGGCGGCGCCGGTGAAAAGCGACATGCGTCACGTCACGCGTGCTTACACCCCTTCCTCCCCGTCCCAGAGTGCTTACCTGGATGGTCGTGCCGCTCGACTTCCACACGTGGTACCTCACCACGTGCTACCAAGCTTATACCGAGGCCGCCGGACACTCGGGCATCCGGCTCTACTGGCTCGTGCCCGCCACGAGCTGGCTGCGCATCTTTGACGCCGAGCTGGCGATGGAGGACCACGATCTGCACCACCGGCTCGGCAACGGCCGGCGTTCCTTCGTGAGTCCTCTTTCCCTCCTTGTCCTCCTCGCTCTCTCGTCCTCGCTCTCTCGCTCTTGCGCCTCTTTGCCGCCCGAGCTGACGCGGTGCGGCGCACGCAGAACTATGGCAAGCAGACGCGTCTGTGGGACAAGATCTTCGGCACGAGCCGCTCGCGCATCGAGTCGTTCGAGGAGAACATCGACTTTGTCAACGTTGCGCGGACGTGCTAGGCTCAGAGGACGAGCCAGGTCGAGAGGACGTGCTGAGGCCGCGGCGTCGCTCCGACGCGCACGCGGCCTGCCTTGCCGACTCGCGGACTCGCAATTCTCTCTATCTCTCGTTGTTCGGATGATCTTGACGTGGCCCTAATGAATCTACAGTACTCCTTCGCAGACGGGCGGACGGCACGTTTTGAGCTATAAGAGTGTGAGCTTCGGAGATAGGCCAGAGCAAGGCCTCATCGAGCCGAGGCGAGGGCGACGCGCACGTGACGTGCTGCTCCACACCGCCGCGCGCCGCCCGCCGTCCGCCGGCTGGCTGATGCGCGGCCCGAGCGAAGCGCCGCTGCTTGCTGCCTCACCACCTCCACCCTCCTCCTCGCAAGCGCTCTACCATGTCGCTCGCTCCCGCGCACACGCTGCTGCGCACGCACATGCGCATGCGTGCGCTGCACTCCGTCGGGCAGCAGACGCAGGCGCAGCAGCGACGCTCCCTCCGCTCCTCCTCTCGCACCTACGCTTCTTCCTCTTCGGGCAGCGGCAGCGGCAGCGGCAGCGCTCCCTCGGACGCCGACCTCTCGCGCGCCGCCTTCGCCCAACGGCAGCTGCTCTCTTCGCTGCGCGCCTCTTCCTCTTCCTCTGCCTCGGCGCTCGGCGCCGCCTCGCCCCCGGCCGATCCACATGCCAACGCTCGCGCCGCCCTCTCTGGCGCGGGCGCGAGAGGCGGCATGTCAATGGGCCTCGGCCTCGGCCTGGGCACGGGCATGGGCAGCGGCGACGGCACGGGAGGCACATTGGATCGTGCGGCGGGCGGCGGCAAGAAGTGGAAGGAGCTTCGTGGTGGGCAGAAAGGTGCGTTGCCCCCTCCGTCTCGCTTCGCCCTCCCTCTCTGGCGCCAGCGCTGACGCGGCGACGAGCAGTGGTCAGGGCCGGTCTGACGACGTCGAGATTGCTGCTGGTGCTGGTGGGAGGCGGCCTGACGATCGCGGTGGGCTGGGCGGTAGGCTCGGAGCTGTTTGCGAGCAACTCGCCGACGGTGATTTACAATGATGCGGTGAAGCGCGTGCGGAGGAGCGGCCAGGTGAGTGAGAGCAAGTTGCTCGCCACGAGAGTGTGGCAGAGGGCTGCGATGGATTGAGGTGCTCGTCGGCAGCGACGGAGCTCCACTGATGCCGACACCTGTCGCAGATCCAAGAGCATCTCCTCCTGCCCTACCGCTTCTCCTCGTCCTCCACCTACTCCTCCGACTCTTCGCCTCTCAACCCCTCGGGCTCACGCGGTCGCAAGCGCGGCTCGCAAGTCTCGTCGCAGCTGGTCCGCGAGGGCAGCTCCGACGTGCTGCTCCTGCGCTTTTTCATGCAGGCGCGCGAGAAGGACAAGGAGTGGACGTGGCTGCAGAGCGCGAGACATGCAGTGGTGGAGGCGGGGGCACGCGTCAAGATGGAGGCAGTGGCGCTGGCGAACCAGATTGGCGACGCCATCTCTCCTCAAGACGCAACGAGCGCGGCTGCTCAGGCGGTGCAGGAGGAGAAGAAGGCGGCAGGAGGCGGATGGTGGAGCAACCCATTCAAGAGCCTCAGGCAGGGAGTCGAGGCTCCGCTGCGAGCCAAGCCGACGCCGGGCACGTGGAGCAGCGGCGAGGTGCATGCCGAGTTGACGCGCGTGAGTGGCTCCACTCTCGATCCATCTCCCGCTGCCCAACTGCACGCGCCTGCTGACGACATGTGGCGGCAAACAGGACGAGGACGGCATCTTCCAATACCGCCGGCTGTACGTCGACATCCCCTCGAGCCAAGCAGCGACGCGCAGCAGGGTGTGGCTGGTGCGCAGAGAGGGAGAGGTGGTGCGCTGAGGCGAGCTTCTTTCATCGAGAGAGCATCGGCGCAGAGGAGAGTCATGGGCGAAGTGGAAGGAGAGAGGGCGAGCACAGCGGAATCGCCATCTTCAAGCACGGTCCTGATCCTGAAAGCGAGAGCGAGTGAGGAGCCAAGGCTCGAGCAGAGCAGCGCCCGGAGCGCGCAGGATTCAGCTTCGTCCAAAGCCACCGAGCTCTGAGTCCGGCTTGGTCTCCTTTGTGTCTCTCTCCTTCTCGTCCCGGCCAGTCAGGCAGGGCCATGGGATGCCTGGACGCGTCGTGAGGCTAGCTGATCAGTCTGAGCTCGAGAGTGGACTGCGGCATGCCAGCCTCTGGGGCGCGGGCGCCTGCGTGGTGCACACACTGTGCAGCCATGGCTGCTCATGCTGCGCGGCACGGCGTTGATCACCGAGGCGCGTGGGAACACTCGACCCGCGCCTGGCGCCGCTCGGTCACCGCGGCCGCGGCGTGCCACAGGTCAGACTTCTGGACGCCTTCGCCACTGGTGCTCCTTGCCGCTCCACCAGCACCACGCACGCCCACGCACACCTCTGCCGCCGCCCGCCTGTGCTGCTGCACGCCACTCGACACTCGCGCCGCCTCTGCCATGGCACCGGCAGCCGCGGCGAGCGGCAGCGGCAGCTCGCGCGCGCGCTCCGACGGCTCCTCGGGCTCCTCGAGCTCCAGCGCCAGCGCGCCGCCGCCCTCGTGGCTGCCGACGCCCGCGCTCGACCATGCCCTCTCCGGCATCACCGCCGGCGCCATCGCCACCGTGTGCATGCAGCCGCTCGACCTCATCAAGACGCAGTTCCAGGTGCGCACCGCGCGTGCGCCCCGCAGCGGCACGGCGGCGCCACCCGCCTGGCAGCGCTGGACGGGCGTGGGCGTCGGGCGCGACATGCTGGCCGCCTGGCGCGCCATCGTGCGTGCCGACGGCTGGCCGGGCCTGTACCGCGGCCTCGGCGCCAACGTCGTCGGCAACTCGGCCAGCTGGGGCCTCTACTTTCTCTGGTACACGATGCTCAAGGAGTACATGGCACACGCCGCCGACGGCGCAGACGCAAAGGTGCTCACGCCCGGCCAGCACCTGCTCGCGGCGAGCGAGAGCGGTGAGTGCGCGCGGCCGCCTCTCGGCCTCAAGCGCCCACCACCTCTGCTGCGACCCAACTGACGCGGTGGGCTGCACAGGCGCCGCCACGGCGCTCCTGACGAATCCAATCTGGGTCGTCAAGACTCGCATGTTCACCACGTCGCGCAGCGCCGCCAGTGCCTCGAGTGCCACTGCCGCGCCTGTTGCGACAGCCAGCGGCAGTAGCAGCGCACCGCGAGCACCCGTGGCGTACCGCGGCCTCGCGCACGGCCTGCGCGACATTTGGCGCCACGAGGGCGTGCGCGGCCTGTACAAGGGCGCCGGCCTGGCACTCGTGGGCGTCAGCAACGGCGCCATCCAGTTCGTCGCGTACGAGGAGCTGAAGAAGTGGCGCAGCGCCGTGGCGCGCCGCAGAGGCGCGACGGGCGCAGAGGGCGAGCTGGTCAAGCTGGTGAGTGCATGATGCCTTGCCTTGCAAACTTGGGCTGTCGGTTCTCATTGCTGAGGGCGTGCCTCTCCTCCTCGCCAGAGCAACGCAGAGTACATCGTCCTCTCTGGCGTGGCCAAGCTCTTCGCCATCGGCCTCACATATCCATATCAAGTCGTCCGCTCGCGCATCCAGGTGCGTTGCCGCCCCTGCCCCCCTTGCCACCCCCTCCGCCTGACTAACCCCTCTCTTCCTCTTGCAGAACCACGCCACCGCACACATATACCCCGACATTCCCACGTGCATCCGGCGCACGTATGCGCAGGAAGGCCTGCGCGCCTTTTACAAGGGCCTGGGCCCCAATGCCGTGCGCATCGTGCCCGGCACGTGCGTCACGTTTGTCGTGTACGAGAACATGAGCTGGGCGCTGCGCGGTGCCGCGGAACGCCGGAGCAGCGCGGCGCCGCCGATAGACGTCGCCATTCAGCAATAGAAGGCTACTGCACACGCCCCCATGCGGACGAAGGACAAGGATGGCGGGACAGCGAGATGTGCGATTACGAAACCAGCGAAGGTGTGTATTGGGTGTGTGTGCATGCTGGACAGGACTGCCTGTGCTGCGGGGGGCTGCTGCGCTGCAAGATGCGCGCGCTGAGATGCGTGGAAAGCGGAACTGAAGGAGCGGACTGGGAGAGGATATTCAATGCGGGCGACGGGCTGTGCGGTGCATGTGGAAGGCGCTGGAGATGCTCTAGGCAGGGTGCGGGCGGGTATGCTGGAGGGTTGGTTGGATCTGGGGTTGCGCCGCGCCGCTCGCGGCTCAGAAGGTGCCAATGGCGGCCGCACGCGGCGTGGCCGAAAGACCGCGAGCGTGCGGCGCCCACGACGAGGCGTTGGCGTTGTTGGCGTTGGCAGCAGCGGCGGCGGCGGCCTCGCAGCGGCGCTCGATGTCGCGGCTCAGCTGCGCCGCGCGCTCACGCACGACGGCGAGCATGTGCGCCTCTCGCTCACGCACGACGGCGAGCATGTGCGCCTCTCGCTGCTGCTGCTGCTGCTGCTGCTGCTGCTGCTGCTGCTGCTGCTGCTGCTGCTGCTGCTGCTGCTGCTGCTGCTGCTGCTGCTGCTGCTGCTGCTG